AGAGACTTTTGAGCCTAATTTCTATATAAATACTAAGTCTTTCTAATGGTTAACTAGCTCAAAACAATCATCTTCATCTTCTCTATGACGTCAAGCCCATTACTAAAGTTTACTACATAAAATATTTAGAGAGAATTGAGAGGTCTTCACTACTGGTCAAACTGCATGTAAGCAACAACTTGATAAGTTATTTTTAATTATTCAATGTTTCTTTCTAGCTAGATTCAAATGACTATATCACCCACAATTTTCTGGCATTATCATCCAAAAGGGACAATGAAAAATCAAGTATCTCGCTTCATTTTCTTCATCAAATTCTGGATGTATTCAAAGTCAACAACAGCAACCAAAAATATCTTACATTAAAATTATATTCTATTATTTGTGAGTCAAACTTATAATTAATTTTCTAATGATTAGATGGAGTTGAACTTATTAATCAGTTATTTTCATTCTAGAAACATAAATATAGGAGGAATTTTTTTTGAGAAATTCTAAAAGAGGTAAACTTAATAATTGACAATTTTGATTAGAACATTCAATCTTACTAGAACCTAAGAGCATGAATTATTCTTGACGAGTGGATGTAGATAAAAGACATAACCACTATAAAAATGCTCAAGTCTTACACTTACGGATTTAAGAATCTCATAAGACTTAAGGTCTTTATGTGATCAGAGTTTTTGAAGAAGAGTTGACAGAATAGAGATAAAAGTTAATCAATTCAATCCCCTCCCTGATCTAACTGCAGCCGTGAACCCTATATCACTTTATGCTACCACCAGTTAGGTGCATTTAATATTAATTTATCGTCATCAACAAGAAACACAAATCAAACCTCAACTGGGCTTTAGTATCAAATTGTTAATGGAAATGAGCACTCTAACTAATGGAGTCACAGCCACTTGGTTCCACACAACTAGAACCAAAGAGATGTAAGAAGAATCAACCCACAACAAGGCATTAACACAAAGATTTACATGGTTTAAATGTTACCCTCCTACACCCATCAGCAATGACAATAATTTAGCTTTACTATGTGGAAAAGTTCACATGAGACTTTCACCCCAACCTCAATTGGAATAGGTGGTGGCTCTCCTCCATTGACGTATAGGACAAGCAAAGCTCTCTCAACCAACAATATAGGCGGTGCTCCCTCCTCACCCAGCAAGATAGGTGGCGCTCCCTTCTCAACTGCCAGGACAAGCGACACTCCCTCCTCAACCACCAAATAGATGATGCTCCCTCAGCTACGAAGATCGGCAGTGTTCCCTCAGCAAAAGTAGATCCATCGTCTTGCTCTGAAATGTCAACAACCACCCTCTCCTCTCAAGCCACTCTTTTCTTTTTCTTTTGTCAGTTTTACGGTTTTACATATGAGAGGCTTCATTTTACATGGTCTCAATGAGACCTGCACCTAATAAGGTTGGACAGCCCATTTCTCTGAGAACAGTCCATGGAAGTGGCTTTGTCTCATGTCCATCTTTTGTGTGAAAGGTGAGCCACTACCTACAACTGTTCTTGAAGCATTTAAAATCATTGTTACTGTTGTTAGCCCAAAATGACCACTCTAACTAACTGAGTGACACTCACTTCATTTGAAATCAATGCACTGACACAAAGATTTATATGGTTTGGAGGTTGCCCTCCTTGGTTGCAACATTAACTCAATTCTTCCATTGAGTGGATAATCTTGGAAGTGTAATAATACTTGGGAATGGGGTAAACAATCTGTGTTACACCATGCAACCCTCAAGATTCACTATTAATTATGAGTCAAATAGCTATTTTTGTAGGGTTTGACTAAGATTTCCTTTTTGCCAATACTGAAATTATTGCACTAATGAACTATAGGGTCTGTTCACCTAGGAAAAGTTGTCTCATGAATACAAGCCAAGCAATTGGATTTATGTTTAAAGTATCCTATATGTGGGGAAGAATTGATTGTGTAGTTGTCAATATATTAAATAAGTTAATACTGGATACCATCTATAGAATTATTTTTTTTCTTTTACAAGTTTTTCATATGATAATATACATCCATATTAAAAAAAAAATCCATTTGAATATTCAATTAGTATCCACCAAAAAAATTAAGACTCAAAGAAATTGGCATATCTATAAATATAGCCTCACATTTTAGCCAACACAAGAAGGTAAATGTAAAAGTTTGATGCGTTGGGGCATTCTTGGTTGATATTAAATCATAAATAGCGTTTTAAAAAATATTTATAGAAAGGCATCACTATCAAACTATGTTATGTAGGAAGTGTCATGGTTAACACGTTTTACAGGGTCCAATCAGCTCTTTTCAGTCCAAACCAAAACTTTTGTATGTATGAAGATTAGGACTAGCCTTTGGAGATTTTATTAAAGTTTGGGCCGTGTAGAAACCTAATCTTGGACCTGTCTTGACGAGGTCAGCTCCTAAGCACATAGACCGTAAAATCCCATTGAGCTATCCCATCTTCTGATAGTTTATCTGACCTTTAAATTTGATCTGTTTTGATAGACCACAAGAGTGAGTTTGTGGGGAGGTATTCCCCATTTTAAAATAAATATGGTATTTTTCTATTTCAAAATGTTTACCCCATTTTAAATCCATACCAATCAGTTTATGATATAAAATCTATGTAGTGTTCAATGGTAAAAAGATGTCGATATTGAGAATTACTACAGATTTTGTCGACATTCACACCATGTCGCCTAAAAGATATATATAACAGTATGGCAAAAATACTATCAAGCTACTTCAGCCATAAATATATTGGAAAGTTTATCACTATGTTTCATTCGTCTAACATTGCGTCAATGACGGTCCAATCATTGACAAAAAGAGATTTCTTTCTCTTTGCTTCAGTAACTTTTGTCAATAGTTAACTGAGAGCGGCAAAAGATCTTTCCTGATTACGTCAATATATTTACTAAGGGCTATGAAATTGGCAACGATGCGTGCTAATGCTTACCAGTTGCTCTATGAAGGACTCTTCAACTGTTGAGAACCCTCTCTGGTCCCATATAGACATTTGTAAACGTCTTATAGCCATCATTCGTTGCGATGTGTTTTGGATAATTTATCATGTACAATCTTTCAAAGATTTCATCATACCTTTTCTTTACCTTTCCTCTTTGAGATCAAACTCCTTCACGTTCTGGTCCTGGCTCCACTCACCTAACGCTATTGTACCGAAGAAGATCTCTATAGTAATAAACATTGTAAGCAGCCCAATACAGAATTGCAATTATGATAGCATGCGAACAAATCGGATCACCTTTCTTCCACCAAATGATTTGCTTACCCACTTTCAATTTGGATTGAGACAGGATAGTCTCTTGAAACGGATATTCTTCTATTTGACGTCCTTGGTGGGGAAGGCTGAAAGTCGTACAAGAGAAAAACGGCACAGCAGCAAAATTAACTGCGAAATACGGTAAATCGGCCACATTAAGATGTTCCTTCTGGGAGGTCTGTTTGATGTTCCAAAAACTGCTCAGAAACAGTGGAACAAGTAGGTAATGTTGGGGTGAACCAAAATATTGGATCTAAGAGTTGGCTACGTGAAAGTCCGGTAGTAAGGGGGAACACGGCAGAATGATGGACGAGTGACTGGATTCATACCAACAGTATCTCAAATTCATATAGTAATCTTCCCTTACTGTCCTCAGGAAACCAGAGCAAAGAACAAGAGAAAACTGGTTAGACCTTCTCGTCTTCCATCTCTACGCTCCCAAAGGCGGAGCCTATGTGCTCCTCCCAGGCAGAGAAGGGTGCTCAAGCAGAGTATCCTTTGGGTCAAGTTCGAATTGCTTCTCTCGCAAGTTTCCGTACAGGTAGGTGCCGCGAGATGGGTGGAGTTTCTCGATCCAATCTGAGACAAATGATGAGCTGTAAGCTGATCGCTCCTCGTCTTCACCGCGCTCCCCGTTATCATAACAGGCTTGCGGTGTCCGTGTAGTAGGCATACCTGGTCATAAGAAGTGTTGCCAGGTCACCCCCAAGATCAGCATGATGAAGGTGCAGCTTCGCGTATAGTTGCCGCCTGATGGAGGCCTTAAGTCCTTCGACTGCCCAATTACCATTTGAACAAAGAAGAGTATTACACCGCGAGCTAGGAGTGGGCTGTTGGGGATGAGCATCCCCACCTTGCACAGCGGAAACTAATGCACACGAAAAAAAGAGGAGAAGAAGAGGAAGGAGGATGGGCACACTTGGGTCTAACGTGGTTAGTAGAATGTTCCTTCATCTCCGATCGCACAGGTTCTCGTTCTTCGCCGAGGGAGAAATCTTCCTTACAACACAACGCACGGCACAGATAACACGTGGCGGCTTTCCCCACCTTATATAACAGTTTCAGGGAAAACGCATATGAACAAATGAGCTTAATACCCTCCATCTCCGATCGCACAATCACTCAGTATATATAGAGTTGGATCCTCGTATTCACCGAAAAGCCCACTAAACTATTTTCCATATCTCCGACACAACTATCAAATATAACATATAAGAAAATGATTGTTGGCGAAGAAAGGATAACATAAAGTTTCCGCAACATTAGAAGGGCCATGACACAAAATAGGTCACTGCACTTAACATCCATCACTAGGCAAGATGTGAAATTCATCAATCAGAAGAAGAAATGATGCCCGAATAAAAGGTGGTAGTATTCAGAGAATGGCGAAGGGTTCCTCTTGTAGAACAGGTGTTCCACTAAACCCGGATGTGAGCCTCTTCATCTTGTCTATGACGACCCGCTAGACCCGGATTTGACAGAGCAGAGATTTTCTAATATAAGCTTCGAAGCATGACATTCAAATAACCGGAAGTCATTAGTACGATAAAAAGTTTCAAAACATAAGAGTTTAAGTTATTCGGAATATAGAACTCTCAACGCGGCGCTATCATCTTCCCCTACGCGGCGGATCCCGGAGTCCTCCCATCTTTAGGGAGGTTAGCTGGTAAACCAAACGATAAACAAGAGCGAGGCTTCGCAGTTTCACCCTCAAGGCGCCACGGTGAATGAATCCCCTCCTTCAGAATCTGGAGGCACCACTTTGGAACCGAGGCCTCCAGAAGTATGAGCTTCCACCATAGAACTTAGCTCTTCAGAAGCAGGTGGCTCCACCTTGCAACGGAGATCTTCAGAACCAGGCGGTCCCACCTTAGAAACAAGCTCATCCGACGCAGGAGGATCCACCTTGGAAACATCTTTTTCCTTCCCCGTCAGAATCTCCTCGCCGCCAGTGGAATCCACTTCTCGACCAGCCGTCAAGAAGTCCCTCAAGATACGAAACACCGGCTTCAGCACGAAACGTTCCCACGCCACAATCGCCTCCTCTCCGCACTTACCGAACACCTCGGTGGCATCGATACGACGGATGTCCCACCCCGGGAGAGTCCTCAGTCGGGAAATCTTTTCCAGCTGCGAACCGACGAGCTTCTTCGTGTTGCCCTTGATAAGATCTATGGCTGTTTCAAGTAGAAGCGCCTGCAAGTCTGCGTCAGCCAGCGGCTCGAGTCGAAAGTATCCGACCATCTCCGGTACGCCGATGGCGCGCCGTATTCCTTTGCTGTATTTGTCGTCCTCCGCGCGGAAGATGCCACGGACTTCGTCGACCAGACCCACCTTGACCATCTTCTCCACGCGATCAGCCACAGACTGGTACAGCTCAGGGGAAGCCACGTCAATCCAGAGGTAGCAGATGTCGTAGGTCTCGCGGAACTCACCACCTGCACCATCCACAAGTTCCTCCAAAAACGAGTTAGATCCGCCTGCGACCACGGGAAGGCGCCCGCGGGCGACGATGGCCGCTACGACGGAAGAGGCCATTCGGCGGAACTCGGACGCAGTGCAGTCGTCCTCCGGGCGGAGAACACCGATGAGGTGATGGGGGATGCCAGCAGCCTCCTCCGGGGTGACCTTGTTCGTCAGGACAGGGAGGCCGTCGTGGAGTTGTATCTTGTCAGAATTAACCACCTCTCCGGAGAAGCGGGTTGCGATATCAATGGCGAGCTTGGACTTCCCGGTGCCGGTGGCACCCATGACGAAGACCACCTTGGGTCTGGGTGTTTGAACAGCCTTGTCCATGTCTGTGCCGACCTGGAAACGTTTGATATGCGCTTAATTTAGTGAGTATACTCCTGCTTTAATATTAATCACCATTACCTCCATCCTTAACTTCAGGGACAGTACTTAAATGAAAGATATTTCCAATAACTACATTTAGTGATTTCGTCCAGATCTTACGTCAGGAAATAATAATAATAATAATAATAATAATAATAATAATAATAATAATAATAACAATATGAAAAGTTATTTCCATTGAATCGATGTTACCTGTGATTAATTAAAAAATGGGCAAGATTTGGAAGTCTAGTCGTATCGTATGAGCATAATTCACAGTGTTCATGGATAATATGTGCTAGGGTTCAGAAACAAACGTGACTGTACCCTAAACACGGTTGAGATGTGTAATTATCAACCATATCTATACAACGATGTTGGTTTGTTGACACGAAAATGGATAATCGATAATCTTGGTTCAGAAAGAATCGCGCATGTTCACATCGGTATGTAGTTGAGACATAAAATTCGCACTCATATCTTTCGATCAACATCGGTATGTTCACATGCAAACGGACGTTCAATCATCTTCGTTGAGGAACAAAAGTGCATCCTACGTCCGACGGCGAACTAATAGGCATCAAGCTGCATTGAGAACTTTGATACGAATAGCGCCCCTAAAGGGAGGACACAGGCACCTGAATTGAACAAATGAAAATACACTCAATCTCATGCATGGAGCGATGCTGATGACATACATAAAAACCACGAGTGGAAGGCGGGATTCGGACGTCTCCAGACTTAAAACGATCGATCTAGGAGATGAAAGACTGGCTCCTGCTCTCTGATGCGTTTGCAAAGACATGCAGCGGATCTGGAAAAACATGCAGAGGAATCTGATGTATTTTATCGGAAAATACTGCCATATATGGTTAGTTTACCATTATTTGATGTCGTTTGAATATATAAACGACATGCATCGGAAAATCCGCACGAGAGTCTAACGATCGTTGAGGAAACTTCAAGAGTGTGTCCAGATCCTTTAGGATCTGGATATGGGAGAGCGAGAAAAAGGGGGGGGAGAAGGGAGAGAGATAGATAGAGAGCCATGTGCAAACATCTCTCAATTTCTCATTCCCGTCACAGTAATAACTTGTCTACTCGTAGATGATCAGTAGACAGCGTCCCTGAGGCAACGATGCAATAGAGAATAGTATAGGAACTGAATTTTCTGCAAGCAGAACATTACGAGACAAGGAGCGTTCGATAAAGCAGCCTTTTCCAGTGGGTTTACCTAGGATTTTCCTCTTCGGATAGGAAAGCAGAGGGACGGCGGAGGAACAGAGGACCTTCGACCAGAGAGAGTGGGGGGTGCACCAGGTGACGGCGACAGTGGATACTGAGCTGGGAGGGAGGTGGGTGCTACAGTGGAAGATTTATAGCAAGAGTAACGGCTTCTTTTTGTTTTACGCCTTAACGCTTCATCTAATGTTAAAAGTAATTTCAGATTCCCCATATAGTTTTGTAGACCCGATACGGTATTTACTGCGAGATTCGAGCTTCGGAGAGCAAGCGTCGCCGATGAGGATTTTTATTCTGTTTGTTTGCTTTTTTGCTCTAGTATACTAGTAGTCGTTCCATCCTATTAATTAGGCTAGTATGCAGATATACTCTTTTTATCAAATTCTTATATCCAGCAGCTGCTCAACTGATCCTCCCCACCCTCCGATCCCTTCGTGGAGACCGCCCACACGGGTAAAGCATAAAGGGACGGGAGGCAAGGTGTAACTCTTTGGGACTCTTCTGCAGGCTGGAGGCAAACGACTTGTCCCAAGATTAAAAAGGAAAATACGTTGATTTCAAAGGGAGGAGTCAAGGATAATGTGTGCATTAGATCTTTCAAAAGATTTTATGTGATATATTTCCAAAACAAGTTGCACTTGTTGAAGCTTAGAAGATATTAAAAGATTTGTCGAAGGTTTGAAGATATTTGTTGGGAATTTGAGTATAAGTCATCAAGCTCAAATATCAATCCTTTTAGCATGATCCAAAACCCTACCAACCATCTCATAAAATCCATGTCAACAATCATACACTCAAAAAAAATGTCATGAAATTATTCAAAAGGATCTTTTGTCGACAATTATACATCAATGCAGTCACTGAAAATAGAAGATTTTTAATGCCAATTGCATAAAGATCATCAATTGCACTTATTGAGGTTTAAAAGATATCAAAAGATTTGTCAAAGGTTTGAAGATACTTGTTGGGAATTTATGTATAATCCATAAAGCTTCTAGCACAATCATAAGCTCAACTGTCAATCCTTGGGGCATGATCCAAAAAGCAAATGATGAGCTCATAATATCCATCTCAACAATCATACACTCAAAACCAAATGTAATGAAATTATTCAAACGGATCTTTTGTCAACACTTACACGTCAACACAATCACTAACAGATAGATAAGATCTTTAATGTCAATTGCATAAATCATCATCATAGCCACATAAGCTATTGTGAGAGAACTTTTCTCAACATATGAATTGTCATCTATATATTGACCAAAAAAAATTATCTACCAACAGTTACACAATTATCATTAGTAAAGCTACCTTCAACTATTTCATTAACAAAGTTTCATCATAATTCAATAATTTTGTCATACACTTTTTAGTCAACTAGAACTAAATGATGATAAAATAAATAAATAACATATTTATTTATATTTTGAATAATAAAATATATATCATGTACAAATAATAATGTCTATCTTATGGTTTTAAATAAGTGAATATCAGTCAAGGTCACATTAAATAAGAGAATAGCCAAATATTGTTTATTTTAATTTACATTAGATATAAAACTTGATTTTTTACAAAGTTGAGATCACTGAGAAAGATCAAAAGAAACAGTTAGAGAAAATCTTAATGTGTATCATGAGTTGGAAAGAAGGAATATATATCTCTCCACCAAGCTAATTTATTATCTAAAAAAATATATATATACTCATAATCCTTATAGTAATTAAAAGAGATGAGCTTATGAGTAAAAAAATCATTTGTTGTTACATGAAGGGTATATTTTATTCACATGCACTTCACAAGGAATTTAAATGATACACATAGATTAAATAATATCATCTTTTTTTTCTAATCACTTTGATGAAGTAAAAGGGGAATACTATAACTTCATGACTAGGAATTTCTGTTTAATGAAAAAAGTAGCTACTTCCCTTAAATCAATCTTGAACATTTATGTTATTCCCCATAAATGATCTTCAAGCTTTCTCAATCCATTAGTTTCCAACTAGTCAACCACTTGCTACTAGATGGAGGAGAAAACACAAGGTGCTAGACATTTGTGACTGTGTTAGGATAGAGGTGTTAAGTTTAATGGTAACGCATGACAAAAAGTGGGGGAGGGTTGTTTTTGACCCTTATTTCTACCCTTGTAACTTTTCTTCTGTTTTATCCCATCTCTTGGAATACTTATATGGAGGATAATATATTTTAGTAGTACGACTAGACATGGTTTCATCATATGTTGTTATGGCTGTTGAGAAGATGCCTTTGGATTGTGATTGATGAAGACTCGAGGGAAGGAGTGTTTGAAATCCATGGGAAACAATATTTGTCCTTTGCTTTCCTTGTTGCTCAAGATCACTTGAATATGCAGCAACTCCTTCCATGTAGATGACGGAAGTGTCTATGTAGCTCTTCCTCCTCCTAAGCCCTTTTTCATGATGTTTTAGTCTAACATAGAGTTTTTCTTTTTCTTGTGTGTTTGTATACCTTTCTATCTCATGTATTCCTCTTTGCTGCACACTACCCCAAAACAAGAAACTTTATGCATATACACATAATTGCTTGATGGCCTGACAACAGCTATTTGTCGATTAGGAAGGTAAAATTGGAGGTTTTCTTTAAAACAATTGTTATATTGCCCCTCAATGGAGTTTAGCAAAGTGGGTCTTTGCCTGCTAATAAATGATCTAATATGGAGTGGATCCAATAGATAGTCTACAGCCTATGCCACCATATTACTTCCCAAGAGCATATCCACTATGGGTTTTTGATAACATGCTATTTATGCATGTAATTATATAATTATTAATGCAAATTAAGGCATTAATCATTACAAATATATGCATGTTATCATATTTTAAGTATATTTCTATCATTTTGTGTAAATTCATGTTATGATCTTAAAATACACCAAATTATGGATTATTATAAATAATTACACATTACAATCTTTAATACTAATTATATTTATGATCATAATCATGTTTTAAGAGTGAAAATATGAGAGAAAAGATATTTATTAACATTTATGTATTTATATAAATTTATTTTATATAATACATAAATGTATAAAATTAATTAAAATTTATTCTCTTCTTATTTTAATAATTTGACCTTTTATAATGGTAGATTATTAAATTTTGAATCCAAAAAAACAAATTTGAATTAATTTGGAGTCGTATTTTGAAAGTTATGATTTTTACAATTTTATAGAATTTTCTGGAATTTTTCTGAATTTATTTATATTTATTTTCGATTTTTAAATGTTTTAAATTAATTAAAAAATCGCAAAAAGGGGTTATATGTTGCGCATGTACACGTGGATGCGACATGGTACTCGGGGCCACGTGGCTCTACCACGTGGACAGCACGCGGGCGCCTGCGTGGCACTGATGTGACACGTGGCATATTTATATTTACTATATATATTTATTTAATAAAGTATATAGGTCTTCCGATTATCGGAAGACAAAGTATTAATCCCTCTTAATCGTCATATCTTATATACTTGAATATACTCCTTTGTTTTTCCCGTGTGGGACTAAAGTCCCTTAGTTTTCTTATGTGCAGGACGCGTGGTGTGATCTCGTGCGTCCGATCGACATCGCGACAAATAGCGTGCGTAGATCATGTGGAATCGAGGTCCACGCGATCAGAGATCAACCACGTGCCTAAATACTCACTTAAGTGAATAAATCGCGACCGTCTGATCGAGAGTTATAACGGTCCAGATTATTCACATCAGATGGACGTCTAATCACATCTTAACCGCACGATCACGATCGGACGATCGTCGAATCGTCGCGACGATTCGTGAAGAGGCGTCTCATCGCGATCGTCCATCGCGATCAACTCCATCAGATCGGACGGCCACGATCATTTCCGAATTTTATAAAATCCGTTCTTCGCGACGGAAGAACTGCCCGCGATCAATCTTCAAATTCTCTTTGTTTAGAGTCCAATTCGCGCGCCATCTTTTTCATTGTGTTCACAACTCATTTCCGCTTCTGTTGGATGTTTAATTTCAATGTTTGATTGAAATAATTGGAAGAAATCAAGTCTTGAACTCCTCTTTCGTCTTCGAAAATTCGAAATGAAAAGCCTTGCATCCGGTGATTAATTAGATCATTTCGAAGGCTAATTTGGGTTAGATTGTTTGTTTTCATATTAATATTTCATCATTTAGTGTTAATTTTACTTTAATTATTTTAGATTAAGTTTAATTTAGTTTTAATTTCTGTTTTTAATCATTTGGCGATACGAAAATTTCTCTTAACTTCAAACTTCGATTACTCTTCGAATTCTCATCCAAATCACCTGATTTTTTATTCCGTGGATTCGAAATTGAGTTATCTTTCTTAATATACTAAATTACCCAATTTCTAACCTAATTTCATCGTCGGATTTGACCGAATTTCAAAGATATCTCTCAAATTTCCCTAATTCTCCGTGGATTCGACCCTTAATTACCATTATACTAATTAATTACTTTGATTAATCATAAATTGGTAAGATTAGGACTTTGTTTTGACACTGAATCGTGTGCATTCAATGACCATACGATTTAGTCTCGTCAGTTTTCTTCTTATTGAAATAATGTAATCTAGGTTGTAATAAAAATTTTATTGTAATTTCTACAGCATCAAATGCACTCTCGATAGTTTTTTTCAATGATGAAATCTTCTATGCAAGTGTTATGATCATCATCTAAGTGATAAGGATCTTGAGGCAATCAAGAGGCAACTGAGGTTGGGAGTTGGAGAGTGTACATATAAGAGACATTGTGGGAGGAGGTGAGAAGGTAATAAAGTGTGCATCTTGATTGTGAGTGTGGTGGCTATTGGGAGGAGATTTCAGCCTTGTGGAGAAGAAAATGAGGGTATAACTTGATTAGTAGAGGGAGGAAGGTAATATGCACTTCTTTTGAGGCTCTATTTCTCCCTAGAGGCATATTGTTAATGGTTCTTAAAATAAGAGCAGATGTAGCTTGATCTCAAAGAGAAAGTCAAGGAAAAGGCATGATAAGTTCTTTTTTATATATAAAAATAATTATCAAAACTTTTCCAATGTTAAAAGATGTTTGTAGAAGTATGGAATCCAAAAATAAAGATCCTTATAAAGAGTTAAGAGGTCATCAAAAAAACTCATTACAAGCTTAAAATATATTATTCATACTAATGTAGTCACCAATAGATGTACCAAGACTTGGAAATAAAATAGCATTCCTAACTTGTTATATGGACATCAGCATTGATATTAATAAGTACTTAAGAAATTTTATCAAAAATCTTTATTCAATTTTTTCCTTTATACCAAAGTTATTGAGGAATGTCCTTTGTTAGTAGATGCATGTTTTTTACACTAGTGAAATGAAATCCTTATTTGACAATTGAAATCACCAACCACATTACTATTACATATATTAATGAAAAGTTTCATTGTACATTGTAATGACAGCATACATGCCTTTGGTGTGAAACATAAGACAAAATGTTGAACATTTTATTTTAAATATCATTGTAATTATATTATTATAATTAAATTAGTCATATGTGCACATTAACCTTTTGCTTGTAAAGGTGTTAATGGGTTTAGTCAGAACAACTTTTGTTTAACCTGTCCCAAGCATAGATATCTAATCAAAATTCTGAACTTGACTGGGACCTAGAAATAGGCTCAAATAAAAAGAGGTGGACTAATCCAATGTGCAATGTAGGCTCAGTCAACTAAACCAATGGCCCATCAAAAAGCAAACTTAGAGGAAGAGCAATTTTTTATTTAATGCCCAAAAGCCCAAGTCAAAAACTCTTCCCATTTGGCCCTTATATCACAATATGACATGAGAGCTAGGGGTTTGCCTTAGTGTTTGCATGTGAACCACCTTCAGCCACAAATGGCTCCACAGATTCACCTCCTTTTGGGGAAACCACCTTCAAGTGCTGACTCCCACATTCCAATTATTTCATACTGTACTCCTTCCTAGAGTCTGTTTGGCTGAACTCATGTATTAGTTGGAGGTTGGGGTTTTCCACTAACCAAATAAATCACCAGTGAACACCGAAAATGACCCGTGAACTAAAAAGTATCAACTTTCAAGGCATAAGTGTCTTGCTTGTGAGCAAATAAAGGTTGAGAGATATAATGCTTTAAGTTTGTAATCAGGGTTGACTCTTTTATTTCAGCATCAGTGATATAGCACAAAACTGTTGACACAATTCTGTAGTGGCAATTTTAAAAACAATTAGCAAGTAAAAGAACCAAAAAACCAACCATTTTGAGGAAATCTCAACAAGTAGACTTTTGATAGTTGAGGCTTAAAAGAACAGGAAAAAAAAGATATTTTCCAAAGCTTCCACAAATTCGAATTTTGAACCCCTAAAAGACACGTACGTGAGCTCTAAAAGAGATCCAAGTTTTACATCCAATTGGGTTGCACCTCCAAATATATCAATCAAAATTGCACCAAACGTGCTCCAAGCTGGCATAACTATTTCATTTTCATTTCACGTTACAAACCAAGGTTTGAGAGGGCTAATCTATAATAGATTTGGGAGAAACCCATTGGAAAATGATAAATAAGAAGATTTGGGTATAGAGTAGGGATGGGATTTGGTTGAACCACCATTAAACTTCGTCCTGCTGTGGTTTGCGAAACGTTTACATCTCTGTCTGTCCGATGACTTATGTCGCTGACACTGCGGAATCAAGGACCTCGGGCGTGTCTTCGGGGTGTAAGGTTGACTTCCATGGGATGAGCTGTTGCGTAGGAAAGGACCCCTCGGATTCCGTTCAATGGGGGTGATGGGAGGAGGGAGGGTGCAGTTCTTCTCCCCCTCGCGAGGGTTCCATGACAGACGACGTAGAAGTGGGGTCACAGTTAACTGGGTGGGACTCATCCAGCCCAGGTCCTTCCTTCCTCATGGAACCGCAAGGGTGGGTGTATTAGTGGACGCCGATGGGCAGAAATGGACCGCAAGGGAATTCTCCGGCCTCTCATCGTATGACGTCATAAATCCATTAAAATGGGTGGAGAAAATCCGGGAAAGGAAGGAGTTTCGTATACGTGACAGCGGTTTAAATATTTAAACCGGAGGCGACCGAGCCCGCGGAGGGGGACCGGCCGTGTGCGGCTTTCCAGAGAGGACTCGGAGACGTGTTCCACCCGCTTGTTTGGAGATGGGCGCCCTTCGTCCTTACCGGCAACGGGCGGCGGACGTCCTGATCTTCCAGGGTTTTCTTGTTCGGGGGAACAATGTTCGAATCTCTGTGGAAAAGAAAACACGAGGCGGGAGGAGAATTTCCCTCTTCGACTGTACAACTACTACTGATCGTCGCAAGGGGCGCGATCATCCTACGCGGAAGAAGATGCACAAAATTACATCAAAAAAATTCATGTGACGAGCTGAAAAAGAATCCAATCTGGTCCTTCAGAGGGCGGCGCCGGCGGCGAGGGAGAGGTGGAGGTCGTAGGGCTTCCAGACGAGGTCCACGGGGCAGGGACTGCCGGCGTCCAGCCGATCCCAGGGCTTCCCCTTCCCGCTCCAGTGCATCAGGCTGACGGGGCCCGGGTGCAGCGGCCGGCAGTTTCCTCTCGCGTTGTCGCCGCCAAGGCCGTGCTGATTCCACCGGTGGTCCACCCCGTGGACGTCGCCGGCGAACACGAGCAGAAACGGCGGCAACGAACCCAGCTCGTAGATCCGCGGCGCCCCCTTCCTCTGGACCACCATCCACTGCCGAATCCTCTCGTCGTAGTCCCCGGCCCTCCACTTGGCCAGGTCCATCACCATCACTCCCGTGTTGAAGTAGCAGGGGTGGGGGTTCCGCCGTGCCTCGAAGGTCCGCCTGTACACGGGATCCCTCCAGAAGCTCTCTGTGAAGTAACTGGTGAAGTTGGCGTGGCAGTACTCGGGCGCCGCGATCACCGCGTCGGAGCCGCTTGTCTGGTCCCAGAGCTTCTTGATGTCGTCGACCACGATGAGGTCGGAATCGAGATAGATCACCCGGTCGACGCAAGGGTCGAGGAGATGGGCGATGTGGCTGCGGGCGTAGTTGAGAGGCCTGTCCAGAGCGTCGCGGACGGATGGGGATATGAGCCTGGCGATGTCCCCCTCCTGCCGGAAGCCGTAGATCTTGAACTGGAGAGATGGGAATGAGGCGAGCAGGAGGCGGCGAAGGTCTTCTTGGACGATGCCGTTCCCGACGGCCGCGACGAAATGGAAATAAAAGTTTTCAGGGCACGAGCCGTGCTTCAGGACGGAGTGCACGGCGGCCATGGTGCCCCGAATGTAGGCCAGGTCGAGAGTCATGGCGATGTGCACCAGAGAGGGGTCGTACGAGGCAGCCGTGCCCCCCTCTGTCCGCTGCGGGAGGGGTGGGCACTCGTCGCCATTCCGGTACTGAGGCGCCTCGGCAAATCGAGGCAGAAGAATATCATCTCCCCGGCAAGATAATGTGCGGATCGCCGCACAAGGCCGAAACGTACAGGCGAAGAGACAGAGGAAGAGCACGAGGCCGGAGACGCAAGTAGAAGAAGACATGGAGACAACGGTGGCGGTATCCTCGTCGATCTTCTCGCAGTGCCGCTGCGCCCCAATTCCAGGCTGGTTGGTGTTTCTTGATCCTTCCCCGCCCCCCTCCCTCGGCTAGCGCCCTTAGAACGGGAGCAAGCTTGGGGAAGAGAAGAATTGACCGGGTGATGGGGGAAGAAAGCACCAGGAAGAGAAGGCTAAGCTGACGGAGGAGACAACGCGGAGGCGGCGAAAACCGAATACGCGCTATGGCCTCTCTCTCTCCCCCTGTACATGGACGAATAAGAGTGGGACAGCTGGCAAATCGTTGACTAAATGGCGCGTGGAAGGAAACTGGTGATGTCCCAACGAATTCCACGTGCGAAGCCAGGGGAACGGAGGATCCGGATATCCCCTCGGTGCACTTAATGGGCTTGATCCGGTACCGGCAGTTGCGAAGGGAATCCGCTATTCTTTATAAATAAAAGATCTCAGCGAGGCCGCAACTGCGTTCGTAATGGCATCGTGGCCTCGTGGTCATGGGAAAGTCCTAAACTACCCCCATTTTAGAGAGCGTCAGCGTGCGGGATTTTTTCAACGATTACGTCATTGACTAGGAATATCCTGAGAAACTACATATTCTCTAAAATTCTAGAGGTGTGATTCATTGCGGGCTGGTTAACAATATAATATATACATGAGGTAAATACGTAAATTGTACGTGGAGCAAATATATTTCAACAAAGGGGTTATTACGTAATTAACCTACATAAGGGTTATCTGAGTTTGAAAGGGAGAGAGGAAGTCTTCGTCGTTTGCAGCCGTGTGACGGTGCGAGGTGAATAGAGGAGGGTTGCGGTTTCCCAGATCCGATGGAGGAAGAGAAGGCCGTTGCCTACTACGACGAGCTCACTCGGAAGGGCGGCGGTGCCGCGAGGTTCAAGCAGGGCCTTGGATTCTCCTCGTCCTCCTCTGCGGGGGATACCAAACCACTGCCCCATAGCCCCGCCCCCGCCGCATCATTGTTCGGCAACTTCATTCGCGCCTCGAGTCCCGGTGTAGCCGCCGAGATCCAGAAACAGGCGCGGCTCGAGTGCATCCAGAACAAGCTCAAGAAGAAGCCGGCGGCCCCGCAGCCCTCTTCTTTCGGTGGTGACAACGACGCGGCGAGGAGTCATCGGACAAGAGGCCGGACCGGTAGGAGTAGAAGTAGGAGTAGGAGCAGAGAGAGGGACGGATCCTCAACGGGTCGTCACTCACATGGAAGGAGAAGGGTTGAGGATGATGAAGGAAGTTATAGGCCTCGGCGCCGGAGAAGCCGTTCCCGAAGCGGTTCTGAGGAAAGGGGAAGTAGCCAGCGAAGCAGACGTGGGTACGAACGCGTGGATGCTTCTTCTAAGAGAGCCAAGGGGAGGGGGAGCCCACCGCCATTGGCCATCTCTTCTCGATGGTCGGATAGGAGTCACAGGTACTCGCACGGTGAGAGGAAGGATAGGCCTGAGCCTGATGACAGCTCGAAGAACAGGAATGCAAGAACTTATTATTCTCAACTCATTGATGATTACTCTCAGATGGTTGGTCCTTTTTTTATGAATTAATGTGCAAATCCCTGCTGTTGTTTGAATGAAATGTATCATCCCATTATTGATGATCACCGATTAAACATTTTTTCTTGATCTTCTTGAAACCACGTTGGAATGTGCATTCTTATTAGGAAATGGGAAATTATTGAAATAATACCATTGAAATAATCGTATAGTGCGTCATGCAGAAATCATATCATAAACTCAAAACGTATTTGCCCCTCATGTACTGCCAACTTGACAAAAATACTGGCAGCCGGCGACTGGGAATAAGAAACTACGCATATGATACCTAAATTATTCCTCTCTTTATTATGGTTGATCGGTTGACTATGACTGGAGGTTATCTACAGTGTATGCAGTATATATCAAGCCAGTTTACTGACTTATAAATAGCTGAGATAGCTCTCCAGGATTGGCATCTTCATCATTTGACAGAGCTGGTCAAATGATGTTAATTTAAGTCTAATGGATACATTGTGGTTAAAGTTGACTAGAGGCATCCCACTTCAACATACGGACAAGACACTATTCTGCAATTCGAACATGATTAGAATTTTCCTGTTATGAAGTTTTTCAATCTAAATTACTCAAGCTGGTTTCCCGATCGTCAACCATGCCTGAACCTGGACGTCATCCTGTTTGAAACAGCCCTGTGAAGTGCAACTTAGACATAGCAGTTCACAGAAAGAGTTATGGTTTGGTCAGTTCCAGTTTCATATAGAAAAGGATAGGACATCCTGGAAGATTCGGACCAAAAAAAAAAAGTGTTCAATTAATCTGTCTTTTATTAAATATTTATAATTTTTATTTTCCCTTCCCCCTAAAAACATATTTTCGCTTCCTCGTCTCATAAGGATGGCGAAATTATAAATTATCAACTTTATTCATCCCCATAGATCAAGTATTGTTTTAACACTAGTTCTGTCTTAGAAAAACTTTCCTGAAAGAATGGAAAAATCAATGCGCCCATTTTTCTAATCAATTTCCAAGGTTTTTTTTACATTTTACCTATATTTATTTGATTGATCTGGAATCATCCTTTCTTGACCGGCTAATGAGATTGACTGCATGAGAACTAGGTTTGTGATTTGCGATTCAGTCACCTGATCCAATTTGACATTCAATGGGCTTGTGATGCTTGTCTGTGTGTGGTAGACTGCCCTGATGATATTCACCTTGAATTCTTGAATTCCTTTTTTTATTGATGCCTCACTGAATTGTGTGTAATACGAAGTTGAATCCCTTATATATAGTTTTTTGTGATACTAAAGTTAGCATATCTATTACTGGTTCTTTTACACATTTTATCTATCTGAAAAAAGCACTCCCCCACTGGTTTTGATGAAATTCGGATGATGTGAAATTGACCATTAATGATTTTAATGAACATATTATGTACTCGAACACCTTTGAAAATTCTTTCTTCCGTCCCAGATTTATCACAATTGCCTAAATCCTCAGATAGGAAAAAGGAGACTTGCCAGAAAATTATATCCCCCAAAAAGAAAAATTAAAATGATTGTTGTGAAGGATTGTACTAAGCAAAATTAAAAGCTTTGGAGAATCTCAAGATGTCTAAATGCCTCACAATGTTGAGATGTACACGTATTCCTGCTCCTCCAGACGCCTCTACATGGCTGGATGAGAATGCAGGCCATTATCTGTTTAATCATCCTTCGCCTATTCTCCTCAGAATCAGTTTTTCATGGATAAGGTATTAAATTGTTGTCTCTCCTCCTCAACCCATGCATGCCCCAGAGTGTTCACCTTGCATAACATTTGAAACTTGGAAACAATGAACTCAAGGCCAGATGAGGCGAATTCCATGTATGGCTCATGAATGTAGTCTATCCTACATTTGTTTCTAGTTGGTGGGAATTAAACCTACTGCCTTACCTTGAGTCTCCCATTTGTCAACTCCCCTAACTGATCCTTGCAATGCTAAACATGAATAGCACTCAGAGTACTACTTTATGAAGAAATGCTTCCTAACACTTCTGGATTTTATAGTGAAGGATTACCAAGTGCTCTCTCATCTCAATGCAAAACTCAAGTTAAGCCCTTCTTGGTAGCTTACCTTTAGCTTTAATCTCAATCTATCTACTGTTTGAATACATTCTTTAACGTACCTGAAGCTACTAAACTCTCTTACCTGAAGCTGAATGAATACACTCTGTTGTGTGTAGTTCATAACATCATGTCCGCCCTAATGGTAGACCCCTACACATTTTTTTTCAAGTCATCTTTGTCTATCGCGTCACATCTGAATTTCTGGAACTTTGCTATCTTAATAATCTTAATTAAGCATAATTAATGATCATAACTACTATCGTTTGCCAAAATTCCATGAAAATGAAGGTAACTTTTTGAAAAGTACCCCGCTAGTGCCTTGAACAAATCTTGTTCATGTCCTTCTGGAGATTCACAAAGCACGAGTTGCTTTGATTTTAATACCATGTTTTATTGTGCATATTTCAGAACCGATGCAATGTATGAACTTCCATCTGCCATTTCCATTATAGTCCTTGTGATATGTTGAATTTCCTCTAGTTCATTTGTTTCTTGAAGAACAATAGATCTTCTCGTGGAAGAAAAAAGGGCTTTTATTCACCACATATGAGGAAAAAGAATTCAAGAAGACTCTTTACATTGAGACAGGGGTCTGTTATTTATAACAGATCCATGGGAGAAGGTTCTAGACATAGAGCCTTACACCCCAAGACATACAGGTGATGTTCACATGCTTCTTTAAGTGAAGCACGTGATACACCTCACCCAACTGCTAATGCAGTATTTACATTATATTTCAACATAATATCTAATGGTTAAAACCCACCTGTGATAGATGATCCTTGTGATAGATGATCCCTCAGCCATTTCCATTATAGTCCTTGTGATAGATGATCCCTCAGCCTACAACCCAGCTGACCTGCTTAAAATCTGTCTAATGGTTTCACAGCTCTATGGCAAAAATAAATATCTAAAAAACTGTTGAAAAATTATGTTTGTTATTCCCTACAGTCAACTTCATCAATCTAGGATTCAATTTTTGTGATTTTAATCAAATTTATACTCAAGAAGATTATTAGCCTATATGCATGTATACATACTTGCATTCATATATGCACACAAAAACTGAACGACTAAACCAATCTTAAGCATCTCAAATAAACGATGATTATTCCTAAATAACTTGGCCCTTTCATAAGCCTCGGTTATATGATATTCCATATCTGTAGAATATCACCTCACTCCTAAAAATGAATGGATGGTGTGCATGACAAGAAAAAGGCCATTAAAGAGCATTGCAGTTTGAGTTTTTCTTTTGAAATCTATAACAACTGGATATTATTGTGTAGAAGCAAAATAAGTTTAAGATTTTGTTTATGAAAAGATGATGAAGAAATATCTTCTATAATTCCTTGACTGGAAATTAGGGAAAAAACTAACCATCATTGACATTTGAGGGAGATGGGGTTTGGGGGAGGGGGGGGAGGGGGGTTTGGTTCATATTCGGATGGATTCTGCATTTATCATGGTACTCTTTTTGGTTTTTTCGTTTGCTTCGTCAGGCATGTTTAAGAACATTGAAATGACTTAGGATGCATTTGGCTCGCCAAATTCAATCATGGTGGTTGCAGGCTAGATTTTTTTCCTCCATCACTGCCTGTGAACACCATGCTACACAATTTTTGGATGACCTTCTCTCCCTTTCTTTCTTAACAGACACCAGCTGAGAGAGTTAAAGCGAAAATGAAGCTTCAGCTTTCACAAACTGGTACAGAAATGTATCTATGGTCTTACTGTTTCTTCTGCTCTTCATCGAGCTTCTTCTAAAGTCTCAGCATTGTTATCGTCATGTCTTCTATCACTGCTTTTTCTTGTTTCACTGGTGAAACTGTTGCAACCTGAAAATTCGGCAGAGTTTAAACAATCCTTCGCAGGAGATCGCAACAATTCAGTTACTTTTCTGTGAAACCTATCATCAAATTTTCTTGACTTCATATACTGGGGAGCTAAGTTCCTGCCTCCAAAAATCTTTTACATTTCCCCCTGGAAAAGTTCCGTCTTATTTTTCCTCGTGCGTACAGAAAGATGTCTTTGTCCGATTTCCTTGCTCGAATGCTTCAAACTATCATCATTTTTTCAAGATGATCCAGTCATCTGATTTATGGTAAAAATTCTAAGAAACCTGCATTTCACCTCCGTCTGATTGTTGGCGTAAGGATAAAAACTCTCCCTCCCTTGCATCTATTCTCCTTATAATACTCTTTCCCTTATGTAGACGCCGTTTGAAGTGGATATTCATATTAATAGCCGAACAGTACCATAAACCACAAATAATTCTTGGGAAGATTAATGAAATAGGCTCTGCTGAAGAATTCAAATGAAAGCAAGAAACCCCAGTAAATTTTTGTGATCAAGACTTTACATTGATAATGAAAAACATTTTGGACAAATTTCGTGAAACTTTATGGAAACTTCTCCTTAACAGTACTCGCGTCCATTAGTAGGGATTCTAGAGTATGAAGAGAAAAACCGAAAAAGAATTGATGTACTCAGACATTAAAGAAAAATAAAAAAATCAGGCATTTTGAATAGAGATCTGGACAACTATCGAGTTCATGTTGCATGAATCAATTCGTTGGAGCTCAGAGGATGATTTATCAATGTACTAATAATTTTCTTTGATTATTTTGTGCAGCTGCAAAGGACATGGCTAATGGCGTCACTACAGGATGGGAACGCTTTGATTTTGACAAGGAAGCTCCACTTGATGACGAAGAGATAGAAGGTCAAACCCATCGTACGTAGTACATTTTCCTATCTTCTGGCCGAAGTTTTCTTCTATTTATCAACCATTTTTCATCGAAAAAATGTGAAATAATTATATTTCAAGCTACAAAATATCACCAACGAGTGGTGACAGTGTGGTGGTATGGTATTTCTGTCCTCATCTTATATATTCTTGAGTCCCAAGTCACATTCCCCAAAGTTTTTTGACATACTCCGTACATAATAGGACTAGTTGATCTTACTATCCTGTTAAATTCAGTGGCAGAAGATGACGAATCACTGGTCAAGGATATAGGCCGAAGCTTCAGGCTCACTGCAGTGGAGGTATATATATATATGCTGGAAATATCAGCTCGTCTTTCAGCAACATGAGCAATCTGTGCTCCATTCCTGGCATTAGAACATCTCACACCATTCAAAATTCAACAGTCAAGACGTGAGGAAGAGGTCAAAGCTGCACATGATCAGGCCATGTTTGGAACATCATCAGTTCTGCTGGAAATTCCGGAAAAGGAGGAAAGCACGGTGGTGGTGACTGAGGAGAAAGAGGAGAGAACTCAAGTCAATGACGAATCACTCATAAGCGAAAAGGTACTGATTTCCAAACATCTTAGGCATCTCTTGGCTCAAATATCTGACTGTATGGATGGAAGAGATAGAGGTCTCCCCCCGTCACCCCTCCCTCCCATCAATGTTGACCCAGCCATTTTTGCAGGCCCTTGCCACTCAAGGTTCCTGGCGAGATAGGATCCGTAGATCTCAGCACAGCACAGGAAGCTGAAATGGGCGGTAATAGCCTCAACCATCCCATCCAAGTCAAGGAGGAGGTTGGCTGGTCTGCTTCTGCTTCTGCTTCTACTTCTGCTTCTGCAGAGGTAGTCCGATGGAGATGGGTTTTTTATGGCAATGTGTCTGAGTTGGAGAAGCAGAGAGAATTCATCGGTGGTTCTGCCATGGAAAGGAATCGGGTGGGAAGTCAGTTGCTTGTCAACACCATTGAAACAATCTCCGTAATCTGTTGTTGATAATAATTTTTTCTTTTCTTTGGGTCACTATCATACGTATATACATACATATATACATATATGCATGCATGCATACAGCCCATAAGTAGCTTGCTGATAAGAGAGAAAATCTTATAATTGATATCTTGAAAAAGAAAAGTATATGAGATTATATAAAAGAAAGAAGAAAGAAAGAGAGAAAGAGAAGTAAAGATAGTGGAGGAAGAATAAGGACGTGGAAAGAATAAGTTTAACATGGGCTTGATGAGTCTAGTGGGCTTATTTTAACATTCTCTTTTAAGTTGAAACATACAAGTTAAATATGTCTATCTTTGGTGCAAGTCATGTTGTAAGAGATTTTTATAAGACTTTTGGTGAAAATGTCTGAGTTGATGAGATGAGACAATGTGCAGAGTTAAGATAACACTTAACATTACTTTATTTATGATATAATGGTAATTAATCTTGATATATTTTACCCACTCATTTCAGCAATGAAGATGGCAGCCTAATTGCTAAGTCTTCAAAAAGTGAACTTAGTTATATCATATCTCATGTCATTTTAATCATGGTATGATATTCGAATTGAGCACTAGAGCAAGATATCACTTTTTACTTTTTGGAGTATCATGTGACAAGGTTGTCACCCATATATGTGTAATAAGTAATGGTGGACTTCTTTTTTGTCACTAGTATATTCTATATCTAAATAAGCTTCAATTCGAAGATGCTCATGTCTTCAATAGATAAGACTTTTTTTTAGCGCTCTTTTGATGTATGTTAGAACTTGTAAAGCTCCCTCTTAATGAACTTGTCAAAGTTCTTGCATGAATTGACTAAGGATATTAACTGTATACATGATGTCGAGGCGAGTGATGGTGAGATAGATCATCTTCTCTAATAACTATTTGTACCGACTAACATCTTCTAAGAGTAGAGATGACATATCCTAGAAGTGCAGACTTGCCTCCATAGGTGACAACTCCAGCTTGTACCTAAGTATTCTAATCTTTTAAAATATATCAAGAGCATACTTTGACTAAGAGAGAGAGAGAGAGAGAGAGAGAGAGAGAGAGAGAGCTTGTTATCTTGATAGCCAAACTCAATCCTAATAAAGTATCATGGAACCCCAAATCTCATATATTGAAGTGTTGTTATAGGTATGATTTGGTAGTTTAAATATGTACTTCCTCACTTTTTGTCACAAAAATGTTATCCACATAAATAACTAAGATGATAATAACAACTTCAACAATTTTTGTAAATATTGTGGGATCCACAAGATATGGTGAGAATCCGAATTGTGCTAGAAGACCACTAAACTTGACGAACTTGACGAATTAGACACGTGGACTTTACTTTAAGTCCATAAATCACGTTACAAAAGACACTTTCGATGATTCTCCCTAAGCAACATATCTAGGAAGTTATTCTATAAATAGATGTTCTTCAAGGTCATCATAGAGAAAGACATTAAAAACATTCAACTAATATAAAAATCATGTTTGATTCACCACTAGAGAGAGTATCACTTGAATAGAGTTGAGTCAAACCACCAGAGAAAATGTCTCAATATAGTCAATGTCATAGGACTGTATGAATCTACAAGTAATTAAGTGAGCCTTGTGATGTGTAATAGATCTATTTGAGTTATACTTGAGTGTAAAAATCTACTAGCACGTAACGATATTGGCATCGTATGGATGAGATACAAGTGTTCAAATTCCTTAAGACACTAAGGCATCCACCTCCAAGTCCATGGTCGTCTTCCATTCACATATTAGTGCAGCCTCAACATACGATTGTGAAATTGACTTAGAGGCCACGAAAAGAACGAAGGGACAAAAAGAAGGAGAAAGGCAATCATAAGAAACAAAGTGAGAAATGAGGTGTTTGGTGCATACACGTATACCTTTGCAAAGAGCAATAAAAAGACGAAGGTCATCCACTTAAGTGTCAAAAGAAATGACTAGAAGAGGCTCATGGTCAGAGGGTGAAGATGAATTTGATCTCAAAGTAAAAGAGTCAAATGGCGACGAAGCTGAAGGTATTGAAGGAGGAGCTAATAAAGGAGAAATTAAACAAGTAGAAAGAGTAGGCGAGGGATCTGTAATAATCACCACTAGAAGAAAACTAGGTGATGAAGATGCAATGGATTAAGGAAGAGTCAATGTTGGAGAAAAGAAGAGAGACTCTTCACAAAAAATAACATCAGTTGATGTCACATAACGATAAGTATCAAGAAAATAGACCTAACAACTTTTTTGTGTCTGTGAGTAATTAATAAAGACCCTTCTGAGAGCACAAGAGGCTAGTTTAGAATGAAAAAGATAATAATTTTGGACAAAAGTAGTGCATCTAAAGACACAAGGGGGTAAAAAAAAAAAGAAAAGAATCAAGTGAAAGATGATGAAGTGGAATGACTCCACCAAGTGGAGTGGAAGGAAGCTAATTCTAGAGATATGTAGTTGTCAGAAAAGCATCAAATCACAAATAATGAGAAACATTCATCTCAATGAGTAGTGTGCATGTATTGTCAAATAGTTTACAATATTTTCATTCGGTAACACTTTTTGTTAGGATGTGTGTGGACACACGATCTTATACAAAATATCACGATCAGTACAAAATATTATCAGTGCGAAGAGCTTTGGTAATGAAGTGAACAACTATGATGTGAACTTGGGTATAATCTTCTTATAAGAGATAAACTTGATTCACTTGAGTGTAGTCATTAACAAAGACAATATATTAACAGTGGTCCAAGACATATAGAGTACAAGTAAGGTCTCAAACATCATAATGAATGAGGTCAAAAGATATTATAGATGAAATTTTATCTCAACTCGAGCATGAACCACAATAGTATTTACTTAATTGATATAATTCATGCAAAAACTTATTAAAAGAAATTCAAGATAAGATTTTAAAAAAATAAAATAAAACATGGATGTCTTAAACAATGATGTCGCAAAAGAGATGAAGTGGCCATAGAAGAAATAAAAAGAGTCTAAAGTCCAAAAGAAAATTCATCAAAAATTAGCTGTAGATACCTCATCTATTTTCACACCCCAAATTAGTACTCCTCCTTATATATAGGTCATGTAAAGTATAATGAAAAAAAAAAATAATGGAACAAAAAATAACTTGAGAAATGGCACTGATAGATAAAAGGTTAACAAGAAATTCAAGAACATAGAGAACTTAGGTAAGAGGAATACTTAGGTAAATATTGTCATATCTGTTGACCGAAGAAATTCGGTCATTGATAATGATAACTAGTGGATGATGAGAGGTAGGTTGGTACGATGATAAAATGGTAGGTTTGTCAATCATGTGAGTGGAGGCCCTCGAATCAGTAATCTATGGTGAAAATGAAGATGCAAGGAGAGTGTGTGCACTTGATGTGGAAAGATTCAAAAGCAAGGTCAAATTAGTCGTGGAATGAACCATAATACCACTGAAGTGACATAGTGCTTCATATTCAACAGAGGTCGATATCACCTAAAAAGTCAGAGATGAGATATTAGATGATGCCAAAGAAGTTGGTGAAAGAGGCAAGAGAGTTGGTTGGACATAGTTGGGCTTCCTAAACTATTTTCAATATTTGTTGGACAGATGGTTCTACTTACCACAGCAGATGCATGAAGGAAAAGAATTTTGGCCCTTCCCTCGTGACGGACAACCACTATCTGATCTCAAAGTAGGAGGGTAATGTGATGCTTGAAAAGTAAAGACAGTCATCGCCGAAGGAATAAATGTGTCATTGGCAATGGCATGAAGAGTGCATGTAGTCTCACAAAGTACAACGGAGAAAATGTGAGAGATATTAAGTACCCAGTCTCTAGAGAGGATTGTCCCACAAATTTGAGAGGTAATCGAATGGTGAAGTCTACTCAAATGTCTAAACGTCACCCTGCTAAAGGTCAAATGTCCAACAAAAAACTACTGATATTAGCATTCAAATGTCTAGAGGTTAGTGGTCAAAGGCTAATAGATAGTAAGGTTCTGTATCATAGCCTAGAGATAATCAAAATGAGTTTGAAGTGAGAAGTCACCTTACTTGCAGGTAAAAAGTAACTTGAAGATCTCAACCATGAAATTGATATTCATATGATAGGTGTACGTATTATTCAATGTCATCTAGAGTTGTTGCGTACGGTGAATACGGGTGAAAGGCTCAACAAGATTTGGCTTAATCCTCTGAAACATCCAAGTAAGGATAGTTAAATCGAACTGAGACTATGAAATAAAAGATTGATCAATGAGGCTGGGCAAATGAGTCGACAAGTGATAGAGAAGGGTGTGTGATGTCAAAAAGTGCTCGAATCTAAGAGCCCACAATACATAATTATGTCAATTAAAGACATATGTCAGTTGAGTGAGTTGCACTGTGATGGAGTGCCATAGAGTAGCCAACCCAATCGGAAAAAGAGTAATAGTCGATTTAATAATTGACTGAGGAAGCACTTGAGACATTAGGATTCACCCACTAGATCCATAGATTAAGATTAATGAGAGATGAAATGACGCTCGAAGTGGACATCTCTGGAGCCGAGTGTGGTGTTAGAGGTGGTACACAAGGCACCGAAGGTGACACGTGGGGTGCCGAGAGGCAGCGCACAAGACACCATGAGGTGGTGCGGGTGACACGGGGAGGTGATGTAGGCGGCTCTAGGAGGTGGTGTGTGTTGCACTTGCAGTTGGTGCACAAGGCACTAGTAGGAGATGGTGCCGTCAAGCATGCTGTGGGGGGCATGTAGAATGGCATTGGGCAAGCACTGAATGGGCACACAAGTGTGTTGGCAAAAGGTGCAGTAGACGTGTAGGGCTATGCAGACCAAGCATCGAGTAGGTCCACAAGGTAATGCTATAGGAAATTATGCTAAGAGATGATAGGTGATGCTGAGATAGGAAAAGAGGCGGAGCGACGGCAGCAAATAAATCTTAAGGCTCTGATACCATGTTGACAAGAGGAAGAGAAAATCTTAAAATTGATATCTTAAAGGAGAAGAGTACATGAGGTTATATAGAAGGGAAGAAAGCGAGAGAAGTGGAGAATGGAGTAAGAATAAAGACATGGAGAGAGTAAGTCTAACATGAGCCTGGTGGGCCCAATGGGCCTAATTTAATATCTCCTACGGACAGAAGCAGCTCCCTTGCCAATTGGGTTCCAGCTAAAGACAAATGTATATTTAAAACATTATAATTAACTATAAGATGAGGAATTATTTCATTGCAGCCCATTTGCTGCATAGATCATAAATGATAGTACTTAGTGTGCATCAATAATGTCCAGTCTGGCCCCTCAAGTTGTGATGCGAGTGAGAGTTGAGAGGTAAACATAATATTTCTAGTTATTAGGGTTTTATGCGTAAACGAGCTTGGCTTTTCCTTTTAATAAACGTTCTTGTTGTTGACAGTTTGACCCACCCAGCGATATGGCGCTGTGTCTTCTTTTTGTGGGGCCCACCGGCACTTCCCAAGAGCCAGTTACCGATCACCGCGCCGTCTATATCATTGTTTTTTTGTCGCCTCCCGTCGTCTCTCATCTGCTGTCCTCCACCCTTTTTCCTTCTCCCGGCCTTGTTTCGGCGGCCACGCCTCCCTTCCGTACCCGAAGCCTCCGCCCCCGCCGCCGCCGCCGCCTTCGCAGTCGGTGCTTCCATTCCATGGCCTCGTCTGCCCTCAGCAAGTGGCTGCGGCCGGAGGTAAGTAATTTCTCTATCTCGCTCGTCGCCCGCGCTGCTGCCTCAACCGGTCGATCTCGTAGGTAGTTGCATCGATCTTCGGATTTATTTTGATTATGCTGCGTGTGATCTGTAGGTTTACCCGCTTTTCGCTGCGGTCGGGGTCGCCGTTGGGATCTGCGGCTTCCAGCTGGTCCGCAACGTCTGCATCAATCCTGAAGTCAGGTGCGGGGAAATGCTCGACCAGTTTTTTTTTTTTCCGCTAATCGACCGTCTCTTCGTGAGAGCGTTGAATGGATTTAGTGGATCTCTCATTGATTTGGCTTATTGGACGGGGAAACGAATTTTTAGTTCTGCGATACTTCTCCGAGGCTGCTTTATACCGATCATCAAGTCAACGTAGCTAATGAGCCAAAAAATTACTGGTCACACCAGGCAACAATTACCATTTCTGACTTTTAGTTTTAGATAAATTCACCTTTTTGCCTTTTTCAAAATCCAGATGAAAAAATGTGAAGCGGTGTCTCTTGTTTTGGAAATCCAATTATACTTTGAAACGGCGTGTTGGACAATAGTCGTTGGGCATAAAGCTTGTATCTATTGAACTGGGTACCTCTTTTTTAGCTCTATGCACTGTGATCACACTTCTCTTTTCTAGATAGCATTTATCTAGAAATGGGCTAGGTAAGTGAGGGAACTTGAGTCTATTAATATCTTTTCGTAACCTGGCCTGTCGTATCGTCTCAAGCACTGTGGATGAGTTTTCCTATCAAATACGACTGCCCTGATTATGAGGCAACGCGAATTGAGTATATTGTCTCATTTTTTACCCATTCCACGTTCATGCTGGTGACTATGATGTTGAAACTTAGGCACCACCACTAGGCTTCTGGCATTTTTTCAGCAGGAAAATTATTGGTAGTAATGATTAGTATAATTGAATTACTTAGAATTGCGAGGAAACTATTGGTCTTGATGGTCGATATGACTGAAACCATTGGGTTATGTCCTTGCTTTTGGTTTTCTAAGACTGAGGGAAGAAGTTGGTTTTAAAAGTATGAAGGTTGTTTGAGGCTTCTTTTTCCTAAATGGTTGTGTTACAGTATGTGAACCTTTCTTGGGATTTCATTTCTTTGGTCAATCTTCTCTAGCATTTATTCCGTCTGGATTCCATGATTATTGCTTGTGCCTTTGTTTTTCCTTTCCCTGCCTTTTACTGGTTGAGGTTACCGTGGAAGGTTGCTCTCTGATAGGAATTTTTCTTTGTATTATCTTCCAGATAGGTGGTTATGTCCCTGCTAGATATTTGATCGCTGTATTGCTCAATGTTGATACCAATAAAGCATCATGCAAGATAATTTTTCTATGTTCCGATCTCCCTGACCAATGGGATAAAGCATATGGGGATTTTGATAATCACCATTTGGAAATTAAATAAAATATTTGCACGCCTTGGATCTGCCCATTTGGTTTCTCTTGTTCCCCGGATTAGTTCTTCACGTTCAACATAAGGAATCCCATACAACTCTGTCTTCACCTCCTTTCCTCTCGTTTTGTTGGGCCACTATGCTCCATTCAAGCCAAGTTCCTACATCTGCCTACATTTATATGGCGTATTTTAATACTTAAAAGAAATTTTCCTCGTGGAGTAGGTATGTGATTACAGGATTTATGTTCGTAACGGGGTGGCAAAAGGAAAATTGAAGGAACAGCGCATGAGGAACAAAGCGATGGATGATGATTCATCCTATTTTTTTAACTTAGAACTTATCCTAGCATCACGTAATTTACTTTTAGTCCAAACGAAGCTTGATAGGGATGATAACTGGTTAGATTTCATCCGTTTTATTCCAACAATATGTTATGCGGATGAGCATGAAAATGAAGCGTCCACTATTTCATAATACCATAAAAGATGATGGAGTTATGTCCTCCAATCTATCCAAAACCTTGTGATTCAGATAGAAGCACATGATTTGGAGTTTTACACCAAAACGTAAATTTTACTAAATTTATCCAATTCTGAGAGACTAGTCAATCAAGAGGCCCATTGTTTCTAATTAAAAATGCCACGTTCTCTCGTCGTCCTTTTATTACGTAAATAATGTCGTTCATTGAATTTTATTATCTCATATCTCGAAATTTGGGACCATCATTTGTAAAAATGACTCAGTAGTTCAGTTTTCTCGGATTTTGTCCAAGAATGCCACCGGATCATTTTTGTCCCAAAGCTCTGATACTTGCTCATTGCCTTCTTCTCACAGGGTGAACAAGGAAGGGAGGACTTCTGGTGTCTTGGACAACTTTGCAGAGGGGGAGAAATACGCAGAGCACGGACTCCGCAAGTTCCTCCGCAATAAGTCCCCTGAGATCATGCCAGCCATCAATGGATTCTTCACCAATCCCAAGTGAAGATCGACGACAGGGAAATACTTGAGCCCAAATCATCCGACTTCTGTCGATTTTTAGCATTCCATTAGTATCATGAGGTGGTGTCGAATAATGATGGTATGATGGCTGTTGTTCTGGCAAACGCCGAGATCTCTTTGAGCCAGCTGCTTCAGCTGGCGAAGTTGGCAAGATTTAGACTGTTTTAACTCACACAGCGATCTCGCCGGTGCCCATGCTGCTACCAGGCGCCGCTGACCCGTGTGCTTCTTGTGAACTGTCGGTTGAAAAAGGCGTGATGATGTTCTTGATTGACCTGCTGGAAGAGATCATATCGTATTCCAAACCCAGCATTTCCTTCAAAACCGAAGGTTAATTTAAACCCATCAACTGTGCAAAACCGGTCAACTCTCTCCACAAAAGTCAAAATGTGAACTCGATAGCATACTCTCGTCAAGTTCTTAGATCAATTGTACACATGGAGTTCTACATGATTTGTGGAGGATCACCACATAACAGGAAAGCTTTGAAGAACCATGAGAGAAAATTTTGTGATTCCTTGCAAAGATTTGAGGCATTATACTTCACCATTTGCCAATACTCAGTCAATTGCTATCTTCAGGTTTCCTTTGCGCACCAGGAGAATGTGGGCATGGCTCCTTTTATCCGGTTTTCTCGGTTATAGCTTGCACAAGATCACCCTGAGCTTTTTCAAGGGCATCCACCAGGTTTTCAGGTTTCCTTCCGCCAGCTTGGGCAAAACTGGGCCTCCCCCCTCCTCCGCCGCCGCAAATCTTGGCTATGCCTCCTATGAATTTCCCCGCTTGGACCCCCAGATTGACAACTCCGGGGCTGAAAGCCGCGACCAGACTGACCTTCCCCTCGCCTGGGCATGACCCCAACACCACTGCTGCAGGGTCTCCCAACGTCTGCAGGAGATATTCAGCAGCGCTCTTCAGTGCATCAGCGTCAATCTTGCCCATATTCTCCACAATCGCCCTGGAAATTCTCTCAGCGTGTTTTAATGGAAAAGTAGATGGGAAAAAATAAGTGGGGATATAGAAAGAGAGATGGGGCTTGAGCCCACCTGATGTTAGAACTCCCAACCGAGAACGCTTTGCTAGTGAGGTTGGATGCCTTCAGTGTGGCTATTTCTGCACGAAGAGATGAGACTTCACCTCTGGAGATTCTCAGCTCTTCCATGATGCTCTCCACTCTGCCAGTCACATCCTCAGCTTTCACCTGGCAGAGAAAAAAAGAGGCGCATTTACCAGCATATCCCACATTACCCAGAACCTGTTGTCCAGACTTTTCTACATGCCTGGTCAGCCCACACAGGCAACCAGGCAGATGAAAGCTTTTACTCTTGGGTTATCTCTGTGTCTCTGGGCATACTCTCACTGTTTCTACTGGCCATCCCGCTTAGATATAATTGGCCATGAGTAGAGTAGGCACACTTCTATAAACACTAGTTTATTTGTATCATGTGGGAGAAACTACTGGCCGTGATACCATCATGTCAGCGTTATCAGGTCATCCAACCCAAACCCAAAATGCGATGAATGATAAAATATTGGCCTTTCTACATGTTCACAGGTTTGTTTTTATTAGAACCCCCTCTTTGTTCCTGAAGCTCTCTTATCATGAGAAGGAAAGGTCACAGCAGCTTGAGGAATGAAGAGAGAAATCAGATGGGTTGTAAACCAAGTGTTGGCTTTACTTTCAAGGAAAATATCACCAAGTTTGGAATGATATCACTGGAAAAAGCATACCTTGAGTAAGGAGCAAAGAGTTTTCATATGGCTGTCTCGAGAAATCATATAATCAATAAATGCTTCCCCGGCAACGGCTTCAATGCGCCTGATTCCCGATGCAATGCCCTGTTCGGAGATTATTTTAAATCCACGAATCTCACAGGTGTTGGTGACATGAGTGCCACCACAAAGCTCCATCGAAACTCCTGGAACTTCCACTACTCTGACCTGCAGCCTTGCGCATTGTCAGTATGACGACCAAATCTCTGAACTTACCATGTGATCTAGACACCACCACAACTATATCAGCTATTGAGAGAAATAAAATAGACCAACGTGACTTACAATAAAACCATAAAAGACCACCCTCATATACTAAATATATATGTTAAAACTTTATTGAAATTATAGTGTTCTTGGAAACTGGAAATGTGAACATAAGCGGCAAGCATTTTTCTTCCTTGGAAAGCTTTCCAAAACGATCATAAATAGATTCTCCACCATTAGTTTCTCATGTTCAAAGCAAAAGGAAATAGCAATACAGGCTTTCTCGTGTTGTGCAAGGAATATTAACAGTTCATCGCAAGGAGAGCAGATCACACGAGGAAGCACCATATCAAGAAGGAAATAGCTACATATAAAACCAAAGAAGTACCAAATAACGAAAGGGTTAGACATAATGGGAAATTAAAAAAAGAAACGAATTAAGATATAATAGAAAATGCAAAGCATCATCTAGTTTCTTGACCTTGACCACGAAAAGGCAAAAACCAAACGCTGAAGTTAGAAGATAGAAAGTAAAGAAGCACTTAGAACTAATCAAGCATATTACACGTCCAGAATAAAGTTGCGAATGTTTGCCACATACTTTTGCTTAGCCAAACGCTACAGGAAAAAGCAATACCTGCTCTCCATACTTTTCCCCAAACATGGCAATTGCGCCAGCTTCCTTAGCAGCTGACAGAGGCATCATTTTTGTTTGAAGAAGGGAAGCATCTCCGATCCATCTATTGACTAACTTTTCGACTTCCACTAACTCATCCTCTGACAATGGACGATGGAAATTGAAATCAAATCGGAGACGATCAAATGCCACCAGAGAACCTGCTTGAGATGTTTCTTGCCCAACGACACGCTTAAGAGCAGATTGCAGAAGATGTGTGGCAGTATGATGAACCTACAGAGAGTAGTATTTTAATAGTAATAATCTTCATGCCCCACTGGAGGGGCAAGAAATCTTGAATTCTCAAATATCTAGAGCTTGCTATGAGTGGGAACGGATAATGAATAAGCATTCTCGAGAAATCCTCAGGTATGCAACTGAGGATCTGAGGATAAGGTTTCAGTTTTTAAAGATAGGTAATGATGATGTTCACAGTAGGCGTCATACCTTAGCCCTCTGTCTCAAACTTGCATCAACAGCAGCATCCACTTCAAGACCAACTTCCATGCTCCCCTCTCTGACAGTACCCTTGTGGACAAAGATGTTCCCAAGAGATTTCTTGACATCTTTGATTTCCACGATGGTTCTTTGTTCACGTTGGTCGTTTTTTACTGCATACAAAAGGCCATTGTCCCCTATTTGACCTCCAGACTCAGCGTAAAAGGGGGTTCTGTCAAGCAAAATTTCAACATCAGCGCCTTCAGAAACCTGAGTCACCGGATTACCATTCACAAGCATCCCCTTAACTACAGCATTCGCTGAAAGGGTCTCATATCCTAAAAACTCAGTGTCTTGAACATTCTTCGTGAGCTCTGTTTCACTTCCAACTGAAAGTTTAACAACATTATGAGCAGCCTGGGACTGTCTCCTCTGATTCTCCATTTCAATATCAAAGCCCTCCATGTCTACACCGACACCTCTCTCTTGAGCAACCTCAATTGTTATTTCTACGGGGAATCCGAAGGTATCATACAAGAGAAAAGCATCCTTTCCGGACAGGCAAGGCTTTTGTAGGTTCCCATTATCCTGAGCAACTGACAGCGCACTATCTAGCAACTGATCCAGAAGTTTTTCTCCTCTCTCCAGTGTATGAATAAAACGCAACTCTTCTCTCTTCAATTCCTCAATTATGCGCGGTTTGTTTGCTTTAACTTCTGGGTCAATGCAGGAGCTCAAATTTATAACCGTCTCTGCAAGTACAGGCAAAAATGGTGCTTCGGGATTTCCATCAGTGTCACCCTTTATGCCAAGCAATCTGCCAATACGTACAACCCTCCGTATGAGCCTTCGGACAACATAGCCCCTACCTATATTTGATGGATACACTCCATCTGATATAAGATAGACGACAGCACGCATGTGGTCTCCAATGATCTGAAAGACGATGATAGAGCTGAATTGAAAAAGAAATTGTAGAATCGCCACCAAACTCTTTCCGATAAAAGATGAAAACGTCAGAATGAAATGTTAAGAAGCAACTCAGAGATCAACGAAATCATACTTTGAGGTTAGTCTTCATGACATCATTAGCTTCAGCATATGAAACCTTGGCCAACTCTGAAGCTTTGTCTATAATGGGGAAAATCAAATCTGTTTCATAATTGTTTGGAACCTGAAAAAGTTGAACAGAACCAAATATCTATCGTCAATTTGCTTACAAGTATGACTATGGAAGATGAAATGAATCAAACAACATGTATGGTTAAAAGTGATTAGATATGCCTTTAATCAGGAATAAGCTCATAAGAAGCGCCATTCCTTTGTGAAACAACGATTCTTCGTTTGACAGACCCTATGGATTCTGTTCTAGACATGCCAACCGAGCTAAAAATAGAGATAGCGTCCTCAGTACACTGTTGGATGACAAAGTGTCTTATCAAGACTCAAGAAGTGAAAAAAATGAATTGTTTACTCCATATCGGTGCTTATACTTGTCTATAGATGGAAGACTCTTATAATAACAATTTTATTTAAAAAATCATTAGTCAAGGATCGAAAGGAATAAAAGCATGAAAATCCACACCGGCATGCACAACTCAGACCCAGATGCACTGAGTCAGCAAACCAAGGTCCAAATAGCCTGTTTTTCCTTTAGATGAAAAGGAAATTATCATTTACTCTTTAAGGGAAAAAAAAAATCTCAATTTAGAACAATTAGAATTATGACGACGTGGATTTATCATTGATTAGGTTCTAAACAGCATTACAGAAGAATCTGTAAAAACCCTAGCTATCTACGTTATGAATTCAGAAATAAGGTCCCACATAGTTCATTTAGGACCCAAAATTAATATACAGAACTGATGTTTATCCTGTCTGTAAATCAACTAATGGAGGCAGATAAATGCTCTTGTGCCCTCTTTCCATAAACATAGAATAACCAAGTTAAGCAAAAACGATAAAATGTTCTCTCATTTTTCTCACAAAGCAATACAGAGAAGATTAAAATCCAAAGCAGTCAAGGATGTCTATGACTCGGCCAGTCAAACTGCGTGGAAAAGTAATCAACAAAAGAATTGATATTCTTCCCTAACTTTGGCCCTCTTTGTTTTGAGTTGTTAGATGATGACGTATTTATGGTCTACAGTTCACCAAGAAGAAGAGATAGATGGTGTGAGACAGGCAAATCTATTGTCAGACATGGTCAACCTCTCTGACTGAGATGGGCAAGATAACTCAGTACCAGGATTCCATGAAAGCCCTTCTGTTGTCTGCCTTAGTTTGAGAGAGGGAGTATATTTGTGCTAAGGAACAGATGAGAACGAGAAACAAGAACAGAACGGTGTGCATTTGATGTTGAGCAGCAATGGCAATGCTATTCCTCCCAGTTCTAAAGATGTAGCAATGCCATTCAATAGAGAGGCCATTGATTTGCTTTATGGTAAGGGAGCAGACCTGGGCACAGACTTAATTTATTGATCTTGGCAAGATTGGGCCGTAGATTGTCTTTGTGCGCACCAATAAAGTATTAATAGGAAATGAGAGAGGGGTAAAGGAAGAAGATGAAGAAGGGAGGGCGGGCTGAAGGCAAAGCGTTACCAGATCAGAATCACCGAAAGTAATAGTCTATACTGTCCATTTCTTTTTATTTCCCTCCTCTCTTTTTCTTTTCTTTCGATTTACTTCCTGATTTGTAACGTAATCCATAAGGTCACAGATATGATTCCTTGGAAGGTATCACATTTATAAACAGAAGAAAAAATACGAATCTGAACGCCAAAAGTTATAAACAGATAACATCTTCAGCATATGAAGGAACCTTCTGCAGGATCTGTGCCATGCGCTCAAGGCCCATTCCTGTATCTATATTCCTCTCTTTTAAGGGCTCAAGAGATCCATCATCCTTCTTGTTGTATTCCATAAAAACCAGATTGTAAAATTCTATAAATCTGCTATCATCTCCCAAATCCTGCAAGAGTTAACAATCCATTACTATTTTTTGTCCAGAAACAGAAGATAAAAGAATGAAGAAAGCTTTTTCATAAAATATTTACATCAGCATCTGAATAGCCCCTCTCTGGATGGAAATCATAATAAATCTCTGAACATGGACCACATGGTCCAGTGGCTCCACTTGTCCAAAAGTTATCATCTTCACCCATTCTCTTTATTCTTTCTTTGGGAACACCCACCTGATGCATGAAACATGAAAGAATTAGTTTCATCAAAAAGCTTCACAGGAGTTAATGACTAATAGAATTATCAGAATTCAGCATGCAATAAAAAATGATCGTATCATATCAATTTAACAATGTTGTACCACAGATGTCTTGTAAATAAGAAAGAAAATAAAAGTTCAGAAAAAGACAAAAAATCAAAGGAAAATAACATCCACTTCAGTTCACCACTATCCGAAGTTTGAGCATGGAAGCTTAAAAGAATGTTGCTTCAAATGAAATAAACTGGGATGAGCTGTCATGACATCAATTGAGGAAAAACTTGCAAGCACTACGACAATAGTTGACTAGACAGTCAATATTTGATAGTCAAACTAAGATATCTTCAGAAACTAGAGATGGAAGTTGAAAATGAGAATGAGAGACCGTAATTAGAAGTTATTAAACAGAAATATGATAGGATGTGTAGTATGATAATAGTCCCTTGATGAGAATAGCAGTGATATCTCTATGTTGTGGAAAGAAATTTTGCAAGCTACTGATGTGGTGAAACCTGGTTCAGAGCTCCGTTTAGCCAATGGGCAATAAAGAGACTTTATTCACCGTGTGGAAATAATGAGGGAACTCAGCTTTTATTTAGCAGCTCCAACTCCTATTCAGCGCAGAAAATATCTCTGTTTTGCATGTTTTTGACCATGAGCCAAGAGGGCATGTTGTTTACCAAAGCTCAAGAGAAACTTCAGGGATAGGAGATTCATAAACTAAAAACTCTTGATTTTCTTTCGTAATGATCCCTGATGAGGCCCGAGGAAGGTGTGGTGGTAGAGATGGGACAAAGGAGGCTCTTTCTAGGTCAGGTCAGCATCTCAATCTATGACAGACCTATGTTCTAGACATCATGCGGTGGATAAGGTTTGAAAACACTATTTCACGTAGAATTAGGGAACGACCATTTTCCATGGACAAATGGAATAGCATCATGCTCTAGGCAAACACTAGATGCATCCAGTAGTTTTCAGTAATTAGGGAATTGGATGGAAAGAGTGAAGGAGAGAAAAATACTTCCTTTGTTATGAGGAAAAGGTTGTTGCTTGTATTTTCAGGATGTTCGGTTTCTAGCTTGAACTAGCCCGTCATAGAGTAGGTCATAGTTTTTTTTTAAAGAGTTCATCTCTGCAGTCAAGTGGCTCATGCTTGTACTTTCTTCTTTCTTTGTAATTGATCATGAGGTATCGCGCACTTTAAAGAAAAAGGAAGCACATAGAATATTTCTCATAGCAAAGACAAGACTTGAGGAAAAAATTAAGTTAAGACAGATATATGGACTCCGAATCGATGTAATCTATTATTTGTGTACAGGCATGTCACGCATTCATTTAGAACCATGGATAATACTGGAATACATCCAAAGAAAAGAGGTGGTAAAGTGGTGTGAACCTTTTAAATCATTTTTCCTTCTCCCTTTCCACAAAGAAAATATATGGAGAGAAAAGTGATCTAGATGCGCCTATGCCCTTAAGAACAGACTTGCAAGTAAAGAAAACGAAAACAAGAAGTTTTAGGCCATTTTATTTGCTTCCTGATGAATGACAGATGATAAGTCTGCATCCTAATAGAGATGGATCACGTTTTCAAATACTGTTGCATGGTCACAGTTTTACCTCTTAGAAAAAACAGAGCAGTAACAAAATAAATTTAAAAAAAATAAAAAAAAATCCTAGAATTCTGATTCGACTAGATGACGTTTACCTCATCGTGCCATATAGAATAGGCCTCATCATCATCTTTGAAAACACTCACCCATAGACGCTCAGATGGCAATTGAAATCTGCAACATCAATTAATAACATTATATTTATACCTTTGTGAGAGATAAAAAGGATTTCATGGTAACAGGGACAGAAAAAGATGAAAATATTATTAAACAGAATGTCAAACAGGAGAAAGTATTACGAAATAGTCATGAACATAACCTAAATATAATGTTAATGAAATAAATAAGATAGTTAAATAAATATAAAAACTGTAGAAATACAGGTTTTATATGAATAAAAAAAGATAACACAGATATCCATATGACTTTGTCCAAGCAGGACCTAGTATGCTTCAAAACAGCTGTGTTGAAGCAAAACAAGATGTATACCACTACATGATAAGGATTTTTCGAGATATAAATGAACAAAATATAACTGTAAGAAAGACCTATTGCCAATTGAGATTTCCAACGGTTTGACAAGGTCAGATTCGGAGACAAATTCGTTAACCTAGCCATGCTTTACCATAATCGCATATTGTGGTATTTGACCAACACTTGAAAAAACACTTGCAAGAGCCAAGTTCTAGAAGATTCTTCCTTTGATGTATTTAAATAGCCATACCAAACGCCCCCAAATATCTTCTCCTAAAGAATTTGCCAACACTGAGAAAGCCGGAACACTAACAGGAATCTTTTGTAAAAATGAAGTTTGATGACTGTAAATCTAGTTACTAATTAGACTAGTAAAATAACACTGAAAATATAACATCGAAATGATATGTTAGTTAAGGGAGCGTAGCAATGTTGCAAGCGAGCAAAAATAGAAGAAGATTGGATAATCTTCTCTTGGAATTAGTAAATTTCATTCATCCTGATGATTTTGTGGCCAAAACTTATGACAGAATAAACTAAACAAGACATGTGTGTTGAACCAGTAGAAAGGGAAATACAAAAGCTCAGGAAGCTACTGGTAATGAAGCTACATAAATGCACATAACTAGAAGTTAGCATTTCGCTAGATTCAGTTACCTAAACATTACTAAAATGGGAGCGACTGCGCGGATAAAAAAATCACCAACTGCCCATTCATTCATATAAAATGGAAATTTTCTAAATGAACATCATCTCAAATCTAAAAACAGAAAAAAAAACTTCATTGTCCAGTGGCAAGTAAATATGTTCATACTCCTTTGTCGAGAGTTCCCATGCCCAATGAATTGCCTCCCTCTTGAAGTAATCTCCAAAACTGAAGTTTCCAAGCATCTCAAAAAAGGTATGATGTCGAGCCGTTCTGCCAACATTATCCACGTCAGTTGTTCTTATGCAACGCTGGGCTGTTGTAGCACGAGGAATGCGTTTAGGTTCCTACAGGACACAGATTAACACTGCCGCTCAAGATTCGATGAGTTTTAAAATCTTTTTTCCGAAAGTGATGTCCAACTTCCCAAATAACAGTAGAACAGCCACAAAGGCCCTTTTTGATAGTATAGATTTTCATCAGGTATCAGAACATTAATAACTTTATAACTGTGCATGAAAGCATGTATTATCTTAAAAAAGGGCAACATCAATTTTTACTACCCAAATTGTGGAAGCTTTCCTTTAGTTTCAATTAGGATGGATAAGCACCTCGATAAAATTGAAGACTCTTATCAGCAAATCCTCAAAAAAATATGGAAGATGTATATCTAATACCAAAAGTCGAAAATTCAATACCAGTCTTCATACAATAATAGAGATGTACCGACAGAAACACATCCTAATCATCCAGGAATCTTTCAAGCATTTCTTCAGAGACTCATCACCTCAATCAGAATCCCACAAATATTTAATGCAAAACTTAAATCTCAATGCCATTGTTGAGTAGAGTTTAGGTCTGCAACAGCCAATGGGATTGCTAACGTGAAAAATATTAAGTTCCATCTTTTTCGTTTCTCGTGCAGAAATTTATATACAGTTAAGTTCCAAAATTATGTCAAAACTGAATGCACATTGTAGCTTCCACAAGGTGTGGCAAACAAACACACAAAAGACGCAACTGAGCATGATGCTTAGCGTGTTTCTCCTGAGGATAAAATAGCGATTTCCAAAGAGCATATACTTTTCCTAGAAAGATAGGCTTGAATGGAAGCATCCCAGCAATCGTAAGTAGAACAGTGGGATCATCCGGTACGAGCGAAGCACTTGGGAGTATCTTGTGACCTCTTGATGCGTAGAAATTAAGGAAACATTGACGTATATCATCGCCATTTATGGGACATTTCTTTGATTTATCTCCTGTAACACCTTCCATCACAGGTTGCACTGAAGCTGCAAAAAAAAATGGCATCTTCACTGTGAGCAGAAGAAAAAGCTTGAAGTAATTTTATTTCAAGTATTCCACAATAAGATCAAATATAGAAAACCTGATGCATTTCTTGTAGTGAATAACCTTTTCTGTGACGCTTTTAGCAGATGCGGATTACTTGAAGAGACATCAGAGGTCATCCTCCCGGTAAAGAATGCATTTTCCATGCAGCCACATCCTAATAAAAAAGTAATAGAAAAAATACAGGGGTAAGGGAAAGAAAACGAAACAAAATAAAATGAATAAGGTTCTATGAAGTTCTTAGCAAATGGAATGTTATAGGCCACTAAACGATTTTTTTCTCAGCTATCAGATCTGATATAGAGGCAACAGCAAAACTAGAACCGCAGCACTGAAACACATCGTGGATGAAAAGAAAAAGCCCACCTGCATGCTGTTTTGGTACATCTAAGTCAAAGATAGCTGATACATTGCAGAGTCCCATTATTTCAGCTTAATCAGCTGGTTAACTATCCACGTTTTATATTCAACTTAATTTAATCAAACTTTCATTTAATGTAAATTCCAATGCACTCTCTGGAGGAGCATGAAGATAACACGCCACAGATTTTATCTGTAAATGCATACCAGAAACGTAGTTCACGTAAGGAGCCCAAGAGAATTAAAGGTAAGGATCATAGAGCCATGGGTTGGGCAAGCCTGCCTTTTCTCGAGGAACATCATTGAAAACGATAATGTCCAATGAAGACAGTCATAGTTCAGGGGAAGAAAATGGATAAAAAAACGGTTTTCACTAAGAGTAGCGGCATGTCTTTGACACAAAATGCGGTGTATTTAAGAGAATTTAGGACAGGTGGATCTCTCTCTATCTTAAAAGGACCTAAAACCAGATAGCCCTAGATTTTTAAACTGGCAGTGTCCTTTTCATTAAAGAAATTAGAATAACTACTGAAAATAGAAGCATATAGAGCGATTCCATTGTGAAGTCGACGTATTACATATTTACAACACCATGCCTCCTCCACTACAATCTGTAAAGAGTTTCCCCTACCACAGGACACAGTCATTCGTATTTTTTGTTTATCCGAATAAATCCACTTTTTTCACATTTATAGAGGAAGTAGAATATCAAAGTTCGCAGCTTGGATTTCAGGTACCGGAGAAGCGGCGTAAACTGCCGGCTGCCGTCCTGGGAGGGCCAGCAGTTCTGGAGGGTCTGGAAGAGGCCACGGCGGCTGCGACAGAGACGAAAAATGGAAGCTGCCTCCGTGCACCCTCGACCCTCGTGGCAGCGGTGGCCGCGTGAAGATACAACGACCCCTCCATCGAGTTCAATTCCCCTGCTCCCTGCTCTTCTTCTCCAGCTCCTCACACCCAGCTCGAAAGTAGTCCACAGTCGCCCCTCCAACGACGATCTCGAGCTCTTGTTCCTGGCCACAAATTCAATTGCAGCCGTTCGAAAGACAGGAGGAACGGAGGGCCACGCGCTCGCCCGCTACATGTTCGAGCAAATGCCTGAACAAGGATAATGTTTGGCGCCTCAACGGATTCGTGTGGCTGTCGAGGCTGGTGGAAACCGTTGTCCTAGGCTTTCCAATGCGCTGAGTCTGAGCTCAGGCAACCAGCCCCAGGCTTCTTTGAAGATACAACCTTGGCCAAGACCCATCCACTATCAGCGGGCCAAAGCCCAACACTTGATAATCAAGGAAAAGCGAGAGAGAGAGAGAGAGAGAGAGAGAGAGACTTCATAAGACTTAAACATGATTGAGATTCCAGCCCCAACCCAAATATGAGTGAGATTCATGATATAAAGATGCATTTTTTGTACATCTAAAGATGAGAAGGAGAGATAATTACTCTAATTAGGTAGATTTTCCAGTAGAATAGATGAAACCCTTATTCTGGGTTTTGTTTAAATATAAAAAAGGAATTAAACTACTCTCAAAAGAAAACTCTTATCCAGCAAACTCGAGATATATGCAGGCAAGAAGCTTTACGAACTTGTCTAGTCAGGAGTAAAAGAGCGCAGTAGTATGATATTTGGTGAAAAAACCAGCTGCCTACAAAGGAAAAGAGAAAATGCCATGAAAATATGCCACATTTAAGAGGAAATCAATTAAAATCAAGTTGATAATAATTTAAATGGTAGCTTTGTTGTCGTAGTACAAAGGAGAAGTAGATGCATGAACATCCATCAAGATGAGTGCGTAAAAATTGCAACTAGGCTATCTTGGGTGCAGGACTAGCTCTAGTTTTTAATAGGATACCCATAGCGATGGGCTAAAGAAACAATGATTTTTATTATGTTTCCTTAAAAATAATAGTTTCTCAAAAAAGCATGAACTAGTATGTCAAACTTGCAGTCTGAAGATCTAAACTAAAAATAGATTAGAACACTAAAGTAAAATGCAGTGTGCCTTGCACTGCCTCTTACACTCATTGCAGTATAAGCTGCGAATATCAACGAAGTGGTGGGAATTAGACAATCCAACTTTGCCACAATATATCAGTTCAATAAATGGCTATAAGTAGAATAGGTTGTGCTGTCTGAGTTCGTTTCAGATAGCTCAACTTATATTATAATATGAGACTAACTATATATGGCAAGAATCACACAAATGGGATTAATAATTTTATATTCAAGTATTTCGGATGAAAAGTATAGTATTACTAGGGGATGAAATTTTGTGACATTCATCTAACCTAGTAAAAAATATAAAGATGGAAGCTGCATACATGCACAATAGACACTCATTGTGACATTTACCTATGGCAAAGTGTTGCCATTGTCACCCTAGGCAGCCATAGAGGACATGGGTAAAAGTCACATAGCATATAATGATGGATCAATATTCATATGGTGTCTAGCTCATGAATCAAAGCCCACATGAATTAAATAATACTTGAGGACTTGAGAGTTTAGGAATCCATTTAATTATAAAAGAAAAACCCTTTTGTGACTAGTTATAACCATTGTTTATGTGGAACTTGGCTAACATTGAGTGTTTCTTGTTGACAAAGTGGTCATAATCTATTCATGTCACCTTATTATAATGTTTTTGATATGCAAATTCATCATATTGAAAAGTAATACTTTGTTTTTGTATTTTATGATTGACAATAAACATACTCATCAATTGTTGGTTTTGAATACATTCTTTAAATTTCAAGTAACTTTATTATTGAAGGATTCAACTTAACATCTCTAACAATGCAAAGAATGAAGGTTGTTTTCTTTTATAGCCTAGAATCAAGATTTTTCAAGTAATCATTCATTCATAATCAGACCAACATAGGGAACCAGATCATTCTAAAAATATGGAACAAGGAAATTCCTCAAATTTATCTTTGAGGACGATCGAGAATTTGACTCAAACATTTTACTCATTATACTTCAAGAAAAATTATTCTATAGAATGAACTGATATCAAAAATTATTTATCCTATAATGTACCTCAATTACTTGTATCACCTTATCCTGTAGCCATGATTTCATGCCTTAATTGACTGATTTTGGTGAATTGAGATGGGAATAATAAATGTTGGCTTTGGTAGCCTTAAATGTTTTAATGATGATAACGGGTAATAAAGTAATAACATAATGATGAAACAATCATACCTACTGTAAATCACAAAGATTAAATCAGATATCAAACCATGAGAAAATCACTCAAAGGTAAAATGATCTACATGCACACTTTGAATGATTAAATGATTTTTGGATGCAAGTTTAGGTCATAGAGATATGTATGGAAAGATGAGTAAAAACATGATATAAAAATCAGCACATCAGAATTCAAATATCTATATTTGTCATTACTTTGCAAGATTAGTTATTTTTTTATGGAGCTTAAACTTTAAGAATGTATGAGACATAGCATATTGTTTTCTAACTATCGAAAATGACCATTTGATGAATAAGTTGCATCTAAAAGAGACATCTCAACCCATTTTAAGGAGAAGTGAAAAAGACAAAAAATCAAAAGAAAGAGTTACAATACCCACATTCATCATTGTAGATACGAGAGAGGAAAATCTTAGAATCTATAATCCTTCTCTAAGGAAGAAGAGGAGTACATGAGATTATATATAGAAGAGAAAAAGAAAGAGAGATGAAAAGAGAGAGAGAGAGAGAGAGAGATAATGAGCCATAGTGGGCCAAGAGTCCAATACCACTATTAAACACTCCCCCTCAAGCTCGAACATATGAGTTATATATGCCTAGCTTAGTACACAGTGTCGCGGGCATCGAAGTCAATGCTCAAGGCGTTAGAAGTGATGCTCGAGCACAAGGCGTTGGGAGGCAACATGCGAGGCATTGGGAGGCAGCACGGGGCGGCAGGAGGCAACTCATGAGGTGTTTCAGGAGGCGACGCACAAGGCATCGAGAGACAACGTGTGGGGAGTCGAGACGTGGCACAAGGCACCAAGACACGACGCATGAGGCATTGGGAAGCGAGACGCGAGGCGTCAGGGGGCAACGCACGAGGTGTCAAGAGGCGCCTAGAGGTGACGCACGAGGCACCGGGAGTTGACGCATGGGGCATCGGGAGGCTCGCTGCCGAGAGGAGAAGGCTGCCACCGCAAGAGGGCGGCGCGCCAAAGAGGGAGGCACCGGTGAGGTCAGAAGAGGCTGAGGACGACGGAGAAGGCGAGCACGATGAAGTAGAGGAGGTGGACGAGGAGGAGAGCCTAGCCCAGGAGGACGTCGGGAGGCGACGCTCAGGGCGTCGGGAGGTGACGCATGGGGCATCAGGAAGCGACACTCGGGGCATCAAGAGGCGATGCACGGAGTGCCACGAGTCGACATGCAGGGCGTCGGGAGTCGATGCATGGGGCGTCAGGAGGTGACGCTTGGGGCGTCGGGAGGCTGGGGCCGCTAAGAGGAGAATGGCGCCATCGAAGAAGGGCACCACCAGAGGAGAGCGGCGCGCCAAAGAGGGAGGCGGCAGTGGCATGGTGGGCTAGAGGAGCGACTGGTGGCTTGAAGGAGTGGCTAGTGGCGCCACAGCAGCCTAGAGAGGGGCGGAAGCAGAGGTGAGGAGGGTGACGCCGAAAGAAGAAGGAGAGTGATGGCAGAGATGACGACATCGGAAGAAGGAAGAGCGGTGACGCTAGAGATGGACGGCGCACCGGAGAGGACGACGACGATAAGGGATACCTAAGGCTCTAATACCATGTTGACACGAGAGGGGAAAATCTTCCTTCTCGTGTCAACATGAGAGGGAAGGTTTTCATTCTCTAAGAAGAAGAGTACATGAGATTATATAGATGAAGAAGAGTACATGAGATTATATAGAAGAGAAAAAGAAAGAGAGATGAAAAGAGAGATAAATAATAGGTCATAGTGGGTTGAGAGTCCGATACCACTATCGAACAATCCTCAATAGAGTTCTTGCTATAAATCTACATCCTTGAGTATAAAAAATAAAAGAAGTTTTGTAATTACTTTAGTCATCAAAGGTTTCACCACTCATTAGCTACTTCATCATCTTTAAGTAAAGAAATCAAACAAAGGAAGGTACAAGAAAAACTAAAAAGTTATTTAATTATTGTTAACCTATTCTTTTACTCCCTATATTTGATGAGGCCTTAATGTTTCACAAAGGCTAACTAAAACCACAATGTTCAATAAATAAGCTTATTAAGGCATGAATATTCAGTGAAGACTAGTTGAAGTTGTAGTGCTGAGGCTACAGTATTTTATCTCCCTATTGATTTTTTATTTGTTTCATTATACTACCTAATTAAATCCAAATATAAGGTTTCACTTTTAAGTGTTATCGCCATTATAAATTGGCAATCTTTGCTTCTTGCTACTAATCTTTCAATGTGAGCATCCATTGAAAAGAGAGCAGAATAGGCTTAGTTTTAGCAAGCTATAACATAGTTTTGTTGAAATTCATGAAATAAAGATGTGTATGAAGAAAAGAGTAAATGCAACCCCACATAAGAGGAAGGGAAACGACTCCATGGTCAATGATGATGGATAAGTCATCTTCAACATCTATCAATACAAGATAGTAGCATAAATATATTTTGTCTAAGGGCGATCACAACATGAGACACTAACCATACAAATACCTCGGGAAAACAGAACAACATGAGAAGTTGTAGCAGTATTATGCATGCAAGTGTAGTGCCAAGTTTCCTAATGAAGTAACACCATGACTGCACATGAAAGGAACATAGACAAGTAGTGGCCAAAAGGAAAAGAACAAAGAGATAACAATAATTGTAGCCATGAAAACAAAGAGAATGGAAAGCCATCACAAATCATAGTTAAGGTTTTCAGCTTTGTTATATGAATGATGTGAGTGGCTATAATAGATTGTTGGGCACATGACCCATTAAGTGAGCACGTGACCCAAGTATTCACTCATATGGCGACTGTCCATAAGAAGAAGACGAAACATTTAATGTGGAGAGAGAAGATGGGGTCCACAGGAGAACTGGTCACGACGAACCGATCTCATAGATCCGACACCCAAGTATTCCTTATGACCTGGTCAGCCTCTATGGCGGACCAGGTCATAAGGAACCGAAATGGTTCGAGTGGAAGAGGAGTAAATATTGTTTCCCAAGGTATTCATTGGGCACAATTCCCAAGGTGACTCCTAGTCACTATAAATAGAGGGTCCCTTCTTATGTCTTGGCATTCTTCAAGCTTCTCTAACATCCTTCATTTAACAACTATCATCCCTGTAGAGAGAGTTTGAGGGTGGATCTCTAAAGAAAATCTTTGTTGGGTTGATAAGTGATTAGTGAATTTATTTAAAAGCCAAGATCAAAGATTTTGTTTTTAAGTTTTTGGGGAGAACTCTTCTATACTTCGTTCACATTTAGTGTAGATTTTATCTTCACTTGTGGACGTAAAAGGTCAACCTCTAAACCACATAAAATTCTTGTCTCTTGATTGTGAGTTGTTTGTTTCTTATTTCTTTACTTCACAACTTTTGTGCATTCATATTGAACATTTTACTCTAATATATATGACATTCAAGTTGTAGTGATATGATATGTGGAGATGTAAATATCAGAGGGAGATTGAACCAATCCAACTAGATGAATTATCTTGACCACATCAGTACAACCCCTTTGTAACGTTGTCATAAATAGAAACTAAATAAATTACAATTATAATTTATGCGCTAATGCAGAAAAAAATAAATCTAAACTTGGTTTTATCTTAAGCTATAACTGAGCCACAAGGTTACTCCAACCCATTAACATATTCATTACATATAAATCATATGAAAAGGACACAAACCAAAATTATTGTTATAAATGGATTGTGTACAGAATTTAATCCATAGCTTTAGACAATAATATATATAAAGGCCTTTTTATATCATAAAGAATTCCTCAGAAAAATTTGTTAACTCCTTGCCTTCTTCAATCCTTAGTTTTCACAAATCCCAATGAAGCATGATATTCAATATGCTTGTGAAATTTGTCATTTAAAGAGGCCATGAGTTTTAGCTGATAATGTTCATGCCCATACCCAGCTAGGATTCAGGACCAGGCCAGGAACATTTCTTATTTTCGGGCTTAATGCGAGGCCCACGATCAGAAAAATGGGTTGGCCCGAGCTCTGGGCTTCCCATCGCCACGCTTTTATGAAGGAGATTCATTCCATTGAGACCACGTTACTAGCATGCAGAACAGGTAATCCAGAAAATATTTAACTAAAAAATTATACTTTATTATATGCAACGCACAAGCCTGAACCAAGTCAGCTAAGATTGTAACGACACCAATATGACAGTCAACGGAAGAGCAGAACTCAAGAACATATAGATGTGCCACGGTGCCTCATGATTACCTCAGACCCACCTCTTCAGAAAGGGGGTCCTCTTATTGAACCTCATTCTTCTGTTCCGATCTCCTCCTGGGCAGTTCCTCCACCCAGCGGAAAGCAATGGAGATTACAACAAAAAACAAACTAACACGCTTTTAGGAACGGAGCAATTCCAAGCTTAGTAGGAGCCAACAGAGTTCTTGGAGTCATCCACGTTTGACTTTTACAGCTTTGACGGATTGCAGTACCAACCCCAAGGATCGTCTGAGATGTATTGGGTCACCTGCTTCACGGTCAAGTAATTATCGAGGCCCCTGAAATGAAAACGACGGCAAAAGGTTGACTTTATTCCCTACAGAGAAATATTTTTTTAAGGCATAAGTAATTAATTTTGGACGAAATATGCCAGTACAAACCATTCCCCAAGCTCGCGCCCAAAACCACTGCGCTTGTTTCCTCCCCATGGAGCTTGACAGAAGCAAGGCTGGGAGCAGTTCACCCACACAATTCCAGCTTGGATTTCCTGCAAAGAAACACAGTGGGTCGAATACAGCTCTGTAGTTTCAAGATGGAGCAGAGAATGGTGAATTTGAACTTGTAGCTTATGGTAGGGTCTATGAAATCATCTATTGGGAAAGCATCTATTGAAAATCTGGTCGAGCTTTAACACATCTAGGAGAATATGCATCTTGATCTCCAAGCTTAGAGCGGGACTTTGAGGTCATAAATCTGGAAAAATATATTTCCACATAGCACTATGTGCTCTAAGGATAATTAGAATTAATAATAGATAATATATTTTTGAATATATTTTCTAAGTTTTGATGATCCAGGCACAGTTGACCGATTCATCCAGAAAATAATAGCTGCGTTTACCAATTTATCCATAAAATAAAATAAAATGACATTAATTCAAAGATGGGCTCTGGGTATAGTTTTATTTTTAATATAAATTAAAGAGTAGCAAATCAATTATTATCATGGTGGACTTTAGTTCTAATGCATACATTTACTCACCGACTCCAACCCTCCCCGTAGGTAAAAAGCTATGAAGTGCAGCAAACCATGCTCTGAACAAATTCGCTGGTAAACTTGTAACAAAATGGGACAAGCTAAACCATGAAAATTTTACTCCCCAATAAACTGAGACCTTCCAAAGCCGTCAAAGATGGCACACTTGATAGAATAATATGCACAGATGATGCTTAGAAGAGTCCAGGCAAACCTCAGTTAAGCGGCTGCATCGGTCTGGGTCCTTCGATAGAACAGCACCAGCTAAACCATATCTGAAAATAGAGATAACAAAAGTAAGCAGGGAGTAAACTATGGTTATAGTGCCCGTGGATATCTCCGACAACTAAATAATAAGAAGCTCACTGGGTATCATTTGCCAGATCAACGGCTTCTTCCTCTGTTCTAAATGTCTTCACACACAGGACAGGCCCAAAAACCTCTTCCTTCCAAATTTGCATCGAGGTCTCCACGTTGGTTATGATGGTTGGTTGAATAAAAAATCCTTTATCCAAATGCTGCCAAAGATCAACAGAAAGATGTCAACCAGAAAGCCATCTAGAAACCACGAACACACACATGATGGGTGACTAACTTACTTGGGGACGTGCACCACCATACAGGATAGTCGCACCTTCATTCTTTGCTGTCAAAATGTGCTTCTTTATCTTTTCATACTGAAGCAAAGGAACAGTTAGTGTCTATACTAGCACTGTTCCGAAACAATAGCAAGGAAACGCCCTTTCAGAATGAAAAGATGGTATGACAACTGAGACTTCACACACATTTTTAGGTCAAACAAACAGATCATCCCGAACAGAACAGAGACACTCAAGAATAGGGATAAACCCATTCAGTACTCGTGGCGTGCATATTGGCCTTACCCTTTTCTCGAAACAATAGTGCACTTTAAGTCTAACTGGGGTTTTCCATTATGCGACATGTATCAACCAATAGTTCCCTTACCTGCCCTTGACTGACAACAGGACCAAGTCTACAGCCTTCTTCCAGTGGATCTGAAACCTTAATGTTAGCTGCCCAACGGCACATTTTCTTGAGGAACTCATCGGCAATGTTTTCCTGCAACAGATCATAATTATGTATAAGTCAAAATCTCCAAAGGACTCCCCGTAAGGATAGTACACCCAGCCGCAACATGAACAGATCCGACAGCCATTTAACCCATCTATGAATGTGGCTGGGTAGGTGAGCATTAGCGAGCTGCAGTAGCTGGTTAACTTGAGTCAACTCGTATTGGGTCAACTGGATCTTATAGGAACCCCAGATCTGACTCGACCCTCTTGCTAATGATATTTTTCACAAAAAAAAAATCAAATGAATTTGATATATTCAAATGAAAAAGACGCTCTGTTTTTAGAGTTAGCAACTCACGCAGGAAATGAGCATGGATAATGTTCCCAGAATAATGAGCGTCATCTTGGCGTTATTTTTCCTTCACATGAACTCAGCAATCATGCAATATTTCATGCGTAAACATAACCATGTGGCACCGGAAGAATGTCTAGTGACCTTCTGAAAATCACTTATACAATTTTTAGAGCCATCTTGCAAGCAAGCGCTTGCCAGTGACTAAAGAACGCATTTGGGATAGAAAGCATAATAATTTTGTGCAGCAAATCAAAATAATAGTAGGGAATCCCCTTGGAAAACCGACGCTGCCTTAAATTTCAAATGCATTAAATGGAAAAAATAATGCCTCTGAGTCGAAGCAAAATCCCCTTCATCATAGGAAATGAAGCATAGAAACTATGTTTGTGTGAGAAGAGTCAAATCCAATTTCTCCGCTTACGTGAAGAAGCAGGCGAGATGTTGCACTGCAGATCTGACCATTTGTCCAGAAGCACCCGAAAAGGGCCCATTCAACAGCTGTGAAAACGATATTCATTCACAAATAATGTGAAATACAATCATACTCTGAAAATATCCAAAATATATACACATATATACAAATTTTCCCCTCATTTGATGAGAAATATGCAAATAAGTATTGGCTCTTGAAGAGTCAGGACGGCTAACTCAAAGCTAACCAGCAATCGTTAGAGTAGGCCAATAATTTAAACAGGTGACTAAGCATACCCCTAATAAGAAGGGATTATTCAGAACTTGGTCCATGTCAATGTTTAGAGCTGCATTACAAATATCTGCCACACATGGAACAAAATGTGAACCAATAAGGAAAAACGCTACGGACAAGTGGGATGTAGAAATATTTCCCAATTTGCATCATGTGAATGTATCTGCAACTGGGATATGTAATGTATGCCAAAAAAAATTCATGATCCCAACATTCATCAAACAGAAAACACGACTTTTTCTCTTTAAATGATAAGGAACCATCTTGAGGTGGGATTACAGGATCCAGGTATGTGCAAACCTGTCCTTGGTAAAGGGCTTCCGCTCTCTTCGATAAATGCATATCATTATAGGGGTTCAAAGTCCAATAATTGCGATCAAAGCTAGAACTGAAACCAATTGACCCATGCCACGAGCTCATAATGGTGATATCACTATAGCTTGTCAACTGCTACAACTATGAAGCATAGATCACATGGGATTTTGGAATGATCATGACTGACCATGCCGGAATGAGGATGATGCATAGAGGATCCATATGAAAAGTTATATTTATAGTGATCTAATTTTGACGATGATGGAAATGTATGAAAAAGATAGGCACACCTTTATCAATATCCACATCTTCAAATACAATAATTGGACTTTTGCCCCCAAGCTCCAACGAAACAGGCTGGCATCAGAACAAAAGCATCAACAGGGAATATGGACATTGAGTTCAATGGCATTGGATTATATGTGAATGTGACATTTTCTTTCTGAGATGCATTTCTATGCATTCTCATCGTCTGAAACAAGATAGTCGCATGAAGAAAAGATGTATTTAAACAGTAACAGTTTGATCAGAGGATATCAAGAAGAAATTCACAAACCTTGATCATTTGAGATACAGAAATCATGATCTTTCTTCCGGTTTCTGTACTTCCAGTAAACGCAATCTAAGAAATAGTAAAAGGGGTTTTAGGATTAAGATCATAGGAAATTCTTATGAGGGAGAAACACACAATACATAAATGATTATCAGCAACACAATAAGCCTCTGGACCTTGTCAACTTGAGGATGGGATGCTAAAGGAGCACCAGCATCAGGACCTAATCCAGTCACAATATTCAGGACTCCAGCTGGGAGGCCCACTTCTTTACATACATCAGCCAACTCTAAACATGTCCTGGAAGTATCGGACAAGATTTCAGACCACATCAAAGATGTAAAGTAAAAAGTAGATTATGTGAGAGAACGACTTACACAGAAGCTAGTTCAGAGGGTTTTAATACAGCTGTACATCCAGCAGCCAATGCTGGGGCAACCTTCCATGCAGCCATCAAGAGAGGATAATTCCTTCAATAAAAAGAGACAAAGAAAGCTATATTAGTCACTGGATAAGTTTTAGGATAGTAAAGCTCTATAGTACAATTCTAAAATAGTACTATCTCATACTGTCCCCAAACTCAATACAACGTGAATAAATCCAACGGGTAATCAGCATGGCTTTTTCATACCAAGGAGTAATCAATCCAACAACTCCAATGGGTTCTTTCAGAACATGGCTTTTAAATGTTTGCATGGGAAGAGAAATAGGGGCCTTCTGTTTTCCATCCAATGCCTCCCCAAGATCAGCATAGTACTCAAAGCATGCAGCAACGTCATCCTGAATGAACCCCAGTACAGAACACAAACATTTATGAATTTCAGAAAGAGTCCAAAAGAGGAGGGAAAAATGACAGAGAGAGGCAGAGAGGAGGAGAAGGAGGAGGTGGTGCTGGGGATAGATCAGCATACTATATCCCATGCTGCTTCATCCGATGGTTTCCCACAATCAAGAGCCTCTAACTTGGCCAGCTCGTCCCTTCTCTCTGTGATCTACAGTCAATTGGAAATAGCAGATAAACCTTGATGTTAGACCTGACAATAATTTTCTACGTTATCAAGGCCAATCACTAACGTGAAAACACTCAACATCATCATTTGCGGGAGTTATATGCAGTACTGATTGAGCAAGGATGCAGGAAAGTCAACACGATGACCATGAAGGCATAAAATTATGGCAGAAATGAAATAGATCAGTATGAATTCCGTATCAAATAATATACCATTTGAAACAATTCTGAGTAATCTGGTAACCTCGAAAGAAAAACAAAGTCGTTCATCCTGCATCTGCTGGTACAGACGGAAGGGTAATAATTAACACCAAGAGACTGCGGCAACAAAACTCGTGCTAACAATTTTAGGCAGGATTCTAGGGAACAATGAAGTGAGTCTGCTCAAAGACCACGCTAAACAGTTTCACACGGGAAACTCACGATTCAACTACTCTACTCTAAGGCACATGAGAAGGGGAAAAAAAAAGGTTCCTTCTATTCTATCTCTACTACCTTCACTGCTATGCCGCGGAGAAACTTGGCACGGTGGGAGCCGGAGGCGCGAGACCAATCCCTGCCCTTGTTCCTGGAGAAGGCTCTTCTCGCCGCGCTCACAGCCAAGTCAACGTCCTCAGCCGTCCCGGCCGGCACGTCCCCTGAAAAACAAAAGGAGAAAGCTAAGGACAACGCCACAATTCATAAGAACGAGCACTCTGGAAGTTCGGGCAGCAGCAGCTGCTGCTTCCAAGTCGATGAGAGAAGTGCCCACCGATGACGCCTTCTGTGGCGGGATTGATGACAGGGATCCTCCTCCCCAGAACAGGCTCCTTCCACTCTCCATCGATGAAGAGCTGCCGGCGAGGCACGACGCTGGCCTCCGACGACATCACAGGCAAAGGGATAATTTGGAAAGGTGACAGGAGAAATGGGATCAGCGATCAGCGATCACAGAGAGACAGAAACGCACAGAGAGAGAGAGAGAGAGAGATGGACTAGCGGGCGTGACTTCTGACTGTCGGCGATCGATGCCGCCGATTTTTTTTTTCAAGTGCTCGACATAAAACAAAATAATTTATAAAAATTGGTACAGATAATTGTCAGTGAGCGGGGCCCAAACAATTCTTCTTTTAACCCAAATCAATGAAAAGGCCCAATTAGCGGGCTCTCAAGACTTCAGTTTTGACCCACCAAGCCCATAATCGGCCCAACTTAATATTGGGCCGAGATAGCCGGCTAGTTTAATTGAATGTGAGCCCAACAACACGGGAGGCCCAATGATGATTTGTTCCCCACCCGGTAAATCTCAAAATTAAAAACTTAGGAGCACAAATTATTTAGAACACAAAAATCTAGGGCTTTTCAGAATTAATACAACGAGTAGAGAGAGAGAGGGAATGCCCCCAGTGGATGAGCAACTACATGATCAGATCTAGGCGACCAACAAATATGAATGGAAGGGTCTATGAACAGATGCTGTGGGAGGCGGTTTCAGTCAGTGCTTGCGATTCGCCTTGTGGTCGTGGTACTTCTCCTTGATCCACTGGAGACCGAGGCTGGTGCCGTGCTTCGCCTTCTTCAGGGTCGTGGAGGCCACCGCCTTCGTCTTCTCCAGGGCGGCGCTCTTCTTGCCGCTCTTCCCGCCGGCGCCGTTGCTCGCCCGAGCCGCGTCCTGGCCGTAGTCCCACTGGTCGGCCCACGACGTCCCGTACGAACTCCCGTTCTCCATGGCGGCAGAGCAAATCAGAGAAAGAACGCAGAAACACGTGGACAGAGAGAGAGAGAGACTCGACCTGGAAGCAATTGGAAGGCTCCGGTTGCCGTGGGCGGGATCTTATAGCCGGTATCAGGAGAGACGACCGGGGCTGGTCAGAAAGGATGGGCATACATACCCTACAGCAGAAGAAACCTCCGTCACTGAAAGCAACCCACGGAAAACCCTTCGCCTCTCGAAGGTTCGAGGTGACCCAGGGCCCTTTGACGGAGAGACGGAAAGTTGAAGAAGAAAAACATCTGATGTTCTAGAAAGCACAAGAGAACGCCAGATGCATATCCTTCCCGCGTGACCTGGATTCTCCCGCGTGATGGCGTCATACGGTCCGGACTCGGAAAAGACCCCCCCCCCCCGACTCTGAGCCCTGTCACGGCTCGGCGTCGGGTTTCTGCATACCTTGTACCCGCGACTGACAAAATCCCTTATCGTGGCCCAACAGGCAGAAGCGTGATGAGGGTATGATTTTGCTCTGGAGGTCGCCACCTGGCCCAATCACCCAATTCGACAAATAATAAAATCGTGTATAATATATACTCGCGCATGTGTGCACATCTCCAATTAAAATTAATTAGTGGGAATTAAAGAAAAAAGGATTACGTGCGCATTAAGTGCAAAGGGCGAAATTATCCGCGTTGATCTGTTAATCTGCTATATATATGTATCTCTCATCATCCGCACATAATGTGCTGCCAATATTTTATATACAGAACAAATAAATAATCCCTTCGATAATTTTCCGTGCCCGCTTTGAAACCAGAGCGAGGACCGGAAGGAAGAAGGTGCCGGCCTATCCTACAAGAACAAGAAGGAAGCCGTGGCGGCGACCAGCAGCCCTCCGACCGCCAGCGTCCAGCCCGCGGTCGCCGGGGAAGGTCGGGCTCCGCTGGAATCCCTCTCTTTCATGGCGGTGGTCGTCGAGGACGGCGGCGTCGTGCTGCCGTTGTAGCTGGGGTTTCTTCCGTAGAGGCTCTGGATCCCTTGGATGTCGTCGTCGGCGAGCAGCACCTTCTTGGCCCGGATGCGGATCGTCGGGTACATGATGGCCTCCTCCACCGAGGAGTGGCCGAGGCCGAGGAGGTGGCCGATCTCGTGCACCACCACGGACTCGAGGTCCACCGCCCAGGAAGAGGAGGAGGCGGTGGTAACGTCCCCCTCCGCCACCCAGTTCTCGGCGGCGTCCAGGTGGAGCCGCCCGTCGGGGGGGGAGAAGGCGTGCGCCAGTGTGCCCAGCGCCCCGTCGAAGGCCTCCCCGTCGCCGTGGTCCCCGCTGAAGAACCCGATGGTGATGTCGGGCTCGACGACGGCTGCGTCCACCTGGGCGAAGGTCAGCGTGGTCACCTCCGACCAGCGGGAGAAGGCGCGAGAGAAGACTCCCTGGAGGGTGGACGCGCTGGCTGATACGCCGGCAGTGCTGATGATCGCGTAGGTGAGGTTGGTCTTCTGGGACGGCCACGTAGGCCTCCCGGGGAAGTAGGAGTAGAGGCCGCGGCCGCGCATGGAGGCGGTGCCGTTGACCACGTCGGCGACGCCGCACCGCGGTTGAGCCATGAGGTCCACGGTAGAGGGGTCGAGGAAGCCGGTGGCGTTGAGCCGGAAGTTGCGCTGGTAGGAGAGGATCGCCTCGCGGAGGGGCTCGTCGAAGGCGTCGGAGAGGTTGCTGTTGGACGGCCGGACCGGGTTCGGGAGGTACCCGAAATGGCGGAGGTACCTCTTGAGGTCGGCGAGGCCCGTCCGGTTCTCGCCCGGGAGGCAGCCAGTGAAGTTGCGGAAGGCCTCCCACGGGTTCGAGGGGGCGCCGCCGCCGCCGTGGAATGAGGGATGCCCGGAGACGACGACGACGGAGCCTAACAGGATGAGCGCGGCGGACAAGGCCCAGAAGGCAAGCCCGGAGTGGAAGTTCATTCTACGCCCGCGCGCTAGAGTTAGAATTAGAGAGGCAGAGAGAGACTGGGAGCTCTGGTGCCGAATTGCAAGATAGCGGGCGAGGCGAGGAATCCGCCGAGAAGGCGGACGGCGGAGAAGAAGAAGAAGAATAAGAAGGTGGAAAAGGAGCAGGTGAAGAAGACGAGGGATTAGGCGGCGGAAATCGCCGAGATGCCGTGTGGTGGCATCTCGGGGCGAACGTTCTTCTCGGCTGTTGACGATGGCGACAGGATTTGGCAGAAAGGGGCGCTCCAGTATCTGCCCCCAGAACCGGGTCCGTTGACCAGTAAGTCACAAGAGTGGAAGGGTGATCATCGATTTCCGATTTCCGATTATATTTGAGGGGGGGTCCAAACCGTCTGACCGTTGGCGATCCGAGTTCCTGTTCTCCGTTTCCCTCAGAACGAGCCCACAACGTCCCAGAGGGTCTGACCAGCGCCTTGCGAAGACGCGTGCGACCAAGTCATGTGGAACATGTGCGAAAGAATGAATAAGTCTTCGTTGTTCGCCAGCTTAGCCATCTCACGTGCCACCCGAACTTGCCGCCTTTCCTGCGTAAACTTTTAAGACCGCCTGCGTAGTTTTTTTGGCTCTGAAAAAAATACGTGGAAATAACTGAGCTTTTTTCTATAATTTTAGCAATTGGTCGCGATTCGAACAATTTAAGTATTTCTACAGCTGTTTTCACGACCTCTATAATTCTAGACAGAAATCAAGAATCCATGTAGCGGTTCGCTGAACAGATCTCAACACGATGATTCATTCACGACAATTAAAGCATTATTTATAAAGACTAAAATACACGTCAGGATTAAAAAGTCATGTTTTTAATTAAACTATTAAGATATTAAAAACATTAAAAAAATGACGTATATTCTTTCCAAGGAAGATTTAATCCGAAGTAATTTTAAATCAAATATTGTTGGCACGAAGTTTACATGTAATATTATGATAAATAATAACTGCATTCCTGTGAATTCCCCCATCATAGAATCCTACTGCATGTTCCTATTTATTTTTTATGAAAAAATATGTGTTTTTAAAAATATATTTGCGTCGAGGTAAAAACCTAATTCAGGGGGTTTTGTGGCTGTGTAAATTGGAGCATCCTTATTTATTTTAATTTAATTATGTTATAAGTATGTAGCAAATATATTGTCAGGTTTAAATTCCGTGTATAATTTCCTCCGCGACGCGATTGTGGTGAATATTGCGTTTAATTGGGCCCGAATTAGATGGAGGCCGCGTAATCGGCCCATTTACCAACGCCTTGCGCGAACAGTTTCTTTCATTTCCCCCGAGATAGTTTACTCACCCTCCTGCAGCTCTGCGCTAACAGGCGAGAACTGAAGGCTCCAAAACCCTAGCCCCGGAACCCCCTCTCACGCCACCACTCTCCTCCGATGGCCTCTATGATGGTAAGTCTTCCTGCTACTCTCGCTGGACGCTCGACTTGTTGGTCATAGTATTTACAGGCTTTTCTACTGTTGTTGGTGGCTTTGTACTGCTCTGCAGCAACCGCAGATCATACTGCTGAAGGAAGGGACGGACACGTCCCAGGGGAAGGCGCAGGTTGTGAGCAACATCAATGCCTGCATGGCGGTGGCGGATGTGGTGCGGACGACGCTGGGACCCCGAGGGATGGACAAGCTGATCCACGACGACAAGGGCAACACAACCATCTCAACGATGGCGCTACTATAATGAAGCTTCTCGACATCATCCACCCAGGCGCTAAGATCCTTGTCGACATTGCCAAGTCCCAGGACGCCGAGGTGAGCTAGGGAATGAACTCTCACGTAGTAACAATAGGGAAATAGAAATATTTCGTAGAAATCAAGATTACACGTCCGCATATTGTCTCTTCTTGGAGTTTCATCTCGTATGATTCTTTCTGAAAGTGTAATCTTTCCGAAGCTCAAGCCAAGTGCCCTTTCTCGCATCCTCAGCTCCCGTTCAAAGAATCGATGGTCAAAGTAATCATATTTATTTATGTCGTCGAGTCAAGTTGTTCATCAGAAGTAACTGAATTCTTCTTGAACATTTCTGTACATGGCCTCGTCATCTGTATTTCAGTGTTGGTCTTGTTCATGTAACGTTTCTACTGCCATTATGTACATTAAGGTTGTGGTCGGAGACGGTGCATGGCATAATAGTAAGACTAGTGGTAGTCAGCCGCCCATTAGGTAGTAGTAAGGTTTTGTTGGACATCGCTGGTATCTTTGTTGATTTGCTTCCTCGAGGGTTTCGATCATTGTATATGCTTGCACCGTTGTCACAAGTGAATATTGTTTGGAGCCCAAAACTTTTATTGGATCTGAATTTCACCTTTCGATACCTACAATTGCACGGTCAGTCGGATCTTTGTTTCGCTGTCAAGTGGTGTGACTGATCCTCTTGTGTGTAGATCAGGCTTCCTGATGGTGATTGTAATTTCTTTTCTATGTACAATATTTGTTGGTAACCTTTCTTCCAGTCCACATGGCCTCCTCTGCTTTCCATTAAATTAGGATTTTCATTTCATGAATTATTATTCAACTTCCTTGTTCCACTCTGTCATATTCAGAGGATTTATTAATTATGAGTTTGTAATTTTTAATTATTTCTTTTCAGAAGGTTATCTTTTTGCCATTATTATTGCAACTGTGGAACTAGACAGAACGATACACTGTACAAAACATAGTGAATAAGAGCAAGCAACAGAAAAAATGCTACCTTATAATTGAAAAACTGTATTATTCCTGTCTTTATCTGATGTCCTTCACAATGGTGAAACTATTCGAGAATTTTTTATATAAGATATCATTTCGATGAAAGTGTGCATATTGTTGCACTATATGGCTTGTCTCTCTTTAGAACCCATCAAGTGCTGGCCCATAATTTTTTTCGTTGGTACGTCAATTTCGATTGTTGCTCAAGGTGAATTCGGTATGAATGTTGATAAGTTGAGGGATGTCAATGCAGATACAAGGCAATATGAATTTCTTGATTACTGTAGAACCTTTTGGTTTGTTCTATGATCATGTCCTATTATTAAGAGGACCGTTCGAAGTTTATCTGTAATAGCTTCAGCGATCTTTTCATATTTTATGACCCATGATCTTCTGTGCATTTTTCTTATTTAAATTCTGGTTTATTTCTGAAGAAAAAAAAACTAATTTTCGGGTGGAATATTGTGTACCATAACTTAGACAGCCCTTGTGCTGTTAGTTTCGATGGGGTTACATGGTTTAGTTCTTAATTAATATATGGTTAGATGAGTCATTACAGATTTTTCTACATGTGCTCCAAGTACGTTGGTTCTGTAGGATGTGTTTTCTGTAGTTTCTATGGAAGCATCCACGCTGGAGAGTGGGACAGTGGGTGTACGCATGTTGTACTTGTCCTACACTGAAAAGTCTTTGGTGGAATCATGGAGAATAATTATATTCCCCGATTCTTCTTTGTAACTTCAACTGTTTCAGTGAGACTAGTCTATTTGTGTGACATCAATGATTGAATATACCATTGTTCAACGCAGTCCAGTGCTGTTTTTCGTCTGAATTGGGAAAATAGTTGATCTTTGTTTTAATTTTATTCAGATGGAGTGTATATATAGATACTGATTCGATTTTATTAGTTTCATAACTCCAAGATATTTTCTCCATCCATTTTTTGAAGGCGTAATATCTACATTTGAATGGTAAATCCCCGTTGCTGATGGTTTCATTTTATTATATTTTAGGAAATGGGAGGAAACGAGAGATATTATTTGGCATTTTGCGGCCTTTTTTTTACGATGATCGATATTGGCAGATTGGCCCATTTCTCAATAGCTATTTCAGGCTATGTCTAACGCTGAGTAATATTTTGGTAATATAGAATAGCTTCCATTGTTGACGTCGAGGGTGAAAAAAAGTTATTTGGATTGAATGGTTTTTGCTTTATTCGCATGTCAGTTCTAAGCCGCTTTAGCAATTGGATTGTTTAGAATTCTTTTTATGCAATCTTCAAGAACCTTGGAGGGATTCTCAGATGTACACCGAATTCTAAATTCAACAAAAAGGGTGAAAAAAGACAGATATATCACTTTCCAATGAAGCTCACCGCTCACCTGAACTTTTGTGCTAGTTGATCTGTGTTCTCTGGTTTTTCTCTATCTGCCAGTCTGTCTCTCTATCTCTTTGTCTCTCTGTGTTTCTGTCTCTCTCTCTCACTGTGATACGTAGGGTTTTGCAAACTAGTGTTTTGCATTCATCTGAGCAGGTGAGTACCTCTGCATTTTCTTTGAGGGCTTTGTCTTGTCTTTTAGTGTCCACCACTTCGGCCGACCCTGTAAGTGGTTTGTGTTTGACAGCATACTTGTAGTGTTTTTACCTTCATCTAGATAATGTTATGTTATTTACAACTTTCCCTGCAAACTTAGTTTTCAGCTTCCGTTCTAGAATGTGTAGCTATGTTGTCATGGTTTCTACATTTTTTATAATACGTTGTGGCCGAGTAGTCTCATATTTATTTCTTGAACACTTCCACTGGCTTGTTTTTGTCAATGCCTTGGTACCCTTGGAGTTGGTCTGATGCAATTCCTGTGGAATCTTGGATATCGTTTTCTTCTAAAAAGAGTATGCATCTTCTCACTGTGGAGCAAGCCTTTTCTCTCTGTTTTCTTTTTCTTCCTTGTCATGTGATGTAACTAGTCGCCACTACCCCACTCTCCTCCGTCAACACGGTTGCCTTTAGGTTTGACATCTCGGACATGTGAGATAGTTGATTAATAATTTTTCTTACTATAAGGTCTTGTCTGTCTTTATATAGTTGGGTCCTAACTGTTCTGATGACTTTTTTTAATCAAAGGATCTGTTACACATCTTTTCGTGCTACTGTAAAAAGTTAGTGTAAACATAAAATGTTCTCGTTGGGCATGATACTAATCTTAGGTCGTGTTTTTTGCAGGTTGGTGACGGAACTACTACAGTAGTGCTCCTTGCAGGTGAGTTTTTGAAGGAGGCAAAGCCTTTCATTGAAGATGGAGTTCACCCTCAGAATCTCATACGCAGTTATAGGACTGCGTGCAATTTGGTCAGTAGTATAGTGTTTATGTTTTGGAGAGCTATGCTTTAGTCATGCATTGGACCATAAATGTGCTATATTTTGGTGCAGGCAATCAACAAAATTAAAGAAGTAGCTGTAAGCATAGAGGGTAAGAGCCTTGAAGAAAAGAAAAAGTTGCTGGCAAAGTGTGCTGCGACAACACTCTCTTCTAAACTTATTGGAGGTGAAAAGGAGTTCTTTGCAACAATGGTCGTTGATGCAGTTGTTGCAATTAGAAGTGATGACAGGCTAAACTTAATAGGCGTAAAAAAGGTTTGTTTTCAGCTTGCTTACTTGAATTTTTTTTGCATTCCGTTGATTAATTGTTGCATGAAAAGGCATGAACTATTGCCTTTTTCCTATGGCTAATATGATCTTCCAATTTCGTTGATTTTGTTGTAAGCATTGGATAGTGTGTTGATTCCTTTTAGTAGATAGAGAAGGTGGATGGTTTTTGCCAGTCTGGTATTTATTTGGGCACACAATATTCTGTATTTCCGAGTTGATACGTGCATCATAATATATCAATTTATATTTTCCTTAGATAAAATGACCTTGCCAGTAGAGAGGAATCCATGAAGTATGATGTCCAAGAAGACGTTATCTGTGGAGCCAATGTAGCGTACCCAAGGGGTAGGGACAATTTAGCAGCCATGTTGAGATATTTGTGCTTTCTGGTGTGGTCCGTCATAGAGGTACAAAGACATGATGGATCATTGTGCATGTCTTCTTTTGATATTTTCCTTTTTCTTGCTAGGGTGGAATTTTGGGCATCACATTTGTTTTGGATTATGTGCTGCTGATGTCCATTTTTTTTTTTAAGACCTGCGTTGTACAATCTTTCCCAATTTGGATGAAAAGCTTGGGAAGAGTTTTTTGGCTGTACACCATCTAATACTTTTTCGTTTCTAGGTTCCCGGGGGCACCATGCGTGATTCTTTCCTGGTAAATGGTGTCGCGTTCAAAAAGACATTCTCTTACGCTGGTTTTGAGCAGCAACCAAAGAAATTTCAGAATCCAAAGATTCTATTGTTGAATATTGAGTTGGAGTTGAAGTCGGAAAAAGAAAATGCTGAAGTCAGGTTAGGTTGATCCGTCTACTGTTTCGTGGTGACATTGTAAAGCTTTTACACTAATTGTTATATCTATCTTTCTTCTGGCAGATTATCAGATCCTGCACAATATCAATCAGTCGTTGACGCTGAGTGGAATATCATTTATGACAAACTAGACAAGTGTGTTCAAAGCGGGGCGAAAATTATACTTTCTCGGTTGGCTATTGGAGATCTTGCTACTCAGGTATATTTCTTCCATGTTAACTTCTGTCATTTGTCCTTTTCGGGTTTCTGAAGTTTTGATCTTTGTGCAGTACTTTGCGGATCGGGATATGTTCTGTGCTGGCCGTGTAACAGAAGAAGATCTGCAGCGTGTTGCAGCAGCCACTGGTGGAACTGTGCAGACATCTGTGAACAATATTGTCGACGAGGTTCTTTTATGCTTTCCTTTGATATATCTTGACACTTTTGTGCTAGTGCTGTCATGTCAGCATCATTACCCGGCGGGACTTGTGAAACATCTTATAGAGAACGCATTTCTGATGTGATACGCTGCTTATCCTTGGCAACGCTATACACCCATCCCATCTATCTCCCCATCCTTTTAGTTTCACCAATTTGAATCCGATCATTGCTGTAGTTTTTTTTTTTTTTTTTTTTCGCTTTGTTCATCAGCAGAGAGCGTGGGCTGGCTATTTTCTCACGGTTTTTTTACATTCGGAGCCAGTGAAATTTCGCTGTATGCGTTTGAGATATGAACCTTTATTTGTCCTCACTTATCCGCATATATTTATACCTAGAGTGCTTGTTACTGTTGATAAAGATATAATTATATCTTCATCTTCAACCAGAATTTGGAGGAACCGTGGATATTAATGATAGTCTGTGTTCTTAATTATTTTTATCTTGGTTTCTTAATAAGTTGCTGATAGTTTCCATCTATGTTTTGCATTTGGAAGGTTCTTGGATCTTGTGACTTTTTTGAAGAAAGACAAGTGGGCAACGAAAGGTTTAACATATTTAGTGGTTGCCCTTCCGCTCATACTGCCACCATTGTTCTCCGTGGTGGAGCCGATCAGGTTTGTCGCTTTGTTATGTGCCAGCAGCTGATTGCTCGTAGTTTGCCTCTTGATGAGTATGACTAAACTTTCATGTTGTCCTTCAGTTCATTGAGGAAGCTGAGCGCAGTTTACATGATGCTATAATGATTGTGAGAAGAGCCCTAAAAAACTCCACTGTCGTTCCCGGTGGTGGTGCGATAGATGTAAGCCTTATATTTGATCTGCTTGTCATGATCTGCTAGAAGGTTAATTTTCATGCAAAATTCCTTTTTCTAATTTGTTTTTCCTCCACAGATGGAGATCAGCAGATATCTCAGACAGCATTCACGAACAATTGCCGGGAAGTCTCAATTGTTTATTAATTCTTATGCTAAGGCGCTCGAGGTGGGGAAACTAGTAACCTTGTTGATTGCTTTATCATAAGCATACTTTGATATTATTTCATGTTGCCGAAAATCTTCTTTGACAAACTTTAGTCCAAAGTCCAGAACATATGATGCCCCAATGAAACCACGTGATAAAAGGATCATTTCTTTAGTCGGCCCTTCCCTCGTCTCGTTGCGGCCCCTGAGCCTTAGAAGAACAGGTGAAGCCTTTGTGCGGGAGAAGATTGCTTTAGATTCATAGCTCGTGAAGGCTGACTTCCCACCCAATTTGGTTTCTCTTACTTTTACCAAGATGACGCGGTAGATGTCCCCTTCAATTGGTTTATGAAAGATAATAGAAAGAAGTTGACAATATGCTGTTATTTTGGTTGTCAGTTAGTAAGCATGCGACCTTGTGGTTTTTGTCAAGCTAGAATTTCGGGCAACTGAAACAGATGCATCTTCGCTTTCGTCGATGCTTGGATGCTCGCAAGTTCCTCAAGCTCACTTTTTATTTTATCCATATTTTTGCAGATAATTCCTCGGCAGCTTTGTGACAATGCCGGATTTGATGCAACCGATGTGCTGAACAAGCTCCGTCAGAAGCATGCATCTGGTTAGCCCGCTTTCCTTCAATGCGCATATTGTTCCCGGTAGTTGATCGGCTCCTTCCTTGGTCATATGAAGATCATTACGGCCGGTGATGCAGGCGAAGGAGCATACTACGGCGTGGACATCAACACTGGTGGAATTGCAGATTCCTTTGCAAACTTCGTGTGGGAGCCTTCTGTGGTGAAGGTACCCACCCACCCTCGAGAGGCATCGTCAACACGATCGATGTTCATCAGCTCGTTTCCTGGGTTTTCTGTGGTATTCCTTTTTTTTTGTGCCGATTCTCTGTGTGTTCTTGCTCCTGCAGATTAATGCCATAAACGCCGCAACTGAGGCTGCTTGCCTCATTCTCAGCGTGGACGAGACAATCAAAAATCCCAAGGTAAAGTCAACTCCTTTTTTCCCTTTTTTTATTGCACTTTTCTTAAAGCCACGATCTTAGATACTCTGGATCAGCACTCGCTCCTTTGCTTTAGGACGGGAGTTCGAGTTTGACTCTCCCGTTGACTTCACCCGGTTTTGACTACCATCCTTAAAAGTTGGGATTGTTTTGACAAAAAAAGGACAGAATCATACAATGTACGGGCATTTTCTGACGGTCTTCTTGAATATGGCCTGGCAGTCTGAGAGCGCCCAGGGGGAGGCGGCGGCCAGTGCGATGGCGGGCCGAGGACGCGGCGGAGGTGGCTTCCGCGGCCGCGGAGGGAGGGGCATGAGACGGCGGTGATCTTGCCACCGGCGGGGAGATGTGGGTTCGCAGCCGTTGGGCTCGTGTGTTGGCTTTGACTTTTATTAGAGTGCTGATTGGCCCTGGAGAACAAAGTGAGCCAGTTCGATCTGCGGGGAGAGAGGTGGTGTGCCCTTCGCTGTCATTGGAAATTTTGCAGTTATCCCGCTCGGAATGTCCGAGTATTTGCTTGCGCACCTCTCTTGTTTTCCTCGTGCATAGATTAGACAGTATGCCTGGTCGCGGTTTCCCACAATATTTCTTTTGTCCTTGTTTTTAGGCCCGTACGTTAATTTGAATGGAACAGGGTTTAAATTTTGATAAAATATATCATCGAGGACTCACTGCGTGTGGATGTAATCATGTCTTTTGATTTAAACGCGCCGATGCACTTGTCTGCAGGAGCTGTCCCCACGTGACTACCTGGCGGCTTCCTGAAGCTCGGTGGTAGCTTCTCACGTCGTCCCCTCTGGTCAAAGGGCGAGCCTGCGGCATCATCCCTTCTCTCTCTCGCTCTCTCTCTCTGGTCGGATCGAACTTGTTCGCCGGCGGCGGCGAAGCCTCGCCTTCCGAAGGAGGACCGCCGCGAGAGAGGAGGAGAGAGAGAGAGAGAGGATGTCGGGGTTGTTCGCATACTCCATTGGGGGGCTGGGTCTGCTCCTCGTGGGCGCCGTCGAGTCCCTGTCCTCCTCCTTCCCGGCGGCGGAGGGCCCCCTAACTCCGTCCTTCCGATTCCTCTGCATCGGCGCCTTGGCCTCCCTCGCGCTCCTCAATTCCCTCATCTCCGCCGTCGACTCACTCCGCCAGGCGCCGCCCCCGCCCCGCGGAAGGGACGACGAGCTCGGCGTGGCCCTTCAGCTCGGCTCCGCGGCGGTCACCACCCTCTTCCTCTTATACGCCCTCGCCGGCGCCGCGTCCTCCCGCAAGGGGCTCCTCCGCTTCCCGCGCCTCCCATCCGAGCTGCTGGATCTCGTCGGCTTCTTCGCCTTCGCGGCGGAGTTCCTGCTCTTCCACCTGCAGCTCAAGGACGCCAACGGCGTTGAGAACCGCTACTACGACCTCCTCCTCGTCCCCGTGGCCGTCTGCGCGGCGGCCACCCTCCTCTGCGCCTCCCTCCCGCGGTCCCCCTTCCCTCGGCTGGCGCGGGGGCTCGGCCTCGTCCTCCACGGCACTTGGTTCCTGCAGATGGGCTTCTCCTTCTTTTCCAGCGCCGTGGCCCACGGCTGCTCCCTCCGCAGCCGCAGCCGCGGTGACTACACGGTGCAGTGCCGGGGCCACGCCGAGTACCACCGCGCCCGGGCCGTCGCCACCCTCCAGTTCAACGGCCACCTCGCCCTGCTCGTGCTGGTCTCCCTCGGCGTCTACGCCGCCGTCGTCGCAACCGGCGGCGCCGGCCCGGATGACCGCCCGGCGGGAGACCGGTACCGCAAGTACAAGCCCCTCAGCGAGATGCAGAGGTTGGACGACCGCCACCACCACCACCCCGCCGCGTCATCGCGATTCACGCTGGACTCCGACGAAGAGGAAGAGGGGGGCGCTGCCGCCGAGATCTCGCCGGTGACGCAGGCGCCGCCGCCGCCATGATCGGGAGTCAACGGCAGCGCTCACTGATCCGGTCGGTGAGTCCACCCGCTGGCTCCACTTGATCCACACAGAGAGAGGGAGAGAGAGGAACCAACCAACCCGGAAACGCCATGGATTGACCCCAAGCTCCTACCCCTGTGTTTTATTCCCCAGCCAGATGGGTCCTCCCAGTTCCAGCTCCACTACGAAACAGAACCAGTGATTCTGGCCCTCCCGCATCTTCTTCCACCGCCATGGATTTCAGCTGCTGCCGTCTGCAATGCCGTCGATGCTCTCATTCTTTGCTGTCGAGGATCTCGAGGATGAGCCCGCCGATTTGACCAGTGATCTTCGATCTGGGTGGGCCTCGTCGGGTCCATCTGGGCGCGACCAAGTTCTTACCGACGAATAAGAGCATATCTACAGAGAGAGAGAGAGAGAGAGAGAGAGAGAGAGAGAATGTGTCAAGTCTCTCTCTGCCTGTGTGAAGGGGTCGACTCTCTCTCTCTCTCCCTCTCTTTATCCACTCTGACCTGTTCGGGGAACGGGGAGGGGAAAGGGGTGGATGAATCTGCCGGCGGAGCCGCGGAGGGGGCGATGACTTCCGTCTGTCTCGCTCTAGTATTTTCTTCCCTACATGGACTGCGGTGATCCGCCATACCCGCATAACAAAGAGAAAGAGAGAGAGAGAGAGAGAGAGAGAGAGAGCTGTGCAAACGCCCAGGTGTAGAGAGAGGGAGAGCCTTATTATCGCCGAAAAAGGTAGAGAAAAGAGACGGAAATAGAGAGAGAGAGAGAGAGAGCTGTACAAACGCCCAAAGTGTAGTGATAGGAGGTGCCCTATTTTCGCCGAAAAAGGTAGAGAAAAGGGACCGGAAATAGAGCGAGAGAGAGAACGAGAGAGAGCGACGGAGGGAGAGAGGGTCCCATAATCGTCGAACTGGACTGGTAGATAGGAGACGTGGAAGATGCCGAGAGGAGCCGTGAAGACCGTAGCAGAGAAAAGGGCAGCCATTCACACCGTCCGCCGTCTGACGTCCCCGCCTCCGCCGCCGCTGGCATCATCGCTCACGCACGCCCCAAGAGAATCCAGCTCCGAAGCTCCTCCCCCCCCCCTTCCGCGGTGCCCTCCAGGCGGCCCAACTGCGGCTTTTCTATTCTCACGGTCCCTGCCAGGGAACAAGACGACGATCCTTCGCTTTAGCTCCTGTAGAAGCCGCGGACAGATACCCCCCCCCCCTCCCCATAACCGTCTCTTATTTGTAAAATACATTAATTATTATCGTATAGTATAATAAAAGATCATATTATTTGCTGACTTTTTGGAGAGCTGAAAACTGAAGAAAATAAATGCAGGGGTTTTTTCATCGTTGAACATTTTTGTCGGGGGCTGAAACGTAAAATCTCCAGAAAAATTCAAGTAAAGATTTACCGGAAACAAATCTATGTACATGTTTCGGGAAGGGGGTATACAGCGAAATTCCAAGGAGAATGATAGACAGAGCCGTGTGTGAAAAAGAAAAGAAAATTTCAGATGAGCCCCTAGAACTGGGTGGTGTTGGACCCGTGGGCGTGGGCGTTGACCGAGGAGGAGTGCATCCGGAGGATGGGCTCGGAGTAGGTGCCGAAGGCCTGCGAGCCGGGGGTGTCTCCGCTGCCGCAGCTGCTGCTGCCGCCGTCGTCGTCGTCGCCGGCGGCGATGCCACAGGTCGCCCGCAGAGTCCTCTTCACCATCTCCCTGAACCTCCTCTTCTTCGCCCTCTCCGGTGCCCCCGCCTCCCCGTCCTCCTCCTCCGCCAACGCCGCCGCATCCTCCTCCTGATCCACTGCCCGCAGCACCTCCTCCAAACCCGCCGCCTGGGCTATCCCCCGGAACCTCATCGTCGCCTTACTCATGGAGTACAGCGCCGCCACGCAGTACTCCTTCTTCAATTCCACCTCCGAGTCCCTCCCCGCAGCCGCCGCCGGTGGCACCGCCCTGAGCAGCCGCGCCAGCGCCGGCACCGCCCCCCCCTCTATCATCGCTTCCCGGCCTTCCCTTGACGACGCGAGGTTGCAGACGATCATCAGCGCAAGCCCCGGCAGGGAGTGAGCCTCCGCCGGGGGCGCCGCCGCCAGCGCCAGCAGGGATTTGATGGCGCCCTGCTTCACCAGCTTGGAGAGGTTGGTGCCGGCCATGGAGAGGTGGTACAGCGCCATCCCGGCGTCACGGCGCGTCCGTTCCTCCGCCTGGTTCCGGCAGAGGAGGTGAAGGAGCGGGGGGAGAGCTCCGAGGACGCCGATGGCGGCCTTGTTGTCGTCCTCCACGGACAGGCTGAAGAGCACGGCTGCGGCGTGGTCCTGCGCCTCCGGGACGGCGCTGTTCTTGAGGACGTCGACGAGGGGGGGAACCAGGCCGGCGCGGACGATGCGGACGCGGTTGGGCGGGTGGAGGGAGAGGTTCACCAGCGACGCGACGGCGTGCAGGCAGAGAGAGGGGTAGCGAGAGAGGATCATGGGCCGGAGCGCCGCCAGGATCTTCTCGTCGCAGAGGGCGACCCGGTTGTCGCCGCTGCCGTCCCGCGTGGAGGACCGGAGGAAGCGCACCGCCTCCTCCTGCTCCGAGATCTGCGGCGCCTTGAGCCCCGTGAGGATCTCCCTGCCCAAGGGGTGGCTCAAGCCCAAGCCTGGAGAAGGCGAGATTTGATCGGAGGGCGGGATGTCGGAGGAGGAGGAGGAGGTGGTGGTGGCGACGTTGGAGGAGGAATTCGTCGGGGAATGGAAGATTTGGGGGCTCAAATCGATCGAGGTCTTAGGAGATCTCCTGCCCCTCTCTCCCTCTGTTGCAGAGGGGGGAGGGGAGGACGAGGGGAGGTCGCGGACGAAGAGCTTGGCGGTGGAGGGATCCACGGCCTGCGGGGGGTCGAGGCCGCGGGAGCCGCACCAGTTGAAGATGGCCGCGCGGAGGGCCAGGTTGGGGATGAGGAGATCGGCGGCGGAAACCTCGCCAGCGCCGGGAGGCACCACGCGGAGGTCTTTGCAGGCCTGGATGCAGCTCCGCTCGTAGGTGTGGCCGGTGACGATGATCACGGGGTCGGCCATCAGGCGTCCGGAGATGGGGCAGACGAATTCCCTCGGAATCTCTACCGACGCCGCCACATCAGTCGGCGGAGGCGTCACCGGCCTAGGGTTCCGGCTGGCGGAGGACGACGAAGAACGGTGGTTGTGGCTGAGGTTGGGGAACCAGCGCGCCGCCTTCCCGTGGCTGCCCATCTTCCTCTTCTTGTTCTTCTTCTTCTTCTTCCTCCGCGTCTGATCCTCCGCTCGCTCATGTGGCAGGGGGCGAGCGCCGCGGAGGGGGCAGGAAAGAGGGGGAATCACCCATCCCTTCTATACCCTCTATCCTACCATTTCTGCGCTCGGAAGCAGCACCAGACGCAGCAGCGATGGAGGTGGGAAACCCTTTGACCCTCGGGAAGAAGAGGAAGGAAGTTTCAAGGCGGCCAAGGCGTGGACTCTCTCTCTCTCTACATTCTCAGATGTAGAGAGAGAGAGAGATAGAGAGAGGCTGAGCTGTGTGGGGCTCTGGAGGCATCTCCACGGGATCTGTCCGGCCGGTGAGGACCTCATAAGGTAGGACCCACTGAAATCTGGAAAAAGTCTTCGAATCCTCCCGCTGACGAAAAATGGGCTCGCTAGTCTGCTTAAATATCTAACGGGTCGGGCTTCGTTATGTGCGGGCCCGGGCTGAGCGTACCTTATGAAGCTCAGATTTGGAGGAAGCTGGGCCCAACAAGAAACCTTGGGCCCCGCCCGCTCCATCGTTGTTCTAAGCGAGAGAGAGAGAGAGAGAGTTGACTTGTGAAAGGAAATCGGGTTCCGGACCTTCAGGTCGGGCTTCATCGAAGTATAGACCGGGCCCAGATGCACGTGGGGGGCCTTGATATTTCGGCCCGGCCCGTGACACCCCACCATAATATCTTTGCCTTGCAAAAAAATTAGAAATTTGCAAATTAATCCTCCGAGAAATATTTTTATACATTTTCAGACGTGGTCTCCTACGAACAAAAAAATTGCACGTATACGCCAAGCCAGGGGTCAATTGAAGTCACGGTAGATTTCCTAAGTTTACACTTATATGAGGGCATTATCGAAAATATCCCTATCCACGATTTCTGAGGGATGACATAAACAAGGGGTATCAGATTTTTCCTCCACCCTGCAAGCATCCTATTAGCCTGATGTCTAAGTACTTACTGTATGCATCATGCCAGTTGTATCTTTTGTTGTCAACGCCTGTATATAACTACGCAACTAGTATCCTAACTTGCAAATCAAGCCGTCCATTTTTTATGTTTTTTTAAATATCCTGTGGCCGCTGACTTCTTACCGATAGAAGTCAACCCGGGCTAGCCTATCGTGGTACTTGGAGGGCCTGGTCTATGGCAGTCATTGAGAGGGACAAAGAATGGATGCACGCAAGTTGAATCATTCAAATCAACGACCAGAACAACGCCAATCCATTGAACGCATGCTTTTTATACTGTTTATTAAATGAATATCATTTTTTTGGGATTAGATGAGAAAATTATATTGTGGTCCCTAATGCTCTCCCTATAGTTTTGACTTCAATCAGACAAAATTCATGGGCTTTTGGTGTATGATTGACAATGAGATATCAGATTGAAGGTCCCTACATGTCCAATGGCCTTTACTTGTTGCAGGATTTTTTTATAAAATTTATTTTTTTTAAAAATATATTAAGGAAGTAATTATGTTTGTCTATATCATTGCTGTCATTATTTGATTGTTTCAAATTTTTATTAGTTTCATTTAATGTTGTCCACGAAAGTGAGATAAGTTTGCTAAGTATGTTTGGCTTTGATATTCTTGAATGTATTTACATGCAGTAATATACTTAAAATGTGTTATTTTATATGGTTAGCATTAAATGTGTATATAAAAGGTTAGTGATTATAAGAATGTAATATAGTGTTTTTGCTTAAACCCTTTTGGTTTCATCTTTTTTTTTTTCATTTAATTCGTCTATAACCATGTGAGATAATTCTTCATATTTTATTTTTTCCTTCTGAATATTTTTGAGTATATAATCGTTAATATATTGTTAAAGAGTGAGAGTTTTATGTCAAAATAGTGATTCCATGAGGACCCAAAAGTTAGTTTTGAAGTTTATTATACTATCCTAAATTATTTAAATAATAAATTCCCAAAACATGAGCACACGTAATTATTAGTGACTAAAATTCCCTTTTTCGAATTATAAATTCATAAAAATGCATATTGTTATGCTACAAATCAACTAATGCAGAATTTAGTTGATGGTACCTAGGCATATTCAAATTATTGTCTAAGCAATATGTCACGTCATTCATAAAAAAAATAGCATACGGGTGATTAAAAAATTGTATTTTGTGAGAAGCTTAAATGTCTAGATATACATCTTATAAATCATTTTGAGTACAAATAATGATTTTTATGATGGAACTAAAAGTAATTTTGTACACTTTGTTGAATTTTTATCCATTAAGATTTAGATTTAAGTATGGGTAATTGGTAATGGTGGTGCTTGTAAAGAATGCGACAAGTGTAGCAACTTCATTCGGTACACCAACTTGCTCTTTACACATCGTAACCTCACGGTCACATGTGTAGCAAGCACCTTCTCTCTCTCTCTCCTCTCCCCAAACCACGTACATATAGAGAACAGAGCTTCATTCTTTTTGGGCCGAGTCCACAATAGAGAGAGAGAGAGAGAGAGAGAGAGAGAGAGAGAGAGAGAGAGAGACATAATGCGATCACGTCAATGATCTCTCTCGGGGTGGGAGCTCGCCGCTGGACAGGGCGTTCACGATTGGTGGCGTCCGAGGGGCCATTTTAATTTTCGTGTCCCTGCGGAATAGCTGCTGTCGCGCCCCCACGACAGTCCCGTTTCGGACACCTTCTCACCTCTCTCTCTCTCTCCTCCACGATTTTACGCGCCGTTTGTCCATCCTCTCCACGCTGATCAGTCTCTGGATGTCGTCCCTTTCTTCTCACTACTCATAATCCTTCCTGTTCATACCTCCGCTGCTTCCGCGGTGATTTGGTGTCCCGTCTCTTCTCCATCCTCCTCCTAGTTGTCGTTTTCTTCACTTGTTGCCTGTGGTGGAAAGGTTGGGAAGTGAGAATGCCGGCCAAGGCGGAGAAAAAGGGGGGCGGGGGGAAGCAGCAACAGCAGGTTCAGCAGAGGAGGGACCCGTACGAGGTCCTGGGCGTCTCCCGCAGTTCATCGGATCAGGAAATCAAGAGTGCCTACCGTAAGCTGGCTCTCAGGTATTCGGTTTGCTCTCATCTTTCAGGATCTTGAGGGTATATTCTTAGGATCAGGTTTTGTACGGCGTTTTGTTCCTCGTGAAAAAAAATGTCGTTTGATTGGCCCAATTTTTATTGATTGGTCCTTTATGTCTTGGAGCTCGTAATGTGAGAATTCAGGTTCCTTTTAGTACTTGACATTCCATACTACGGTTTTACGTTTGGTTTTTGGGCCCTTAGTTCGGGGCTTTAGGGCATTGGCTTTCTTTGACTTTTGGTTCGGTCATTTTCCTCCGTTTCTATGGGGAATCCTGTTCGTGGAGCTAGGATTTCCAAGCTAAATACGAAATTATCTTTAAAATATAGGTTGGATATAAATTCAAATCCTCCGTGGAGTGAGGTCTTTAACTGCCAGAAAACCTTTCATTTTTCAATTTTCAATTTTCAATTTTCATTCTTCTTTTAATTGTTTGTCGATGGCTTGCCGGGAAACTATTGTTCTTGCTGCACATTCACTTGTGAAATGAACAATGTTATCTCTGTGTATGCGCCAGAATCGGTGAAAACACAAATATTGACGTAGGAAAGCACTCGACGAGAATGCATTGCTAGTAAGTGAGCGTTTGATATAATAATTTGAATGAATTACAAGGTTGGAGCTTCCAAAGGAAAATGTGATGACTGCTGGTGTATTGAGGAAAGAGAAGGTACACGCGAAAGACACTACACAGAGATAGTATTATTGGCATGATCTGTGTACTAGAGGAGTAGATGATGCTATCAAGTTACTGGCTGGTGGTCAAAATTTGGGCACTAAATTTAATCAAACATTGATGTGAGGGTCCTATTTACAGTCCTGTTTGAGGTGCTGATCTTTTCTTCTTGATGGTTTTCTTCATCTACGTATTCAATTACCTTGTTTAACAGGAATGTCAGTAAAGTGCGTCTGGATCTACATTTATGTAATGTGCGATTATAATCCCTGTCTAAAGCTTCTTTTCCACCATTTGAACTATAGTAAATAGTAGTTGTGGGATTCAGTCTGTCATATTCAATCTCCTTGTCGATAACAAGGCATGCATTGTTGCCCTTACATCCATAGATGATTTCGGAGTTCATACTATGCTGAGTTATATAAACTATAATCCTAAAACATATCACTTAGGTAATTGAGGGGTTTCATTTAGGACAAGACACAATAAAAATTGCATTATGACTCGTGCTTGAAGGGAGTAAAAGAATGCATTGGTGACACACAAATCTTGAGGTATCAAATTGTTGAATGAAATGGTGACAATGTGGCTTCACTAATATAGTGATCTATGATTATTTATTTTTCACACGCTATAACGAACTGTAAAAGGGTAAATAACTACGTTGTTTGAGTTGAGAGGAGTATACACTGAATAGAGAGTAGATGAAATCTTAGAATTCTTCGGTGGGATGCTTAGTCTCAATTTAAGTCCATCATTTCGCTAATATTCTTTATTATCTGCTTTTTGGCCTCTGACGCATTTTTTAGGCTGGAAACAACCCAGTATTATAGACACCCGAGGATTGAATTATGTGATCAATATATATCTTCTGTAATCTTTGGTAAGGTATGGAAAATCATGAGGCAGGGGGCAGAAAGTAGATTGAACCAGAAATTATGATGATTTGCCAGATATGTTTTTACAAAGGTAATGAATACGAGCCCATGTCACTGGGGAAATGTCTCTAAATTGTTAATGAAGGGAGAAGAAGTACTGGGTTTTCAGTCTACTATATCCACTTACTGTAAATCAGGCCGTGCAAATTCAGTGTGATTCTTTACTCTGATTTAAATTATTCTCTGGCGAGAGAGCTTCCAACCCCTTTTGCACAGCGTTTTAAGGCGTTTTGTACAGGCCATATCCTTCCCCTGAACCTCAGTAATGTTGTTGCTCGTGCAATTTATTTAATTTCACTTGTTCAGGTGGCAGTGAGATCCAATTAATTGTCAACTCACTTTAAATTTTGATTGTCGCATTACACCTCTGATTGGTGTTGATGATGAAACACTTCGTTCTGCTTTTGAATTGTAGATCCAAAATAATATTTTTTTATGAAAATAACTTCCTTGCTGAGGGCTAATGTTCCTTTGTCAGTCCAATGGAGGATAGAAAGATGTGGAACTGTCCTTCTAAGGGATAACGTGACGAAGTAAAGAGGGAGGTTTTGATGATCAATGGGGTAAATTTCCAGATATCAAAGAGCTTCCTATCGTGATTAGAAGTTTTCTGTGAGAAACACTTGTCAGAAAGGACTTCCCACGGGGTATTGATTGGCTAAATTTAAATCTGTGGGGGGACGAGTTGTATCCTTTGTGGAAGCATTCAGGAAAACATCCATAACAATTATTATTTTGGGAATCATTTATTTTCTCCAAAAGATCATCCTCATTTCATTTTAAAAATCACGGGATGGATGCATTATAAACTGTTGGAACATAATCAGCATCAGACTGTCAAATGTATCCGGTGGAGCGCTCAATGTTCAGCCGTTTTGCTGCGATTTGGTGGTGGGAAGAACAGAGGAACCTCCTAATTTTCCGTTTTCCAGTCTATTTATTATCAACAAGCGATGAGATCAACAGATTAGGGATTTGGTACAACATGTGAGCAATCCAGGAGTCTTCACTCCACCAAACACACCAGAACAGCTTCTTGTTTTTCACTTATCACATCATTAAAGTTTAATATTTTGCTGTTAAATTGGAGTCACAAATGTTATTTTTCAACCGTCAAAGAAGCTTATATTTTGGACAGGTGGGTAATATATTTTACAAGATGATTTGAAAACGATTCTTTGCTTTCATCTCATGGTAGGGAAGCTCTCTTTGTAATCTTACATCCGTTAGAGGAAGGGAGGTGTGAAAGCATTGTATAGATGTGGACTCGGTTATTATTTCCTTCAATCAAGTAGATGAAGCACATTGCTCTTCATGTCTTCATTAAAACTGCATCCCTTCGTATTTGGCTTCTTGAAAGCAAAGTGAATTGTGTTTGGATTCTAGATCTCTTTCATATGAAAGAATATGATATTTTATACGTAGGGTGAATATTTGGTGAGGCCTTTAGCTGGATTTTTTCGTTGTCCATGTATAATAATGATTTATCAAATTATTTATTGAAAGGTTTGGTTCCCCATAAAACTACTTCAGGACCTAAAAAATAAAGACAAATGAAGAATCCCATTTGAAAGGTTTGTTTCCCCATAAAACCGAATAATTGTGTGTTTTAGTTCAGTTTTAGTGATTTTCAGCTGGTATAAATCCGATATCCTGCATAACTAGAGAGGCGTGGCCAGGTTCTGATGTCTCTTTCCAGCTCTGTACCAGACCAGCTGATCTTTATAACTGTGCCATTATAAGTCCCAAGCAACATACTGGTAAACTAGTGAACTATTTCTCATACCACTTTCACAACAACCGATGACATTATTTATTTTCTCAAATTCTCATTCTTCCGCATTATATTTGAATTTTTTTTGCTTATATTGAGCCACTGATGGTTCTCTGATCTCGTTGCTTCGTGTTATGCTTCTTTGTCCTGTTAGTTTTATTTTTCCAGTATATTCTCTGCATGACTTTTTGCCCTCCACACTTGGGGATACTATAACCACTGGCTTTCCCGATAGGTTGTTCAACATTTTCACAATAAATATGTATATTTATCATTTCGATTGTTTCCGGGATTATTAGGAATTGGGTTCATAATTTCCCGTCGGTTTTGCCTAGCTATTATTATTCGAATTGACTGTCTGTTCAACAGTTTATTATCCTCGTTTTCTATATTTACCTTCGTTCTATTATTGGCTTGGACGAAAGAAGAAAGTCTTGCTAGATGCTTATCTAATTTATTATGATGTTGGGGTCATTATTTTTTACCTTGCTATTTTGCATATATCTTCAGATACCATCCTGACAAAAATGCAAATAATCCTGCGGCTGCTGACACTTTTAAGGAGGTCACATTCTCATATAACATACTATCGGATTCGGAGAAACGACGACAATATGACTTGGCTGGCTTTGAGGTATATAATGTTTCACCGTCAATTGTGATGCTACTTACTTTAATGATGTTTTTTGAGAAACCTTTCCTAGAAGTTTATGTTTGTTTCTGGGACATATTCAGTATTATGGGTATGTGAAAATCTGCCTAAAATTGTTATTTCTATGATTTATGTTATGGTTTCCTGTTGTTTTTCTCTGAAACCTTGGTCAGCAATGCAAGTCCGATGTGGTGTATCTTTGTGCAGGCGATTGAGTTAGAGAGCCAGGAATTGGAATTAGATCTTTCAAGTCTGGGTGCTGTAAACACCATGTTTGCTGCACTTTTTAGGTAAAAATGTTTCCATGGAGGTTTTATTTTTGTGTTTCTATATGATGTTCTTAATTTTTGCATCTGTGCCCAACGGTAGTAAACTTGGTGTGCCAATTAAGACAACTATTTCACCAACTGTCCTGGAGGAAGCACTTCATGGCTCTGTCACTATTTGCCCACTGCAGTTGGGACAGCCTTTCACTAAAAAGGTTGATCACTTTCTTCTGTGGTTTTCTTTTTATGTTTTGGTTTTAATTGTGTGGATCTTTAATCATTCTCTTTTTTTTCGCAGGTAGAGAAGCAATCTGCCCATTTCTATTCTATAGAGATATCAGAACAGGAAGCAGAAGCTGGATTAGTGTGTCGAGTTTATTCAACCGACAAGAGCAAATTCAAGGTTTGTATCAGTTTTTTCCTGATACAACTTTTGCAATTTGTTTTAGCAATAGAACTCTCTTGAAAAATGTAGAGTGCATAGTATCTTCTTGAAATTATTTAAATTTGTAGGCATCCCTTTCCCTTGAGAATACTCAACAGAATTCCTTTAGGACTTCACCTAAAAACTTTCTGTGAATATGAATTCTTTAAAACTTTTTTTTCTCATAAAAAGCTCGAGCAAAATTGGAACAGTTTGAGATTTGCTAAAGGGTGCCTCAAATTTTAGTACATAGTTTATAGGTAGGGTGTCCCGCTAAGATTGTATCCAGATATTTTTTCCACCGTTTCTTTTCTTTTTTTCTCCTCCGTGTGGCTGGAAGGACTATATTATTGGTACATTGACAAACTTGTATTATCTCTCGACTCCAAGACTTTTGTGTTATTATTAATACATTGAATTTTATGCCAACACAGCTACTGTACTTTGATCAAGAGGAAAATGGTGGTCTGAGCCTTGCATTACAGGTATAGTATTTATCGGAATTTATTCTTGTTGCTAAAAGGTAATGGTGAAATAGGCCGAATTAATATCCATATTTTTGAGTTAAATGTGATGAGTTTTTTAAATGATAATTTTATGAATAATATATTTGGAATTTCGTCTCATTTATGAGTTCTTTAAAGTCAAGGGTCTCTGCCAGTTCATGGTGTTCTCTCAAGCAGCTAACTTTTGTAGTCATTCAGGTACTTTTTTGGAAATACAATTTTTTGGGATTGTGATGCGGATTAAACTGATCTAATCTTGACCCAAGTTGTAAGTTGAGGTCGTACCTTCTGGTCATGAATACGAGAGGTCTGATTCCATTTAGTTGTCTCATAGCTATTCTTTTTTTAAAACATGCTCTCTTAGTCGTATAAATGATCACAGTGAACAGTTTTGGTGTCGCCTGAGATTGCTACTTTTGATTGAAACTCCAAAGGAGAGTGAGGTGAAGGACGTAAAGAAGCTTTTCAAGATGATGGAGAAAGTTACGTGCATCAATGGAGATTGGGAAAGATGTGCAAGGTCTTTTCCTGGAAGAAGAATAATAGATGATAGGTATGCTATGTATTCTGGGAAGGAGGACAAGAAGGAAAAAAGACAGGGACGGGAAAATCATCAGGGGGTTTCGAATAGCTGGGAAAGAGGGAGGATTGGGACCTAGTGAGCCATGAGAATTTTAAACTAGAGGATAAGCATTGTGTAACAGGGTCCAGAGAAGAGTTGTGACAGATATTAACAGTGGTAGACGTCCTTGGATTACAAGAGACAGAATGCGATGATGGGGAAGAGGAAGTTATCAGGGAGATTGGAGGCCTCCAAGTAGCTAAAGGCACAAGTTTGCCCATTGTGTGAATAGCAGTAGGAATAAGGATTATGTGAAGTACATCATGGAGAAAGTATAGTAATGCCTGATGAGGTATGTCATCTCCGCTTACCCATCGGAACTTGGATGATGCGTTTGAATGGAGCTTCTTTTGTGCACATCCAGAAAAGCAAAGAATGCTCTTTGAAAATGATTTCTGGAATTTTGTGGAAGCTCTGGGTGACTTCAGAGGAGGCAGTGCTCTGGGCATGAATTTATTCCATTTTCTTTCTACAAACGTTGATGTATTCCAAGATCTAAATCTATCCATAATCAATACAGAAAATGTTGCTTTCGTTCCATGGTAAAACTCTCGATTTTCGCTTGTTCCCATCCTGGGCATGGTCAAGGATTCAAGGATTTTAGAACCTTACCTTTGCACTTTCTCTTCCGTTGGTAAGAAAGGGACACTCCCCCTCTTTTTTTTTTTTCTTTAACTGAAAGCAGCTGATGGTTCAGTTTGTTCAGCTGCACTCTTCTGTCCTCTCAAAAATATGAAAGAGAAGGCTATCTTTCTGTCAGAGCATTCAGTTTAAGAAAGAAGATCTGCTCTTTACTGTATTATACTGACATTTTTTGTTGATGATTTATGGATTTATGATGCAATCTAATTCCAGGAAGATAGTGCTAAAACGGGAAAGGTTACTTCTGCTGGCATGTACTTCCTTCGCTTCCCAGTTTACCGATTAGATCATGCCATCAACTCGGTGAGGGCTACATACATATATAGATCACGGTTTTTTTTCACCGTCAGCTTCTGGTTTTCACCTGCCGTGTATTTATTTTCCCTCCCCATGTTCTCAATTCTAGGTGGCAGCATCGAAGGACCCAGATGCCGCCTTCTTCAAGAAACTGGATGGGTTTCAGCCATGCGAAATAACGGAGCTCAAAGCGGGCACCCACGTCTTTGCCATTTACGGTTCGTTTTCTAGAGCTGCTTTGGTTTCTTATCCCCTGTTGGATCAAATGTGATACCTACGCCGCAGTCTCCTCCGTCCTCATTTTTCAGGGGACAACTTCTTCAAAAGTGCGAACTACACAGTGGAGATTATGTGCGCCGGTCCTTTTTCCGAGGAGAAGGAGAAACTCCGGACCGTGGAAGCCAAGCTGTTGACTAAACGGGCCGAGCTGTCTAAGTTTGAGGCGGAGTACAGAGAAGTCCGACATCAAAGTCAATGAACGTCTCATCGCAGGCCTTCTTCGCTTTTGAATAATGTTTCTATTTCTCTCTCTGTGAGGTCTGCAGGTGTTGGCGCAGTTCACGGAAATGACTGGGCGATATACCAAGGAAATGCAGTCGGTGGGCTCCCTCCCTCACCCGCCGGCTTCAGTCTGATTGATGAGATTAGTTTGCCAGCCCTGGTAGGATGTTTTGCTCACTTGATGAGATTCCTGCAGATCGATGCGCTTCTCAAGGAAAGGGACGCGATCCACGCCTCGTACACGACCATCCAACCGTTGAAGAGGAGTTCAAGCAACAAGGCGATGAAGGCTTCCTCCAAGGACTCCAGAAGCGAAGGCGAACCTCATGCCCATGCCCATGCCCGTGAGAAGAAGTCGGCTTCGAGGGACCGGCCCAAGAAGAAGAAGTGGTACAATGCCCACTTTAAAGTGGAGAAGAGGAAGCCATGCTGAAAGATGGTGAGGAAGACCTGTGCGATTTCCGGGTTGACCCGCTTCCAGGTTGACATCTTTTTTTCCACCCACAGGTTCCCGGGGCTTCTCTTTGACTTCCGAAGCAGTCCTGTTGCAGAACATCTTCTAGCTGGCGACGTTAAATCTCTGTCCTACCTTGCCTTGGGGTTAGAAGCGCAGATCGTGCGTCACGTCGGGTAATGTCCCTCTGTTTTGTCATCTGTAAAGAAATCAATACCCATTTTCTTAGTTAAATTCTTTCCTTTAGGCCTCTTCTTTTGCCTCTATATGCCCTTTATTTGCCGGTGGAAATCGCTCCTTCTCTCTCTCTCTCTCTCTCGAAAATAAATACAAAAAGAAATAAAAGAGAACTAAGGAAGCTGCGCTTTGAGCGCCAAAGCCTGTTCTTTGATTGAGCGACGCCAGTCCTCTCGCTAGAACACTCTGTAATCTGGGCCGGACACAGCCTCCTCTTGTCTGGTGTAGCCCTCCTCCCACCCTACCATGTCTGGACTCGTTAAAAGAAAGAGAAGGAGCAGAGCTACCTCTTGTCTCTCTTCTTCTTCTTCTTCTTCTTCGAGTGATCCTCATCATCATGTGCTCTATATTGCTATAAATAGGTATAGGTTTCATGTCCCCCTTCTTCTTCTTCGAGTGACGAGGGGGGCATATTTTTTTAATTTTTGAAAGCCCGAATTCAAGAAGAATGCTGTGGTGTGTAATAAACAAAGTGGGGGGGGCGGAGGAATTATGTAATTAGTATCGGGGAGATGATGAATGCGGACGGAAGAGTTGTGACGTACGTAAAAAGGGTGATGCTATCTGCTGCTCGGAGGATTTGAAGGTGCCCCCGCCCGATCGATTAGATCAAATCAGATCAGACGAGGAGGGAGTTGAACTCGTCGCAGCGACGGCGGACCTCGCCCTTGCGGCCGGTCTTGACGCCGTAGACGCTCAGTTTCTCCATGGCGTGGACGAAGTCCTGGAAGAAGGCGGTCTGGTTGGCGGCATAGAGCCGGACGTAGCGGCGGGTGCGGCGGTCCGCGGCCAGCGCCTGGTCGGTGGCGAGGAGGCCCATCCCCCGCCGGAGATTCCTGAAGTACATGTTGTCGAACTTGTTCGGCGTCATCACGTCGTTGAAGACGGCGATGGTGGGGCGGTCGGCGTAGCCGGCGCAGGCCCTTCTCATGGTCTCCGCGAACTGGGGGTCGGCGGCGGGGTCGGGCTGCGGGCCGAACCGGCCGGCGAACTCTTTGCAGTGGGCGAAACCGACGGTGTGGGCGCCGGAGAGGGCCACGAGGTCCCTGGGGGAGAAGCCCCTCTCGGCGAAGAGGGCGATCAGCTGGGAGACGGAGCTGTTGGAGTGGGGGAGGTGGCCCTCGACGGCGTCCGCGCGGGAGACGAAGCTGTCCTTGCGGCCGAGGCGAACGGCGTAGAAGGGACCGCCGAGCATGGAGAGCAGGTCGCGGGCGGCGAGGGCGAGGATGTCGGAGCAGGAGACGATCCCCGGGCAGGCCAGCTCGAGGGCCGTCTTCGCCCGCACCACGGCGTCGAAGGCGTCCCCGGGGAGGGAGAGGTTGATGTCGGCGTCGCGCTCGGCGCGGTTGAAGGCGTTGGAGGAGACGAGCACGGAGGCGTCGCACCCGTCCAGGAAGCAGTCGTGGAAGAAGAGCCGGATGGTGCCCGCCGCCGTCGTCGGGCTGGCGATCTGTTTGTTCATCACCGTCTCCGCCACGATGTCCGCCGCCTTCGGGCACGTCCGCGCGTAGTAGTCCACCGTCAGCCTCCCCTCCGCCACTGGCACCGCTGCCGCCAGGAGCAGCAGCACCGCCGCCGCCGCCGCCACGGCGGGGCGGAACGTGGTGCGCACCCCCATACCTTTGTCTCTGTTGAAAACCTCCTCCCCCCACCCCCCCTTATCTCTCTTTCTCTCTCTCTCCCGCTCTCTCGGTTCTTCCCCTCAGCAACCTCCTTTCTATATCCCTGTCGAAGAACTGGCGGAGGCAATGGCCTGGGCAAGCGAAGAGGGTATCTGCTTCCTCCTCCGAGAAGAAATGGAGGGGAGGAAGAGACGGAGCAGACGAGCTGGTGGGGGGGAGGGTAGCAGCTCCGTTTTGTCCTAATGGGACCGTGGAAGGGCTTGAGAGAGAGAGAGAGAGAGAGGCTGCGGCGGAGAGGGGTTGTAGGGCGAGAAGAAGGGGAAGGGACGATCGCCTTCTCTAATTGTTCCAGAGAAATTGGCCCATGCACGTACGTGCGTATGTTATTTTAAAGTAGATATTTATCCGAAGACATCCAGCCTGGATGTGGGACGATTGGCATGATTTTGGGCTCGTACTCTTCGGTCTGGCTCAATCAGACAACCCAAATGGGCTGGCTTTTCAGAACCCAAATGGCCCTGCACCACCCAGGATTCCGGCTGATATCAGTGCCTCTCACGCTTAATATCCACCCCCTTAATTACTGGCATTTGTTTGCGACTTCTAGATTTCTTCAAATCCAACGTATCGATTCACAGAAAATGGACTCTCTCTCTCTCTCTCTCTCTCTAGCTAGTTAGAATGGTATGCTTCCTTTATTTCCAGATTGGCAGGACTACGGTTCCCTTTTTCGATCTTCCCAGTTGGTAGTCGTCCTGGATAATATGTGCGTACAGGTCCTGGATAATATGTCTTTCTCTACATGCTAATTGGTTTCATAAATATCTTGGAGAGCTCTCTCCCATTTGAAGCCACAATCTAGCAGATAATTGGAATTGTCGTCAGTGGGTGGACAGGAGGTTGACCAGAACATTGGGTCCTTGGTTCCATCCAATCTGCCACACTCATGGATGACAGAAATCAACATAAAATATGGAAATAAAATATTAAACTCATTTTTCGCTCTGCGGTAAACCAAGTTTTCTGCTATGAATTTGCAAGCAGTACAGAAATTCAGCCATTTTCACAGAGCCCGACAATACAAAAAAGGAAATATCCAGTGGAAAGCACATCACGATGCAGCACTGCGGTGGCATTCGGTCCTTTTCAATTTCTGCAAAAATTCTACCGTGTGTTCTCTCTCTCTCTCTCCCCAAAAGCTTACATAGCTTTCATTAATGAGCAAGTGCACGAAAGTTTGGAGTAAGTGGAGAAAATTAAAATAATAATAATAAAGGGGTCAAAATTTCTGATGATAACATTGGTCTCCATGTCCACACTAGCAATCTGTCTTCGACAGTAGCTGCAGGTGGGGAGGCAGCTTGAACAGTTCCACCATCACACAATCCGCCGTAATCAAACAAAGGATATATATATATATATATATCAAAACCTCCTCAAGAACTCAAAAGGACGCAGACCATGACAATGAAAAAACTTGAAACTTTCTTTTTGTGCTTAAAGAAAGGAGAGCAGAAGTGGAAATACAGTAAAAATGAGAGCAGAAGTCAACGCTTCTTCTACACTTGACATTTGACATTTGACGATGTTACATTAAGGTGCAAAATGTGGTTAAATTATAAATCTGCATTACCTACCCACCGTTTAATGTGTTCGCCTAGAAGTCGTCGTCTTCGAACAGACAGAACCAAACATTGAAGGTACAAGATCATGACTTGGATGAATCAGAGCTGAAGCCTTCTTCTCCTACAGTGAACAAATTGAACTAACCTCCTCTGTCCGAGCCCGTACATGGCGTAGCATAGTCGCAGAAGACGGTATGATCCAGGCTTGGATCCACAAACTCAGACCTTGGAGAAGAAACAAAGTCCTCAATCTACACGATTGGAATTTTTTTCGACCCACCCACCAACCCACCGTTGAATCCAATCCACAATGGTGGGGGAGTACCTTGAATTCGCAAGATCAAGAAGGAGCCACTGAATCTTGGGGCACCTGCGCATGAATCCACAAGCAGAGGGAGAGGACTTCACCTGAGAGAAACTCGAGATACTGAGATTAGAAAAGTAAGCAAAAGAGAGAGGGCTTTTATCTGGGCCTAAGAAGAAGGGGAGATGGGATGTCCCCAAGAGACTCTTTGAAAAATAAGCAGACTCTGAAAGAATCATAACAGAAACACAAATCAGAAACTGTAGAAGAACATAACAGACTTTGAATAGACCTGGCAGAACCTTAGACTGGCCTTCTCGTCGAGTTGCATGCTAACTAGTCGTTTCTTCCGAAGATTTCATGGTACCCTGAATAGATCTGTTGATTGTTTGCAGGTGCCAAATCCGTGGAAGAAGTAAATGCCAACTTGCATCCGAAGATATTACGGCATTTAGAGAAATAAAGGATTTTCGTGATTTCTTGAATAGATGCCGACTATGAATATAAGTTCAGTCGGAGAGATTAACTTTTTTTTTGAAGAATAAGATATTAACTGCAAGCGCATATATTCACCATTTTTATCTCACCGTAATTTAAGATATTATGCAACCTGCAAGATGGGGCACAGGTGGAAATGACTAGGGACGAGTCATAGCGAGTCGGAGCGAATCGTGCGAGTTGGTGGTGAGTTGGGTCATGGGAGATACAGGAGAGTCCATTTCTGGGCGTCCTTTGAAAGGAGTAAGGAAGGGAGTTGGGGGTGCAGGGCGCCCGAGTTGGTGAGCGAGGGGAGGAAGGGAGATGGCGACGGAGTCGGAGGGGGAGGAGGACGTGGGGAGGCTGACGGGGAACCAGTACCTGGTGGTGGACGGCGACCTGCGGGAGATGACGAAGAAGGCCGCCTGGAGCGTCAGCTCCTGCAAGCCCGGCAACGGCGTCCTCCCCCTCCGCGACGACAACCTCGAAACCTACTGGCAGTTCTGTATCCCCCCCCCCCCTTTACTCCCCTTCTTCCACTTTGTCTTGATTCATATGATATATCGATTTGTTCTTCATCTTGATCCCCTTATGAAGTTCTCTCTCTGTCCACTCGTCGCCGACGTGGCCCATCTTCCTTTTTCATTCTGAAGATCTTAGATTGTCGATGTCCTTGTTCAGGTCTGATGGCGCCCAACCCCATTTGGTAAATATACAGTTTCAGAAAAAGGTCAAGCTGCAGGTATGTATTCGCGCTACCTCTTCCGCTTCCCGCCGCCCTCGTCATCCATGTGATCCTTGCTTCTAAACTGTCGGTATTTGTTCCTACACTCTATCCAGCTTCTGGTACTTTACGTGGATTTCAAGCTCGATGAGAGTTACACTCCGAGCAAGATTTCCATTCGTGCTGGGGATGGTTTCCATAACCTGAAGGTGGTGATTCCTTATTTTGCCAACGATGTTGTGTTTTGATATTCAGTTTCTCCTAAACGGAGAACAACCATAGACTCCACGGAAACGAATTTTCTCATCAGATCACTCTCTGCCTCCGAACCTTTAATGTCAAAAAGTAGTTCACTTTACTTGGTTGATTTTGCTTGCTGAAATCTGCACATTCAGTTCAACCTCCTTTTAAGTATTGCAATCTTTGATTGGCAGGAGGTAAAAACAGTGAAGTTAGTGAAGCCTGTTGGTTGGGTCTACATATCCTTATCCGGAACAGATCCCCGGTTTGTCCTCTTAATCCCTGCTATTCTTTGTGCCCTCTGTAATTTCACCTGATCGCATCATTATCTAGTTAAAAATATTCGTACAGTTCGGAGTAACCCGTCGTGATCACCATTGTTTATTCGCTTGCATGGGTATCAATTCGTCCGGACAGAAACCTAAACTCGAGGGCACCCATTGATAGTAATGGGCTCAATAACATATTGTTTCACTCAGTCGTCATAGCCTGATGATATTGATCGAATTTTATTTGGAAGCGATTCATATTTGAGTTACTTTCTTTTTGGTTTGAGGTCAATCATGATGGAAGGACTTTTAGTTACAGAGAATGCCCAAATAAATACTTCTGGCATCAGCTAAGTACTCGCTTAGAGGATTTTTCAACAAAGATGAAGTGACAAACTCTCCTGGACAGTGCTCGGGACCCTTCATTCATTGGATCAATCATAGTTCTTCTTGGGAGCTCGAGATGATCTTTTGCCTCTCTTATCTCGCAGCATTTTTTCCCGTGGGATTTAATTTTGGAGTGGAAGATGAGCTTCCATGGTTTCAGTTTTATTCAATGGGAGAGGAGAGGGCTCCCTCTCACACGCGGCATCCTCAAAACCTCCCAATACCCTGCGCACAGGAGACCCATTCCCAATGCCCCATAGTGGAAAAGAGAACCAGTGCCATGAAAATCACTTATCCAAAGCGCTTTGTTTTTAAAGGGTTGGCCATTGGGTGATCCTGACCTTTGGCCAGGATTTCCTTCTCAAGGAATTTGTTCATCCATCGCTTAATGATTGTGACGCTTGTTTGCCGAGTCGCCGGGTGTTGGGTTCGTTTACCTTTGCGCTTTTAGTAGATAACCCTCTTAAGCCCAAGTGGTACGAGGGAGAAACCTTCCGTTCTCAGCCACAGAGCTTATTGCCGCCGAGTTTTCGTAGCATTTCAGACTAACGGGTACGTGAATTTTTCGGTGATGACGATGATAATGAGGATATTGCAGGGACCTAGGCTGTTTCTTAAGCTTTAAAGTGGCCATTGGGGTTTATTTTGCTCGTACATGATCGGGCCCAAATGGGTTTTAGTTTTATTCTGGCATTGTGGGATGATCTTCAGGAGAAGAACCAGGTGGCCCGACGACTGACGGGTGGTCTTCCTCTTGTTCTTCCTACTTGTAGCGAAGCGTTCATCCACACGTTCATGCTGCAGCTGGCGGTCCTCTCCAACCACCTCAACGGGAGGGACACTCACATACGGCAGATCAAAGCCTACGGGCCCCGCCCGTTAGTCCCCTCACCTGTTTCTCCCCCCTCCCTCGTCGGCTCTTCCCTCCGCCCCAAGCTCAGGAAGACCCTTGATTTCCCTGTTCTGTTTTCGCAGGAACCCCATCCCCAATCAACCGTTTCACTTCACTTCGACGGAGTTCCTCACCTACGCGGCTCTCAGATGAGGACGGCCGGCTGATCTTCCTCTCCTTCAACCTCACAAGTGGATTATCATTCCACGAGATGGTGGTGCAAAAACCGGCCAAGCCTTTCGATTTTGATATGTTCTGATGATGGAACAGCAGTTTATTGACCTCTAAAGGAAACCAGACGGGCACTGGTTACAACACTAGGAGACTCTTGTTTTGCGACGCGGGGGAGGGGACTACGCGGGGGGGGGGTTTGCGGAGTGGCCGGCTGGGGCGTAGGAAGGACGCCGCAGTGGCGGCGATTAGGGGCACTTGGTGGCGTTGCGGTGGGTGGTCATGTTGGTGTAGCAGACGCCGCACATCTCGCGGTTGCCGGCGGTGCCGGGGGGCACGCACCGGCAGCGCCGGCAGCAGGTCTGGCACACGCGGTGGCAGTGATTTGGCCGCGAGTGCTTCGAGCACCTGACTTCGCACAGCCCTGGGCACTCTGCAACAAGAGAGAGACAGACGACGGCCAGGTTAGGGATGCTTACTGGGGAGTGAGAGGACCGGCGTGAGAGAAGGGGCCTCCGGCTTACCCTTCTCTTCAACCGGGATTATGTGACGCGCAGGCACCGGCGCGGGCTCTGGAGGAACTTCGGGGGGGCGGCGACCGCCCCGCTCGTCGAGCTCCTCTTTGTCTGACGAGACCTGCAGCCAGAGTGATCATCTCCATCAGGTTGATGCCTGCACAGCGAGAGAGAGAGAGAGAGAGAGAGAGAGAGAGAGAGAGAGAGGCGTGTCATTACCCTGACGGCGAGGAGCAGGAGAGAGGCGAGGACGAAGAGAGACATCTTGGCAGCCATGGTGGGGGGAGATGGGTGTGTGTAGGGAGCATGAGAGAAGGAAGCGTTGTGTATATATATAGACAGACGTACGATACAGCATCCGTACGTACGTGCGGAGCTGTGAATTGATGAGGGGTGCACCACAGCTGGGTTCGGGCTGGCAGGAGGAGCCTCAGCCCTCAGCTCATAGGGTGGTAGAAGACAGACGCGCATCTGGGGAAATGCGCCCCCCCCCCATCTCTTACTGGTCTCTATCTCTCTCTCTCTCTACCTGTTGTAGACCAGTGCAGCATTTCCGTGTGCTATCGTCCCTTCGGCCTGAGAGTGCAGGACTGGGTTGTCACATCTGGATTCCACAAGACCATACTAGTCCAAGTGAACGGCGGAAGAGCATGGATTCTCGTGCATGGGGACACAGAAAGACGTCAGTGCCTCAGTTCGGTGGTTTGTCGGACGAACGTATACAACATCACCCTCTATTTATTAAAAAAATATATATCTTCAGCACACGCACGTGCGACTGTCACATGCTATCTGCAAACACCCCCCCCCTCTCTCTCTCTCTGTTGACGTGCGTAATTGGTCCTCCCGTCCCATCGAGCTAATGCTGCTTGGTTTTAAGATAAAATACAATGCGTAAGGCGACCAGGAAAGGAGCAGAAAAGCACAGATTTGAAGCTACATGAAACCCTAATCCTGTCAAAAGAGGCTGTCTGATCCTCCTCACATTGTTTCAGAGAGAGAAAGGTCGTCGTGATAGAAGGGTGTTTTGAGAGAAACAGGCTCCACCCAGCAAGGGCCTGGGCTCACGCTTCAATCAAGACCTGATTTGAGAGAGAGAGAGAAGAGCTTAGTGGGCATCTGCAGGCGGCGGAGGGCCCCCTCCATCTTTGCATGAGATTCGAGCCTGCAGGCAGCGGAGAGCATGAGATCATGGCGGTTTCCGAGATTGCCAGAGAGGTCAAACAAGGGCGGCAGATCGTTTAAATGAGGGTGGTCGCCGCCATAGTCAGAAAACCCGTGATTTGAGGCCAACAATTAGGATTATCCGGATAATTTGAGAACCCCTCCTGACCCAAATTCAGGGGCATTGACCTGCCAGCGGACGACAAACAGGATTACGTGTATCGATGGGCTTGCCATACCTGGATTTCGAAGGCCAACAGAGCTTGACAACTGGCAGAATTCAGGAAGGGCTGAAGCTGAAAAGCCAACTACGACCAAAGTCCAGGCCCTTACATTGCTAAATGATCGAGTGCTTCATTTCAGCTCCGTCATAGAACAAGCCTAGCCGGTGGGGCCTCTTGTGAATCTCTGCCTGCAAAATTGAAGACAGAAACTTGAACGCTAACATATATATATAATATTTTAAATGAGAAAAGATCAAGGTCTAGGAGATTTAGAAGAAGCACATCCATATGAATCAGTTTAGCGGTAGAGTATAATAAACAAAGATTGTTGGGTCAGGGGTCGATCAAAGGTCTAGGAGAGGAAATGGTATGTTCAGCTCACTTTCACAAAGAAACCAAATGCAAGTTCATCACAGACAAGCACTGCTCGGGATCATATCATGATCACCTGTTATCCAACTAAAAATGGCCAACAGGAGATTTACCTCTTTTCTTGAGCTTATTGCGGAAGCTCCTTTTCCGACTGAACGCCTTCTCCTGAAATCACAGATAAACATCATCAAATCGGGAATATGCATAAATTTAAAATTTCCAAAATGATCCATCGTGTATAGTCAACATAACAAACGGCGAAGAACAGTAGACTCACCTTGCGAGAGTGCAAGGGGCACAATCGAGTACAAGAATGTTACTATTATGTATTTAAAAAAAGCCTCACGAAGATCAAAATCATACATGGAATCTTGGAGATCCCTGTTAAACTTTATGCATATATATAGATAAATATCAGATATCCAGGGTTGACATCAAAGTACGTACCAGGAGAACAGCAACGAAAATGGACTTTGGAAATCGCTTTTTTTTTTTTTGAATTAAAAGTTTCTCAACTTCATAATTAACATCTCGTTATGTGTGGGTATGAAGAACCCTTCTCCCATTACTTTCAGCGGTAATAGGAACTTCTCTCACATTTACTTCATTTTCTAATTTCATATATATCAATGAATTTATCCCACCCTCAAACAAATAGGAGATGATTGGACGGGACCTCTTCTAACCAAATCACTATGAACATGCTATGGATGCATTAAATGGGGTTGAACCCCCACCAGAAGTTCATAGTTCACGCACCCTAACCATTCAGACTCTACATGCTCCAGGCAACATTGACCATCATGTCCACCTACATACCACACGAAAGATTTATTTCGGCCAGATAATTCTCTAATTCTGAATCACAGCTTCACAACATGAAGAGGGCAGATAGCATGGCAACACATAAATATCAATCACATGGTTAACTTCTCAAACCTGATTCAGAAATAAGTCAAAGTTAATTTTTGCTATTAACCACTCAACGAAACTGCATCAGCCCATGTGAAATTGATTTTAATAAATGATTTTCTGTACTAATCGACGTCAATCAAATCAAACACGATTTTAAATTACCAGAGGCTGCTCTGTCCTCCAAGCTTGACGCACGGTCGAAACAAGGTCTCTATTGGCTTCTGTATAAAGGCTAGTAACCCTTCCAGACTGACCAGCCCTAGCCGTACGGCCAATCCTGTGCAAAAAGTCTACAGCAGAAGTTGCGAATTCTGCCTGACAAAGGACAAAATTGACAAGCAAAAGTCAAATCAGGTTTCTGAAATACATGGTAAATATTCCATAAAAATGTAATCAAAGGCTCCATTCGCATCCAAACAGACAGGAAAAACAAATTCTGCGTGCACTCAATAGGTGCATATGGATTAAGTACATAAAAGCGTAGATTTAGAAATCAACAGAATTCAAGGAGGATATATGGGAAAGAGCATGTTTCAAAGAAATTAACTAGAAAATAGAACAAAAATGAAATGAGTACCAAACTTTGGGGGCAGAAACATGCACAAATCGAGCATGAAGGGATAAACATCGAATAATAGAAAAAAAAAAAAACAAGGCAGTTAGGAATCCTTGACTGTTGTCCAAAATCTAATCCTTGGAGAAATTTTAGAGGTTGTATATAAGTACTGCGAAATGGAAACTCCCCATTGTATCCTTTTTTTCCAGCAGAATCTCAACAAATTTTCCTGGTGAACTGGCTTCTTGGCAACTGTCAAACTCAATCATGGAATCAACTCTAGAATGAGACAAATGGTAATTCCAGTCGCTACATATAAATACAGACGTATCTACTTGCAATTTGGACCTTTTGGCGTTAAACTGCAGAATTTATTCATAAGAGTTCATGCTATAGGAACATGGAAAAATATCGAAGGAAATTGAGAGAACACTTATTATATGATGGTATAACAAAGAGGAACCCTTATTTTCTCCAGGTCTGTATAAGGATGACGTTGGACACATACTCTCATGGATTTCCTTCACTGATATCCTTCTATATTTTCTTCTTTGTTTAATTTTAAACTTTAATTGCACATCTTCAGCAAGAAAATGGCAATCATATGTTTTCTTAAAAAGGAAATACATCGTTTAATCATTATCCCACTCGTTTCATGTCCTTTCTTCCTCAAATGGGGTCATTTTCAAAGGTTTCGGTTCAGCCAACCTACAACTGTTGAACACATTGCAAGCAAGACAGTAGCTATAAAATCAGTCTTACTGAAAAAAGTATAAGTACAGCATGGGCTTTAAATTATTATTGAAGAGAAAATATCTCTCAACTCAGGTTAAAACCAAAAATGTCATGAGGAATTGAGAGGCCAACATTCTAGCTCTCACGCTGATGCAGCAAGTAAGAGAAAAAACTTAAATAATGTATTCAACTTTTTTCTGCATGTCAACCAATTACAGCAAGTCTCAGATAATTGTCAATTCTTTTTTCGATAATTCTAATACCTGTATAACATGTGAAACATTGGGAACGTCAAGACCACGGGCGGCTGCGTCAGTGCATACAAGTACACCACCATTCTCTCGGAAAACAACCAGGTTGCATGTTCTTTCCTCTAACGAGCTGTTCCTGTGGTAACAAAAGCATTCTATGCCAGCACGTTGGAATATTCTGGCCACTGCTTCTGCAGATTCGACAGTATTAACAAACACCATGGTCCGGCTTATCTCATCATTAGAGTCACCAAATCCGGACTTGAAACCAGATCTCACAGCATCTAACAGTGCATCCACTTGTGTATCTACTGTAACTTCAAGCCATGTTTGCTCCAACCTGTAGAGTAGCAATGATATCCCCATGAAAGCACAGAAACTTATAAAAATGGAAACATCAGTGTACTATGTTAAACTGGCGAAGATAATGTGAAAAAAAAAGAAAGCAAATTTGGAACTGTTTACAACGATTAAGGTCAACATCCCACAGTATAGTAGTCTGAAAGTCTTCATGCTGCTGGAAAAAAAAAACTGCAATCTTTATCTGCCGTAGAATTTTCCAGATGAACACAGTTATGCTCTATTTGAAGAAAAGCTTTCCTAAATATTCTTCAATAACGGCAGCAAGTATGTCATCAGTATTCATGGTCTATGATCCCTAAACATTGACAACATTATAGAAATCATTGAAACTAGATTTCTTGTATAAATATAACAAGTTATTTTCGCATCATTCAAATGTACATTTATACAGCACCATATGGACAATTGACAATATGCCATGAGAGAACAGAAGGAAAACTAGACCAAATAGTTAATAATTCTTTCCAAACATATTGTGCGAAAAAGACAAATAAGCATAGAGGAAATAGATAGCAATCAAAGGACGAGGATTAGATCAATGAAACAAGCTCAGAGCATCGACTAGTACAAACTTCTATCGATGGTAGAAAATTCCATATTATGAGACGAAACTATGTCCATTAAACATGTGAAATCGATAGTTCACAGGGTCGTTGATCTAAAAATAAAAAATAAAAAGGGCCACAGCAAAACAGCATGAAAATATTTTCTACCTAAAAGAAATTCAATCAAAAAATGGACTAACGAATTTAATTTCAATGGAGATGGATTCTGTAAATCAAAGCCCTCAACATTAGCTAATCAGCTAAATAACCTTAAAAAAAAACCCTTAGGTCAAGTTCTTCATTTTCAGGTGGATTGTTTAATGATGTTGATTAGGCAGGTAGTGGCAACTGACAAGACCCTTCCCCTACCTAACTTCTTCATTTGCTAAACCTGCAGCTCTTATTCATTTTCACTTCTTCCTTCTCTATCTCTTCTTCTTCCTCAAACTAAAGTAGGAAAGGCTGGGGAGTCATTTAAAATGTCACCCTGATATCGTTGAATCGGAATGTGGTCAACCTTTTAAAGACAATTTTCAGCCAATTTCACTGTTGTTTATTAATTGTGTTTGAGGGGTGATCGAGATTAGTCACTAGAAATCAGACCACGAATGCCCGATTCCAACCTAAACTGACCACGACACTGGATGTATCTCAGAAGAGCAGGTCAAAAATAAAAAAAGCCTAAGGTGGACGTGAAATCAAGTCAGCATAACTCCCGAAATTTACCAGACTTTGTTCCCATTCAAGTTAAAGTTGTAGAAAAATAGCAAAAGGATCCTCTAATCTAAGAATAGAAACTTAATTACAGTAGGATTTGGAGATTTGATCAAGAAAGAAGCCTGTGGCACCTGGGATTATAACGATGGAGATAACTCCCATTGACCCAAATTGCATTAGGAAACATTCGTTTCAAAACTCCACCAGCAGTTTTCTTGCCACTTTCTGGTAGAGTGGCTGCAACAAAAATGTACTGCTTACTTCGGGAATAAACCTCTCTAGTCCTTCGCCAATCTCTTGGCCTGTCAGGCTTGTTTTCAATTTCCAGGATATTAGAATCTTCATCTTCATCCTCCATATTGTCACAAACTTTTGACACTTCCTTGTCATTTTCTAGTTCAGAAACCTCAAGAGATGCTTCATTATTACCCAGTCCTTGCTTATAAGCCTCCATCCTAGACAACACTTTTTCCTCGTATCTTAGCATATTTATCAGACGAATAACTTGATTTTGAAAGCTTCCGCATAACAGCATGTCAGCTTCATCAAACACCTGCCGTCAAGAGACATGAAAAGATGAGAAAAAACCAAAAGAGGAAAAGGAAAGTAATAATCAGTTTCAAAGATCTAGCTTTATGAAACATGTTTTGCCATCTTGGTTCATGTAAAGATTTATTCTTGAGCATCACAAACCTTCCCCAGCTACATCTTACCCTCTACATCTGACATTGATTGTCAGACCTATCTCAACACAAACAAAATAAAGTATGATTTAGGAGAACCACTAGATAAAATGGTTATCATTTTCATAGATAACCCATTGTTATTACGGGAGCTATGAAGTAACAATGTTGAAAGGTTGCACGTACAATGAATAGATGCTTCGTTTCGGGAGCAAGTGATGGCCCGTAGTGACAGGGCAAACAAAAACTACATCAGTGATCATTCTTTATTTTCCCTTCTTATCATTATGATGGCCAATCACTAGTTGCTAATTGCTCAAGTAAAGCAAAATTTGGGAGGCAGACTGTTTCATGTGAGGCAGATGAGGAGGTATCGTCAATCCTTTTTCCAGTTGAAGGTTACTGGGACATTACTTCATGAGATGAGCTCTAAGGGCCAGTGGGCAACAGCTGGTGGACTGTGCCAACCCATTATAAATACAGAATCCTGAAATTTTTCTACCAAATATCATACTATAGACGGAACCTATCATCCCCTCTCAAATAACTGCTCCAAGATACTGGCAGGAACCAGAGAGACATACTCCTGAAACTGTTAAGTAGGCATTCATAAAAAACTGTCAAAATGGCTAATGTTCTTTAGAGAAATTGTGCTGAAAAAAAATCTAAAAAGCTCAACTTTTCAGAGCTTACAAACTATCAAGCCTCCAAATAAAATTATTATCTTGGGTAAACTGTAACAAATACTTACGACGTGTTTTACAGCCCTCAGAAATTCAGGCCGACGGTGGTTTTCAGCTTCAAAGGAGAAAAGGCTGTTCAAGAACGCAACTGGAGTCGAAACGAGGATATCAGGTTGAACAACTGGCCATCCCTGCAGCACACTTTCCGAGGGACCAATTAGAACATCAAAATAAAAAAATGACTAAAAGATACTCAAACAATTGCTTCAAGCAATCCTCATATTATTAGAACTAGAGCTGCGTTGTGTGCAGGATGTAGCATACAGGTTTGTGCAGGACTAAAAAAATACATTGGTAGCGAGAAACCCCAAAAAATTGGACACTAGAATCCCCCAAAAATACAAATACTTTCGGAAAAAGATTTACCTGTCGCCCACAAACAGAAGAGACCTTCAGAAGACGATTGCCCTGATCGTCACATAAAGAGTTTGCCATTTCGACTACTTGCTCACACAACATAACATTCGGGCAAAGGACAACAGCAACGCCCACGGATTGTTCAGAGACAGCCAATAGTTTCTGGAACAATGGTACCAAGTAGCCATGTGTTTTACCACTACCAGTCTCTGCAGCGATTACTACATCGTTTCCGGAGAGTATATGAGGTATACTCGCAGCCTGAAATCAACAAAGATGAATTCAACCTCTCTTTGAGAGTTAATGGTCACATATGGACGAAGGTCAATAAAACGTTTTCAAAAAATAAAATAGAGAGTACTGCAAAAATCATAAGACGGGCAACTCATAAAGAGATCACAGAAAAACACGGAGAAATTCTTCACCGGTGAAGGACATGGGAGGAAAAAGACATCAAAAAAAGCGGAGATAAGAAGAATCTTAAATGTTTCTAGATTCCCCAGCAGATATTTGAGTCGCATTGCTGTTCAGACACACAAGTTTGCAGACTTTCGTGTTACCGTTTCCCCCGTATCTATCTTCAGTCGTAGCTGCTATCTTTGTTTAGGCGTTTAACAGAACAGAAAAAAATTTGAACAGAGGAGCTGGAAGTACGGAAATGGCCACCCACCTGAATGAGGGAAGGCCTGCTGAGAGAGACGCTGGATAATGCTCGGGAAAGGGCTTCAGATATACAAAGTGAATTCCAAGAGACGTCTTCTGCTGCGTGGAAGGTCGACTGATCAGCTCCATCATCCGCCCCTGCGGCTACGGCCGTGCAAAAGGACCTTGTCCTCCTTCCGGACGCCTCTGACAGCAAACATAAGGACGAAAAAGAAGTGAAGCAAGCCGGAAGAGCCGCGGGAGAAGCAGAGCAGGGCCGGGACAGCTCCGAAATAGGCACAAGAAACAGGGGCCTGCGGTGGAGGCGCCGCAGAGAGGGTAAAGTACGCGGCAAGACCTCCCCGCACAACAGGTGCGGACATCTAATCATGGCGACCGCGGAGGCAGGCGGGTGGAGGGTCGTGCCCCAAAAATCTCCCTCGCCGGCCGTTGGACAGAGGTGTTGCTTGCGACCGGATGGGTTAGAACGGCACAGATAGCGGTGGATTTCAGGTAATACTTTCTTGGAACGCATTCCGAGGAGCGCTCCATGAACATTTTAGGCAACATTTCCTACCAAAAAATATAATAAAATTCGTCAATCATTGGTTGTTGGGCCTGGGCTCCAAAAGAGTGTGGCTCATAGCCCATTGTGACATCCGTCAGCATGACTTCGCATGGGGCGAGACGTGCAGAGATATATGTTGAAATGACGATGCATGGTGTAGAGGTGCATGTAGGCACGACATGAGATGACACAACACATGTGATAGGTGTGCCACATGTTTGGACTCGGGAGACAACATTGAATGATGTCACAACATGATATGTGCAGCATGTGAAACCACAACATGTATGATAACAATTAAGTAATTTGTACAATATGTGCATTATGCACACACAGAGATAACACAATGTTGTAGTGAAGAAAATTGTGACACAAGACTGATATGGTAAAACACTTGTTACACGTGTGTTGTGCATAGAGAGGCTCTAGTGCTACATCAATGTGACAATGTTATGCAATATGATACAACATATTGTGTATATGGAGGTGCATGGCATCATGTGAGACGTTGTGTATCACTATAACTAGGACACACTTTGATAAAAAAAAAGATAATTAAATTGATCATAGCCTAATTTTAACTCTTAATCATTCTACATTCTTTGATCTACTTTCTTTAATCTTAAATTATGATTTTTCTAGATATAAATCTTGAATACTTAGAAATTTCTATAATAGTTCACCCATCATCTATGTTTATTCTCCAAGAACACTTTATTCTTCACTTTTATTAAACCAATTGTTTAACAATACAACTATTGTTTATTGTGTTCAATTCTCATAACATTTCATCATAAAATTCTCTTTTATATTCGTACCTCTATGAAGTTCATTAGTGATTAAATTGATAAACTCTCTCGAGTGATTAAGTAAGAACTTTATCATGTATTTCTCACACACATAAGGAGGAATTTTGATTGTGAGACAGTTTCAATTATTTTTGTTGACTTAAGGTATGTCTAGAAATTTTATTTTATTTTTAATTACTAAATTACATTTAATTTTAGTTCTCCTCTTTAGGTAAAGAAGCTATAGGGATGTGAAAGATGTTGAAATTTCAAACAAGTTGAGGATGATCTTATTTCAATTGAATATTTTTTCTCAACACCTTGTATCTTTATCATTCAATGAACCTTCAAAGACTATTCAATTCATTCATATTTTTTTGTACCAACTTTTTGCAAGAAACTCAACATGGTAAGAGATTAGAGAATCATTGTGAACAAAATAGTTGTTGGGGATAAAATGAATCTATAGAGAAATTTGATCTGAAAACTTGCCATTTTTTATGTCATTTCTCTATGATAAAATATTAAAATTAATTAAAAAAATTAATGGATGGAAACTAATATGGCATTTCCTTTAAACTTACCTTCAAAGCGAAATGAATATATGCAACCATTAGGTACTAATGGATATATGTGAAGTTTATTAATTTGAACAAGTATGATAAGAGTCCTTACGATTAAAATAAAACTGATACTACATCTTGCAAAAAATAATAATTTTACTTTCAATGCTAATATAAATTATCTTAAATAAATGAAGAATGTAAATTAGACACATTAAAGAAATATCTTATTATGAAAAATGATTGATTTAGTTTTTTATATTTATTTTACAAGTAATATTCATCAATATTCTAAAAATCCTAACTCATCATGTACATAACTTAGATTCAATCAATAAATCTGATGTCAATAATAATCAGACATAATAATTTCACATCATGAAAATTCATTATATTGAATAAGCTTTCATAAAAATATTTTATTTCAATATTTTTTGTTGATTCCTATAGAGAGTAAATATTAACACATCTTATAACCAAAGTATTAATTTTATGTGGTAGATCAAACAAATCCCATAATTCAAAAGTATGAGAGTCACTTAAATTCATTTCGTTCTAATTTTGATACTTGACATCATTACTTTGCATTATTTATAAATTTATAAATGATTAATTTAACGATCATATATAAAATAATAATTATTGATAATGCATATGTAATGAGCAAGCAACATAATTTGATCCGTTTATTGATCTTATAAAAAAAATTAATTATCAAAATATTATTCATTTAATACTCCAAAAATCTCTCCCTTTTAAGCAAAATCATAAGAATAAGTCACCAATATAAATAAATTATCATTTTAAGTTTATTTTAACTCCTTTCCAATTGATTCATAAAAACGACCACTTGTTCAAATAAATTATCTATTAGAGTATCATTTCAAATAATTCTACTTACTATTTTAGGTCTTTAAATTATATATTTATAAAATAAATAATTTAAAAATAATTTTTGATTCAAAGATTAAAACATTCAAATAGATATGCACGCCAAAAATTAAGTTTATAATATTTTCAGTCTGTTTATTAGAATTTTAAAAAACAGCATTAAATAAAAAATCGTAAAAATACACTTTTCTTGCCCTACCTTTACTCTACTCGCCCCCTTTCTATTCTCTCTTTCCCCTTATTTTTTCCTTTCTGAATTTTCTTGCTTTCCCTCACTTGCTCAACTTCTTCTACTCGTGAATTGTGATTTTTTCTTCTTTTTATCATCAGCAAAAATATGGAAAAAAAATTAGCTTCAAAGAAATCGTAGGTAGAATTTTGGTGAAATATTTGTATTTTTGGTGAATTCAAATATCAAAGTTTAAATATTATGAAAGAAAAATAATGGCTATGCTTTGTGGACTATAGTGAAATCAATATGACATATGAAAGTTTTATTGTCTATAATTTTAGGAAGATCATTTCCTATAATTTTAGGTTCATCAGGTCAAATTGAGAATTAGCTTTATCTTTGAGCATTAAAGAAATAATGAATTGATGATGATAAAAATATGTAAGAAAGATTAAACTATCATATTATACTTATTACTCATATTATTTGATTTTTGATTAAATATTGCTCACATTGTCACTCTTAAGTTTTTAAAATATAAAAAATATTACTAAAATATAATTTTGAATAAGCTTATGTCATGAAGTTATGATGTTACATATTAAGATTATGGTTTAATGAATCTCTTTAATAGTCTTGCTTTATTTTGAGATGATTTAGATAAGTTTTTATTACAAAATTACTATTTTATTTTGAGATATATTACCAATAATATTTAAACAGTTATAAATTTTGACTTCTTTCAACTAATAAGTTATGGATGGCATTAATAGTAACACATATTCATTACTCTTAGAGGATATAGGAATTCTTAAAAGTTATGTCATATTGGTTTCTAACTAACTTTAAATTTTAACCATATAGAGATGAAAGAAAATGGGGGGGATTTTTTTAATTATATTTCTCCTAAAGTTAGCACCTCTCTAATTACTAATTCGTTTAAGAATGCTCATATCTAACATATTTGGCATCTTAAGTTTCTTCTTAAGATTCTTTTGAGAGAACTGTATGCAAAGTTGAACATTATTCTTAGCTAGGTTAAATCTTCATTATGTTAGAGAATTAAATGCATAATACTTTTTATGATGATAAACACAAATAAGACCAATAAATACTCTAAATTAGATGTTTTGCATATTATGCTTCATACATGATTAAATTTGATTTTATGTATGAGCATAAGTTTAATTGAATGTAAATTAAGAAATAATATACAATAATGATGTTAAATATTCAAAAAAGAATTCAAGGAATGTATTTCTAACCCATAATTTTTAATTATAAAATTTGATGATTTTAATACATAAAATTGTTACTTTATATATTATTGTGGAAATTATTAATATTTAATAGATAATGCTAATGTTGGAAAGTAATGATTAGCACACAAGAGTCAATGAACCTTTTTAAAAGTAAAATATGCATATGATAATACATCTCAAAATGAAGTAATGATTTATCATTAAAAAATTATGCAAAATACCTCAAAGAAATTATGATTATCAAGTAGACATTCAATCACAATCTCAATATACAATATCATAACTTTAACAATATACAATATTTTAAATATTTCAAAATAATATTTTCCAATATTCATAATATTGAATGGTAGTGCAATCTGTACTAACCCTAATTCTAATTCATAAGTTTTGGATATATATGTTGATGCTTAACAATAATAAATATTTATTTCTTTTAAAGGATATAAAACTCCTAATAGTCATAATATATTGATTTTTAGTCACTTGAATTTCTAACTAATGTTAGGACTTAAACACCAAAAGACAACTAAAAACAAGGAAGGTATTTTAATCTAATTTTCCTATATATTTAACACTTCTCCATCAACTAATTTGTTATAAATGATCTCCTCTAATCATTTTATTATCTCAAGAGTTTTGCTGACATTTTTTTATAGAAATTACAAATGTTTTAGAGTAGTCTATTCAACAAGTTCAAACAACTAGGAGGTAACCTATAAAGGAAAATTTTCAAGCTCTACCTGGGCTTCTTTGATTAGATTAAGGTCACATATCTTCAACAATCACTTAACTTTCCTACATGAAGAGAACAACAAAATCAAGTCATAGTTATTGTCATCATCGTCATCAGATTTCCATACAAACTTTAGGTTAGTTCAACTTTTAAAAATAATTCACAATGAAATATTTTCATTATCTATGTGAAAAAAACTTGTGATTATTTTTTATTCAATCATTCAAGGATGATAAACGCTATAATCAATTGTTGACCTCATAGAGTTGTGAATCTAAAAGAAAACTTTTAGATAAATCTTTGGTAGGATTTGAGCCCAATAATAAATGGTTTTGGGTACTAATTATTTAGCTTAGTGGAACCCAAGAATAAATGTTATTAGAAAGTAGACATACGCAAAGGGCTGAACTATTACATTGTTTTTGAGTTCTTTAGATTTAGATTTAAGAAAGCCATTTGATTTAGGTTTAGAGATAGGAGATCATATATTTTAGAAGAGTTGACCAGAATTTAAAATTAGATTTGATTCATTGAAGTCTTCATTTAGTATCTTCTAAAATATAACACATCAATTACTCACTATCTTGATAAGAAAATAATTATAAAATTAAGCTTAATCATCATCATCTTCATCAAATTTGTAGATAAATCTTAGTCAATGTCATATTTAGGAAATAACTCATGGTGAAATATTTAATTATTTTTATGTGAGTGAATTTATGATTAAATCCCAATTTAATCACTTTAGGGAGTTGAACCCTGTAATCAATTTTTGACCTAGCAAAGTTGTAATCCTGAAAAAAAAAAATCTAAAAATTATTTAAGTGACCCCAATTATAAAATGGTTGTGATTAGTGAACAATTGAGCTAGTATTTAAGAATGAGGATGTTCTTTAAGAGTCCATGTAAGTAGAGGGGCAAACCCTTATAAAAATCTTAGAGTGTATTAGATTTATAAATTGAAATATCTAGTGATTAAAAATATGTTACATAACTTAAAATTAGAAACTAATAGTATAATATTTTTAAGTAATAAATATTTTTAAAAAAATAAGTTAGTATATTATTATATTTTATTTGTATTTTTTCATTATTAAATTTTATTACATGAGAGAGAAAAATTTTAGAATTCATGTAGTCTCAAAAGATAAAATATATGACTCCTATATATGAGAAAGGAGAGATGAGAGAGAGAGATAATGGACCTTAATGAGTCAAGAGTTTGATACCACTATTAAACACTCTCCCTCAAGTTGGAACATATAAGTCAAACATGTTGTAGACGATGTTGTGTTAGATTCTTCTTGAAGACATCCGTAAGCTGATGAAATGATGCCACATAAGGAGTAGAGATAAGTCTAGACATAACCTTTATATATTGATGAAAGGTGAGATTGTCAACAATGAAATTGGCGACTTAATTGTCGCAATACATGAGTATTAGAGAGGGAAAAGCAATGTCAAAATTGTCGAGAAGTGATCAAAGCCATATCATTTCTCGTATTGGCTTAGTCATGACTTGATACTCAAATTCCACATTGAAATAGGACATCACCCTCTATTTTTAGGATTGTTAGGTGACTAGGTTACCGACGATATATGTGCAATAACCCATAGTAGACTTTTGATCATTCTTGTCACTTGCATATCCGACATTAGAGTAGACTACAATACGGAGATGGTTGTGTCACTGGTAGATAAACCCTTTCTCTGAGGATTACTTGATGTAGGCGAGGAATCGTAGAGCTCCCTTTGAATGAACTTGTCGAGACTCCTACATGAATTGACTCAAAACACTATGTACATAATGTCAAGATGAGTGATGGTGAGATAGATCAACTTGTCTAATAATCGCCAATACTGGTTAGCATCCTCGAGTAATGGAGATGAAGTGTCCTAGAATTGCGAGCAAGCTTCCATGGACGAAGTCTCCGAGTTGCACTCAAGAAAGTCTATCTCCTAAAACATGTCAAAGACATACTTCCTTTATGTGAGGGTAAACTTCTCGTTTTGATATGTAAACTCAATCCCAAGGAAATACCGTAGAGTCCTCAAGTCACAAATACTAAGATGCTGCTACAAGTAAGCTTTGATAATAGAGATGTCGACTTCATCACTTTCAGACACAAAAATTGTCGACATAGACTATAAGGATGATAAGGCCACCCTATGTCTTCTTTGTGAATACGGTGAGGTCTACAATGTATGAGGCGAAGTTGAAGGTGGTGAGTAAATCACTAAAGTTGATAAATAAAGTATATAGACTCTGTTTGAGCCCATAAATGGTACATCGCAAAAGACATACCTTCGATGACTCCCCCTAAGTAACATATCTAAGAGGTTACTTCATAAAGACTTACTCTATGAAATCATTATAGAGAAAGGCGTTAGAAACATCTAACTAGTAGAGAGATCATCTTTGATTGATGACAAGAGAGAGAAGCACGTGGATAGAGTTGAGGCGGACAACAAGAGAGAACATTTTAGTGTAGTCGATCTTATATGTCAGTGTGAAATCTCGAGCAACCAAACAAACTTTTTGACAAGCGATGGAATCATCAAAGTGATATTTGATAGGAAACACCCACTAATATGTCACAATATTGGCATCAGTCAGGCACGGAACTAAATCCCAAGTCCCTTGAGTGACCAACACAATTACCTCAGAATCTATGGTCACCTTTCATGTTGGTACCTATGCAGCCTCAATATATGACCGTGGAAGCGACTTGGAGGCCACAAAGAGGACAAAGGCACAAAAGAGGGAGAAAGGTTGTCATAAGAGACAAATTGAGAGATGAGATAGTAGGTGCATGCGTATAAAACTTTGTAGAGGACAATAGAGAGATGAAGGTCATCAAGTGGAGCAGCAACTGAAGGCATGGAAAGGATCGTAGAAGAGGAAGAGAAAGATACTACATCCAAAGTAAGAGAAGTCATGGGAGACATGAGCCAAAGAGAGACCAGTGTGGGTAATAACTCAAAAGATAGTAGACATGAGGGAAGAGAAGAGGGAGGATCTGTAAGAACCACCAAAGGAGAAAAATCAGGTGAAAGAGATGTAGTGACATGAGGAGGAGTCCAAATAGGAGAGAAGAAAGGAGACTCCTCATAGAAAGTGACATCGCCCAAGGTCACATAGCGACGAGTATTGAAAAAGTAAACTCGATAGCCTTTTTGTGTGCGAGAGTAGCCAACAAAGACCCTTTTAAGAGCACAAAAGGCAAGTTTAGAAAGAGAAAGAAAGGAATCTTGAATGAAGTTGGTGCATCCAAAGACCCATAGGGAAAGAGAAAAAAAATGAGAATTAGGAATTAAGCGATGGAGAGGAATAATCCCTTGAAGAGGAGTGGAGAGAAGTTGATTCTAGAGGTAAGTGGCAATTAGAAAGGCATCAACCTAGAGATAAGGGGGGACATTCATCTCAAAAATAAGTACGTAAATGATATCAAGGAGCTAATAATGTTTGCACTTAACACCATCATTCTACTACAAAGTATGAGGACATGTGATACGATGAAAGATGTCACGATCATCACAGAAGGTATGAAGAGATGATTGGACAAACTCAAAAGTATTATCAATATGAAGAATTTTGGGCGTAGTTGTGTATTAAGTGATAACTTTGGTGATGAAGTGAGTAATCATAGTAAAGATCTCAAAGCAATTGTAGAAGAGGTAGACCTAACTCACATGAGCGTAGTCATTAATAAAAATGATGTAATAACAATAGCCTGAGATGAAAGAAGTACGAGATGAACCTCATACATCACAATAGATAAGGTCAAAAGGAATGGAAGAGGGAATGTCATCACGACTAGAATAAGAAGCATGATGATATTTACTCAATTGATAAGACTCATACACAAACTTAGAGAAAGAAAGTCATGAGAAGATTTTTTATAATTTAGAGAAACAAAAATGACCTAAATGACGATGTCAAAATAAAGAAAAAGTAGTTGTAGAGGCGACAAAAAGGGCCCGAAGGCTAGATGAGGGTTTCTAAGAAACGAGTTTGTAGACACCCCACATGTTTCACAACCTAGATCAATCCTCCATCCGGTATGTAGATCTTAGAAAGTACAATGAAAGAGAAAGAATGTGATTATACAAAAGAGGACACAATTAATAACACTAATGGAAAGAAAGTTAGTAGAAAAAACAAGAATGTAAAAAACTTGTGTAAGGTGAAGGAAGGGAGAAGCCAAGGTAGCACCATGACTTTTGACCAGACAAGTTTGGTCATCGTCAATGGTGATAGGGGGATGAGTTAGGATAAGTTGATAAGAGAGAATAGTAGGGATACCGATCATGTGGGTGGAGGGTCCTAAATCAATAATTCATGATGTTGAAGTGGAAGCAAGGAGAGCATGTATACATGGTGTGGAGGAGGCTGAAAATGAGGTGAGACTAATAGAAGTGGAAGCGTTGGTACCATTGGTGCAACGAAGGATGCTATACTCTACAAGCACCAAGGTCACATGGAAGGTAGGACTTGGAACATGAAAAGGAGTGGAGGACGCTAGAGTTGGAAAAGTTATCGTCAGTTGTGTAAAAGTAGGCTTGCCGAATTACTTCCAACACTTATTAGCCAGATGATTCTACTTTCCACAGTATGGACATGGAGGAAAGGTGTTGTGTCCACATCCATGAGATGTACGACCATCATCAGGATGGGAATGAGGGATATCATTTAGAGCCTCCGGAGCAGTAATGGCAAGAGCCAAAGGAGTAGAGGTGGCACTTAGAAAAGAAAAAAATGAGTGGATGGTCATATTAGTGGTGACCCAAAAGGCTGTTGATAAGATAGAGGCGAGATCATACATGTGATCTCTAGAGAGAACAACCCCCTAGATTTGAGATGTGATGGATAGATGAAGTCCATTGAGATAAACCCTAGTATAAAATTCCTAGCGATAACATTAGAGGATCAAGAGGTCAGTAATAGGGGGCTGATAGATATCAACCTCCTAAATGAAGGCCTAGAGGCAACTTGACTGATGTTCGCTTGGTTGACATACATGGTCTCCATAGTGAGTCACAGGAGGAAATAAGCTGAGGTAATATGTGCTGGTGGCTCGACAATGTTAGGTTTGATGCTTTGAAGCATCCATATAATGATGGTCGAGTCAAGTTGCAATTATGTCATATACGAGGGGTCCCAAAGGTCAAGAAGGTCATCTGAGAGGTGATGGAGGAGACTGAGATTTAAGAAAGAGCTCGAAGCTAGATGCCCATGACATACGATTATGGTCATTGAAGATGTACGTTGGTCAAGTAAGTTACACTGTGATAAAGTGACAAGTCGGAGAAACTATTGAAGAAGGGAGAACACCAGCTAGAAGAAGCATAGAGGGCTCGAAGGCAGGCGACGGAAGGGGGTGAGCTAGTTGGGGTTGGTTGGGGCTGGCGGGGTCGACTAAGTCGTGCTAGGCCTACTAATCTACATGGGGCTGGCAGGTCCGGCTAGGTCGATCCCGACTAGGTTAGTCTAAAAGAAATTTGTTTGCTAGCTCACCAAAAGACAAGTGAAATGCTAGCCACCGTGGATAGATGGCGACAATGCCCATGACGATGACGACGAGGGCTACGGCATGATAGCAAGGGTGTGACGGTGAAGAAGGACCTCGACAGCAACGGCAATGCCCTTAGCACTTGAGCACGACGACGCCTATAACGGCGTGACAGTGAGGGTGTGGCGGCGAGGAGGGATCTCAACAACAATGATGGCGGTGGAGATGTCGGAGAAGAAGAGGAGAGAAACAGCACCAGCGAGGGGTGACGGCGGCAAGGAGGGCAGCGCCGAAAGGAGAAGGAGAGCGACAACAGGGATGACGACATTAGAAGGAGAAGGAGAGCAACAATAGAGATGGCGATGCTAGAAGAGGGAAGAGCAGCAATGCTAAAGAGCCGCCCAAGGAGGAAAGAGGCCGGTGAGGAGGAGAGTGGCACGTTGGAGGCAAGTGGCACACTAGAGAGGAGGACGATGAGAGATACCTAGGGCTTTGATATCATGTTGACACGATAGAGAAAAATCCTAAAATCGATACAATCTCAAAAGATAAAATATGACTCTTATATAGGAGAGAGGAGATGAGAGAGAGATAGATAATGGGTCATAATGGGCTGGAAGTCTAATACCACTATTAAACAAATTTTAATTCCTTGTAGTCTCGTGCATAATTATTTATTTTTCTATATACACGACAAAAAGGAAATTACGATTGGAGGAGAAGGGGTAATATGAATTTTGTCATCTCTTGGGATCACCCTAGGTGATCTTATCTCCCTCATACAGCCACTCGCCCTCTCTTTCTATCATCCTCTGTCTTTCCTCTTCTCAATGTTGTCCTCTCTCCTTCCTCCTCTCGTCCTCTCTCCCAAACATCCTAGTTCCTTCTTAGTTTCTCCCTTGCATTCTCTCTTCTTCTCCCTTTCTCACTTGCATTCTTTCTCCCTGTTGTCATCTCTCCTTCCTACTTTTTCCCTTTCATTCTCTCTCCTTCATCCTCTCTCTCTTTCTTGCATTCTCTCCTCCTCATCCTATCTCCTTCCTCTTTCTTTTCTCTCTCTCGTGGGTGCTCCCTTTCTTCCAACCTTCTCTCTTCTTCTCTCTTCTCCTCTCTTGATCTCTCTTTCTTTTAGTACAGTTTCTTCTTCTCTGCTCTCCTCTCTTTTTTCTAATCTCTCTTTCTTCCAACCTTCTCTCCTCTTCTCTCTTCTCCTCACTTGATCCTTCTTCCTTTCAATGTGTTCCCTTTTTCTCTCCTCATCTCTCTCTTTTTCCCAATATCTCTTTCTTTGTCTCTCTTTGCTCACATTCTCTCTAGCACCTTCGCTACCCTCTACACAACTTATGGATTTGGGTGTCCTCACACCTCAGTCATTGATCACTTGGTGCTGCCATCACTAAATGTCCTTGACTTGTTGGAGATAGTAGATCATTTCTTTGTAGAAAATTTAATCTATTTTGTATTTTTTTATTTCTACAATACATTCACACATAACCTCAAGTTCATCCCAAATTTTCTTTGTTGTTCTACATTGAAAAACTCTTTTGAATTTCTTAGCATTCGACACACAACATGTGATGTACACAGCCCTAACATTCAAGGATATAAAATTTTATTTATTCTTAGAAGTATTATGATTTAATCTTAAATGATACACTATAATCACTTTTCATTTATTGTAATTTATGGGCTGCACAAATCTCTATATCCTCATTTTTTTAATGTGTAATTAGATTTGCAAAAGAGTGAAGTTATAATCAGATGTGGGCATTGATACTACTTGTTTTATTCTAAGTGGTTGTGTGGTATAAAGAACTGATATCTTTTTTTAAAAAAAATTACCTATGACTCATCCTTCATTTAAGAAATAAGAATAGTCCAATTCACATAACAATTTTATAATAGTTCAGTCATCTTGACTTTATCACTCTCCAAGGACAAACATCCTTGATTTTTACTATTTACTTAACGTTTATCATATTAATTAAAGACTCAACAACATAATATATTTAATGATTCCAGCTAACTGAAAATTTCCCAAGGTCTTCAAATATTCACAGCTTTATGTGGCTTAACTAGAAAAGTATCCGCTTCTCTCTCTTAAATTTCATCTTTAAAGAATACCTGATTTTTCACAATTCAAAAAACACAATGGAGAGAATTTACCCAAGCTTAACATGACTCTTTTTCCTCCGCAATCTTGGGTTGAAAATTAGGGTTTGTAGATGAGTTGTTTGTGCTCATCTCAGCTTCACACTTGCTTGATCCAAAGGTGTTGGCATGCTTAGAAGGCAGCGGCATTGATTGATTGAATCTCCTTTTTTGTTTGTTGCTACCTCAAGCATGGGATAATGACATTGAAAAAAAATTAACCTGTGTCCAAAAATCATATCCAATTTACCAAGAAAATAATCAGATATTGGATTAATTCTTATAGTTAAGAGACATTCATTACATCTTGGATTCAAGCCCAATAACTAGATCTAATGCACCGTAGATTCAGACCCAATAGTTAGATCCATTACACTTTAGATTCAGACCCAATCATTATATCCATTAAGCCTTTAATTTTATGGTAAATAATCAGATATCCATTGCTCCTCAGATCCATGCACAATAAATAGATCCATCACACATTATTTACACCTCTGATAACTCAAAATAAATCATAGTAAATACTCCACACTATTATTTGATAGATAATATTAAAATTCTAGTTTCTTGAATTGTCATATCTTCTTAAACTGACTTAGAAATTTTGAGGATCTTCATATTATTAAGTTATGTAATTCAATTCTTAAGAAAAATGCATATATACTAGCCTCCACATGTTGTGGTTGTCATCAAAACAACACGAATCCATGTGACACTCATGCTTGGATCTAACTAACAAAAGTCAAAGTAAGAATCATCCTTTTTATTTCATAAACTAGTAGTAATGTTTCTGTCAACATTATTGGCACAATTATCATCCCTTTTTAACTAAAAAAAGGGGATAATATTCACTTCAGTTTATTTCTCACTCTCCTCAATCTGATACTCCACCTGCATTTGCTTCCAAGATTCTCCATCCAAAAACTCCTCAAAGATGCTCACACTCATATTTCCTCTCACGGCAACAACATATATACTCCTTGTCCGATAATGCCCCTGCAACCTCGAGAGATAAGACAGATGAAAAAGGTTGCATCCAATGGGACACATAGATAGGGGATGGTTATGGAAGTGGAGAGATCATGGAGCCCACTAACCATGTCTAATTCAGCATCAACGAAGATTGAGCTGACTTCAAATTCAACATCCGAACCATAGCCAGTGTCAGGGAGTTGCCCTCTGTTGGCTTTAGTGGTATCCCTCATCAATTGTTCGACAACTTGGTTTGTTGGAACCTCTTTGGCGCAATGTTTGTCCAATAGTTCTTCAAGCCCTTTGCCTAGTCGTTGACACTATAACACCAGTGCATGAAAAAAAAAAAAAACATATAATGATTCGAAAAATAGGGTTTTGTTGAAATCTACTTTAGACACATGGGTGGGCTCTATTCCTTGCATTCTGAATAAATAAAACCCAAGATAGAGAACTGAATGGCGAGTAGTTTCTACAATAATAACTAGGAATATTATAAAAATATTGTGTGCAAATTTTCGTCAAAATTTCATCGGTTATTTTGGGCTCAGGCAACTATACATGAAATTATCATATAAAAACCATAAAAATAAGAATCGTTTTTGGATTTTTCATCCGCCAGTTCGTGGGTAGATTATTAGTGGCCATATTTTTTTCCCCTGAAGAGAGAATCACAGCAATTTTTAACCACAAATAAGAAATAGTTCCTGATGAAAGTTTTGAACATCCCTCCCCCTCAACCTACTTTGGGCCATGGGGAGTCAAGGCTGCCGTTGGAGAGGAAATGAAGGCCCGGGGAGACGAGCTCGATGGCGACGGGGCCCCGGTTGGTGGCGAAAACCATGCTCTTAGAGCGAAGATCGGCTAGCACCAGATTGAACCCATTGTACAGATCTCCTTGCTCCACCACTTCCTCTGCAAATTCGATAGGACTCATCTCACCCTGCGACCAGAATCGAGAGCCCATCCCTGAGCAATTCTCTTCACCTGCGCGATGCCCGTACGGAGAGAGAGAAAGAGAGAGAGAGAATGAAACCTCCAGGAACTTGACAGGAATATCCCCTCTGGACTTTGGAACCGGGAGGGAGCAAGTCTCCCTGACGTTGGTGAGGAAGGCGATCCTCCCATTCCGGGTGCATCCCAGCCACGTGCCGCCTGCGAGGCCATCCCTTCCTCCCAGGATCTTCCGTCCCCCGTCCCCCCACCATTCCACAGGCTCCGTCGGCCTAGGAAGAAGAAACAGTGGACGAAATCATCTCGAGAAAATAGCGAGCAGCTTTATCCTGCGACGGAGATGAATTTAAAAAGTTCCAAGGAGTTAACCGGATCAAGGACCTGTCGTGGAGCTCGTCCCTGTTGAACACGAGAAGGAGCCGATAGAGTGGGTGAGCTTCCCAGACCCAGGCGGCGATGCACATCTTCGCCGCTGCCTCCGCTGTCGCCGTCTCCTCCGGCGCCGGCGAAGGAAACGGCGGCGATGTGGTGGCGCTCTTCAAGGCCGGGATCGGCTCAGAGACGACAATGGCCTCTGACCAGTCCCCCAACGAGAGGAATGCAGAAGCAAGGAACGGGAGGGACGGAGGGAAGGAGAGGGATCCGAGCAGGGACTCCAGAAGTCAACCAATGTTAAGGACGAAAAAGGTCCACAAAAAGTCGGACCCTGTCGCTCCACTTCATCCGAACTTGCAGCTTCCGAATGAAGTGTACGTATTCCGAACCGCCACATGTAATGGCTCAGGAATCGCCACGTGGCATGGCTCATGAGACCCACGCCCGTAATCATTTATTGTCCGGCACTTGCTTGGGCCGCGCCCATCTGCACACCGATCCCCCACCCCCCCAAGTCATTAAGTGCCGCAAGTGGAGGATAAAAATGGGCCAGAATCGCCACGTGTAGCTTATCATCTTCCCCGCCGAACCTTCGAGGGAAACCCTCATCATTTATTATCCGGCCCTCGCCGGGCCCATCAGTTATTGTCCGGCCCTTGCTTGGCTATTAGGAAGAAGATTGAGTTAGGGATTCATTCAATATCTGAAGGAATGGAGTCAGTTTTGGATGCTCGAGTAGTCGATTCAACACATTCCAGTGGTATGAATTCATCTGGCCTATCAATTCTTCTTCTATTTTTAGTTTCTCAACCCCCCATTCAATCCTTATGGGCCCAGATCTGTGTCAAATTTGGGCTTGGAAGACGCCTGGCCCAGAAGCCTTTATCTCACCCTGTGGTCGCACCTCGACTACCAGGCCGGGGGAATCAAAGCCCAAAGTATGACCATTAATGGGCTGCTTCGGCCCGCAGGTAGGCCGACTGTTAAACTTCATGAGTTATGGGCTGTCAGAATCCTTGGGCCAACCGTTAAACATGTTCTTCCGTTCATTGACCGATGTTATATATATAAACACACAGAGAGAGCAGAGCGAGAGAGAGAAAGAGATGATGAAGATGTGGGTCGGGAGAGTAGCTTCTTCAGCTGGGCCACCGTCTTCGACGGTGGCTTTCCCCGGAGGCGAAGATGCTCACATTCTTCTTCCAGGTGTCTTCTCCACCACTCTCTCCCTTGCCCCGAGGAGAGTTTCGGACCAGGGAATTATCGCTCGAGCGCACTCCGCGGCCGCTTCCTCTTCTACTTCTATCCTCAGTGGCCGCAGCAATGATGGGGGCCCATATTCGGTTTCTGCTCTGCTGTCTGGTAGGAGCAGGATCTTCGTCGCCCTGGCTTCTTCGAGGAAACGCAGGGGGAAGTCTGCTCAGGGGGTCGTGGTGGTCGACGAGGACGAGGATTATGATGGATGGGAGGACGAGGATGAGGATGAACTAGATGATGAAGAAGGGGCGGAGACTGCTTCCGAAATGCCTTTCGATGAGATGAGGAGGTGGCTTCGGAATAAGCCGTCGGGTTTTGGGGAAGGGAAATCTTACGATACGTCAATCGAGGACAAGCTGATAGAGGAGTTAGAAAAAAGCAGGCAGGCCCAGGCTATACACCTCAATAAGCTCAGGAATGGCGTCACAGACCAGGAAGTTGCGAAGAAAAAAAATCCTCGGAAGGCTGACGGTATGAACTTCTGTCCTGTCTGGTACTCATTTGGTTTTTTTTTTTTTTGAGGGTTAGTCTTGAATGGGTTATTTCACCAAATATTGATTTTCTCTGACTATCATTTCTTTTCTCATCCAACGCATAGGTCCAGTCAATCGCTATCTTTCCCATGCTGGACATGTTTACAGGATATTAAGTTTTTCAATGAATCTTCTCCGAGACGCTCCTTGTGAGGAATACTCAGTTCTAAGCGCCAGCATAGTGCCAGTTGTTTCCCCATCGAATTTTTCAGCAGTTAAAAATTTAGAAAAAACGCAAAATTGACCTTGCATAGTCCCCGTTGGTCCTCAGGACGACAATGAATTCCCTTCTGACTATTGACTTGTTTTCCATGTCATCTAGTTAACTGCCAGTTGTTGCTTGGTGGTAGTTGAGGTAACCTTGCTAAGTTTTTTTTTCTCCATGTCGGCAACACTAATTTCCGTTTTTGTTCCATATCATCCGATATGGAGACAATGGTGTGGGGCGTATACCCTTCCGCTTCCGTTAAACAACCTTTTTCATTCCCACAACTGTTTTGGCTTGACAAGGTGATATATGTGGTGTCTAAGTCTGTTCAAACACTTCGTTATTTCTTGTTCATCCTAAATGGGGCGAATCATAAAATGCGGTGCTTGGTACAGAATAATAATAATAATAATAATATAGTTCTTCGTGTGCGGGTTCTATACAAAGATATATTGGTGTCAATCAGGAGAACCAATATATAGATGCTTTTGTAGACATTGTTGACCACGAAGATAAACTCATGTGCGATTTTCGATGTTAGACCATCTCCATGAATACCGTGGTATTACTTTTTTAGTTTTATGTCGAGGTTATTTTCTTCTTTCATCCGATTCAATTGTTTCTGGATTTTGCTTATTTAGTTAAAAAATTGGCTGATGTCTTGTTAATCCTATGAAAGAAAGAAAACAAGCTGGCAACTGAAGGCAGCTGTAGATGAGGGGTTTGTTCTCAGCATGTGCAGATAATGACAGTGTCCTCAAAGAATCCTAGGATTTCCCAGTGTCGTTTCTTGCTTAGGGTCAAACTAGTCATTGCAAAGTATAGGCTAAGGTAACTTTGGACGATAGGGGCTTTGGAAAATATCCTACGTCTGATTGGCTGAAAAGTACCTTCTTGGTTCTGCACTCTGACTTCATGTAGCCCGATGGAATCTTTCAATGTTCGATGGCCAGCACTTCATTGCAGATCCTGATGGACTTGCTTCTTTTCCTGGATCAGGGAAGACCGATGATCTTTGGTAGTTGATGTGTTCTTATTCTACTCAATTTGGAACTACTTACAACTTACACGGAGGTGACTGGAAGATAGCGAAGAGTTTTTTTCTTCGACAGTATCTTATATGGTCTGGAGATATTTGGATGAAATGATATGCCCATGGGCTCGAAATACTAGAAGAACTGTGTACAATGAATAGAAGCACTGGCTGCCACCCGGCTCTATCACAGTGAATATAAGGTGTGTGTCTTGTTAGTTGACATATAGGGTTTTTGGCAGTACCATTTCAAGGACAACGCTATACTTTTAATGATGGTATTGCATTTCAATTCACCTTTTTTTTCCATTCTTCCCACAACAGCTCTATCCATGCTGTCAGATCAATTTCCTCTGGATTTTTTGTCCTTCCTTGTGTTTGCCATGTCTCTTGTGATGGCAACAGCAATGGATGACCTTCAATTCCAAATAATATTTTGAGAGACTTGTGCCCATGATTAGTTGAAACTGCCTCATTAGTCTGTATTCTTACTTTGGAATTAGAAATTCCCCCTAAGACTACTTTACAGTATGTTGAATTGGGTTTTGCAGCTACTGAACTTGCTCCTGTTGGTGCACGTGTTCGGGTGGTGGGACTTCCACGGAAAAAGAACGTCCACAGAGATCTGAAATTGGCATTTAGTGGGTTTCCCAACATTGTCAATATAAGCCCTGCAGTTGAGGGAAACAAGAAAACGAGGGATCCTATTTGCAAAGGATTTGCATTTATAGACTTCAAATCAGGCGAAGCTGCACATAAGTAAGATTACTCGAATTTTAGATGTTTTTTTCGAAATTACGAAGTTTTCACATGTTCTGTATTGATCTGTAAATCAGAACTATTTATTTCGGAAAAAAAATGTGTATCGTATGCTTCATTTTTCTACCTTTAAAATGTACACAGAAATCATTAGACGATGTTCAAATATGTGTATGTTTGAAAATAATTGATGATAATTTGATTACTTTTACTATGACTTGGTAAAAAAATATCTCGAGGTATGTTGTTCGACACTCGTAATTATGATATGTTTACCGAACAAGGGGTAATAGGTTTATTGGGAGTTATCAAACATTACCCAAGTTCGGGATTTGACCTCATACATATGTATATGTTTAATTCAAGTACAGGATATTACCTCATTATTATTAAATTTTAGTATATGAAGCTTGAAGCATTTTAAGACTTTCATGCATGTGGTGTGGCAGCACTACCACCATGTATCACAACCTTTGGTCTGCATCACACTTTTTTTCTCATTAATTCTTATCATAATTTTGTGATGGTGACGGATTACACTCTTTTCCACTGCAGAATTTGATCATTATTTTCTGATTCGCATGATCTTTTTTGGTTTCCTCTGCATGTAGATATACCTATGTTGATCAATTTACAAATCATCAGTATATATGGATGATATTTTAAGTATTTGATCAATTCACTTTTTGATTGGCAAACCCATTGAAACAGTTACAAGCTCCATAGCTACTCTTCTTGGTAAGGAATAATGTGTTTTGTACCTTTATAAAGAGTTTTTGTTGGCCAAAACTATTGGTTATGAGTTAGGAGTTATGAGTTAACATTGTCTTATAACTTAAACGTGGCATGGTATCACACATGATATCTACTCTTGGTTTGTGCACACTCAATTTCTGATGTCTGCGTGACTGAGGTCAAATGTCGACTTGCAAGCAAGGGTCGTGCTAGAATGGTTTTAAATTGGAAAGAGTAAACAAAAATCTATGGTTATAATTATGAGCACACTTCGCTCAACTTGTTGAATTGAAGTTAGATGATCAAATGACTGCCACGTAAATATCTTGAAGAACATTTTTTTTTTTTCTATCCTTTGGTATCTACTCCTCGCAATCCAAGCCGGAGTCAAACCATCTGGCTCCATGTCTTCAAAGTTATAGGAATTCATAAAAAAGCTTGCTATTAAATGTTCACTATTAGTATTGATATCATTCTTGCTGGTCGATGCAAACTATTTTGCCTTCAATTATCTGATAGAAGATTGTCCCCATGTAGGTCCAAGTTTCTTTTTTTTTTCGTTTTGTACATACACTACTTTTATTCTGGCAACGACATAACTTCTCCCTGAATGAATAACAATTCTCCTCTAGTGTAGTAATAATATTCTTCCTTCACTAATCTAGTTCGAATTATTGTTGCATGGGAAAGTTGGGAGGACAATGAGAGAAGATATCATTTGGAGGTCTCATTCCACCATTACCTGGTGGAATGGTACTTGTATGTAATAATATTAAACAGACTGCCACAACCTTTCTCGTCAAGGGCAGCTGAAGTCATTCTTGACGCCCGTTTGTTGTTCACATCTGGGGTAAAAAGAACCATCAGTTTTCCATTTTTTCTCTGATTCATTTCTCAAGAAATGGATCATCGAGCGTGGCTGTCTAAACACAAAAAATGAAAGAAAATATTTCCGATATCTAGATTTTGATGCTTTCATGTCTTCTCTTTTTCTTGGAGTGAATCTTACGGGAAAAAAAAATTGCTTGATATTTATTGAAAGATGAAAGTCGATGGAGAATTTGTCTTCAAACTACATGATTTGCCAACTGAAAAAAAAAAATCTTATGAAACTTTTTCCTCTTTTGTAGGTTTGTGCAGACATATTCCCGACAAAGTATGCTCTTCGGTAGAGTCGAGAAGCAGATTACATGCGAGATTGTAAACAAACTCCAGTCTTCAAGTCCTGGCTCTGAAAACTTTTCTCAACGTCCTACATTAGCTCCCCGGCTGCAGGCAACTGATGCCGGAGGACCAGATACCAGAGAAGGAGAGAATTCTGAAATCCCTTCTGGTACTCAAGAAAGCTACGGAGACCAGCCGTTGTCACCTGGGTCAGCAGATACCATTAGTTTGGGACGTGCTGATGACGTCTCTCAGCTCAGTGAGGAAAGTTCAGGCGCAGGGATTGCGGAGAGAGCCACAGGATCACGATCTCCAGCGCAAAAGAAGAAGAAAACCCAAATCGCTTCGAGGAAGAAGTCGCCGAAAACGAGGGCAGATAAATCTCCCGAGCTGAGCATCCATGGGTCAGCATTGAGGTAAATCATATGTTCAGTATAGATCGTTCTGCATGCCCTTTGAAAAATGTAGCTGGTTGAGAACACTTCCATCCACCGCATTAATCCAAACCCCCCTTGAGAACGCTTCGAAGTCTGATTCAGAAGCATAAACCGTGAACAGTCCCACAACCCCCCTTATGAAGATTGGTTCTCACTCTGCCAGCTACGTTTCAGTGGCTTAAAAGCTAATCTTCGCTCTCAGTCAAACTCTGAAATAGATATTTTGCTTCAATTCTCTCGTTTCATGATCCAGGCTGAAGGTCAAAGAGAGGGCTGTTCTAACCGGGGTCCTGTCCAAGTATGGAGGGCAAGCTGCTCCGGATTCTTCAGAGAAGAACTGAATGGGTGATCTGTGAAACGTGTGCATCTGATCCTCGTGGTTATCAAGCAAAAAAGCTCAAGCAGGCTGGCAGAGCACCTGGGGCGATGTGGACTCGACGGTAAGATCCTGGGGTGGAGTCCTTGGAAAGATTTTTTTTGCTCTGCAGTCCCTGTGTTTTTGTCCGCTGTGTTGGGTGGGTGGGTTGGATTGGATGTTGCAGAAAACCCCAGTTTATATCGCCTCGAGGAGGAGGTGATTCTAAGTCAACCTTCAGATAGTAAAAAATTCAATCTTTTTACTGCAACACGCAGCAGCTTTTGCTCATCTTTCTTGAATCAGATTGAGCTGATTGGCGTTCAGTGATGGAGAGAGAAAATATCATTTTCTTAGGAAAATCATCAGGAGAAGATTGCAGCATATCGTTTAAGTTTCTCTCTCTCTCTCTCTCTCTCCCCCCAGATTGGGCCGGGCACGATTCATCAGACTGGGCCCGACTTTCGCTGGCCCGCTCCGTGGCATATGCAGTCTGCGGTCTGACCTGACAACTTCACAGATTCTGCTGATGTGACTGGTCAAACCAACGACTAGACTTTGGGGCCCGGTTTTGGGAGCATTGACTGCAGAAGATCACGACCAATAACATCGTCAAGAAGAGCTTAGAGATGGGCAGGGGCGGCGAAGATCTGCGGGAGAAGACTAGATCGGATGGTCAACCACACGTCCTGGGGGATGAAGATCACGGAAGAGGGTAGAAGATCATATATGGAACTCCGCGGGAATCCAAACAGGAGGGACGAGAGTTCTTCGATTTGCATACGATTAATTCCCCAGGGTTCTAAGATTACAACTCACGAGGATTCTGAGAGAAAAAAAAATATCAAAAAAAAAACGCGAGCTACTAATAATACAAATACGATGATTATGATGATGATACAGGACGCAACAGACGTGGAATTCAAGATCAGAGAGAGAGAGAGAGAGAGAGAGAGAGAGAGAGAGAGGATCTCAAAGATCTGCGGGAGAAGACTAGATCGGATGGTCAACCACACGTCCTGGGGGATGAAGATCACGGAAGAGGGTAGAAGATCATATATGGAACTCCGCGGGAATCCAAACAGGAGGGACGAGAGTTCTTCGATTTGCATACGATTAATTCCCCAGGGTTCTAAGATTACAACTCACGAGGATTCTGAGAGAAAAAAAAATATCAAAAAAAAAACGCGAGCTACTAATAATACAAATACGATGATTATGATGATGATACAGGACGCAACAGACGTGGAATTCAAGATCAGAGAGAGAGAGAGAGAGAGAGAGAGAGAGAGAGAGGATCTCAAAGAGCTCTGTTGTGGGATGGTGATGGAGGAAGATGGAGATGAGAGGGAGTGGGGGGGGGAACCTGGGGAGATATGATCAACGGGGTTCCTGGTCTTCCCTCGCGTAGACAAGCGGGAACTCGTCGAACTGGTCGAAGGCGTCGCGGGAGGAGCGCCCAATGGCCTTGAGCGACTGGTAGACCTTGTACATGGGGGCCCTCTCCTTGGGCCTGGCCGCCACACAGCCGCAGGCGACCTTCAACAGCTGCAAGATCTCTTCTTCATGTCCCCCACCTCGGAGAGGTCCGTCAATGGCGTCGGCGAGCCGGCCGGCGGCTGAGAGCATATTAACCCAGTCGACCAGGCCCCCCTTGAAGGAGCCCTCCTCAGCATAGTCAACGGGCACCACCACCTCGATGGGGCGCTGCCCTGTGGCGAGCTCCAGTAGGACGACCCCGAAGCTGTAGACGTCCCCTTTCATGGAGGGCACCATGGTGCTGTGATACTCCGGAGCGACGTACCCGAAGTCCCCGAAGTCGCCGTTGACGAGGGAGCTGGTGGCGCCACCGCCGTCGCCGGCGCCGGAGCTCCCCCCAAGCTGGGCGAGCCCGAAGTCCGTGATGCGGGGTTCCATGTCGTCGTCGAGGAGGACGGCGGCGGAGCTGAAGCTCTGGTGGAGGAGCGGCGGCTGGATGCCGTGGTGGAGCCAGGCGAGCCCTCTTGCGGCGCCGACGGCGATCCTCACTCTGCAAGCCCAGTCGAGGGCGGCGGCGGCCGCCGAAGAAGGATGGGAATGGAGGGCGGAGGAGAGGGAACCGCCGGGCATGTGCTTGTAGACGAGCAGGCGCTCGTCGAGGACGGCGCAGAAGCCGAGGAGGGGGACGAGGTTGGGATGGCGGAGCTGCCCCAGACGGGAGACCTCGAGGCGGAAATGCTTCTCCGGGAGGCGGCAGAAGGGGAGGCGCTTCACGGCGAGGGCGGAGCCGTCAGAGAGGACGGCCCGGTAGGTGGCGCCGCCCCGGCCGGTGGAGAAGGAGATGATGTGGTCGGGGGAGAAGTCGCCGGTGGCGGCCATGAGGTCCCCGAGCTTCACCTTGACGATGGGCTTCTGGAAGAGCGAGACCTGTACCGTACGATGGGGGCGGAGCCGCTCCGCCCAGCCGGCGGCGCCGCCGGCGTCCTCCGCCGTCGTCCGCCGTCTTCCGCCGGCGGGGCGGACGACATACCAGCGGAAGATGGCGAGCACGACGAGCGAGGAGACGATGGCACCGAACAGCCCGGCGGCGATGATAATGATGAGGCTCCGCCGGCTGAGGCCGCCGCTGCAGCGACCGAGGGGACCGCCGCAGAGGTCAGAGTTGCCCTCGAAATCGGAGGACGCGAAGGAGCCTAGCACCGAGGGGATGCTTCCCGAGAGTCTGTTGTTGGCGACGGAGAAATCCCGGAGCCGACTCAGCTCGGACAACCGAGAGGGGATGGCGCCGGAGAGTTCGTTCCCGGAGAGGAAGAGCGTGTTGAGATACGCGCAGTCGGCGAGCTCCGGCGGGATCTCCCCGGAGAGCCGGTTGCCGGAGAGATCGAGGTAGACGAGGTTGGGGAGCCACTGGCACAGCTCCGAGGGGATCTTTCCGGTGAGGGAGTTGCCGGAGAGGACGAGGTGGGTGATGGAGGAGCATAACTGCAGGGCGGAGGGGATCCCGCCGGCAAGCCCCATGGAAGAGAGCTCGAGGTTCAGAACCCGATTCTCCTGGAGGTTCCAGCAGGAGACGCCGACGAAGTTGCATATGAACCCCACGGAGCTGTTGCTGAAGCTCCAGGAGAACAGCCTCCCCTGCGGATCCTGCAGCGACTCCTTCACCCCCTTCAGGCACTTCACCGCGTCCTCCGCCCCCACCGTCACCATCGCCGCCATCGCCAGAATCGTCGCCAGGATCAGGATCAACCACCGAGATTGGATCGACGCCGCTGCTGCCGCCGTCCCCAGATTCCGCGGCCATCCCATGGCGATCGCCTCAGGGAACAATCCCTCCCTCCGCGATCCGGATCGGTCAATCAGCCCCACCGAGAAAGAGAGAGAACAGAGAGGGAGATCAGCAACGCGGTGGAGGAAGAGGGCGAAGGCGGCGAAGCTTCTAACTATCCGTCGTCGCCGTCGCAGCGGCTGGCTTCTGGATTCCCTCCCCCACCGCGAGTTGCAGGAAGGGGAGAGAGAGAGGGTTAGAGAGAGAGAGAAGGGGGAAGGAAGAATGGAGGATGTGGTTGAGTGAGGTGGACTTGATCGATGGGCGTAGTTGGGAGGGGGATAGAGAAAGGGATGTTATATTTACCTCCCTCTAGCTCTTCTCACGCCCGCTTGTATCACCTGATTTCAGCTTCCGACATCGTCCAAAGAGTCCTAAGTTACGCTCAGAGCGACGTGGAGAACAAACGGGGAGGTTAAGTGTAGCGAGACACTATTTCCACGCCTTTCAATATCGATCAGCCCTTTTCCGTCCCGGTCGACGTCGCCGGGGAAAAAGATACGAAGCCATCGCGGGATGTCCGCCGTCGTGGAACGGCAGGCGGACGACCGAGATCATGGCACATGACAAATGGCCAAAGTCAACCCAGTCAACTTTCAAACCCGCGTTACGGCTTTTTTAATTTATTTAAGAAATAAATATACTCAGCACTTTATCTAAATGATTTACAAACACGTCGTCAAAAAAAAAAAGGCCCTCGTAAACTAGGCCCGGGGCTGGGCCCACCCGACCTCCATTCAGACTGTGCATACCTCGACAAGTCAAACACATCGTATATTAGATTCTCTCTCTCTCTCTCTCTCGCTCGCTCGCTCGCTCGCTATCTCTATAAAGTCAAGCACATCCTAGGTATAGATACGCCCTTAGTACCCAAGGGCATGCTAATTGGTCAAAGTCAATGATGCCTCATTTAGCCCAGCCCAGTTGACTGATATCGTCCCATCCCAAGAGGGGTGACGGGATCCTCGGTTGAGTTCATCAAGCCTCGAAAAAATGTCACGTGTGTTCTTTATTGGCCCCATTTGGCGTCTCTGCTTCTATACTGAACCGGGCCATCCGGAGCCCAGTTCCAGCCTTTCAAGAGCCCATCGGGTTCCTCGGCAGAACTCTGGCCCAGGCTCGGCCCGCCCCGGCCCCATTAGACATTGACTTTTCAACCCGGGACTGATGGAGGATGTGGCTGCCGGGTAAGGAATGGGCATTCTAACTTGATTGTGGGCCTCTCCCCAAATAATGGGGACGAAATTTGGGCCCATGGGATAAGGCCCACTTTGATTAGGGTGAGCTTGAAAGTTCCTAGTGTTTTGGCGAGGCAGGATGAGAAATTCCGAGACATAAAAGTCCAAAAAATGAACCCATTTTAATGAAAAATCCGAATATTTTTAATTTTTCTCAATAAACTGTTTTTTCGTTATCATTATTCTGTGGAAATTTTATTGAATTATTATTATTACTATTATTATTATTATTTGCAAATGATTCACGAAAATCAATTCCATCAAATGATTTTCGTGTGGGTCAGAAGACTGAAACCAATGTCTCTCTCTCTCTTGCTCTCCAGTTTTCGAGGCTTTCTTGGAGCGGAGGGTCGATCCAAAGCACCCTTCGTCCTTCGCTGGCCGGGCCGTTGACATGCCCAGTTCACTTCACCGACAATTTACCGGCTGGCTTTCTTAAGAAAATTTACATGGAAATGGATTTTACGTTGACCGAGTCTACGCTACATTGAAGGACAGCTGACAAGACCTGCCCCGTCTTAGAGAGAGAAACAGTCTCCCGGTATTCTTCTCCGGTAGAAAACATCCTCCACGACATTTCTTACCCCCACACCATCCGCCCTCTCTGGGAATTCTTGTCTCTCTTCGCTCTCTCTCTCTCTCTCTGGGCATTGCACAGTTCTCAGTCTACAGCCTCATTCTGCCGTGCAGAAGATGCCGAAGGAACTCTTTGCGAGGCTCGGAAAGAGACGGAGGGAGGGAGGGATCAGCGGCGATCGGGGAGTGGGGGAGGCCTGGAGATCGGGAATCCAGCGGTGGGGACTCGATTGATAGGCGGATTGATTGGCCTGGGACCTCCATAGGGAGCGCTACTAGCCAGAGAAGATTAAAGCCCACTCGCAGAAGAAACAGTGGAGATGAACGATTACGGAGAGTGAAAGAGACGACTCGGCTAGGACGGCCCGACACTGTGTCGGAGGGGCTGCGAGAGAAGAGTACGAATGCATCAGGATAGCACGTAATTCCCTCGGTTTTTTACGACGACTACGATCATATATCGGGCGCGGGCACTTTGATGATTGGTGCCTCGCTCGTTCTTGGGGAACCTAGAGATCCACACCGTTCGATTATATTTTCCGAGCGGAGAGAGGATTTTCTGATTAATAAGCTCTAATACGGGTGGTGATGATCATCTACATGGCAAAAAAAGCGTGTTCGTTTAGATTCCGGCGAGGGTTAGGACGTGTTTTAGCAAATGGGCGGATCAAAATCGATTCAGTCTTGGAGAAAAATGTTTTCTGCTCATTTTGATGATAATTTACCTCTAGCTTGAACCAAATACCCGTAGATTTCCCTCAGGTCCCCCGTTAGAGAATCCATCAACGCCTCGCCTGCAAGATCGAGTCATCCTGCCTGCAACAGTTCCTCTCCGACCCAAGAGGGACAGCAGGCTGCTGGGTTGCCGGGCATCATCAATGGCGTAGATCACCAACCCAACCGCACCCAGTAATGGCGAGACCAAGAAGAAAGACCTCATATGTCCTCCCGCAACCGGGAAAAAGAAGAACCTGGGGCCATCCCCGTCTAGGTTCGTGACGTCGTTCACATCTGGTCAACGATCTCCCTCATCGCTATCAGCTTTGGGTTTTTTTTTTCACTTCATTGTCCTCCGTCTGCATGACGATTATTATTAACAACATGAAAAGCAGAAAATAATGGAGAAGTTACTGTGCCGGGAGGTTTTCTTTATTCTCTCCTCAGAGCGAGGACTGCAGCGGGAGAAGAATAGGAGGAAAGGAGGGGGGGATTGATCTCCATGGATGAGGCCGCGGTGGTGTCCACATGCTGGACCGACGGAGGTGGAGATAAACGGAAACTGTCAAATTAATGGGGACGCCAGGCAGGCGGAGGAAGAAGACGATGGGCTCCCTTGTTGACCAAGTCGGGGAGGGAGGACGTCGAGTCACATGGCGCTCGCAGCGCGTAGCTGCCACCAACGTAATCTTATTCTTCGTTTTCTTCTTCCTCTAGGGTTCGGTGGAATCTGGCCTTTTAATAAGGTAATGACGGCTTCTATACGGAGCCGGAGAAGTCGCCATTGGGTATTCCAACACTGTCGATCCTCTGTGAAGGAGAGGCTAGCGGTGAAGCAGAGGAAGAGAGTGAAGGAGAGTGTGATGGGCTCTTTACAGTTGGCGCCGTCGTCTTCTTCATAAGGAGAGAGAGAGAAAGAGAGGACCGGTTGTGGGATGGGGTGTTGTTTACTTCGGGGAAGGAGGGCAGCTTGGAATGGTCCCCCGCGAATCAAGTTGTAGTTTTTATTTTAGAGAGAGAATGTGGGGGAGGAGTGACGGAGATGGGTTCTTTGCCGTTTGATATGGATCGAGGAGCAGTGGTTGCAGTCAAAGTTGAAAGATATAACTTGCGGTCCGCATCCGTTGTCTCCTGTCTTGGGCGGGAGATGTCACTAGGCCTGACATTGGTGAAGGGACAGACTCTGCGAGTCGATTTTTTTTGCATCAATCCAGACTTCCGAGAGAGAGAGAGAGAGAGAGAGAGACAGGAGGGAGGGAGGGAGGGAGGGAGGCAGGCAGGCAGGCTTAAGAGATGAACGACAGAGCCGCGAATGTGTTATTCTGAGTGAAGGTTATTTTTTCCTTCGATTCTAACTTGAGATATATCTTTAGAAAGACAGAGAGGAGGGTGGAGAAATTTGGAGATGGGAGAGGCGAGAGGGAAGTGCCACTCGCCTATCTAACGGTGCACCGCCATTCCTTGCCGGGAGATGGAGGGAAGATAATGAGTATCCCCTCAGGGAGGGCCTACGAGCTGCTGCTGCCATGCTACTCTCTTCCTCTTGTTCTTCTGCTGCTGCCTCCACCGGCTCCGACGATCTTCTCCTCCTCTGCGGCGAGGACGCCGGTTCTCTCTCCGACGATGAAGGTGACGAACCCCGACGCCGATTAGTCTGCAGATTGCAGGAAGAGGAAGAAGAAGAAGAGGAAATGATGGCGCGGTATTTGAAGGCGGAGGGGGACTATTCTCCGAGTCTGGGGCACCGTGGAAGATTCCTAGCCGTCTATGGCTCCGTTGACCCAACAGCCCGCCGCAGCTCCGTCGTCTGGATCATCAAGGTGGGAGAGCTCTACCGCTTCCGGCCGCCGACGATGTACCTCGCGGTCAACTACATGGACCGCTTTCTATCCCGCCATTCTCTCCCTGTAAGCACCGCCGTCTCCAGCATCACCTTCTCCGCCGTCTGACGGAGCTCATTAATGACGCCTCCTTCTTTCCACAGTCTTCTGCCTCTCCCAAGGAGTCTATCGTATAGAGATATAATTTATCTCCTCTTTATTTTTATTTGATTCATTCTGACCGCCACACACGGGTTCCCCCTCTTTCTTGTCTCTCTATCTCTCCCTCTATCTTTTCCCTCTACCCTCTTCTAATCACTGACGAGCTAAGCGGAATGTGACAGCAACAGCAGCAATCTGGGGGGTGGCCTGTGCAGCTCACGTCGGTGGCCTGTCTCTCCCTCGCAGCAAAGATGGAGGAGTCCCTCATCCCCTCCCTCCTCGATCTCCAGGTTCATTCACACTCCATTCTCTCTCTAATTCTCTCTCTCTCTCTCTCGCTAGATTCACAGTGGGATTTGCTAGCAGGTGGAGGAAGGGAGATTCGTATTCGAGCCGAGGACGGTGCAGAGGATGGAGCTCCTGGTGCTGGATGCCCTTAACTGGCGGCTCCGCTACGTCACCCCCTTCGACTTCGTCGGCTTCTTCGCATGGAGGGCCGACCCCACCCGGGCCCACACCAGATCCCTTGTCTCCCGCGCCACCCACCTCATCCTGGAAACCCTCCAAGGTACCGATACCGCACACCTTCCCCCTCTCTGCTATGATCTCTCTCGTCTTCTACCGATCTCATTCTCATCTCTCTCTCTTTCTCCCTCTCTCTCTCTCTCACTCTCACTCTCCCTCTCTCTCTCGTTCTCTTCAGATATAGACTTCTTGGGTCACTGCCCTTCAGCCACATCAGCCGCAGCTATCATCTGCGCCGCAAGCGAGGGTGCTTCTCTGCCGCCGATCACCCCCGAATCGGCTTCGTTATGGTGTACTGGATTGACTTCGGTAAGCTCCGAACAAAAAGCTCGATGAATTAAGAATTGTATGCCAGTTTGGTTGATGCAGTTCTGAGTGCTTTCCTCAGGAGGGCATCAAGAGTTGCTACCAGCTGATGAGACGGCTCGTCGTTGATGGTGGCTGGGAGAAGCGGCGGCGGAACAGCCCACCGCCGAAAATAGAGACGTCGCTCAGCATGGACTCCGACGGCCCCCCGCCGTCAACCTCCTCCTCTCCGTCGAATAAGCGGAGGAAGCTCAGCGACTGCCGCTGGGTGGACGACAGCGGGGAGAGAGAGAGAGAGAGAGAGGGAGACCCATGAATGATGACCCACAGAATCAAAATAGCAGTAAGAAGATCTAATAGGCCATATCACACGGGTTTGCGCAGATTCCTCAGTATTTTTAAGAGGAGTTTGGGAAGGTTTTTCGATTTTTTAGATTTTTTTCATTGGTTCCTCTAAATGGGGACTTTCTACTCATTGCCCAGACGATCATGGAAGACGGGCGGGCAGATTCTCAGAGGTGAGGGGGGGGGAGGTTCGTCAATTGTTATTCCTCCTTCCTCTCTCTTCTTGTTTCCTGAGCACCGCTTTGGACTGTGGGTTCTGTAACATGGGATGGTATCAGAGGCCTCACATGGCGTAGAGAGAGAGAGAGATGTCATGCCAGCCATGCAGGAGTAGAAAGAAGAGGACAGAAATCAATGGGCTACCGGTCTCGAGCTATCATCACGCCTTTCTTCTTTATGGCCGATCCTCCAGTCGTGGAAGAAGAAGACGAAGAAGGAGATCGTGACGAAGACGAAGAACCCACCGGCCAAGCAAAACAGGACTTCACTTCATCCCTCTCACTGATGACCATACCAATTTAGGGTGTAATCTCCCCCCTGGCTTTTGCTTCTACCGCTCACCCGCATGAACCACCCGTGTGACGGGCTCCTGTTTGTTCGATTTAAGATGACTAATAAATGCCCTCGCAGAGTTGTCGAACCGCGGGATTATTCATGGGAGGAGCCCTCCAAACGGAGGACATCGAGAGTTGACGTACTCGAGGTCATGCACCACTTAATGGGATCTGCCGGGATTCCTGTCCTCCTGGTCGCCGGCCGGCCAGCTGGGTCGGTGGACCTTACCTCACCTTACGTTAAGGAAGAGATAGATAGAGAGAGAGAGAGGTCTGAAAGTTGTACGACTGCGATTAAATCGTAAAAAAAAAAGGGAGCTAAGCTCAAAGGCTTGTATTCACTTCATTCATCTAAGAATAGGTAACAAACTAGAACCATGGACTATTTATCGAGAACGTGCAAACGATTAGTGAAACTTTATTAAAATTATTTTCAATAATTAGCCAATAATCCCTTGGCATAAACACAACATGCATAAAGATCGGGAGCAACTTAGCTAACTTCATGCTTTGTTAGTCATTAACTCTATGGTTTAGTGCTCTATCAACGACGACGACTATTAGTTTAGCTAACAAGTTTATCCCACACTATGAAATATCAGGTAAAATTCGCCTAATGTCCTTTTTATTACTCATTAACTTCCTCTTATGTGGGCATATATCCATACTTAGGGATGATATCCACATATTTATTTGCTTCATTTGGCCATTATCTCTATTTTCGGTATTATTCATGAATTAGGGATGAGATGGAGTAAGGATGACTCCTCTTTAATAATCCAGAATTTGTTTTTTCCACGTAACATCGTCCTGAGAAGTGCACATAATTATCAACATCGTAAAATGTACCGAGCACGAAAGTTAAGGGTACCCGTACAATTATCAATTTAGATCCCGTACGCGAGAAAGTTTTCGGGTGGGAAGAGTATATTTGTAAAATCACATTGACCCACCCCACACGACTCTCTCCGTCCCGGATCACGTCAGGGGGACGGACGGACGGACGGACAGTAGGGGTCCACACTTTTGCGAAGAATCTTGGCCGTACATTCACGAGAATGCCTTACCCCCCTCTTCCCTGCCGAGAAAGACGAAACGGGAAACCGTCTTAATTATGGAAATACCCTCGCTGGAATTTATCTTGTCGGAGTGCGGGAATTTTGCCATCAACGTGCGCCGTTGGATCGCCGAACTGCAGGGAAAATCGGGGCGATCTCTGCCGTGGGCGTGGCACATCAACATGCCTCAATTTAATGATTACGCTCCAGTGTGGGCTAATCACGATGGTTGGTATTATTCAGGAGCGCATATCATTCGAATAATCGACGAAATTAAAAACAAAATCCGCCGAATAAAAACCGGGCTTGCGACATTCAAGAAATTATGACCCATTTTCTCACGATTATTATGAAAACAAATAGGGAATAATTTACTCACGACCGTTTTATACTTTTAAGAGGTTCCAGCGCGGGCAAGTCGCGATTATTAATATCTTCCAGGAGTGCAAAAAATTCGAATAATAAAAATATTAAAAATCAACCGGAACTATTAATTTGAGTAAATTTTCACGATTATTATGAAGAAATTGAGCGGGAAATAATTTAGTGACGGAAGGGTCATAGCACCTGGACAAGACAGGAAAAAGCTGCGTGAGTGAATAAAGAGAGGAGAAAGGGAAGTCCCACGGGTAGCCGAAAGCTATGGTGCCATGGAGGGAACGAGATGATGGCCTCGCCTGGGGGAGAGCCCACGCCGGCGCACACAGCGCCTTCTTTCTCCTCCACAACCCCCGAACCGAACTCCTCCCCCTCACCTGCAAATTCCTTCCCCCAGTCACAGAGAGAGAGAGAGATAGAGAGAGAAGGGCGGCCATGGGGGCAGCAGACCACACCGGAGGACTCTGGGTCCTCCTTTCGCCTGCTTTGTGCGGATTACTATGAATGGATGGGCACAGCTCATGGGAGCAGCAGCCGGGCAGTCAAAAGCCAGCATCATGCCGAATATTGGGCAATAGAGAAGAGAGAGAGAGAGAGAGAGAGAGAGAGAGAGAGAGAGAACGCCGTTAGTCGATCCACAAATTCCATAGGCATTCGATATGGTATGCGTGATATAGAATAAATTCCAGAAATGTGAATGCCCTCTCTCACGGGCATTTCTAGAAATTAACGGGCTTCTTCTAGGCAGAGATGAGAAATAGAAAATCAGGAACACAAGTCAACCTGGATCAGGAAAAAAGATGAGACTGAGCAGAACTGGATCAGAAAATCTGGCTCGCCACGTCGGCTGGCTCCTGCGAAGTCCATCCAAAACCCAGGAAGGGATTCAAGCTCTTGGAGCAGCCAAAAGACAAAAGACGGAGAGCCCACACGTGGGAACATGATGAGACTTGGCAAAGGTCAGATGAGCTTCACCGTGGCGTTTTCCGCCGACCCACGATCCACGAAAGAGAGGCGGGAACCCGAGACGACACCTTTGTAATCATCAAGAGCCAGGAGAAATCGATCCACTGTGGTTTCTTTCGGCTTTTAGCCGCTGTTCTTAACATGGATGCCCCCCCCACCCCCTCCCCTCCGTGGGGAGAAAGACGGGGGACATCAGACAACGAAGAGATGACATGAAAAGGTGACTGGAAAAAGAAGAAGAAAATATTTGCAGTATCATCATTCCACCATATCTTTGCAGACGACAAGATCCATTTCACTTTCCATTCTTGACAAGTGAATCATCGCTTCTCCCTCGCAACCAAAAAAAAAAAAGAGCACCTGAGGATCATCCAGTGAAATTCAGAAGTGAAACAAACAGAAGGAACTTCATTTTCTATTATTATAGGAAAAAAAAAGGTCCTCCGATACTAAATGAAGAAATAAAAAGCCCCATGAAACGCCCAACAATTGAAAGAACCAAGCACACCCACGAATCAAAAGTCCTTGTCTGTGGGTGCAAATTTTCTGACGGCCGTCATGCTGGCATCCAGAGATTATTCACCAAAACAGTGCTTCAAAGTCCTCGCATGGTGAAAATGAAATCAAAAGTATATTATAAACAAACCATGCTCATCCGACCGGCCAAAAATGGGAATCGGTTCTTCTGTGGGAGGAAATCAATCAAAGATGCATCAATTCAAAAGGAAATCAATGTATCTCATTTTATCCATCAATAGACAATGCGACCTCCGATGAGTCAACATGTATCAATCGCTGAGAAACACCCACATCCAATTCAGATGAAAGGAAATTAAATCAGACTAAAATAAGGATGGCTGATAAATGCATGATCCTACCAGGCCCGCATGTGCCGGCGGGACAGTCCTTGTACTGCACACCCCCGCTGTGGGATAAAGGAGGGGAATTCAGAATCATACGCTGAATAGTAGTCAGTATGATCTGATGCTTGTGCCCGGTATATTCAAAACCCTGTGAGTGCTCTGACCTGGAGACAGAACACGCGTTGAAACTGATTCCATACCCCCCAATCTGCATCATATCTCAAAGGTTTCAGGAATGGCATCCTCATGGCGAAGGTGGTGTTTCCATGGCGACCAAAGGTGAGCAAGGTGGTGATGTCACTCACCGCCTTATGAATAATAGGCCATGAGGAAGGTGGCACCTTCTATAAAACTGCTGAAATAGTTCTGCAGGGTGAAGTTTTACCAAATAAGGATAAAGCATATACTTGAATTTATTAATTTCATATCCAAGAATAAAACCATAGCTGCATATCTCTATAAACGATATTAATACGAGCAATGTAATATAAATGCATGCAAGGGCAAAGTATGTAAGTTGAGCGTGAAAATATTTTATTCTATGCAGAAGCAATATAGAACAGTTCTTCCAATGCGTCTGAAATGCACAATAGGTGACCTTGATGAGACGCAACAAAGAGAAAGAGAAAGGGGACTTGCCCGTCTATCCCTGTGCTTATAAATTAATGTTCCCCACACTCCACGGAACCTCAATCAAACTGCCCACCCACTCCAGTCTTCGCATTCATGCTTTCTTCTCCTTTTTTCCCACCACCTAAGATCGATTAAGTCCACGCTCAAATTAACTATGGAGACCCGCCTGGGAGGCGCAGATCACTGTTCAGAGAGTTCCATGCCATGGCAGTGTTCTCCGCATTGCTCCGAGTTCATCGGAGACGTCCCCAAGAGGGAAACCCCAGCTCTCAGCGGTTCACAGTCCTGTGAAGTTCAGATCTGACGAAATGAAGAATATCCGTGGATCATGATGATGGCATTTAACGAAGGTGCGGCCGGCCAGGGGTGAAAGCTCGAAGCCGCCGCCGATCAACTGGGGAGGTTTTCACCGTCCTAGCACAAGGTTAGAGATCTGCGGAACCGATTGATCGATCATGTGAAGGATCTTCGATCAGGACGGCTGAAGGAGTGAAATCCATCCTTCTGGCAACGGAGGAGGGGAGAACTCTGCGTTGATTTGACGGAGAGATCGGGAAACAGGGCGCTGGGAGAGCAGTTATGCCGAGGAGCGGAGACTTTTCCTCCCGTGGTCACATCAGATCGGCAGCCGCGGGCCGCAACGGACACCAAACCTAGGGCATGTCATCATCCATTCATCGGAGGATCATAAAGAGAGCCTTCAGATCCGCAGTGGAGACAACCTCACCTGGAAGAACGGAGCAGTCGAATTGAAGGCGGTCGACGACCGCAGGAACCGGCAGGAAGATTCTGGCTGCGTCTTCCATTGCGGATTCACACTCGGCGGGACTCCGTGCGTTCCCCTTCGACAGGTCCAGTCTCCGGAAGTGTAGAATCCGGAGAGAGAGAGGGAGGGAGGGAGCGGGAGAACGCCACGACAGTACGTTCTAGCTGCCATTATTATCTCCCGGCGAAACCATAGACAAGCAGCATCATCCCGCAGTGGCCCGCGACGAAGAAGACGACGCGAGAGAGAGAGAAGGGACGACGACGACGACGACAACGATTGGTTCTTGAGGAGAATTGGCGACCGTGGCGGAAGGCGGCCCCCTCCGCCTGAGCTTTCCTACGTTGCCAAGATCGCTCCCTTACCCCGCGTCATCGCTACACTCTCTCTCTCCTCGAAGAAGGGGGAAGCTTCTTGTATGGGTTCAGAGATGTTCCTCTCACAAAATTAATTTTATAGCAGTTTAAATTGAGCTCATAATTCAAAACCATTATAATATTAGACACTAATTCGACTGCTGTCGATCACGAATACGGAATTATTTCGATTATTCAGGAACAATTTTGCATCTATTTCATTTTCAGCAAGAAAAAATAGATGAATCGTTCATAGAAAATTTCTCAACAAAATCGTTCATATTTACATAAATTATTGCAAATAACTAGATTAGGTCAGGACTTCTAGAGAGGATCGAACATTGATTAAAATGATAAATTATTAATGAAACATTCAGTCCAGAAGCGCGGCCCAAAAAAAGCTTCATCCATTATTATGAATTTATTTCGCTGGAAAATGAGTGAATGAACATCGCAAGCATTTTGCTGAAAAATAGTCACTATTTGAAGCTGCGAGACGTATTTTGCCCGAATTTCAATGCGATTTATAATTTTCTGATCAATCACGAACGTAAATTTTGCGAACTCAGAAACCCAAAAAAAAAATGAACGGAAAGCTGGATGAGTTCGGGCACATGGAGGGACCATCAGAGGGATCGGGAGGCTGTCGGCGATCAGAGGATTCAATCAAGAAGGATTTTCATGTCGGAAATCAACAACTTACAGGAAAATCCTCGGCCGCTTAGGTCGCAATCAATATCCTCTGCAGTGGTTTCAAGTTCCTCTGCAACAGATAATCCGGCGATCAAGTGCCTCAGGAAATTCTCTCCATGTCGCCGTCGCCATCTCCATCGAAGAAGAAGAAGATGATGATGATGACGATGATGATGATGATGATGATGCTGAAGAAGAAGAAAGATGAACGAAGAAGATTGAAAGAAAGAGGAAGCGGAAAAGCTCTCATATCAGACCGATCGTGCGGTGAGTGGTACATGCAAATCTGGCCTCCTTCTCGCTCGCCATCTATATATCTATACAATGAGAAGCTTATTCCGGCTTGATTCCGACCGTCGCTGGATCTGATCTGTTGGTGATTCCGGCGGCGAGCTCTTCCTCCGCCATCCATGGCGGGACTTTCCCGGGGATCTGGACCTCTGCCGGAAGCAAGGTGAATCCCCTTTCATCCTCCGACTTCCGATATGCTCTGCAACGACGGCCGCCACTGCCGCAGCCGAGAGGTGGATTGCGCCACCCTGTGGCGGTTCCTTTCTTCTTCCTTGGCCGCCTGCAAACGAATTCAGAACGGATGAGACTGGCTGTTCTTTCTTCCCCGGCCAAGGTTTTCCGATGGAAGATCTCCTCTGCATCGGAGCAGGCGACTGTCGGGCTAGGGTTTCTCGGGAAACCGATTTGAATAGCGGAGCAGACGATTTACCTGAGCTTGATCTGGCTCGGCAAGGCCGCCGCTGGAGGCGGCGGATTCAGAGCACTGTTCATCACGGAGCGGCGCCTTCGTCCTCTCATGCTGCCGCTGCTTCTTGAGCACGTCCATCTGAGCCCTCATCTTCTCCTGCTTCCTCGCCCGAAGCCCCTTTATCACCTCTACCCCCCACCCCCGAAAATGAAAAGCAAGATCATCCACCGTACGAGCACCACGAAAGGAGAAATCAACGCAACCCGCAGGAAAATGAGAGGAGGAAGGTGAGAGATCACACCGTGAGAGGTGACGAGGCGGTAGACCTGGCCGAGAAGAAGGTTATCCTTGGGGCGGAGGAGCCTGACCCGCGTGAACCGCGCCCCTTCAGCGGCGGTGGAGCCGCCGCCTCCCGGCGGATGCCCTGCCGGCACGCCCTCGCCTGGGAGGCGGCAGAGAGTGATGAGGGCGACGTAGTGGCCAGGGTTGCTCCTCATGACCTCGCTCGCCGGCGTCGGCCAGTAGAGCCTCTCCACCCTCCCCCCTGGGTGCTGTATCACCACCGCTGCCGCATCCGTCGCCTGGCAGTTCCCCATCTTCCACCAGGCGACCAAGCTTTCCTCTCCCCTTCTCTCTCTCTGTCTCTCTCTAGATTTAGGTCTCTGGGTGTATAGGAATGCAGGGGAGGAGGGGGGCGGAAAAGGGCAAATGCTGCGAGGTGGACGACGATGGGAAAGCAGAGCAGTCCAGTCCACGCCCAACAGCTAGCTATTACGCTGGCCAGCGGTGGGGGCGCTTCTGCGGTGGGGAGAGGAGGAGAGGAGGGGGAGGAGGAGGAAGGGTGTCTTGTACTGGCAATGGTGGCGCTCTTTAAGGCAAATCTCCCCACGCAAATAATATCGCCGGCCGAGCCATTTGCCAATTGCCCCCCCCCCCCTTGATTACGACGCGGCAGCAGGAACCCTCCCCCTTCCGTCCTCCTGCAAATGTGAAAAACACTGGTTACTGCGCCGCTAGCACTGGTTACTGGAGATTTTGGAGGGGAAGAAGACGAAGGTGACGCAGAGATGACGATGACGCCCACCTCGGCGCTGGCCCTCGGTAGTCACACCGGACGTACTCGCCGATCACTACCCACCACATCGGAAAATAAAAATAAAAATTGAAATCCTCAATGCGGGCCCCACTTCGGCACGTGTTCTCGGGCCTCTCAACTTCCTCGTTGCAACAGTCCTCCGGTTCTGGGTCTCCCCGCCCTTGCCCCGTGCCACGAGCGTCGCACGTGCGACGACTTCCCGCCAACAGGGAAAATGTAATAAATGAAAAGAAAACAGTCAACCACGCCACGCTTCCTCTTTTCCAATGCCTTTTCCTCTGCCCATCACTTTATCTCTCTCTCTCTCTCTCTCTCTCCCCTTCTCTCACTGTAAGATTGGGGTCAACAGTGGAGTCAGTCACTTTAACGTAAAGCATGCGATGGGATGTCAATTTTAAAAAAAACTCCGCACCTAGAAATTATTTCATAAATAAATAAATAAATAAAAGGAAGCCGCGGAAATTATTTTACGATTAAATTTTCATTAGTTCCTCTCGATTTTCTAGAAATTCGAGTCTTTGAAAGCTCAGAAGGGAATCAATCCTCTTCGCACGTGGGCTCGGCTCTCGAATAAACGGGTTCCGTGCGATAGTTAAAATATTATTGGGTAGAAATGCAATTTCAGACCACCGTACTTTATTAAATATCCCTCGTCTTATGAAATAATCAGAGGAGATGAGAGCAGGACCCCTCAGAGTGGAAACCAAATCGGGGGCCTCCGAAGACTGAGGTGAGGATACATTAATATGGAAATATTGTATTCAATCAGGACACGACGTAAGATATGAAATTAATAAAGGGCTTTTGTATAATACGCCCCCATTTAATTGGTGACCTTACTTATGCGACGACTCGCGGCATGATGGAATAGAAAATAATGGAGGTGGTTGCGTAGTGGGGAGGTCTAAAACCGTCTTCCATTGTTCTTAAGATGGGTTTTCTGTGGAGTTGATGCACAGACTCCCAACCCATCGCCACAGCAAGGGAAGAGAGAGATAGAGAGAGATAGAGAGCGATAAAGATAGATAGATATATAGATAGATAGAGAGAGAGAGAGAGAGAGAGAGAGAGAGAGATAAAGACAGATAGATAGATAGAGAAAAAGATAGATAAAGAGAGAGAGAGAGATAAAGATAGATAGAGAGAGCGAGAGAGATAAAGATAGATAGATAGAGAGAGAAAGAGAGATGGGCGATGAGATTATTAAGGGGGGGGGGGATTATAGGTTTTTTCCAAGATCTAGGAGTAACATATGATGAGTCTGTAGATGTGAAACCCCTGCACATTCTCACACAACGCTTCCCCATTAATGCCATTTAATGGGAGTCCATGTGGGGTGAGAGTTGGGTCTTCACTTCTTCAAAGATGAATCACGAATCCTTATATCGATCAGCACCATTAATCTGGTTCCTCCCCAGCGCTCTATAGAACCCATGAAGAGAAAGAGCTGGTTTGATGATGAATTGGGTGGGTTCAGCTGTTCTACGAGTAATAAGATCCTCTTCCTCTTCCTCTTCTCCTTCTTCTTCCTCTGGTCGAACTGTCTCTGGCACCCAAAAGAGGAATAAGACCCAAGAGGGACAGTATTCAATGAGACCTCCGTGATGGATCATTGATTTCCTAAAGTGGCCCCTGCATTATGCTGTTGGGTTTTTCCCGAATTGGGGTTTCCTCTCTCTCTCGCTTTCTCTCTCCATTCAACTTTCCCTCGTTGTGGGTCTTCTTCTTTTGGGTTTCCAGCAGGTAATCGTCTAGGAAGTTTCCCCATTTCCTGGCAGACCAAGCGGATTTCTACTGTCTTGGGTTACGGATGAGGTTGGGTGGGGGAGGAGGGAGGAGGGTCAGCTCAAGGGGGTTGCCCTGCTTCAACGTCTCCACGTCTCATTATCATTATATTATCACTAAAATTAATAAATGGCGCGTATAGAGGGTTGGCGATATGCTCCCGTGTCACCATACTAGTATATTATTTTCTTGCATGTTGTGTTAGTTCAGGGCCCATCACATTACTTTCCTTGATTTATTTTTGCCTTTTTTTATATACGAGCAACCCTTTATTTAATATTACTAAAAAAAAATCCCTCGAAAACCCCCTTCTTATGGAAACGCCATCTCAGATGAAAATAACCCCTCAAAAAACCATTTTTATCAATTTTATTTATTTATTATGCATTTATTGATTCTCCTAATAAATGTTGTTCTAATGAAGGCTTTGACCACCCGCTCAACTACTCTCGACGAGTCAAATTAGTCCAGAACTTCAACGGAGTTGACCCCCCCCCCAATGTGAGAAAAGTTTGGGCCACTCTGGCCCAAGAGTCTAGGAGACGCTCTCTCGTTCTCTCGCCCTCTTTTTCACGCCCATATATCATGCTACTTACTCAGAATATTACCATCGGGGTTTTATCTAGGACATATTTATGGACATATATATATATATATATATATATATATATGAAAAAGTATGTAAAGAGAGCGATCATTTTATTGGGCCATTCAGCCCAATAAAAGTATCCCGCGTGGAGTTGGGCTTTCACCTGTAGGGCACGTTATATGAGCCTAATAGTGCATGCTTCGGGCCGACCTAAAGTGGGCCGTGGATTAATGGGCCACGCCGGAAAGCTGAGAGAGGATATCATTATTCAGCGCGGTCAGCACGTGGGAGCCCATAACTGGTGGGCCATCCTTCGGATTGGTCCAACATATGCATTTAATAGAAATAGTAAAAAATAATGATAATTTCCAATCGCCTTGGGTTTTCGTAGATTTAAATTTTTTGAATAAGAAAAAAAATGAAAGCAACGGTCTCAAGAACGGCTCTATGCCCATGTCTACATATATATATAATTTCCATCGCTTTAGCCTTTTCATAAATTGAAATGTTATGAATAAGAAAAAAAATGAAAGCAACGGTCTCATGAACGGCTCTCTGCCCATATATCTAGGAGATAGAGAGAGATTGTCATATTAATTTCCAACGCCTTGGATTATTCATAAATTTAAATTTTACGAATAAGAAAAAAATGAAAGCAATGGTCTCAAGAACGGCTTTATGCCCATATATCTAGAGACAGATAGATAGATAGATAGAGAGAGAGAGAGAGAGAGGTGGATAGATAGAGATAGAGAGAGAGTGGGGATTGTGGTTGATCGTCGTCGTCTTCATCGTCGTCCTCGTTGGGGAGCACATCACGTGGGTCACATGCTTTTCAAAGGGAAAGAAAAGGCGCTACTTCGCCGTTTCCCACGGTATCTGTTATCACGCCGGAGGATCGATTATACGATGCTCGTGGGCGACAGCGTGCGCAGACCACGGCTCGTGTTTATTATTATTTCCCTACTGTGGAGGCGAGTCTCTTTTGCTTAGACTAGGAGAAAGATTAAGCCTTGTGCGTCCGGAGACATAAAGACGCCCAGAGAGAGAGAGAGAGAAGCGTAAGAATCTTGCTAGAAATTTCTGCGTCCGGAGAGATGAGATGTCTAGAGAGAGAGAGGGAGGGTAGGAATCTTACTAGCCATTCTTCCGGTCCATGCCCACTGATCACGCATACTCTCTCTCTCTCTTTCTCTCTCCATGTACCTGCGACCTATTCTGAGTAATCTTCTCCTGCCATTCACGACGTCACAAGACCCGAATTGTCCCACTCAAAATCAACTAACGATCAGCAGTTGGATGATTTTGAAGGAGGAAAGCAGGCAGAGAGAGAGAGAGAGAGAGAGAGAGAGAGAGAGAGAGAGAGAGAGAGGTTAAAAATGGAAGGGAAGAAGCATCACAGGGATGGATGTTCCTCAGGCCAAGAATCCGTCGCAGATATACAGACAACATAAGAAGAGACAAGAAAACCAGGTGGGAATCCTTCTCCGGGACCCTCTTTATCGCATAAGATCAAACCCCCTCCCATTTGCGGAGGGGGGAAATAAGAGAGAATTTCGAGTCCCTCGCCCCCTCCTTGGCGAGGAAGAGCTCCAAAATTTCTCCGGCCGCTCGAGCTCCCGGCAGGCAGCGATCCCCCGCCAGCACCGGGCCGTCAATTGGAGGGGAAGAACCTGTTCAAGCTGAAGGGCAGGGAGTAGAACTCCTCACTCCGAGTGTCTGACTTGAAAGATCGGAACTTCGCCCACCAGTGGTGCCCTCGGTCCTTCTTCACCGCCGGGTCGTGCCGGTGCAGGGTGTTGTCCAGGAAGAACGCCACCATCCCCGCCACGAGCGCCTCCGACGAGAAGATCACGTTGACGATGTCATTAAACTTCAACAAAAAAAGAAAAGAAAGAGAGGCCTTTGATTGTTGAGCAAAAGAATAAATAGCTCATAAAAAGGAGGAAAATTGAGAAGAAATGGTGGTTTTGTTTGTCTGGTACCCATCGGCCGCTGGTGTGGACGGGCCCGTAGCCGGCCACGGAGGTGTACTCGTTGAAGTACTGGGGCACGGATAAGCCCAGGAAGATGGAGAACCCGAGGATGAACTTGGTACGGAAGCTATTCAGGTTGCAGAACTGGAGGAAGCTCAGGCCCGCCACCCCTGTTTCAGGATTACAAAAAATTAAAATAATGGTAATAATTAAAGAAATAAACAAATAAAAAGAACACGCACCGACATATGCGAAGAGGACACAGTAGATCGCCGCAATAATCGGGGCCGGGATGGAAGCAAATACCGCTCCGAATTTCCCTGCACAGAGAGCCCAACCAAGGGATGAAAACTCAGATAAAGCCCTCTCTCTCTCTCTCTCTCTCTCTCTCTCTCTCATATTCCCCACGGAGATTTTTCTTCTTTTGTATTTTCTTTTGTGCAGAGAAAAAAAAAAGACGGTGTTTTTACTCCTCCAGAGAGGGTGGCATATAAAAATGGATTGCATTCAGTCCACCCGAGTGATCTAAGAACTGGGTGGACCAATACTTTGCGATCGATTATTACTTGAGAAAATAGAATAAAAAAGAAGATTGCGAGATGCGAGAGCGAATTCGCTGCGTTTCATTGAGCTGAGCAACGAGTTTCAGAGGACCTACCAAGAACTGAAAAGAAAATCATGAATCCTGCGGCGATCTGCACGACTCGACGGCTGCCGACCCGCGTCAAGGCCAGCAAGCCCGCATTTTCGCTGCAGAAATAGTTCAAAGGAAGAATCGGCAGATCGTCAACACAGAATATCCGGATAAGAAAGCTAGAGAGAAATCTGGTGACTCGGAAACATGTTCTTACACAGACACCGATGACCCATTGGCTGTTCCGAAGAGCCCGCTGAGTAAAATCCCGACGCCCTAATTCATGAAGAATCTTCTCATTCTCCAAAACCTTTTCTCCCGAATAATCAAAATGAACCAGAAAGAAGAAGGCTCGAGCTCCAGTACCTGCCAGGCGACGCCACGGCTGAGAACAGAAGGTGGCAATGGGGTCGCACTAGAGTATCTTGAGACGGCATAGAAGGCACCAGTGGACTTCATGCAAGAGAAAGGGTGGGAAATGAAGATCAGCCATGAGCCTTGCGCATAGATAGAAAGCAGGAATGAAGAGGACCCAAACCTCAACAAGAGAGACAAAAGAAGCGGACATCATGGCGAAGGCCTCTCCTGCGTCGAATGTTGGTGCCCCCCATTGAAATGGGTATGGAATCCGAATCCTGTGTGAGGAAAACTTCAACTACTTCAGGCTTTTTCTAACCCGGGTGTTTGGAATCGGCTCATCCTGATCTGATCTACGAGGGAAGTTACAATCCCCCAGAAACTTAGGCGGGTATAAAAAAAAATGCGCTAAATTTGGGAACGAAATATGCCGAGATATAGACTGATTTTGGGCTAGATTATCCGAGAAGAACTGCCTATGTTGCTTCCAGTTTTGGATCTAATGCTGTGTATAAAACTGGTTTATGTAGACATCATCTGGGCTAGAATATCCGAAACAATCTACCTAGATTATATCCAATTTTGGATCCACTACTATATCTGAAACTGGTCAATAAAGACCGATTCTGGGCTACATAGAACATGCAAAGCAATATGCCAAGGTTATTTCCGATTTTGAATATAAGAGAACATCCAAAACAAGTCAACATTGACCAATCATGGGATAGAATCTCCAAAATAGTGTGGCTAAATTATTTTCCAATTTCGGAAGCAATGATACATGAAAAATGGGTCAATGTAGAACGATTCCGAGCTAGACTCTTCAACAAATAACCTACCTAGACTCTTTCTCCAATTTTTTGGAAATAATAACTCATCCAAAACCGGTAATATCAAGAGATTCTGGGCTAGAATCTTCAAATTTTGGTTGAAATAAAGCATCCAAAACCGGTCAATATAGGCCAATTCTGGTCCAAAAGCTCCCTATAGATTTAAAATGAAGGGCATTGCGATTACCAAGGAGAGCCTCCAACAAGGCCAGCACGATCGGTGCGGCAATGCAACTGGGTTTTTTGGGGCGCATGCCTGTATGCCCCCCCAACAGTGAGAATGTGGGCATAGATCCATACAATTGCCACAGAAAATAATACAGCAAACCGAGCAAAGACTTGCCCATGCAACACATGGGGCAAATACTGCAAAAGAAGGAAAAATAAATTACTTTGGAGAAAGCTGCTGAAAGTAAGGCGCGATAAAAAATGAAACAATCGAATTTTTAGTAATTCCCAGATGAAAAAAAATGTTAGAATTAATTAGGAATACCTGTGATAATATGACTAGCAGTATAAGCTGTGGAAGCCCAATCTCAATGCATTTGGCAACCTATGAAAATGATAAAACAGAAAATTAGCTTGCCTTGGAGGGGAAAAGGAGACTGTGATCAGCTAAGGTTATGAAATGAATATTTAGAAAATAGCAATATGAATGAATGGCATAAATCATTGAGCTCCATTGAAGGCAAGATCTGGGGGCGAACAATTACCCCGGGAAATCCCAACTCATATAGCCCCATGCCAACGAGGGTAACCAGAGGAACTGACGAAAGAGGGGTCAAGAATCTGAAAGCCCAGCCAAGAAACAAAAGTTAAAATAATAATATTAACAATAATAATTTCAGCAATGAAAGATAAAGACACCTCACAGAAGAAGTTGGGAGGGTCGAACCTGCCAACAATACGCCATAGGCCACTGAAGCCAATGACAATCTGAAATGTTGAAGCAACAATTAAAGCGCCCTGAGTCCCACGAATGATTCGCTCGAATTTCTGGACCACAAAACGGAGGAGTCATTTAAAAAATAATCATAAAAATGGGGGCAAAAATCTTCTATTCAACTGGTGGGAGTCCTGACCTCACGAGGATCCACGATGTTGCTGTACCGCCCAGCTAAGATAATAGAAATCGTGGGCACAACAAAGGTGTATGATCCTCCAATTACGGCAGGCAAACGAGTCCCAAAGAAGGTCTGGAGCAGAGTATTCAAACCAGCAACAAACTGAAGAGTCTGGATGACTCTTGCCTTCTCATCCTGGAGGAAGAGGAAATATTATTAATGAGTAAGATGAAGCTAAGCTGAAATCTTACAAAAAAATTGCAAGAAAAGAGGAATATTTATTCTTTTAATAGTTAATATTCGTTATTCGGTCTTACATTGCCCCCACCCATCTGAGGAACAAGGGCAGATGGTATGAGAACAGTGGTCCCCAACATCACCAGGTAGTGCTGGAAGCCGAGTAGAATAGCCTCAGCTGCATCACAGTTCACGAAGAAAAGATAAAATATGTGTCAAGACCTTGGCTTCCATGGCGCTAAATGACAATCAAGAGGGAAGAATTACCACTTGTGTTTCAACCAAATTCAGAACCTAACGAGACCCTCATACGAAGATTAAAAGGGGAAAAAAAATATTAAAAAAACAGAGTGACTTCAAATTCATCGACTATAGTCAAGAAATTACGAGGAGCCCAAATAAAAAAAATGGATTAATAAATTGGACCAGAAAAGTAAATTAATTAGAGAAGATGAATTTACGGCAAGAAATATTGGAAAAATAGCTGAATTCAACTAGGTTACTAATCAAAAAATATCCAGCAGAGATAGCCCAATTCCCACAGTACGGAGCAAGTGAAATACTAAATGATCACAGTTGAAGAATGAACGACATCTCAAAAAGAGCAAGAAGATCAGACTGATCTTAAAACCGGGACTATAAAAAGTCCGATCTCGCCTAGTCGCACTAGCGCCTCGTCGTAACAAGGTAGCCGTAGGGGAACCTGTGGCTGGATTGAATCCTGAGCGATGGAAATGCCTTCCCCTACTATACTCAACTAAGAACCCGCAAGCAACGGATGCTTATGTTGAAAGTCGACGCCATTTTCCATTTTCCTTCTTGTTCATCAATCTCCAATCAAGACAAACCGGGCACTACGGTGAGACGTGAAAACACCCGATCCCGTTCCGACCTCGATATGTGGAATTGCAGAGGAGGGAAGATCCGAAAACCTTATAGATATGTGAAAGTTGCCTGAAATTCCACTGCGGATGAACGCAAACAATTAATGGTAGAAGAGAATTAAAGCCACCAACGAGAGCTTTGGAGGAGATATTAGAGAGAGAACGGAAAGCAAAGAACGAAGAGCACCAGACGGACCATAGCACAGAGAAAGCTCGGGGTAAATAAATCCCCTATCTAGCAAAACGTCAGGGAAGATAAGACGAGTATTACGAGATAATGTCGAGATAACTGAGCCAAAAGAGAAAACTCACGCCAGGGCGGTGGGCTGGTTAAGCAGTAGGCAACATTGGGCAGCTGATCCTTCACAGGGTGCGGGACCAGCTCGTCCACTTTGGGCGGTGGTGCTGCTCCTCCTCCTGCCATGCTTCGACTCTCAAGAAGGCTCCTTGGTCTCGCCCTCGCCCTCTACTTTCTTGGCCTTCTACCCTGCCCCTCTCAGCCTTCTTCCTCCCCTCTGAGTAATTATGGCGGGCACCCAAAAGGAGAGCAGGGGAGGGAGAAATGCGGGCGGAAAAACCCAGATGTACGAGCTCTCAAGAGGACGAGAATGGCTGCAGGCGGGAAAGGCGAGACCGAAGAAAGGGAGCAGAAGCCTCACGAAAACCCAGATGGCCGCTCGGATCGGGGAGCAGAGGGGTGTGAGGGAGAGAACGTCCAGGAACGCGGGATCTCCAGATGAGCGAGCACTTCCTGAGAGCTCCCACCACAACCACCGACTTGAGTAGACGGAACTGTGTGAGAAGTAAATAAAAGGAGTTTCGAGGTCAAAGTAAGGAAAAAAAAAAAGCCCCCCCCCCCCACACCCCTTCTTCCTCTTCTCCCTCCCCACCCACACCCACAGAGGAATCTGCAGCTTCCGCCACCGCTCCTCCACCCCCTCGGCCTTTTCTCGGGGTTATTTTTTGCCCAGAAAGCTGTCTTTTCGGATGGGTTTTCTGGGGGGGGTAGTAGCTTGCGGACAAAGGAAAGGAAAAGGATATCTGCCCCGCCCCCCGCCCTGTCAGTCGCCACCTTCTCACTTACTCCTGCCGACGGAGTGATAGAAGAGTTACTGCTCTCTCTCTCTCTCTCTCTTCTTATCCTCCCCATCTTCCGCATTTCGGAAAATCAATTCGCCCGGGTGGGGGGACGAACGCTGCTGCCGCCGCCGACGGGGAACCTCCACGCTCTTCTTCCTCCTCTGCGGCTGCCATGCATTGATCTCGAAAGAACACACGAAGAAAGAAAGAAATCAATCAACAGAGGTCAAAATGGGGAGAGCCCACCGACAAGCCGCCTCCTCGCATCATTCCACCGCAGCTGCGCCGTCGTTTTCCTATGCACACCCACCACCTGCTTTGACTAGGAAGAGGATCATTTCCAAATAAACAACTTATAATGAACATCTTCGCTTACACGTGTCCCCTGTCTAGATCTCCTGTCCGCCTCTGGTTCACTCTCTGTGTACGTCGAGGTCTCACCTCCCGGCAGCAGTTTTGAAAAGAACCCAGGACCCTTTCTTCAGTGCATCTCAAATTTCGCTCCAGGTTACTCCAACTTGGAAGCAATTCAAATGGGAGCTTCGATGCATGGATTAGCATTGAAGATGGGGGGTGGGTGGGGACGGGATTTTAAACCCACATGGTGCGGAGATGTGAGTCTGAAATTTCAAACATTTTCGCATCGAGTTATTAAAATTAAAAAATACCGAATAATACTGTGAAAATAATCTGCCCAGACGACAAATATGGGATGGGCGGCGGGTCAGCCTCACTCTCCCTCGTTATCATTCTCACCCAACTGTGCTCTCCTGCTGTCGTCTTCTTCTTCTTTAAGAGGGGGGATGGGACATCCCGTCAACTCAATTCTCGCTCTCTCGCTCTCTCGCTCTCTCGCTCTCTCGCTCTCTCTCTCTCTCTCTCTAGATAAATGAATAAATCTAGCGTATCGCCAAATCTAATCACAGGGGGCCATACAAAGAGAGCCATCTCAGACATTATACAAATGCGTAAAACATATGATACGACGTATTTCTAAAATTCAGTCGATCGGGTTCTTGGGGGTGCCCGCGAATTTTCCCGGCGGACTGGTTCTCGTCTCGCTCCGTCCAGGGTCTTTCTCACAGAACCAGACATTTTAGAGGAGACTGAGGAATCCAGCGAGCTCCAGCTACGTATACCCAGATCCACACGCCTCTACGCTATCTCTTCACTAGCTGATGGCAAGGGCCCCTCCCTCTCTCTCTCTCCCTACGCTCAATGATAACCACATGGTCAAAGATGTCATGTTACCAAAAAAATAAAATAAAAAGTACATTTGTGTAAAAAAAAACGTGTGAATACGTTTTCCTCTCCGCTGTTAATTTGATGCTCTCCGAAAGAATCCTTCTTTTTTTTTTTTTTTTACCACATTTCTCGCTCGGCTTCGCCATCGAGCAATCATACAAAATTATGTAAGATTTTTGCCAAAAAAAATAAAAAATCCTCTAGTATCATTCACTACATTTGGAGTACCCATCCTGATCAATGAAGGTGACTTCGACCCATCAACAGCTTTGACACACCTATAAATAGTAGAGTTTTAGATAAAATATCACAGCGAGAACGGGCCTAATGGACGGGCCTCTGCACTTATTGAGGCCTGGGCTCTAAAACACATGGTCTCCGCTGGACTCTATGAAGTAGCGAGAGAGAGAGAGAGAGAGAGAGAGAGAGAGAGAGAGAGAGATGGGCCTTGGCGATGTGGGAGAGAACATGGGCGTGGGATGATCACATGCTAAGAAAGACGGGCTCTGAGATGTGGACCTGATGAAGACCAGGCTGGCCCATGGTCCCACCACATAGGCCCATAAAGAGTCATGATGTCAGGATTGACACTTTGGGTGTAGTAAAGTCCAATCTCAAATTTCCAGGGGCGAATGAGTAACTTCGTCTCTTACTTGCGGATTGGAACGGATGGTTTTTCCAGAAGGTACGTTTATTATGGCCTTACTAGCAAATAGGCCCGGTCCAACTGATCAAAACCGTGCCCAAAATAGAGCAGGATGAGCCCGGATGATCAACAGGCCGAGCCCTCCGATTTAACAAAAAAAAAAGGCCCAGTTGGGCTTCTATCCTGGGCAGGGTTTAGGATTCTACTGACACCCCTGATGCAAGTTCAAGTTTATATGCAGAATTGTGGATGGCTGATGGCTCAAGATAGGCCCCCCCAAGCATCCATCCTCCTTCCCCTTTTGACGGCAACCCCTTTGACTGGGCAAGCCAAAGCTCTAATCTTTAAGCTTATTATCTGAAGATCTCCCTAAATGTATGTAGTTTAGGGAAGAACTAGACTCCTGAGGGTCAAACCTAAAAGGATTGGCTAGTTTGACTTCTTTTTTCCCACCTAGGTTTCGTCCCTAAAGTCATCTTAGAGGTGAAAATACACCTAAGTTTCTGCCTTCTCTCCCCACCGAACCTCACCCTCCTCGTTGACCATCATCTCCAACCAACCAAGTGAGCGTATTGTGTGCTGCAGCATGCTTCTGGACTTCACACCTCCTGATCATTGGTGACCTGCACCCAAAACCACTTATCCTCAGTGAGAAGCGTGAGGAGATATTTGGGAACGTGATTGAATCAATTGATTGCATGGGATGACATGACCTGTTCATCCAATTCGGGGGAAGTCTCATGGGAGTTCGAGCTCATGGGTTTTACCCGTCATGAGTGAGTGGTTTTTCCCACATATTAAAGCCAAAATGTTCATAATATAAATGTTTTAGAAAAGAGATATCTTGCGGGAAAAACCATAAAAAAAATTCACAGGCATAATATACTCGGAAAAATTATCTACACGATGAAACTCATTTATGATACTGTTAAGGGTATGATGACCAGCGTCTTAAGGAGTGTGTCAGTTTAGAACTTCTCAAGGCTTCACTTTCACATGAATTTCTATATCTTTTTAACAGATGATATCACATTTTTCAGATGCGTTTTATTCATTTAGAAAGTTGCAATATGATTATTATTCCTGTATTATCCCTGCTTATAAAATATTTAAATAATTTTGAGATTGATGTTATCCAAGCATTAGTGAGCATTTCAAGTAGTCAACCACCACGTTTATAAACCAGTTTTCTATTCAATGAGATCAGCATGATAATCAGCCTATTAAAAAAATTCTCCTCTTGCAGCCACTTAATTAGCATATATAGCTGATGAGCACATTTAAAAACTATATGCTTCATATTAAAATTATTCCCATTGAAAACAATCATAAAATTATACACTGCATTTTTCCAGAAGATTACTGGGAAAACTACACATCCTTGCTAATTTAATGTTAGTATACGTGCTGCTTTTCATGTATTAATTATTTATCTTCATCTTGCATCAAATAATGAATTTTCATTAAAAAAACCTAAAACATGAAACATGTTTTCTCACGTTTAACTAAAAATAACAGAAACTTTAAAAGAATAAGCAGCGAGAATGTCTAATCTTAAATCTCATATGTCAACCTTCTGAATAAGCACGCAAAAACATCTGAATAGTGTGCTTTGAATACGTCTCTTAGCTTATAAGTGATTTTATTACATTGCCGATATAAACATTGAAAATCACAAGTAAAAATATGTAGAGAAAGAAAAAATTATTCCATCTGAAAAACAGAAGCCATCTGGAATACCTCCAAACAGTGTATTTGAGTTTTAAAGGGCCTATGTTACACTGACTCGCCATTCGAAAGTACATAATGCTACCACAACGTATGGAGTCAATACTGGAATAAAAGAAATCAAATGATCAACTAAAACATGAATTGAAACACAATAAAATATACAAAATTTTCCCCGCCATAAAAAGTCAGTTGCTCCGTTTCTGGATTTCCATCAAACGTTTTGCTATGTTATGCTTTGAAAGGGTAAATTGATTGGTTTTGTTGGTCTCTAACTGGAAGACTGGATAAAATTAAGGGGTAAGGACGAAAGGCATCTTGATGATGGTAAGTTGAGGTATATGGGAAGAGGTTCCGTGTTCTTTTTCTTTTATATTAAAACGATAAATCAATATTAATGCAATCTGAAAATTATATGCATAAACTACCGTTGTTGTTGATAAGAATCTCTTCAGCCAAGATTTACCTTCACGATGCCTCTCGTGCAAGATTTAATCAAATATAAGCCATTAAAATAAATTTTAAAACACGATATTCACCTTTCAAACATGAGAGCATGAATAAATAAAGTATTTAAAAAATAAATAATCAAGAGAAGTAAGCCAATTGCCTTAAAATGTGCGTTTTGGGAGTCTATTCTTTCATGAAACTAATAAAGATGCTCTCGTTCTTTGATAGAGTAATATTAATTAAACGAGAGCAATAATGTAAGTGGTGGCAGTATCAGTATCAATTAGTGACGGGTGGAATTTAGATATTGTCGTTGGCAAATGCCAATGATAATGATCCAAGGAGGTCGCTGAAGTTCCTCTTCATGTACCATTTGATTCAGGAATCCTTCAGGTTCCTGTCACTTATGACCCTCGTTCATTTCTCATCGGAATGAAAACAAAGTGCTCTCATCATCCAAACTTAAATCTGTGGAAGCTATTCTCACAGGAGGAAGGGTTTTTATCGGTGAGGGTTCCACCGAGATGAATTCCTAGCTTTCAACTTGTCATCCTGCAATCTAGCTATCCTCATGGGTTTCGTTTAGTCCAGTGAAATTGTAATATCAACTCCGTCAATGAGAAATCTACTTGTAAAGACATGACATGCTCTGCTAGAGCGCACTGATACCACACAGCCTCAAGCTTCTATCATATACTCTCCTTCGCTATCAACTTCTGTACAGATCCACTTCGATAACTTCTTAACAAGCCACGAAGGCACTGGTATATATCAGAGATTGAGGCAGACCACCAAAGATTAAAAAAAGAGTGAAGGAAAGGTAGCAGCAGCGGCACAACTGAGAAGAAGACTGAGAAATCACATAAGTAAGAACGGATAGGGGCAAGATCGAAAGAAAAGAGGTGAACAACAAGCAACCTAACTGAGAATGAGGACACTCTGCTTTGGTCGAAAGGACGCCCTGAAGAAGACCCGGCCGTGACGAAGGAGACGAGATATTCCCATCTGACATCCTCCTGGAACAGAAAACGACCGACAAGAGCCGCCGGTAATTTTCAGACATCGACGTACATCCATAAACAGCCAACTAGGAGCGCGAGAATCGGGCAAAAGGGATATCTGGAGGGAAAATCTTCTCGATTCCTCTCTGGTCACCGGAGCAAGCGGCCAGGAACACGGGCCAGCGGAGGGCCGCGCCTGCCACCGGACAGAACGACCCGGAACTACGGCGAGAGGGGAGATAGATAAAACCTCAAAAACCCCCACCGGTTGCCGGAGGGTGCGCCAGAGAACAAGGGGAAGCCAAGGGACGGAGCTTCTGGTCTGGTTCCTCCCCTGATTCCGGAACCAGCGTCAGAGCTCAAAGGAGAGCAGAGGGAGAGCACGGGAAAGACGGGATCCCCGCTGTGACGACCGCCCTGTTTGAACCGTTGATAACGCCTACCCGGCCATATCCCGTTCAACCGAATAAATTTGAAACGGTCTTTTTTCTGTCTGTCTGTCTGTCTGTCTGTCTCTCTCTCTCTCTCTCTAAATATATAGGTTAAGGATACCTACGTTGACCTTGTAATAATGACCATGATTTCCGGTCAACCTCTCCAAAACTTTGGTCTCAGAAAAATTGACCCATTGAGGGTCATAAAAGTATGAAAATATTAAGATAGAGGGGAAAAATCACTCAATATAAACTAAAATTTGACTATAAAATAAAATTGATAACACATTTTTCACATTGGAAATTAATCTACTACTTAAATGTCTTTAACACATTTTTGTCCACATAAATGTATTTTTTTTTTATTAGACTCATAAACGATCGGTATGACTTTACTTTCATATCTATACCATCAACATTACCATTTATTTCTCATTACAGGTTCAACAATCCCTAACAAATATTTTTCATTATCCACATAAATTAAGGTATATTTTACAAAAAATGGTGTTTTGTAATTAATAATTCTCCGATATTTCTTACTAAAGCAATTAAAAAAAACAAGAAATTTCATCATTATCATTTTGCATATCATAGCGCGCTTGGTCATGGATGTAAAAAACATTATCTTCGAAAATTAGAAAATAAGCATATTTTTTGACGTTTTGCGTTGCTGTTTATTTGGCAGAAATAGACGTTGAAACTTTTTAAAGATCCACTCTTGAGAAAAGCAAGAATGATCAACGATGGTCATTTGCTCAATCATATAGGGGTCAACTCCCAAACCTTACTAGGTCAAGTGGGACAATATTATGTTTTTAAATTTGAAAAATATGACGCAATAAAATGTTTTTTAATTTTAAATAATAATTTGTGCTTACGTAGTGTTTTTAAGCTTAATAGAATATTCCGGCATCTCATAGTCTTGTTTTATATTTTATATAATATTTGGTTTTGTTATGGTACATTTTCTGATAATTTCGTCGCCGCTTTAACGTTGTCATGTGAAAGGGGGGGTCTCCATGGGTCCCACCATGGAGATCCGGTTTTCCATTTTCTGATAATTTCGTCGCCGCTTTAACGTTGTCATGTGAAAGGGGGGTCTCCATGGGCCCCACCATGGAGATCCGAAGTCCACCCCTGCCCGGCTTGCCCGGGCTGCCCGGGCGTCCATCGCCAAAGTACGCCGTTTTGTTTGCGGTCCGTTCTTCTCTCTCTCTCTCTCTCTCTCTCTCTCTCTCTCTCTCTCTCTCTCTCTCTCGCTCTTCCCACCCCATTCATTTCCATCTCCCCGCTCCTCGGTCGGTCGCTCAGAGATCGTGAGAAGGCGGGCCGTGAATCAACCCGGAATCCTTCGATTCCGCCTCGGGAAATCGGTATCGGTGCCCCTGTGGTCGACGAATTCTCCTGTGCATCTCGTCACAGACTGTTCGGCTTCTCGCTTGATCTAGATTGGAGGTTTTGTGGAGGAATACGCTGCGAGGTAGATTCGCTGTTGCAGCACTCCGTCGATCCTGGCAGGTGAGGAAATGACGGCGCTGTCTTTGCCGCCGGCGGGATCCCTGGATAAGGGTTCGCCACGATGCGCCCCTTTCTGATGGTTGGAGATCTAGGGCTTTCGGGGGAGTGAGATTGGGACAGAGCCGTTCTAGGTTTTGGCCCGAATTGAGTCCGTGGTGGGATTGATGGTTCAGGCAGGGGAAACTGACGGAACCTGGAAGATTGGGGATGATGCAAGGGTATGCATGGGCGGGAAGGTGAGGAGTGGAAACGTCAGCGGCACATGTGGCCAGTCCATTCTCCTGCTAAAGTACCGACCACAGCACTAGCGGCACCACCTCATCCGGTCTCTCCTCCATTCTCAACAACGGTCAAGCCTGACAAGATCGGGCATCGTTACTTCCTGAAGGTGCCTCCATTTTTCAGATTCACCGCCTGCCCTCTCCTTCCGTCTTCCTTGCTTATAGGTCAACTTGAACATGGCAGAGATGATTCTGTATCATCTTGGGGAAGAGATGGGTATTTTTTATTTGGTAATCTGTGCTTGGCGTCAAGATGGCCTTTAGAAATTTGGTTTCTTGATACCCTGGTCAATCCTATAATTCAAAGGTAAGATGATTTTCAGTGATCATTACCATAATCAGCTTCTAAGGGGGTTTATCGACTGAATACGATGGCCAACATTTGTGAAGGTGCAACGTTGTGTCATCAAATGTAATGAAGTATTTGAATATTTTCGGATCTGTATCACTTTTCGTGGGTTGCAAAGGTTACAAGGCTTTGGTGTTTGTGTTGCCATCCAATTATGTGGGTGCATGGCTTTTGAAGTCTATGCACCCCCAATAGATCGGTAAATTTACCATATAGTTTTTGGCCTTTGATGTAGAAGAAAGGCTGTGGAGTAGGTGACGCGAAAGAAAAGTTCTTATTGTTTAAACATATATTATAGTGTTCATCCTGACTGTCTCAGTGCGTTGCCGCATCTTCTCAACATCTTAGTCTGGAGCGAGAGACAATGGAATTGTCTTGTACATCAGTTTTGGGCACGTGGATAAAAAAAATGGTCATACATCACCATAGAAGGTGACAAAGTAACTTTGGGTAGTTTGGGTAATGTTGTGGGTTGTAAATCAATGTGATTATGGGAAAAGAAGTTTTCTCATTTTCTTTTAAGCTCTTCAGTAATTATTGTTGGGTTACGTTAAAGAATATCTTATTACATTAAAATGAAGATTTAATGTACACTTTTCCATGTTGACTGTGTTGATTATAGTTGTCGAATTGCCTCTCAGGCAGTGGGTTACCGTAAAGGACTAATGTTATTGTGCCTCGGCAAGTTTGTGAAAACGTAGCTCTAATCGGTTGCATTGTTTGTCGCGTGGGTTTCCCTGTTGGGTGCTTTGTTTCTTGGTGTCAATCACTAACTTCTTGCTGCTAATAAGTCTGTGAAAGATGTTAGTTTCAAAGGGTCTTATGGACAAGAAGAAGAAGATGATTAACTTTATCCAAAGTGGGTTAGTGGAAAATTTATGAGATGATATGTGTGCTAAGTATTTGTCAATTGCTTAGATCAAATTAATTGATTTCCACGCATCATAATTTTCATTTTGATACAGTCCATGTTTGTGACCTAAGAATGAAATATACTTAACTGGATACTAATCTGTTGTATGACAGAATGTCTGTAAGAGATATAATCACTTTTATGCCATATATTCTGTCTTCTTTCCAGAGAAGAAATCAAGGGAAAAAAATATTTGATTAAGTCAGACAAACCTTATGCACGAAAGTTTTAGAAGTAACATCGGTTTAAGTTACATCAAAGAATCGTATTTTATGGAGCTGTAATTTGTGCTTTCTAGTGAAGTTTTACATTTCTAGTGAAACACTGGCAGTTTTGCATGTGAAAGGTCGTTTTTAATTTCAATCATCGCCTTGGTTGCTCTGTACTTGTCTTAAATGTAGTTGCCTCTTCTAGTTGTAGAGCGATTCATAAGATTTCCATCTGTACGCGAAACATTACTTCAGCTAAATCGTAAACCCATCCTTGAGAGGTTCCGTTTGTTTCCAAACCATGGGACAAGTGCATATGGTTTACTTGGAAGGAAAAAAAAGGGATTTACCAACTAATAAAATGGTTATTAGTTGATAAGTACCCCGTGAAAGAGTGGACTAGGAAGAACAATCATGTAAAGTCATGTAACTGTCATTTTTTCTAGGCCTAATAATGGTGCAATTTATTCTCGCCTTGAATCAGCCATATGCCGTTCTCTGACAAAAAATTTCTGTAGGTAAGGCTCATTTTTCAACCAAAGAAATTGTATGGTTGAGCGTTGTGGAGTTAAATGATGTTGTTCCAGGACTTTTGGGAGTGCAGCTTGAGTAGCTCAGAATTCGCATTCATCCAAAGAAGTCCTGTAGTTTAGGTTAATTAAGCAATTAATCTTCCACGGTTCAAAGGTAGTAGACCACACTTCATTTTGCTCTGCACTAATACTCTTCTGTTTTCTCCACGATTTTGAGTTTTTTTTTTTATATTCACATGTTAGTTTTGCTCCTTCTGCCTTGTGGCAGGATAGTTCCTTACATAAACTCCATGGGGTTGCAGGACGGGCGTAAATTCCATGTTGGTGATTGTGCACTCTTCCAGGCTGGAAATTCCCCCCCTTTCATTGGAATTATCTGTTGGTTCACTCCAGGCAGTGCTGATTATCCACAATTAGGTGTTAATTGGCTGTACAGGCCTTCTGATGTAAAGCTTGCAAAAGGGATTTTGGTTGAAGCTGCACCAAACGAAGTCTTCTACTCGTTTCACAAGGATGAAATATCTGCTGCATCACTCCTTCATCCATGCAAAGTTGCATTTCTTTGTAAAGGTGTTGAGCTGCCCTCAGGGATTTCTTCATTTGTTTGCTGGCGAGTATATGACACCACAAACAAGTGTTTATGGTGGTTAACTGATAAGGATTATGTTGATGTAAGTTGCTCACCATGCGCAAATTCGTCTCTGGAGGTCCTTTCCTCAGACATCAGATAACTTAGCCAAGCCATCTTTTGCAGGAACGGCAGGAGGAAGTAAATCGGCTATTGGACAGAACCCGACAAGAGATGCATGCAGCATTGCAATCAGGAGGACGTTCTTCAAAGCAATTGAGTGGTCATTTATCAGCGCAGCAGCTGAAGCCCTCATCTGACAGTGGGCTGAACAGTAGCAACACTTTGTCTTCACAGGTTAAGGGAAAGAAGAGGGCCCTGGAGAAAGCTGATCAGGGATCGGAGTCAATGAAGCGAGAACGTCACTCAAAAGTCGATGATGGAGATTCTGGCAGCTTCAGACCAGACAGCTCTATAAAGGCTGAGATTGGAAAGATAACTGACAAGGGTGGCTTAATGAACAATGATGCAGTTGAGAAGCTGGTCCAACTCATGCAGTTGGACAGAGGTGAGAGAAAAATTGACGTGGGTGGGCGGGTGTTGCTTGCAGATGTGATTACAGCTACCGATAGGAACGATTGCCTTAGTAGGTTTGTGCAGCTGAGGGGCATCCCTATACTTGATGATTGGCTCCAGGAGGCACACAAAGGGAAGAATGGGGATGGCAGCAGTCCAAGGGGGGCCGATAAGTCAGTCGAGGAGCTTCTCCTGGCTCTCCTTCGTGCACTTGATAAGTTGCCAGTCAACCTTAATGCACTCCAGGCTTGTCAAATTGGCAAGTCCGTCAATCATCTACGTAGTCACAAGAATGTGGAGATTCAGAAGAAGGCAAAGGGCCTGGTTGACACCTGGAAGAAACGGGTTGATGCAGAGATGACGAAGATTGAGATGGCAAAGCTTAATGATACGAAGCCAGTTGGTTCGACCCAAGGAGTTTCATGGCCTGGGAAACCCGGCTTCTCTGAAGTATCGTTGGGAGGAAACAGGCGTGCTGCCTCAACTGAAGTGATCGCAAAAAGTTCAATCAATCAACCCTCTTCATGCAAGTCTTTGCCTTCAAAGAGTAGCCATGGCGATTCAGTTGCGAAGTCAAACTCACCATCAGCAGGATCTCTGAAGTTATCGTCAACCTTGGCCACGTTGGTGACAACTGGCTCCAAAGACTCACACATAAAGGCAGGAGGGAGTAATGCAGCAGCAGAGCAGCCTTTGACGGCGGTGAAGGAAGAGAAAAGCTGCAGCTCCAGTCAATCGCAGAGCAATAGCCAGTCTTGTTCTAATGACCATGGGAAAGCTGCGGGCTCATTGAAGGAAGACGTTCGGAGCTCCGCTGCTGGTTCAACTAATACTAGTAAGACAACTGGCAGTTCATCTCGCCACCGAAGGTCATCAAATGGTTATGGAGGGTCTGGTTCCTCTGCAGTCCAGAAGGATGTTGGCTTTGGCAAATCTAGCTCCTCTACCAGAAGTAACACACCCGAGAAAGTATTGCAGGCCGGATCTGCCACCGGAAAATTGGCAGATACACCCGCTGCTGATAACGGAAATGGCCACATATTGACGGTGAAGCTTTCAAACCCTGGACGAAGTCCTTCATGGAGTGCTAGTGGGGGTTCTCTTGAGTACCCATCGGCCAGGCGGAGTCGACCATCATCCCCTGGGCTCTCCGTGAAGAATGAGCATGTTGATCACAAAACAAAGTCAAAGAGTGATTCTTGCCAGGCTACCAACATCTCGGCAGAGGTTAAGACAGAATCATGGCAAAGCAATGATATGAAAGGCGCTGTTGGATATGATCACGGTGACGGATCGCCAACATCTCTTCTCAAAGAAGAACATGACAAAAACACCAATGAAGTTGGGAAGGCAGTGGAGGCACTGAACCCTGCCATTGGGTTGGAGCCCAAGTCTGGGAAATCATTAGAATCGGTTTCGATCACCATGAATGACTTGTCTGAAAACTGTACCCGGCTTGGTCCAGGTGAATCAGGGGGCAATGTGTTAGCTTTGACGGATGCTGGAAAGACACCCAAGTCTGAGTCGGTTTCTCCCAATGATTCTTCTGAAAGAAAAACCCCTGACATTGAAACTGAGAACAAGCCAAAGGTCTCGCTTGAGGACGTGATGACCCAGATTCCTGGTCTACCTGAGCATACTGCAAATATTGATTCCAAGAAACAGGAGCCCAGTGCAGGCTCTTTGGAGACTCAGGATGATGTCAAACCTGCTGGCAGCAAAACTTCCGACTGTCCTGTTTCTGCTGCAGCCTCTTTAAGTAAAAATGCCTCACCGAGTGTAACACCAGCGAATGAACCTTGTGATGGGGCGTCTGACGGGCTTGCCGACATGAAGGAGGATCTCCACGTGATTGACCCAGCCAACCAGCTGCAGAGAAAGGGGAGAGCCAGTGAGCAGGTCTCCGATGGTTCACCAGGCTTTAAACGGAAGGCTGGTGGTTTATCAGAAGGCAAGCATGTTGACTGTCACCAGGAAATTGATGGGCCTGATACTGATCACACTGACGCAGATAGTGGAACATGTGCGAGAGAATCAGTTATGGAGACATCGCCATTTGTTCCCGATAAGAAGAGTGTAGTGACTGAGACCTTGAATGCACTTGCAGCTTCTGCTGAGCACGACCTTGCTCCTGCCATGACATCTTGCCCGGATGATGTGACTGGAAATATTGATGATGCAGCAGGCAGATCTTCTCCGACTCCTTTATCTCAGGAAATCGTCGATGAATCCAAACATGAAAAGTGCAATGATGTGGAGATGAAGAGCCAGTCAGAACATAGTCATGACGAGAGGAAGGATCATACGAACCTTGCTGCTGCTCTGCAACTCGATGGAGCGTGCTCCTCTGTGCATTCCACTTGTAATGGGAGTGAGGAGGATTCACCGAACGAGGTCGTCAGGCACCTTTCTCTTCTGTCGGCTGGGCGTGACGAGCTGCCTCCAGTGCTGACACATGAAATTGGGCAGTGCTCGACGACTGGAGCGTCTAAGTTGCCTGCAGGCAAAGTTGATGAACCCAGGGAGATTGCAGCTTCTGCAGAAGCTTTCTCTGCCACTGCCACCACCCCTGCACCACATTCCTCTGCCAAGCTTGGCTTTGACTTAAATGAAGGGCTTTCCACTGAGGAAGGCAGTGCAGCAGAACTGGTCACTCCGGTCCTGGGACCTTCTTCGGTTGGTTTTCTGCCGAAGCTGCCGCTGTTTTCTGCTTTGCCCCTGTCGACCAGTTTGCCTATCCACATCACGGTCGCAGCTCCTGCAAAAGGCCCCTTTGTCCCTCCTGAGAACCTGCTGAGAGGAAAGGGCGAGGGTGGGTGGAAAGGATCGGCTGCCACCAGCGCATTCCGCCCCGCTGAGCCTCGCAAGGCTCTAGAGACGACTCTTGCTGCATCTGATGCCCTGTCAACTGATGCTGATCCGACCGCTGCTGTCGCTGCTACCAAACAGTGCCGCCCTCGCCTGGATATTGATCTGAATGTGGCTGACGAAATGACTCTGGAAGAAGACACCACCTCCCAGAGCTCCTTTCAGAAGAAGGGTGGAAGATCTGAGGCCCTCAGGGAAAACCTTGATTCACCGATGAGAAGCTCTGGGGGACTGGACCTTGACCTGAACAGAATGGATGAAAGCACCGACACCGGGCCGCCCTCTGCTAGCACTAGCCGGAGACCAGACTTGTCTGCGAGGTCAACTTCCAGGGGGTTCTCTAACGGGGAGCCCAGTGCATTCAGAGATTTTGATTTGAACAATGGACCTGGCATCGACGAAGGCGTCCCAGAACTGCTGCCGGGGGGCCAACAGATGCAGGGCGGCGGCAGCGGTGGTGGCATAGTGTTCTTACCGTCCCTGCAGAATGGCGGTGAGATCGGCAGCCTGTCCTCCTGGCTACCCCCTGGCAATTCCTACCCAGCTATGGCAATGCCCCCATTCCTCCCACCGGACCAGGGAGATCATCCCTACCAAGTCATAGCGGCTCCTGGCGGTCAGACAATGTGGAGCTCTGGCATTGGTGGCGGCACCTTTGGCGGCGATTTCTACAGAGGGCCGCCGGTGCTCTCATCTTCTCCGGCGATGTCCTTCTCCCCACCTGGAGCATTCTCCTATGCCGGGTTTCCCTTTGGCACCAGCTTCCCGCTGCCGACGGCCTCCTTCTCTGGGGCTTCAGCCTCTTATGTGGATTCTGCATCGGGCCCCCCACTGATGGCGGTACCGCCGGCTTCTGCCGCCTCATCTCCTTATGTGACGCCCTTCGTAATCAACCTCCCGGAGGGAGGTGCCGTTGGCGGTGGCGGCTCCGACAGCGGCAGAAAATGGGGATGGCAGGGCCTCGACCTCAATGCTGGCCCAGGTGGTGTGGAGATTGAAGCGAGAGAAGGTAACAACAGGTCGGCCTTGACCTCGAGGCAGCTCTCTGTTGCCGGCTCACAGGCTTTTGCAGAGGAGAAGCAGGTGAGGATGTACCAGGCTGCAGTCTCAGGCGGGGTTTTGAAGAGGAAGGAGCCTGAAGGAGGATGGGACCCGGACAAATTCACCTACAGGCAGCCCCCATGGCAGTGACTTTAGCTGCTCCACCACAGCGGCGGTGGCGGCGGCGGCGTCGCCAGGTTCATTTGGTGTAAAGAGGGTGGTGCTCGCGGCGTGTAATCCCGTGGAGAAGCCGTGGTCTGTGCCTCCCTTTGCAGGTCGCCATAGCCTTCTCTCGCTGAACTCTGAAACATGAATCCTGCAGATGTTGGGCTCATGAATCATCTGTGTCAGAAGAGCTTCATACCTTGCTGTAATCCCTGTACATGCCGAGATTCCACGCTCTGAAATGGTTTTCATGGCTCCTCTGCCTGTCGCCGCTCTTCCCGATACCCTCCCTTCTTTCCAGGAGGGTAGTCAGTCCCCTTCCTGTTTCTCTTCCTCTCCCTGTCACTTTGAGTGCGCATATGTATGAATGTGCTTAGATAGTTTCTAGTGGAGATTTGTGATCCATATGGTTTCCATCCATATGATCCTGTCCTGGACAAGCCAGAGAGCATAAAATTGCCCATTTCTTCTCTCATGGGTTTCTCATGAAATGGGTCGAGACCATTATAGTCTACTAAAAATGGCACCTTTTTATTGATATATAGGGATAGAGAGAGACTGCGAGAGACAGAAGGAGAGACGACAGAGACGGAGAGAGAGGGTAGATCTGCGGTGGGGGGTAGAGAGAGAGAGAGAGATCCATTCACGGCCGGGCCATCTCCAGCTTACCACGTGCAGCGAGTCCTGTCGGCGTGGGTTATTGGGTATATCGATACCTACCCAGCGGGCGACTTCCCTATAATGGTGGGACCCCGAGTTATTGACCTGGCCTTTTCGTCCTTACTGCCCTCTCTCTCTCTCTCTCTTTCGCGGCATCGGCAGAGGCGGCGGGGGCCGGAGGTATGGGGGGAGTTCTCAAGGACCACAAAGCGGCGCCGCCGGGCCACTGCCTCACCAGGAAGCTCCTCACCCGCTCTCTCTACGCCCTCTTCCTTCTGGGCATCCTCCACATCTGCTTGTTCCCCCGTCGCCCTCTCCAAGCCCATATTCCCTCCATCATCGCCACAGGCACCGGCACCGGCACAGACACCGGCACCACCACCACCACCACCGTCGCCGCCGCAACGGACGACTGCGACTACTCCGTGGGGCAGTGGGTGCGGGCTGCCGCCGGCCCCCAGTACAACGGCAGCAGCTGCGCCACCATCAAGGACGGCCAGAACTGCATGGCCCACGGCCGGCCAGACGCCGGCTACCTCTACTGGCGGTGGCAGCCGCAGGGCTGCTCCCTCCCCCCCTTCGACGCCGTCGCCTTCCTCCACCTCCTCCGCGACCGCCACGTTGCCTTCGTCGGCGACTCCATGGCCCGCAACCAGCTAGAGTCCCTCCTCTGCCTCCTCGCCACCGCCGCGCCGCCCCTTCTTGTCCACAGCGACGGCGAGGAGGGCAAGTTCCGGCGGTGGCGCTTCCCCTCCCACAATGCCACTGTCTCCGTCTTCTGGTCCCCGTTCCTGGTTGAAGGAGTGGAAAAGTCAGCGGCGGCGGGGCTGGACCACAACGAGCTCTTCCTCGACGAGGTCGACCGGCGGTGGGCGGCGGAGCTCGGTTCCATCCACTGGGTCGTCCTCTCCGTCGGCCACTGGTTCCTCCACCCCGCCGTCTACTACGATAAGCGCGGCGGCGCGGTGCTGGGCTGCCATTACTGCCCGAATCTCAACCACACCGAGGTGGGCTTCTTCGGGGTCTACCAGAGGGCCTTCAGGACGGCCCTCGCCGCCGCCACCGGCGGCTCTGCCCGCAACGTGGTGGTGGCGACCTTCTCGCCGGCGCACTTCGAGGGGGAGTGGGACAAGGCCGGGGCCTGCCCGAAGACGGAGCCCTACTCGCCGGGGGAGAAGCCACTGCAGTGGATGGACATGGAGTTGAGAAGGCTGCAGCTGGAGGAGGCGGCGGCGGCGGGGGCGGCGCCACTGGACGTGACGGCGATGGCCGGGATGAGGCCCGACGGCCACCCGGGGCCCTATATGCGTGCCTTCCCCTTCGCCGGCGGCGCAACGGAGAGGGTACAGAACGACTGTGTCCACTGGTGCCTCCCCGGCCCCGTCGACGCCTGGAACGAGATCCTCCTCCAGCTGGTGCGGCGGCGCTCTCTCGCCGTCGGCGGTGGAGGGCGGTGATCTTCTTCTTCTTTTTTTTAATTATGAAAGACGGATCTCGATCGGTCTCGGTAATTTTCCCTTTTTTTATTTTTGGGTATTCATTCTTTTTGTGGGAGGATCTCGGGCCGGGCTTTTCTGCGGGCTGTCTTCAGGGCCGACTCGGTTTTCACGGGGCGGTATTGACGCGTAATGCGCGGCGTGACGTCATGGCGGTGTCCGGATCCCGCTCCTAACTCATGAAAACAAAAAGGGGAAGCTCTCTATCCTCCACGTGTGACCACCCTGTTGGGTGGTGTCCGATCGACGTACGTGGGCGGTCTGAGAAGAGGTTGGCTTGGGTTTGGGCTACAGGTATGGAATTGGACCGGCCCATAATTTATGTCCGGGCCAATCATCAAAACTCTCTCTGATTTTTGATGACTCTGGAATTGATTTTTGTGTGGGCGACAAGATTCCCTGAGTCCTGATAAATTAGATTCCTTGTTGGGAGCTTGTTGGGTCTTATCCGACCCGGGAAGGCGTTCCAAGAAGAGGGGAGAGAAACAGAGATGGTGTGGTCTCTCTCTCTCTAGAGCCGTTCGCATAAGTAGGAGGTGAGGGGATGGGAACCCGAGGACATGGTAGCTGCCCTGGTCCACCGTTTCCCGCCGTTGCGCCGCCTCTGGTTCTCGTCATCTAGATCCTGGTTAGCTGCCGTCGGGGCCATCGCCGCCGCCCCTTCTCCCCTCTCGCGGGCGTTCTCTACGTTCCCTAGCTCGGCGGCATCCGCTCCGACGATGCCGGGAGTCGAGAAGGAACCCGTGGGGGAGGAGGCAGTGGAATGGCCGGCGGCCAAGGTGAGGCAGACATTTATCGACTTCTTCGTCGGCAAGGGCCACATCAACTGGAAGTCCAGCCCCGTGGTTCCCCTCGACGATCCTACTCTCCTCTTTGCCAACGCAGGTGAGTCTAATTTTCGGCGCCGGATTAATATCCTGCTTCCTTTTGTGGAGTGTCTCTATGGAGTTTTCCCTCAGGGATGAACCAATTCAAGCCCATATTCTTGGGGACGGTGGACCCCACCAATCCGCTGGGGAAGCTGGTGAGGGCGTGCAACTCGCAGAAGTGCATCCGCGCGGGAGGGAAGCACAATGACCTCGATGATGTTGGGAAGGACACGTACCACCATACCTTCTTCGAGATGCTTGGAAATTGGTCATTCGGGGACTACTTCAAGAGGGAGGTCATCGACTGGGCCTGGGAGCTCCTTACCGAGGTCGGTTTTGACTATCGCTGTCATTAATTTTTTTTCATTGTTGTAGAAAAAGAGGGCTGTTTTAGGTAGTTTGAACTTGGCTCGTCTCTTCAGAGTCGGTAGATTCTATTCATATTTTGATTAGATGTTTTCTGTTGGATTCTCGAACAGTAACCAAGAATTTTTATTCACATTTAATATTTTCTTTACAGAGGGCAAATATTTTTTTTACGCCCGCGTGATGTCCATTTTTTTCAGAGTTAATCTTTTCTTTGAGCAGTTTGACGAGACTGAAAATTCTTTCACGATATGATGTCATAAATAGTTAATTTTTCTAGTCACAGGTCAGAAAAAAACAAAAAAGTATCCATTTGCAGAAAGAGACTACAGAAAGTTAATTTTTTAAAGAGGAGACTCCACATACTTTCGCAAACGAAAATGAATTCTTTCCCTACTTCTTGCTGAAACTTTGGAGGATCAGTGTTACAGTACTCATGATATTCGTCATTTTTCGTGATGCTGTTTTACTATTATTCGATCACACTTACAGGTTTATAAGTTACCAAAGGATCGGATTTATGCTACATACTTTGGTGGGGATGAAAAGGCTGGTCTTTCGCCTGATTTTGAAGCTAGAGACAAATGGCTGAGCGTCTTGCCAGCAGGGCATGTTCTGCCTTTTGGTTGCAAAGTAAGTGGTCATATTTTGCCTGCTCTGTTTGTAAACTCTAACAGTTAAATATTAAAATAATAATTAAACCGTGCTAGATCAGGAAGATGATTATTGATCTTACTATTTTTAGGTTTCAGTTATATTTTATTTTAATCTGAAGAGAAGTATTGTATCATTGAGCTGGTTCTGAATCTCAGAACGTTAAAAAAAATGGAGTTTTGGGCATGCTCAGCTCCTGTTGCTCTGTAGGCTTTTGATTTTCATGTATAAATAAATTATCTAACTTATGATCATCTCCTACTTCTGTAGGCTCCTATCACTCTGTAGGCTTTGAATGTTCATTTATAAATCAATTATCCACAATAATATTTGTATCCCTAGTGAAATTGTCTGTTAAAATGTCTTTTTTAGCAAAATGATCATTCACTTCCGTGGGGCTTCTGAATAATATCATGCACTGTCTCATTGAGGCAGCCCTTGATTTATTTCTAACCTGAACGTTAATTTTTTTTTTCAAAAGTATCCATAAATTGGGTGTTGTCATTTGTATTTACTGATTTGGCATGTGGTGTCTTGTGCTCTTCTCTCTTGCTGACCAAATGATGAGAAATGAATAATAGAAAGAGGAGGAGACTGTTGGTTTTAATAGATAAGAAATAGTCTCAGAGTTGCATTCAAACCTGTTGGTTTGAAAGGATCAGAAGATGAGTTGGTTATTAAGATAAGAGAGAGAACATGTGTCTCAGAGTAAGCTCAAGGAAGAAAAACCTTGGTGAGGTAATCCTCGGTGATTTTGAACTATTCAGGTTAATGGTTTCTAAATGTATCAGAGAAAGTAGCCTAATGCTGAAATTAGCGACCTTGTGAGAAGAAAATCAAACATATGAGTTTAGCTATATAAATTAGAGCAGTAACCATATATAAAGTTGCAAGTGGACTAAGTGGTTCCAGAAAAGCCGTTTTCTTAGAATTTTTGGTATCTGAGTCCTTGATAATGTTTGATTGATGGTGGGATTTGGAGTAGATTGAACATTACTTTTAACCCTGATATTTTTTTTCATCAGGCTTTCATTTAATAGAACATACTCTTTATATTGGTTTTAACCTTTTAGTGTCAACCAGGACAACTTCTGGGAAATGGGTGATACTGGTCCTTGTGGCCCTTGTACTGAGATTCATTTTGATCGCATCGGTAACCGTGATGCTGCTTCTCTGGTCAACAATGATGATCCCACATGCATTGAAATATGGAACCTTGTATTTATTCAGGTACAACTATCTAACAGTGCCTTTTTCCTTGGTGTTGATTCTTTATAACGGTTGAGGAACGAAATCGTGGTGTCCTTCTCTGGCGTTTGGTAGTTCCTTAATTTTTGTTCTGGGTCTAATGTATTGATTTCTTTGCAGTTCAATAGAGAAAGTGATGGCAGTTTGAAACCGTTACCTGCGAAACATGTTGATACTGGCATGGGTTTTGAACGCTTGACTTCAATTCTTCAAAAAAAGATGAGCAATTACGACACCGATATTTTCATGCCCATATTCAATGCTATCCAACAAGTATGTCTCATATATTATGGGGAGCCCTTTTTCGAATGTGTAAATACTTATTGTGTCATTGGTGCTGGAGCCTCTGGATCCAATTCGGTTGTTACCTTGTTGGTGACTCCATTTTTTGTGTTTTTTCTAGGTTACCGGTTTCCCTCAGGAGTACTCTGGAAAAGTTGGAGAAGATGATGTAGGGAAAGTGGACATGGCTTACAGGGTAGTGGCTGATCACATCAGGACTCTTTCATTCGCCATTGCTGATGGCTCTCGTCCAGGTGAAGGATTACAGATTTGCTGATATAGATTTCAACAACATGTCACTGGTTAGGCCTTATTATTTTTTATGTATTTATTTGTGGAATTATAGGTAATCAATTTATATATGGTCTTGGATCTTAAAATTTATTTTTAATATGTTGATAAATCGATCTTTCTTCAATCAAATCCTGTACTCAGTGGGTTCAGAATTCTCAAACTGTAAACTTCAAATATGTCGCCTCTTGGAAGTAATATTATTTATTGACGTCCACTTTTGACAATCTGCTTTATAGGCAATGAGGGTCGGGAGTATGTGCTCAGACGCATCCTTCGGAGGGCTGTTCGCTACGGTAGGGATATCTTAAAAGCTGATGAAGGATTTTTCAGTAGGTATACACCATTTTCTACAAAGTACCGCATGGAAATCTAGGTCTAATGTCATTGCTGTTGTAGTGGAATTTTTAAACTTTGGATGGTTCTCTCCAGTCTTGTAGGTCTTGTGGTCAATGTGATGGGGGATTTCTTTCCAGAACTCAAGCAACATGAGTCAAAGATAAGAGACATCATTTCTGAAGAGGAAGCAAGTTTTGGGAGGACAATTCTGAAGGTATTTTAGATGATCCGCTTGCCTTGTTTCTGTCTATGTCGTCACTTATCCTCAGTTTGAAAGAAAACCGTCTTTTTTGTTTTTATACTTATTGAAGGAGTTTTCATTAGGATCCATTGTTTCTTGCTTGTTTGATCTGAAAAATGTTTTTGCACTTGAATCACGTGAGGCTTTGAAATGTTAAAAATATTATCAAATGAGTAAACTAATATTCTAGTTATTGCTTATTCATTTTTTTGTAGTCTGGAATTTTAGAGACATAAACATGAATGCCAGGTGACAGTATGGACTGATACTGGGCGTTACGTGTTCCACGACAGGATATAAGGACATTAAAAGGGACATAATATAAGAAAAGTAAAGTTTAGAGATAAATGGAGAAGATGGATGTTGGATTTAGAAAATAGAAGATTTTGTGTTCTCATGACTTCAACTATTGGCAAGTTTCGTTTTGTTGGCCATTCACATAACAAGAATGTTGTATCTGAAACTCCTAGATGCCAGTCTTAGGATGTAGGACGTGTTCGACATGTCATGATTAACGATTCAGAAATATCCTTAAATTACCGGCTTTATAACTTCCTTTTGCAATGTTTGAAATGGCTGTGAATTATTTCATTAGCTATATTGTGACATAAACATTCTATTATTGCAGGGAATTGACAAGTTCAAGAAGGCTGCCCAGGAGGTTCAGGAGAAAAAGTTGAGTGGGCAGGTAAAAACTGAAAAGCACCTATATTTGTTTAATCTTTGCCTTATCTATATGTGACATTCTATTTTAGAGCACACGCTCACGTGCTAGGTCAATAAATGATCACGTGTGTTACAAAAAATAGTATCTGTAGTATATCTTTTCGCAATTCTGATTATCATCTTGCACACAGCTAAACCTTGCCATGAAGAGAGGTACTCTTACCAATGTATAAAGCTGTAATTTTTTACAGGAGTTATGATTCCCCATATGTACGTCACTAGTGAGCCCCCTGAATTGAGTGTGATCGAATGAGTTAGGTGCTGAATTGTCTAGTATTCGGCTGATTTGAATTTGATTTGTGAAATCCACCCATTCATTACCAATCATCCCAGACTGTCTGGCCCAGGTGACTAGCCTGACTGGGTTTAGGAAGGTTTGGATTAGTCAAATCAGTTATCCGATCTGGGATGGCTGATTCGACCACCAAATCGGATTCTGGATACCATGGCTGGCCTTTCCCAACAGAATGGTCCGTAATGCTCGTGATTAAATTTCCTGCTAAAAAAAATGTTATTAGATTTCGGCAAAGACGTGGCCATGAATCAGCACATTCGAAATTTGACTTGTTAACTACTTTCTAAACTGAAATATGCTAATGTATGGATAATAACACGGATTATATGCTTTTAGATTATGATTTATGTTTGTCCTTTTGCCAACGTGATAATAACTCAAATTAGTTCCCTCGTAATTTTTGCTTAATTCATTAACTGCCCTTAAATATCCTTGAACCAGAAGACATATATGCATGAATAGTAACGTGAATTTTAGCTATGTATTAACTACTTCATTTCTTTCCACATCTTTATCCAATTAATGGAGATTTCTAGCATACCTAAAATATTGAACGGGAAAAAAGTTCCACCGCAACTGGAAGAAAATGCAAGTTTGTCAAGAAAAGCATATGATTCTGTAAAATGTCAGCATGTCATGCAGGTAGATTACAAAGATAAGTGGAAACACTGTAGATAGAAGACGAAAAACCCTTTTTCTGACAGACACAAACTTCTCTGATAACAATGTATCTGGAAAAAAAATTTAGTCCCTAGGAAATTTCATTAAATCTTGAATACTGTCACGTGGATATGGCATGGAGTTTATGAGGTGATTACCAGGAGAAAATACATGTATTGGACATGTCCTAAAAATAGAACGTACACATCTAGCTGAAAATCATCGTAAAACATGAAAGCCTCCCGACTATTGATCATGCACACTCCCGAGCATTCCCTTTAAAGTAAATAACATACTACATATCCAACTTGAAAAGAAAGTAATTAGACTATACAATTGACAAGTATGGAGTCTAAAGATGTTGAAATCGTCAAACATTGTGACTTTTATAACAAAATGTGTGAGATAATAGCGAGTTATCTTTACATGCTGTCTACGTGAAAAATTTAATGAAAATATAACCCTAAAATGATACGGTGTTGGTCATAACGAAGCAAAAGTGGGTTCATAGCGCAGAAACGGATGAAAATCAAGTGGAAAGGATAATGCTTATGGGTTTTTATGCTACTCTGTATTGATCGGATTTAATCAGAAGGCAGTTTTTTAAGATCTGCTAAGTAGGCCTATCAGAGTATGCATCTGAGTCATGCTGCTGAAGGTCCTTGCTTGCTGCTTTTCCTAGGTGCTGTGGTCGCTAGGTATCTTAGCTCTTGGTTGATGGACTACTGGACAAGAACTGCCATTAACACTGAATTCGAACCCTATGTATTTTTCCCCTTCTTTTTCATACTTACCTTTTGTGATATCGTATTATGCCCCACCGCTGTTACCTTTTCTGCCAGAACATAATAGTCTATAAAATTTGGTACTCACAGATAATTCAGTATCTTGTGCCTTTGGATCTGTGTGTTGAGTCTTGGTCTCTATGACTGGATAATCTTGCCTCTTCTTAGTTTTGTATCGCTCATATTACATGGGAATACTGGGAATTATCCACTGGGGAGGTGACATTAATCGAACATACAATATAGCGAGGATTAGTGTAGTGACTTCTGAATTTTCAAGGTTTTAACATTCTTACACTTCTTGATTTTAAAATACTGAAAACACTAGTATCTGGCATACCAGATGAAAATTTTCCTAAGTGTTGCTTACTGTGTACAAGCAATATCTTTTAAATGTTGTAACTTGGCTGTGCTCTTTGTTGTAGTACTACTTCGCTGTCCCTTCACTGTCCATTCTGTGTGCGCTTGCCTGCTCGTGTGCTTACTTAATCTCATCATTTTATCTTAATGCAGGATGCTTTTGTATTATGGGATACGTATGGGTTTCCTATTGATTTGACTCAGGTCTGTACAGTAAAAAGATGCTTCACATTGTATGATTTTATTTTGTGTTTCTGTAAGGTAAAGTGTTGTTTTTTTCCCCTTTACCAGCTAATGGCAGAAGAAAGAGGCTTAACTGTTGATATCGATGGTTATAATGTTGCTATGGAGGAAGCAAGGCAGAAAGCGAGAAGTGCTCGCAATAGGGTACTCTATAATGCTATTCTCCGATTTCTTTTTATGGGATGTTTTATATTTCACTGTGAATCATCATTGCACCGGATTCTTATTTCTGTAACAAATATTCCCTCTATAAAGATTGTAAATTGTTTTCAGGAATGTTAGATTGCAGTTTTGTACGAGGTTGGAGTCAAGCACGTTAAATCCTTACTGAAATTGATATTGATTGCAATTGAAACAGCTATGGAACGCTTCAAAAGTTGATCAAGTGAGTTGTAGAACATGGTCAGAAAAAAAGAGAACTTTGTTCTATATCCACTGAATTTGGGTGAGAATAGGGGGGATCCGCAATCTTACTTCAGGGGGAGTGGGGGGAGGGTGTTGATCCGGACTCTGTATGAAATGAAATCAAATGGCGTTGGTGGAGGTCGACTTACCTCACTTTGATTAATTAATTGTGGCAGATGCCTTATGAAAACCCCCCTGGTCGCTTTTGTGGCTGAAGCAAATTTTGTCCTCTGATGTAGGAAGATGAGGACAGTAGGATCTGTTGTAGAAGGGAAATATTTGGAAAAAGAAAAGAAAAAGGATTCAACCTTGCCATCTCTCTCACACCTATCGCCAAGAAACAGCATCTCCCTCCCATCCACCTGCCACCACCCATATTGAACGTGCTTCCTGCAAATGCCTAGTTTAAAAAGATCAATTAGTTATTTTTTCTGAATCAACAAATGTAAAAAATATGGTTTACAAATTTTGATGTATGCTATTTTAATTAACGGAGCCTGTCTTATGGTCTGTTTGTCTGTTCAAATGCTTGTGATACGATCCTCCTTGAAAGGATCGGATCTGAGTGTATCCGGAGAGAAACAATTGTATTGATTCTCGAAATTGGGACAATGTTTGACGGATGACAGTTCTACCGGAATACAAGAAAAAATAAGAGAGAAAGAAGAGTAAAAGTGGTGGGGAATGGATTCGAGAGGATTCCCCTGCCTCTCCTGGCTCCGACTGTTCTCCTCTTGATATGAACACCCCCCCCCCCCCGAGCTGTATCTATAGTCCTCACACGTGCTGTGCACATGTTCCCTTCTTATGCCTTCTATATGTCAATAATGCGGTCGTATCAGCTTGCAGATCAAATAATTACTCTTTGTTCACTTAGTCAAATTATGTTCACCTTCCTTTTCTTGAAGCCTTACGATTTATTGGTTGCAAAGTGCCATCCGTGTTTTTGACGTGAACCTCATTTTGGTTGAAAATTTGGTTATTCTGGACTACTTTTCAATTTTTGAAAAAATATTTGTTTCAGCAAAGATAGGGGTTAGTTCTAAAAATAGAAATTAGTGGGGTATCACAATACTATAAGTGTTGATTAATAACATGCTAATTATTTAGTAAAAAGAGCACTAATTATCATCTTTTATGAGTTTAGAATGTATAATTTAGCATGTTATCATATCAGAATTACATAATTCATATTCTACACGTTTTTTTGAAAGGGGTCCTATTTTATAATTTTTTTCCAAATTTTTATGACATCGTTTAATCCAGTTTTGGCTTTCTACAAGTCAAAAGGGTTGATTTCGGAATTCATAAGCTTTTCTACATGCTCCCTTGGAACGGAGTGGGGGGCTGGTAGATACTGTTCGATATCTTTTTCTTGTTTCGTCCTGGTGAGGGCAAAATAAAATATTATTCTCTTCTTTATTCCTTTCAAAAATCTCACAGATGAGTAATTTTGCTATTTTATCTTCTCTGAAAGATTATTGGTGTATTTCCTCTTCCAAGGAAGTTGGTTTTCCTGGTTTCGTGTTGCTTTGACATTCGTATAATCTTTTTCTCAGTGGTACATGCCAAATTTACTGATGATTGGTGTGCGTTTAATTTTGTATTTTTGTAGTTTTTCTTTTGAAATTAGATAAGTTCTCTCTAGTTCACTTTTCCTTAACTTGATTTATAATGGGCAGCAAGTTGGTGAATCTATTGCCATGGATGCTGATGCAACATCTGTGCTGCACAAGAGTGGTGTGGCACCGACAGATGACAGCAGCAAGTACACGTGGAACCAGGTTGCGTATCCCTGGAAGGATATTAATTGTGGTTTTAATTTCTTGATAAATCTGTTTTAAGACATTCATTTATTTCAGTTAATACTCCTCTTTTTCTCAAATTTTTCTCTTTCTCGTTCATTTATCTTGTGTAAAATTAAGAACAGTACCAAGGGACTAGTCAAATATTTTTTTTATAATAGAAAAATACCAAAAAAGTTCCTCCTGTGGCAGAGAATGTAGGTGACATTACTGTCTTGTGCTTGTGTGGACATTTAGCTGGCATAACTACCCAAAAAATCCAAGTGATTTATATTGCATCTTTTCCTTGAGACTTTGGTTTTAGGTTATGATGCTATTCTGACTCGAGCTTCTTGTGAATTTGTTTCGCTATCCTGTTTATTTGATAAGCTGTGGGCATATGAACTAAGGTGGCATCTTTCAAAACAACGTTGCAATTCTTCAGTTCTAAGGTCTCCAGATATCTTGAACTTCTTATGTGTGATTTATTCCTAAAGTATGTGAGAGGGGAGACTCTTAAAGGGCCTTGTATGATATCTGGTCGTCAGGGCAGGTCCTGCATTATAAATGCTGCAATATATGTCGCAGGACATACCAAGTTTCTGGAATTATACATATTTTCTGTAAACATTATTGTTTATCACAACAGTAAGCATTATCTACAAATTGGGTGCAACCAATTTGAAAAATCTGACGTGGTGTAATTATGCTATTTTTTTGTATTTATGTAGGATAGTTGGTGCGTCTATAAACATGAAAAATATGAAATAAATTATTTTGGAAATTCGTAGGTATATATCTGGGTGATATCTAAACCATACATTGTGATTGCGTATCTTATGAAATAGTAGTTGCATGGTTCAATTCGAAACATAAACAATGTCTCATTTAGTTTATAAATTTTATAAAATAGATACATCGGATTATTTTGAAAATTTCTTCATTTTCTCGTTCCTGTTAGATTTTCTTGCTTAATCATTATTCGCCTGTCAGCTTGGAAATTTAGTGATATTTTCTAAATTTTTGCTAGGACCATGAGAGTGTGATTAAAGCAATATATACTGGAGCCGAATTTCAAGAAACTGTGTCGGCTGGTGCTGATGTTGGTATTGTGCTGGAGAGTACAAGCTTTTATGCTGAACAAGGTGGTCAGGTACTTGGTTAACACTATTAGTTCAGGAGTTCCCATAAAAAATTGAAATATTACTACTATTATCTTCGCGGAAATGTTTCTATGGACTTGCATTAGTTCTGGTAGAAAGTAAATTAGAAGAAAAGTTTCTTAGTACCATTTTGTGTTTCAATAAAATGTGAACAAAAGGGTAGGAAGCGAGGAGAACATGATTGATGTAGGAACCATAAGATGGGAAAACCTTGTTATCCGGTGATGCTTGGATCATTCTGCTGTATACGGTATTCCAAACCCCGTTCACAATCTTGAAACATCAGAAGATGTGACTTGTAGGTTCTGCAAATATAATTCTCATGCTACATTTTACATACGAGCGTACAGAGCATATGTGAACTTGCAGGATAGTCCAACAATGCTTTGGCCCATTCTGGGTTTGTGGAGATTTGTCTTTGGAGCCCTCAGTTGGGAAAATATGCAATTATTTTTCTTAAATTTGTGCCGGTACAATTTTATAATTTGTTCTACCATTTTGCTGTGTAGATATATGACACTGGATCTATTGAAGGGGCATTTGGATCATTTCGCGTCAATAATGTCCAAGTTTATGGAGGTTTTGTTCTTCATATTGGTTCATTTAATGAGGAGAATGGGGTACTGTCTGTTGGTGATAAAGTAGCATGCAAGGTATTATTGCTGCTCATTGTTAATTTATCCTTATCCTTCAGACTTTTGTCTTAAGTTGTTGCTTGCTAATAAATTATAAGCAGGTTGACTATGCGAGGCGTACATTGATCGCTCCTAATCATACTTGCACGCACATGCTCAACTTTGCTCTGAGGGTATGAATTCGTAGTTATCATCAGCTCTTCAATTTTTCGCCTTCTTTTTAACTTCTTGGTCGATTGAATGCAGGAAGTTCTTGGAGATCATGTCGATCAGAAGGGTTCCATTGTTCTTCCTGAAAAACTGAGATTCGACTTCTCACATGGTATTATCAGTTCCTTGACCTAATTTTTTCGTGCTCAGGGCTTCTCGAATTGTCTGACACCTTGAAAATTTACAGGGAAACCTATTCAACCTGAGGACCTGGGAAAGATTGAGTCCATTGTAAACCAGCAGATTGAAGATCAACTTGATGTGTTTGCTACTGAGGCGAGCCTTGCCGCTGCAAAGAGTATATCTGGTTTAAGAGCTGTTTTTGGAGAAGTAAGGAGTTTTTACCGTGCTATGATTCTTCTTTACTAAAAATTATTGAACCATTCGCTTATGTTAATAAGTTTCTTTGTTCAGGTTTATCCTGATCCAGTTAGGGTAGTATCCATTGGTCAGAAGGTGGAAGATCTTCTACTAGACCCCGAAAATGAAAAATGGTTATCGATATCTACAGAGTTTTGTGGAGGTATTCAATTTTTTAACCATCTGTTCTTCATGATTCATCATGGGAATACTCTTATAATTTGAAATACTGTTTTTTTTAAACACAACCAGGTACTCATCTTTCTAATACCCGAGAAGCGAAGGCTTTTGCACTTTTATCTGAGGAGGGAATTGCCAAAGGTGTTAGAAGAATAACAGCTGTTACCACCGAATGTGCAATCACCGCAATAGATTTGGCTCATTCTTTTGACGGTGAAATTGATGACGCATCCCAAACGGATGGAGGTTCTCTGGAGAAGGTAAGTTCATGGTTAAGCTCGTTGAACCTTGACCCATCGATGAGGGCAATCCTGTCTGGTGGAAATAGTTGAATGCTAAAGATCATATAATCTTTCGGGTTTTGGGGCATTAAGGATTTTCTATGTTGAAATAACCCTGAAATGTGCACTTATTAAGACAAACTTGCAGTTTTACAGCGGCATTGTTAAATTTTTTTGTTGATTACTAGAAGAAAAATACTGTTTTCTGGACTTTAGCTAAACTGATGACGAAATCCACCACCTTGAATATGTTAAAATGCTTATCCGATTCTCCACGTCACTGTAAGAAGCAGGGTGCTAGGGATAGCTTCTGTAACTTTACGTCATGATCATCTTAGTGGCACAAAATTATTTTCCAACAGAATATCTCAGGACTTGCACAGACTCGGATACAACGTGTGACTTTTGTTTTTCCTTATTTCTGTCAGACTCGTCTGATTTCTCTATTTTTTTTTTCAATGTTTATTTCTAAAATGAGGGAACCCATACAACGTCACACGCCAATTTAATGAAAGGAGATGACGTCCTGCATTGATATATGAATTCCACGCTGGGAACACAGTATCATGCCCTCTAACAGAACATTGTAGTTCCCTATTTTCCTTGCACAATCTGCCCATGACATCTGGTGTCCTCTTATAGTTTAGTACATTGTTTGTGATGAGTCTGTTCAATGCAAGCGCTAGTCAAGCGGTCTGATTTAGAAAAACCTGCAAGTAAATTTATGGCCAATTATCTGGTTTCCTTTTCCCTCTCTGTAGAAAGTCGCTTCCTTGAAGGGTAGGATAGAAGCAGCCGCCATACCTGCTTTTCGGAAAGCACAGCTAAAGGGGAGACTGTCCCAGCTACAGGTATTTCTCCTCTGTCAACAGATTCTTGTTCCATTTTGATCGCCCGTTTTCTTGGTATACTCAATTGAGGTATCTGTTTCTTGATTGGTTTTTCCTCAGGATCAAATCATCGCATCTCAAAAGATGATCGGGAAGCAGAATATCCATAAAGCGATTGAGGCAGCCACGCAGATGGCGGAGGCTGCAGCAGCTGAAGGCAGAGGTTTCTGCGTGTTCAGAGTTGATGTCGGGTTGGACACCAATGCCATACGCGAAGCAGTGCTTAAAGTCGTAGAACAAAAGGTTCATCTACATGAATTTGTTCCTCTCTTCTCTTTGATTGCCTCTTATGGGAGTGGGAGTGGGAGTGGGGTCTCAATGAGCCTGGTAAGATTGTGATCCCCAGCCTGAGTTTTTCTAGATTTGGGTCTGAAAATCAAAGTTCGAAAGGGACCCTTGGCCTCCTTTTTTCTTGTCATGAGGGAGCTCATTTCCCCCCCCTCTCTTTCTCTCTCCACGGTGGGTGTATAGTTCAGTATTGTCAGAAGCGAAGGGTGTCACAGACCTTTAGCCTAGAGCGAGCCCATTTTCCGGGAATCTCTCTGGCCCCAACCTGGGTCCAGCGCTTGCAAAAGATGTCCGGGCTTGATGGGGCCTAACCCGAACCAATGGCCTCCCTAATCCTTATATCTCTTATCTGATTATTTCATCAGCTTTTTCCTTTTTTTGAAACCTCTATTTCTGTGTTCTTGTTGGGAGCTCATTTCTAAGTGGGATTTCATACAGGGAATCGCCGTCATGATCTTCAGCACGGATGAAGCGTCGAGCAAGGCCGTCGTGTATGCTGGGGTGCCTGACAAGATCGCCAAGGACAATGTGGCGGTGAAGTGGCTCAAGGCCGCCCTTGAGCCCCTCAAGGGGAAGGGAGGAGGGAAGGGTGGTCTTGCTCAGGGCCAGGTCAGTAGCAGGCCTCCATCTCTCTATGCTACGGCCACCTTTCTCTTCTGAATCTCAGTCCCTGTTGACGCTACAAATGGGATTTTTGGTGGGCTTGCAGGGCACCGACACTACTTGTCTGGTCAAGGCCATGGACATCGCGACTGAATTTGCCAAACTGCAGCTGTCCTGATTATTGCATATGTGGGGGATTTCTCGACGATGCTCACATTCTTGGGCTGACTTTTAGAACTTGCTTTAATTGGGAAGAAACATGTTGGATTCACCCATGTTTACCCGTGGAGGATTTTAATTTGTAAGGCCGCTCTTGATTCAGTAAATAATGTGCTATTTCTCTGCGATACGCATTCTTTGTTCGCAGAGCTCTAAATCTTTCTTGTTTGCTTAGTTAGAGGATTTTCTGGTGTGGTAGATTCCTGGCCATGGCATCATCTGTAGGGGCGCCGAAGGGGAGTCGTCTTCCGCAGCACCAGGGCTACCTTGGTAGCTGGAGTCGTCTTTTGCAGAGCCTAGATTCGGTCCAGGCTTGAAGATGAGCTTGGGAAACAGGTTTTGGGTCAGACCATCGGAGACCTGGTCTACCTATCCACCTAGGGGTGTGTGTATCAGTCAGAGGGTGTCACGTAGACTATTTGAGGGCTACCTATCAACCCTAGGGGGTCAGAATTTATACGACCACTTCTAAAAACTGACGAAGAAGGTGGACACGAAATCGAGAAATACTAGTCTTCAGAAAGTGCCCAGGGGGGGTTTGTTTTGGGCGGATTCTAAACTTTATCTCACTTCCTCTCCTTTGCTTTGCGTGAGCATTGACTGATTTCACATCAAGTAAAATCAACTCGTATGTCCTTTCGCCATGTACTTCTCTCCATGCATCAAAGCTGATTCCCCGTCAAATTGGCGCATCATTTTCTTCACATTACCATTTCACCTTTTCTGTTCATCGTTGACTTAAACCCTTCGCCAAATCTTAATGACGGCCCTTCTCCCTAAGCTCTCTTCTTAACCATGCTAACACCCCGTTTTCTTCGAATCTTCAAGCTGTTCTTCGGGGAACAAAGATCATGTTTTCGCTAGCTCTTCCTACATGTTGATCAGATCCACTCTCTCTGGAACCAGGATAATCTTCGCGTTGATACCTTCTTTGCCTCATACTCTTGCCAGTTTTTTGACACCATTAATGTCTTTCTTTAACGTAAGTTAACGTGGGTCCTTTTTCATACCAAGTACTAAATATTTTCTCCAAGTGCCGGACCAAGGGCTCCTCTACATTCTGTTTATGCCTGCGATAATCCTTAAGAGTCACCAAGTTAATGGTAGTGCTTCGTTATTCCATCGGTGCCTGTGTCAACACCGGACCCATTTTCGTACAATCATCAATAATCCATTATTTATGGTAATATTATAGTTTTTGTGTTAAAGATGGATCGTCGTTCATTAATGCTTCCTCATCATCCATCTTTGGAAACACTTTGGAAACCACTTTTATCTGAAAGTCCAGCCACAATCACCAGCGCCTCATGGACTAGCGTCATCGGTTAAAAGACAATAAAGAGAACCAACAAATAGCGCCATGTGTTGAAGCAACATAAAACTGGAGCTACATTTTTCGAAAATCATTTAAATTTGAGGAAAAAAACACAGATCGCGCATGCTTCAATGCATTCCTAAAGTCGACGGAGCTCAGATCTCGAACGGTAATATAAAAGCTCTACGTAGTAAAAAGAACATAGTTTATCCCCTACCACCTGCTCGCCAAACGAGGGTTGACCAGTACATCTCGATTCAACAAACGAAGTTCCCCTCTATGATCACACTTTGCTGTCTGGGAAGAGAGAGAGAGAGAGAGAGAGAGAGAGAGAGAGAGAGAGAGAGAGAGAGAGAGAGAAGAATATCTTAAGAAGAAGACTCTGTAGCCTACAAGACACTTGAGAAGGCCTTCTTGCTATTAAGAGGTCAAAGGTTAGGGCAGAATATCTGAACTCCCTGTCGCAGTCCAAAACCCAGGAGGGAGAATTAAATGAGGCGTGTAGAGGCTCTTTCTCCCGTCGCTATCCAGTGAGACACATGATGAGCATCTGGAAGGCCTCTTCTGGTCCTCATCGTGCACCTCGCGCAGCCTGTAGCGACCGGCAAGAGGAAGCCTGCAGCTGCATGGCCCTTCCTAACCCTGGCCAGTTGGCGATATGACCGGAGGAGATGGAAAGAGGCCATCGTCAGGGGACTTCATCGCCTCTGTCGCTAACCAGGTTGTGGGGATAAGGCGTGTTGCCATGCTTTGCAGGGCCTGCTCCCCGCGGAGGAGGAAGAACACGTTGGAGGAGACGTCTTAGAATGGGTTCGTCCGCTCCCCACACCCAGCGGATGGAAGGGGGAGGGGGGGGGGCAAAGAAGGAAGATCTTCCTGGGGTCTGGTGGATATCTTCGGCATCGGTCGGATGCAGAATACAAGGGGAACAAGACGAAAGGTTATCCGGCCTGCTGTGGATAGGAGGTATTTTTCAATATATATACACATACTTGTAAAATATAGTATCATATAGGAGTAAACTTGACGAAATGCCATACGTAAATAATATTTTTAGTCAAAAGTCGCGAGGACAACAAAGACGAATGAGCCACGCAAATAAGGACAGAAACTTGCTATTATTCGGAATAAATAGACCACCTAACTCTAAAATAATCTATCCTTGGTTTCTTTCACTAAATGTGAGATGAAGTATTTTAGCATCATCCTCAATGTCTGTCATTGATTTAATTGTTTTTTTTTTTGAATAATGCCATATTGGTTAAACACAAAAGTAAATATTTAGGAACGAAGATGGGATCGGTTACAATAGGATAGTCCAATATCTTCACCATCTTCTGCCAAGCTTTTACATGTCGATAACAGTCATCGTTCAAAATAGAAAGAGCTATAAGAGGTATGCTGAAAGAGGGTAGACGGAGCTGTAAATTTCTCTAGACTACCCATCCGCAGAACATCCCGGATGCAAACGCCCAACTTTACCCGATGAAGCCCCTCAGTTGATTTGTCTGCTTCCGCAAACCGAGGCCTTCCAACTGGCAAGATCGGAGCCCTTTGCTGTAGGACAATGCTCTATGGTCCACATTAAATCCTTCCCTTCACTTGTTGCTGATACTCAGACCACATAATCCATTTATTTATTATTGGAGTGGAATCAGCGATCAGGATGGAAGAACTCAGCGGGAGTGAGGGGGTCCCCTCTGGACAGCCCTGATGCCATAACATCCTTCCTCGTCAGGAGTAAGAGAGCATCTTTCTTTCCTGCTAGGCCGCGCTCCCATGTGCCATCCCCTCTGTAAAGAGGAGAGCCAAAGACCATCTTGGCATGAGTTGACGAGCGGCTTGTAGAGAAAGATCAGAGAGAGGGGATGGGTGAAGAGGAGGGGCCACCCCATGGCTGTAGTTGATTTACGTACCCTCGGGTCATTTTGGTGGGTGGGTGAGACCTCGTCTTTCTTCAATCTTCGTCAAAAGTTTACTGCTTTGGGGAAGAGTAAGAAAGTCCTTTTGACCAATTGAAGGAAAAGGAGAGCATCTTTCTGTCTATGTCTGTTGAAGTCTCCCAGATCAATGGTCTAGTCGTTTTATGGTGCTTATCTCGTACCCTTTTGATATCTTCTGTTCATCTAAATGGTCGTGAAAGCCGAGGTTTTTCCCGAGGGGAGGTTAGAAAAAGGTCTCTCTCTCTCTCTCTCTCTCTCGCTTTCTTGCTAAACCCCAGAAAAGAAGGCTAGATGTTCAACCCAGGTTTCTCTGCTGGGAGAAGTTATGTTTTCTGTTATATAAAGAGTATTCTCTCTTAACGGATAAAACTCTCACCAGATTCATCTCCGTGGTATAATAGATGATAAGAAATAACGTATGACGAATGGAGATAGGAAGGGAAGATTCAAATCGCATTTCAAAGAAGCACATAATTACTTCTATATCAAAGAGTCCACAGAATTTCCTGCTTTTTAGGGTGGATTCATTGTGCTTGGCTGAGACAATGCCAAGGCGTGAGCTTCTCTCTTTTGCAACCTTCCACGCCTCGTCCCAAACTCTCGTACAAGATATGGTGGTTTAATGGCGTATGCTCTATATCATCGGCTAATCATGTGGTCACCAATCTGGTGCAGTAGTCTCTCTCTCTCTGTCTCTCTGTCTCTCTGTCTCTGCAGTTCTGTCCACTTATCTACTCCATTCGTGTCCAGGAGGTTCACCGAAAGTCGCGTCTTTCTGTAGATGTTGAATCATCTCTAGGGAGACAGTGTCAAATCTTCGCATTGCACTGTACTGTATTTCAAGGAGCCCAAAGAGAAGTTCCTGAAATTTTGCCACGCTTTTCATTCATGATTTAATGCAACACCATTACATGATATAAATGACATATAATGTGTTTGTGCGGCTCATCTAAGAGAGACTGGAAGGGACAGGACGGCCACAGATTCCAGTTACAGCTAAAAATAATAGATTATGGTAGTCCTCCGACGATCTTGACCAACTCTTGCTGTCATTCTACCCTACCATGCCCCACAACTCTGTGTGTGTGTGTGTGCCCTTCCCTCCCTCCACACAGACGCCTCAAATAGTCTTCAACCATCAGAGATAGAAAAGACAAGGAAGAAAAGGTGAGAGGAGGATAGATCACATGATATAGTGAGAGGGCACACCGCCCACGAGGGAATTGGAATCCGTAGATCTCCTCATCTCGTCTAGCGATTCGCACATCGCTATCCTTGCACTGGTCTTGAACGAAAAAGATTTTGACGCTATTACAAGAGAGACGACTAGGTGTCCTGACCCCAGGCAAACCAATGGTCCCAACATCCCTATTCTGATGGTGTCTGCCCATGGAATTCCTACATTCATGAGCATATGCATGCTTCACCTCTTTGGTTCAAACCCTTTCATAAAACCCAAGGTTTGTTCCTTCTAGTGTCCGCCAGTGAAGAAGACAAAGGTGAACAGGAAGCGGGGACAGAGTCGTTTGATGAGGTGTTCAGTCTCTCGGTCTTTCTCAACCCTTCATCTCCGTCCCAACATCCCGCCAACCCTCTCTGCCACTCTCCATAACCTTTCCTCTCCATCCAAAACTCACTCCCTCCCTCCTTTTCTACCTCCTTCCTCTCTCTCTAGCCCTTCTTCTAAAAACCCAGCTTTTGTTTCTTTCATGCTACGAGGCAACTATACCAGAGCCGCTTGATGAGGCGTTCTGCTGCTTACCTCTCTCTCTCTACCCCCCCTTTCCCTCTCGATCATCCAGGCTCATCTAGTCAAAGCTTACTTTAAACAACGCTCCAAGGATGGGCGAACAGTCGATAATCGGGATTAGCGCTTTGTTTCTACTGGTGAGATGGGCGGCTAGAAGAGTCAATGATTGACGGTCTCTCGTCCTCCCACGCGCCCCCCTACATAGGTACGTCAGAAGGAGATGATCTCAATGTTGTCTCTCCTCCAGGACGTCCTTTTCGGCCTCCGTGTCTTATCGGGGAAGCGAATACTTCTTCATTACCGAAGAAGCTCACATATGCGACGTAAAAGCTGAAATCTTTGACTTCATTACCGTGCTTTTTCAAACGAAGAGTATGCCACTAGCCACTAACAGAACGACAGCGAGATTGATAACAACGAGATTAGGACATCCCTCGGAAGGGTAAGTGGGGCGACGTCGATAAGATGGCTCACTCATACTAAACCGTATAAGTTTATTTTAATGAGCAAGTTAATCCTTGCTCGATATGAATACCTTACTCATTGTTTATCGAGTCCTCATTTTCATCATCAAGGCGACATTTGTGATTATTTTACGTAAGAGAATAATGTTCCACTTATGATCCTAGATTTTGGAGTATCGATTTTATTGTGGTGGAGGTTGTTTAAATCGTAATTGCCTAATTGTTGAAGACGCATTAATAATTTAAATGTTCATCATCAACTCATTCTTATCGATTACAATATATTCATAAAAGCCCAAACAAGATCATCTTTAGCTCCACACGATTACCTCGGAAAAAGGACATTGCCCCTGTTCTTGTCACCATTTATTTGATCTTCTCACCAAATAAATGTATCATGAAATTAGTGACATAAAAACATCAAATACTCGAACCCTTGAACCATAATCCAGATTCCTCGCCCGCATAATCTTCTAAATGTGGATATTATCTTGACCCGTGGTTGAGTAACTTGGTTGTGAAAGTTATGCTCAGCTATATTCCCCCATGGGAGTGTCCGGATACACGTGGGTGTGTCTTCCATGCTGCCGAACGTGTGCGTCATCTTGGTCAACATTGTGTCGAGATACCGACGAGGCTTACGCAGTCAGCCACATACGGCTGTATTGTCAAATGGGTAGGGTCTGAGTCGCACCAGCTTCACGTGTAACGGGAACGTAGGGATCAGGAGTCAGTCCGCCGGTGGTGCAATGGACAGGAGAGCTCAGAGGACGGCGGGCTGCCGTCTCTTTCCTCTCAAATGGAATGAGTGCGGACTTCTTTACGTCAGAATAGGGAGAGAACAGCACCTCGTGGCGCACACACAAAGGCAGGCAGAGAGAGAGAGAGAGAGAGAGAGAGAGGAGAGGGACAGACAGAGACAGAGACAGAGAGATGGGTCACAGGGGGAGAATAAGTACATGCCTTACGGAGTCGGGAATTATTAGGGATGCAGCATCTCTCTCTCTCTCTCCCACTATGTGATTTAATAAACGGCAGAGCGGAAAGGGAACTGATGATGAGCAGGTTTGACGGTGAGCCCGAGGGATACGAGCTAAGACCAACGTTGGGGACCCGGGGGGTGGGCCTCTATAATGCAGTGGTAAAATTTAATTGTAGATTAAATATTGTTGCAGCGTATGGAGACATCGAGACAGTGGAGAGAGAGAAAAGAAGGCTATAAAGTTTGCCCATCTCCCTGTTGGTGGCCTTGCAATCGTTGGAAGATACGATCGTAGGGTTTCTCTCCTTAGAGAGAAAAGTGAGAGAGGAGAAGAGAAGAGAAAACAGCTAGACCTTGATCACGAGTTCTCCTTTTCGTCAGTTGAAGAGCACTGTTGCAGAGATGGAGGAGCATCTGAACCCCTTTGCCGTGACGCATCTGCTTCAGCACACCTTGCGGAGCCTCTGCGTCCAGGAAGACTCCCAGTGGGTGTACGCCGTCTTCTGGAGGATCCTCCCCAGGAACTACCCCCCACCCAAGTGAGCAAAAGAACCCTAGATACCAAGACTCGCGTAGATCTCCTTTTTTCTCTTGTTTCTCACTCGCTTGCTTTCCCCACTGTGGATAGATGGGATCTTCAGGGAGATGGTGCTCTGGATAGATCCAGGGGGAACAGGAGGAATTGGTAGGAATCTGACTCGCCGCTGATCTCGATTTTACTCCCGTGGAGATGCTTGATATCGTGCGTGTTCGGTCAGGATTCTGGCTTGGGAAGATGGATTCTGCAACTTTTCTGCATCGACGGTGGACTGCGCAGGTTCGTCGGCCGGGGAGGGCAACGTCCACGGCCTGCAGCCCGAGCTCTTCTTCAAGATGTCGCATGAAATCTACAATTATGGCGAGGGGTATGTAGAAGCAATTAGATACATCTTGGGCGTCGGCTAGAATCTGATAATCTCTCTCTTCATCTCCCCCTCTCTGTCTTACTCTCTCTTACTCTCTCTTCCTCTCTCTTCCTCTCTCTTCCTCTCTCTCTTCCTCTCTCTCTCTCTCTCTCTCTCTCTCTTTGTTTTCCTCGCTCTCTCTCTCCCTCTCTTTCTCAATCTCTCTCTCATCCAATCTTCCCGTCATTTTCTTCATCTTTTTCTTCCTCTAATTCATCCTACTATCACTGCTACTACTCTCTTCACCTTCTCGTATTCTTCTACTTCCTCCTCCTCCCACTTCCTCCCACTCCCTCTTCCTCCTTTCCACCTCCTCTTCCTTACTCTTGTTCCTGTCCTTAGGCATCTTTGCACTTCCTTCTGGTTGAATGCTAAGGGATTTGATGATCTTGGGCTTGGGCAGTTTTGTTGGGAAAGTTGCCGCAGATCGCAGCCACAAGTGGGTTTTCAATGACCCCCAAGAGCGAGAGATTAGTTTGCTTTCTGCATGGCACAATCCAGTCGACTCGGTCAGCACGATCTCCTTGTTTGACGGTCGTTTTCCTTCTGTCTCTCTCCTCTCTCTAACCTTCCCTCCTATCTCCTCTTCCCCTTGGTTTTCTACGCTTCGTCTCAGCATCCGAGGACTTGGGAGGCTCAGTTCCAGGCTGGCATCAAGGTTTTCTCCCCAAAAACATCTTTGCCTCCTTATTTTATATCTCAGTTCCTCATATCTCTACTTAAACCAGTCTAATCATGCAGACCATCGTCCTAATTGCTGTCAGGGAGGGAGTCATTCAACTTGGAGCTATTAATAAGGTCTCTCTCTCTCTCCCCCCCCCTCCTCCGACATGGTGCAAGGTCAATAATTCAAGCTGGCGGAGCATCATAAAGAATCCATGCATGCATGGTTGCCCATTATCTATGCCGGAAATGGAAATCGAATCTGCTCGCGGCCATTCTTCGTCCATAAGAACATCTGCATGTCCTTGATCTGACTTACGTAATAGGCTGCTACTTCCCCCTTTACAGGTGATGGAAGACCCGAGCTATGTCCTCCTGCTCCGCAACCGATTCAGCTACCTCGAGAGCATCCCCGGTGTCCTCCTCCCCCACCCCTCCTCTGCCGCCGTCCCTTCCACAGGAGATCTGTGCGAGACGCCGGAGAGCTGGGCGGCCTGCTACGAAGTCTCGTCGCCGGTGCCGCCAATGCACCACCACATTGCACATCATCAAGTGGGGATATCGCCGTCGATGAGCAGCCTTGAAGCTCTGCTCTCCAAGCTCCCTTCTGTTAACCCTCCGCCGCCGGCGCCGCAGCTCCAGCCGCCGTGTCTCGGGGTGGCTTCTCTCCTATCTCCGCCCCAATGGCCAACTCCCAAGGAGGAGCTCGGGGACAACGAGTACGGGGGGATTGCTGGTCCTGCTGCGATGGGTGGTCATGGGATGCTCTCCTCCTTGTCTGGGTACTACGTGCAGGCCTCTCAGCCGGGCCAAGGCTATTGAGCTCACTCAGCCTGGCACGGGTTCTCACGTAAGAACTTTCATCCAAGATGGCATCTATTTCCTTGAAGAAAGATCTCCCGCCAGCCACCGATGCTGTTGATCGTTCTGTTCTTCAGTAGGTTAAGGTCGCACCGAAAGTTGGTCGCGGTTGACGATAGGGGTCCGTGATGAAGACCTGCGGAGGAGAGGATTCTTCATCTCGATGACTCTGCTAGACAAGTAGTGCACATTGATTGTGACTTGTGAAGCACGTGGCTAAGAAAAATATATGCACGGAGAACTTGATTCGTTGCCCGGAGAAAAATTGGCGAGATAAATGTGCCAGAATATTTCCGAATTCACTGATAGAAATTAATGCTGTAATTACATCTATTTATATAAGCGTATTACATTTCTCAGCTCACTGTCGTGTTGAATAGATTCATCGTCAGTGTTCAAGGGGGTCCCTTTGTTGAATGGCGATATGCCCTTAATTATTATCAGATAGTTTGGTCACCTTGGATTACTTCTTTTTCTTTTTAGCAGTGAGAATGAAAGATCAAAGCGCAGTTCTAAATGCGTCGTCTCAGCTTCGTCCTAACGAAGGGCATGGATTACCTTCCTCTTCATTATCGTCACCACGAAGACCAGCCAATGGGATTTAAGTTGTCTCCATTCTGGGACGGATTCAGATGCGCAGTCGTAGGGGATAAGTCCTGTAAGAACCTTGCGGTTGTTGGCTCGTTCTGCGTCGCCGTGGAAGCATAGAATGCCTACAAGTTTATTCCTTCATTACAAGTCTAGTCAACTCGGAGCTGACTTTCATGGGTCAATGCTCAAGATGACGAGGTTCGTCTAGGAGACCCATCTGATCCTGACACACAGCGACTTTTGGGACACTTGGACTAGTAGCCAACTCGTGGCTGAGTCAGACCAGGTTGGTTCAATTCGAAAGTCAAAGGGCTCCCAAGGAAACGGTCAACCAAAATTCTCGCGAGAACGGTTGGATACTGGGGAAACCCTCCTCTTTTTGGATTCGAGATTAAAGAACATGGAATAAAAAGCTAGGATTCGCCCACACTTTCGCGAATATCTCGGCAAATCTATACATAATTATCAATTTACATATAATTAGGCTAAATACTTTTCATACCTAGTTCTATCTAATTCAGTGCGACAAACCCATGCTGGGGTCGTCTCTTTTCAAGAACAAATGTATTCAAGATCTGCAGAAAACGTTCCGGAATCGGTAAAAATTGTAGACGTGCTCAGAAAACTGGGTCAAAATGAAACGGAATCCTTGGAAATATCGACGAACTTAGGATAGAAGATTGACCAGAAAAATGAAATACATTTTAAGATAAATCTTCTTCCCGGATGAAGAGATTGGCAAATATTCCTAGCTTTGGAATAATGTGCAGAAATTTCAACCGACGGAGAAAGCTGATGCCAAAAAGTGGGGGCCTGACACCCCTCATTACACAAATAGAGTCAAAAGGGGCCATTCAGTGACGGAGTCCCACAGATAGGAATCCTAAGCAAGGTTGTTAATCTCAAGTTTACAAGGACAACAGCGTCCAGGTCATTGAAGGTGACACGACTGAACTATGCACAATAATGCACGCTGTAAATAGATACAAATACCAGGATCATCAGTGGCCACTAACACAGAACAAAAAATCAATCAAGGAACCATTATTTCGAAATTAAAAAAATCAATCCTGTCAAAGAGGAATAGTGGGCGGAATTCTCGATGCATGGAGAGACAAATTCCATCATGGATGAAATAAAATGGGTCAACGTCTCTTTTTTCTGTTATAATTAATCTGTGGATGAGAAGGGTTCATGGGATTGTCGCCTTGAATAGACATACCAAGCAACCAGAGAGAGAGAGAGAGGGAGAGAGAGGAAGCGAGAGAGAGAGAGAGGGAGAGAGCGGAGAGAGAGAGAGGGAGAGAGGGAGAGAGAGGAAGAGAGAGAGAGAGAGAGGGAGAGAGGGAGAGAGGGAGAGAGAGGAAGAGAGAGAGAGAGAGAGGGAGAGAGAGGGAGAGAGAGAGAGAGAGAGAGAGAGAGAGAGAGAGGAGAGAGAGAGAGAGAGAGAGAGAGAGAGAGAGAGAGAGAGAGAGAGAGAGAGAGAGAGAGAGAGAGAGAGAGAGAGAGAGAGAGAGAGAGAGAGAGAGAGAGAGAGAGAGAGAGAGAGAGAGAGAGAGAGAGAGAGAGAGAGAGAGAGAGAGAGAGAGAGAGAGAGAGAGAGAGAGAGAGAGAGAGAGAGAGAGAGAGAGAGAGAGAGAGAGAGAGAGAGAGAGTAGACAAGAGACGGATTAATTAAATTTCTTAGTTTTGGATTGTACTGGATGCTTTATTGACCGATTATAAATTAATAGAACGTCGGAGGGAATACAGTGAACAGTGAAAGAGGGTGACATGAAATATCCTGCACAGATGGAACTTCCACCCCTAAACACGGCTCATTATGGATTCATTATGATTGGTGGTCATAACCAAGCATATATAACATATAGTACATGTCAGTGATTGATAGCTCATAACCAGTAAGAAATTACCTTGGAAAAGGGCATCACAAGGTAGTAGAAAAGCTTACGACAATGAAAACGAAGATATCAATCGGTGTACATCTCCTAAACAAGACAAGATCCCTTCTCAAGGGACGCATACCCTGCCGCAGAGGATAATGCTGCTTCCTAAACTCGTTGGGTGTTTCAAAGAGAGGACTGTTAGACTCTCCCATCTCTCTCTCTCTCTCTCTCTCTCTCTCTTTATCTCAACGAGGAAATGCGGTGCAAACAACAACGTGACAGGAAACAAAAGAAGGCGAAAATGTAAACAGTAACTACAGTGTATAGCAAGTACCACAGAAGCATAGAAATTTGAAGATCATGTGAAGTCCAGGACGCATATGAAGTAGAAAGTCCTTTCTATCTCAGTCTCTCTCAGTCTCTCTCACTCCCTCTCTCTCTCTCTCTCGATCTCCCTCTGTCTGCCATTGGTCGACCAATCTAGCAGATGAATCCAGACCACCACTAGGAATATTGGAGGATAATATTTTATTTTTCCCTAAGTTTATTTTTCGATTTCAAATGGAAAGACGGGAAATACAATGGCACGCCATTACATTGCCACAACTGTTAGAGAGAGAAACGCTCCAACGAGGGGAAGAAGCACGATCATCTACTGACCTTCATTGGGAGGCATGTGACACAAGAAGCCAAATCACCCATTTGTCCACTCTTAGGCTTTGGTTTGTCCCCGCAACAGCAAAGAGACAAGGTAAGGGTTTTCAAGATCCACTTATGAAGGCTGCTGCTGCCGCCGCCGCTCCGCAGAGTCTTGTCAGCTGGCTCAAGCTGGTTCTTCTCATCACTTCCTCACTTCATGAAGCTTGGAAGGTAGATGAGTCGCAGAACCTTTCTCCTTTCCTCGTAGTAGGTAGAAGCAGCGCCCCCTCTTCCTTTCCCATCCCGCTGAAGCCTCGCCTGAAATCAAACCTATTCTGACCTGGGAAGCTCGATCCATGATAGTATCCTGGATTTGGTAGATGGGCAAGGGGGAACTGGGAACCGAGGTGTTGGAGGGTCTCAATCTGAGAGGCAGACGATCGACGCGGCTACCTACCTCCGCTTGTTCACCGGAAAGAAGTGACTCGTCTGTGCTAGCAATTGAGCAATTGAGGCAGAAGGGCCCAGGGAACTAACTGCTTATATGCGAGCTCAAAGGGATAGCAGGAAATGGCACTGTTTCCAGTTTGAATGCCACATAAGGAGGAAGGGAAGAGGGAAGATGCCGGTGGCAGAGAAAGCCTTCGTTTCATAACAATTATCAAAAGTAATAGGAAGACGTCAACTTGTTTTCATTGAGAATTGGACCTCCAGACCTCCCGCTTACTAATCGGGTGCTCTAGCCAATCTGAGCTATGAGATAAATTTCAAACGATTTTTCTGTACCAGAAACTTGCACTACCACACTATTCATCCTAAAGATAGACGATATACAGACAAGAAACAAATTCAATGAAATTCTTCACTTCAAACCTCCACAAAACCCGCCCCCTCCCCCATTCACTCCAATCATATTTTTTCCAATTTAGAGAGAGAAAGACAGCCACAAAGCACAGAGAGGCTCAATACCCATGGCCGTATCCCATGTAGTTCATCCTGTACCGTGGGCCTGGCTGGTCGTACGCTGGGTCCCCATAATTCACAGCCTTGATCTCCACTGCCCGCCGCCCTTCGGCTTCCTGCACCGCCCCGAAGACGATCTCATTGGTCGTCTCGCAGCTCCTCTCGTAGACGGTCTGTGGCCCCGACGAGTAGTGCCGCTGCTGCAGCACCTGCTGCTGCCGCTCCCCCTCCCAGCTTCCGAAGTAGGCCCGGCCCTGCTTCAGGTGGTGGATCTTCTCTGGGTCCTTGGCCATGAACGCGTAGGTCTTGCGCGGTGTTGGCGTTCGCACCTCCACGGGGGGAGGCGGCGGCTCATCCTCATCCTGGATAACGTAGCTCTCTTGCATGGGCCATGCGTTCTGCCGCCACTGCTGCTGGAGAGGCGGCCCCTGGTGCTGGAGACTCTGCGGCCTCCGCCTGAGGCCTGAGAATACCCTGAAGATCTCCGTTGCCGAGGAGACGGCACCAGCAATGAGCTTCCCGATCGAGGTGAAGAGCCCCTCCTCCTCGGGTTTCTCCAGTTCACCCTCCGGCGGAATCAGCGGTGGCCGGACTGAGGTGCTGAAGGGCTTCTGGTATGGGCTTGGCGGCATGCCTGGCTTTGTTGGTGCTCTCTGTTCCTGCAACATAAGCCAACCAGAGGTCCCAGCACACCATTCTTGAGCAGATTAACCCAGAACAAGATTTCTCCTAAACCAAGAAAATCATAAGATTTGGAAAAAAAATAATTTATGGCGCTCACTGGTTTCAAAGAGACCATGCCGCCCACCCGCCGTTGCAGCAGTGCGAGCATGTAGCCGAAGAAACCGGCGGCGATGAGCACCGCAATCCCTGCAACAACACAGAAGATTGATTCATCAAGAACCTTGAACCTTGAACCTTTTGCCGCTCTTGAGCCTGCTGGCTCGGAAGCATAAGTTCTCAGAGATAGGATGAGGCTTTGGGACTTACCCAGAGGGAATCCGGAGCCGTACTGGTAGGCACAGTCATCGAAATTGAGCTGAATCTCTCGGATTGCCTGGTTTCCCCGATCGATGACGAGGAGGGAGCAGCTGCTGCCAATGTAGACCACCTCAAAGTCATTGGAAAACTTTGCGTCCTCGCTCGGCCCATCGACATGCCCACCTTTGCTCCACTTGCTGCCTCCAGCGATGGTAGTCACTCCTGAAGGAGTGTTCATACGCCAGAAAGATCAAGCTCCAGCAGATTAGTATTAATGCTCGATGCTCTTCATGATCAGCATATGCCGTCAATAGAAGAAAATAACACATTAAATCTTAACTGGTGCAGTTGTTGGAGACTTATACGTGCATTAAGCCATATCGAGCATAAGTGATCTCCCAGAAGAATATTTTCTGACCATAGGTGATAGTTTTATTTTTCTAGAATAAAATAAAATAGAGTGAGCAATGATGCAACAGACCAAATCCGAGGAATTGTTGAATTGGAAGACAGGATAACCCAGAAAATGTTGGAGAAAATCTCTGGAGCCTGGTTCAACAAAGATTCTTTGGTGTTCGAAAATGTCATCTTCAGGGAGAGAGAGAGAGAGAGAGAGAGAGAGAGAGAGAGGAGTCCAGAACAGAGGCTATATCAGCTTCCCATTGCCAAACAAAACTATCTTCCCAGATGTGAATCGATTCAGCAGATCAAATTAAATCAGTCGGTTTAATGGAATCAATCTTCATATAATAAAATAAAAGACAACTCTTCTCAGAGGTGAATCAATTTTATTGGACAAGAAAAATCAGCCCAGGAAGATCGCCTCGCACCCATTATCAATTAAAAATTATTTCCTCCTGAATGTGAATAAACCTTATTTTGCATGAATAAAATCAGGCATGAAAGTCCGTCGGGCGGCCTTCAATTCACCTGTATCGCTGATCTTCCTGATCGCCATGTTCATGGTGTCGGCGACATAGATGTTTCCCCGATCGTCCACCGTGAAGCCCTTGGGATGGTTCATCCTCGCCTCCCGCAGCTTCCCATCAACGTGTCCAGCATTCCCCTCCGATGAGCCTGCAACCAGCCTCGGCCGACTGTCTGCTCCCCTCCATCCAAATCATGCAGAGAGAGGGAGATTTATTTTTTACTTCCTACGGATTAGTGAAATGGATAAAATAATAATTCAGCGGGCCAAAGCAGGGGAATTGTGACATTGACTGAGAGCATTATCCTCCATAAAGGGGAAGGGAAGCTGGAAGAGGTAGCAGGAGAAGTTTTAGAAAAAAGGATGGGAAAAAGGAGAAATAAGAGGGAGAACAATTGAGATGAGTTGACTTTTCCAGCACAAATATGTCGGAAAACCTCAGATTCGTGAGGGTATTTAGATGAAAAGGGTCGATGAGAGACGGAGTACGGATACGGGAGGAAGAACAACTAGGACGAGTTGACTTTTCCAGCGGAAAAAACCCAATTCACCATGAGGAAATTCTGACAACGACGTGAAGGCCTGCAATCACCATCAAAGAGACAAAACCCTAGGACAGAGACCTCAGCTGAAGACGGTGCCCGATCACGCAACAGATTCAAAGAAATCTACAACAAGAAAATAACTGAAGAGGAGGTCGCTGGCCCAGATTCGCCAAAGAAGCCGGAGAAGAATCGGGTCGATCAACTTCGCAGTGAGATCAAAAAAAGAGGGTTTAACCAGAGGGAAGAGCCGCGGTTCAAAAATGGAGATCGCAGAGAGCTCACATCTGGACAGCGGCGGTGAGATCCTGTAGATGTTGCTGTTGATGGAGTCCAGAACGAGTAGCTCGCCGGTCGGAGTGGCCTCCACTGAGAAGGGCTCGATTCCCAGCTTGCTCCCGTCGAACACTGTCTCCACCGTGTACCCACTCTCGAACTTCATCATCGATCGGCCGGAGATCGCTGCGACGACAAACCCTAGCCGTTCAGACTAAAACCCCAAAATTATCCTTAAGCGGCGACAGCGACGGCAATGTAGCGAAGAAGATGGCGAGAAAGGTAGGAGGGGGATGGAGAGATAAAGCAAGAGAAGAATTAGACCAACCATTGATTTTGGTGGTGGACTTCAGCGACCACAGCCACTTCATTAGTGCAGCAAGGGCGTTGGAGACGAACCCACTGACGATCCCTGCAAAAGTATCTTCTGATGTCACAACAGATAGGGGGAAATATCAGAAAAACCCTGAAAACCAGAGAATCGGAGGGAAAGGTACTCACTCGCCGGTGCAGGATGAGCGGCGGATGCAGGGGAAAACCCACCGAGGAGAACCATGAATATCAAGAGGGTCGCCATTGCCCGGCTCTTCCTCTCCATTACTGCGGCCGCGCCCATAGAACCAACAACAGAGGGGAGAAGAGAGAAAACGAGGTCAGAAGATGGGGGAAACCAGCACGGTACAACCACTGGTCAGAAGTATCTTATTGGGCCATCATCGTCGTCACGGAGAAGGGAGAAGAGGAACCCGTCGTCACCATGATCCAGGTCTGCTTTTTCTAGGGGATGTGAGAGAAAAGCAAGGTTCGTAGAGCGCATATCATTGGACCACTACCAGTAGAGAGATTAGAGAAAGAAAGAGACAAAACACGAGGGGGGAAGCGGGGAGGTTTTGTGATGGTATAGCTAGCTTTTTGTGCTGTGGGTCGGACGGGGCTCACTCTGGACGCCCGTCTGTTGCCACTGCTGGCGTATTATTAATTGCTCTGAGCAAAAAAGTACAAGAAGAAGAAGAACGTGGTGGTGGCGGCAGGGGAAACTTAGAGAGAGAGGGCGAGTGGGTTTCTTGTCCCCTCAAATCCAGAGAGAGGGATACCAGAACAAGAGCAAAGGAAAAGTAGAGAATCTAATGCCCGACCCCCACTGATCTCTCTCTCTCTCTCTCCCCTCCCCCCCCCCCCCGCCGTCTCTGTGAAACGGATCAAAAGAGCTCTTTAGTTCGCCTCCCTAATCCCTCTCTCCTCCCTTCGCCTCCTCTCCCATTTGCTTTGCCCTCGATAATTAGGATTCCTTCTTCTGTGCTCCTATTCCTTTTCCCTTTGCTTCTTCCGTCGTCTTCTTCCTTTCCGGCGGCCTGCCCCCCGAGCCCATCATCACCGCCACGGCCACCGTCATCTTCCTTTTGGTGGGGGCTTGCCGACAGATCCACAGCCCCAGACAAGCCCACACCCCCTCATCTCCTCCCCCACTCCGTCTTCCAAGAGAAGCCTCCCCTTGATTCCGTAGGATGCAGTCAAAACATGGCAGAGAGAATACGGACGTGAAGGTTAGACAGATCCCTCGGCCTGGGCAGTAACCTCGTTTTCCTTCATTACCGTGCTTGCAGTGGCTGCTCCTTGCACTGGAGAGATGGGGAAGCATCCAGTGGGTGGACCATGCAGACGGACTGGTAGGATTACCAGACGGTGGGAACTCGCCGCCAAGGTCCCTGCGGCAGGCTGACACGGTTGCAGAGCAGGACGGGGCCCCACTGGCGGCAGTGCAGCTCCGGACTCTCAAGAGGGTCAGGTAGATCTGGATCCGTAAAAATTGGGTACAGGCCGACCCGAAACGACATTAGATCCCAAGGGGAGTATGTCATAGGCTCCCATTTAACTCAAAACCCGTTCTCCATTTGAAATTATGCTTGAAATTTTTGGGGACTCTAATTAATTATTGAAATATGATATAAAGGGAGCGGATTTGATTATTTATTTTTTTATAAAATTGAATTATAAAGACAACGTTGAGAGAGAAAACTTTGTTCACTTAGGAATGGTCATATATACATATATATCCTAGGTTGATTGAGATCAAAATCCTAGGTTACTTCCCTAGCCTTCAATTGATATTTAATGAGCCAAAGTGCTAAATCTTGAACAATTAACCCTAAATTTAGAGTGAAGTATGTCTATTGTTCTCTTTGAAAAAAATTAGAGAGTATCAATCAATTTTAAAATAATAATTTTCTAGTAATATTTAGCATCAATATAATTATAAATAAACTAATTAAATTAAAATTTTGAATGTAGCATTCTCAATATGTCATATGGGTTCCTTGGATACAAAATTATTTCTTTTTTTTCTTTCTTTCTTATGAATGCTTATGAATGAAAAATCTTGAGAACATAAAACCCTATATCTGAAGTACACCATGTCTTATGATCTGTCGGTAGAGGGATAGGGTTTTGTTATTGATTTTCTAAACCTCTGCTTTGAATAGGCAATAGCTAATAAAGGATTATCTTAGGGACAAAATGCTCCATTAAAGTACTCATAGAAGGAAAGGGAAGCTAACATAAGAGTGGAGAAGAGGAAGAGCGAATAAAAACTAATCACATGGTGGAATAGATTTTATTTCTTACTACTTTAATGTCTAATTTACTACACTTTGTGTTGAGAGATAGTATGATAAATACACCCAGATGTCCTAGGTTGGAGAAGAAATAAAAATTTAGTAAGAAATAATAATTCATATAGAGCATAGCCTCTAAATGTGGTAGATGACATCCTATCAATTAGATAGGCTATCATCAATATAACTTTTTTCCAAAGCATTTTGGGCATATTAATTTATAACAATAGGGCCCAAGTGATTTCTGGATGGTGTCAATGTTTCCTTTTTGCTACTCTATTTTGTAACGAAGTGTAAGGTCAAGATGATTCATAAATAATTTCCTTATCTTTTATGAAAATATTAAGATTTCATTCAAAATATTCTGTCACATTATCTAAGCAAAAAGTTTTCACTTATTTGTCAAATTGAGTAATAATCATACTACAAAATACTTTGACTAATTATGATACTTCATTTCTAGATTGATCAAATATAACCATGTCAAGTGGGTAAAATCATTTATAGAACTAATAAAATACCGATATGAATCTATAGAGGTAATAAAAGATGGACCTCATACATCAAAATGAATGAGATCAAAAGAAGCTCTCTTAGTGTTTGAAGAAAAAAAGAGAACACTTTTGCAACTTCATAAGTTTGACAATGCAGTGAACTAATGTTAGTCAAGTTAAACATCATAAGCAACATAGTGTTCATTATCCTAAAAGATAGATAACTTAAGTGAGCATGTCACAAATAAATTTCTTGTAATCTTGGGTTCATTTTTGAGCAAATTGTGATTTTAGTACTATCTATCATTTAGATTAGAGAAGATAGATTAGGTTGCTTTAACGTCCACTCTAAATTATTAGTCTTATCTTCAAATGTTAAAGTACACAATGATCATGATAAAAAGGTTACTGAACATTTTATTAATTATAATAAAACTTGCAGAAAGTAAATTGATATGAAGACTAAGAACATGACATGTCAAAGGTAAAATTAAGTGACTATTTAATCTAATGGAACCCTTGTTATCAATAATAACTCAACTTTCATCCACTATACTCACTTTATCCCTACTCGATGTAGAATGATTTGATGTAAAATTAAAAGATGTATCAATTATAGTTTTGGATTCCCTAGAGTTAATGACCTAAGTCTCATACAAAAATTCAGAGGTTACACTTAATATTGTACTTGATTTATGTAGTTGTAAAACTTGAGTTCAATTGTTTATTTGCATCTCCCTCAATATGACTCAGAGTTTTGCAATATCCTGTGATATCTTTTGATATCCAAAAATATCAGAATATATAGAGTCATTAGGGTGATATATATTTTATGAGACCATATAGACAGTTGACTTAGCTTGAAATGACATTTGATTTTTCTCATCATATTTTGATTTTTCTAGCCTTATCTCTTGATGTAATACCCAACAATAATACACACTATGATTGGTATAGGCACAATGTATACACTGCTTTCTTGATTTCTTTCTTTCTTGGCCTTTGACACTTTTATTTTTTTTTATTAATAGTCAATGCTTAGTGATCCCCTATTCCTAATTCTATACTCTTAGAAAAATTGGTCATAAATAATTTCTTTTCCTCCTCACATAATACTTTAAAATAAACTTTTTAAAGAGATTGTGTAGACTTCATATTCAAATTTTGTCTCAATACTTCTATTCATGTTTCAATCTAACTAGTAATTTGAAGGTTCTACTTAGCCTAAAATTTGGAAGGTAATTGCCTTTGATTTTCTATAGATGATCATGAATTGTATAAATCTATTTATCTCACATACTCTTAGAAGCAATAAAGTACTGTGTAAATGTCATATTTCTTGTTTCAACTCACAAATATTATTGTTCAATTGATAGCAGAGATTTATGTTGTGTTTTTGACCATACATTGCAGTCATCCACATCTTCTAATTGAATTCAAGAATCATGATGAAACCAAGCTATTTTCATTGAACCAAACTTTATACTATGGTCTGTGATTGAAATTAACTAAGTTACAAATATATTCAATTTTGTCATGTGCTCCAATGTGTAATTGTGTTGTAGTGACCCATGTGAAAAAAATTATATTCAATCAACTTTTGAGGAGTAATTTGTCAATGTGATTATGATATTGCAGATTCTCTTCCTCTCACTAACCTTGTGATATTAGTAGATTCATTGATGAGGCCATTATGGAAGATGAATTCATACTCATATTATATGTTTGAATAAGTACGAAGCCAATTATTATACGATTACTAAAGTCAACTAATCCTCAAATATGATATTTGATATGTCTCAAATAATATATATGTGAGTTCAATCAATAAACAATCTGATAGTAGATATAAAAAAATTAAATAAAAATTCTGAATAAAATAATATTTTAATATTTATCAAGAGGGGAGCAGATGAAAAAAAACTAACCATACAAAGCTTGTTCAAGATTGAACAATGCTTTGATACCATGAGAGGAATGAGGAAAGGACACACCAAGGATGAATCAAGGCAAGGCGATGAAGTGGAAGGCCAAGCATTCATTAATGATCTAGAGGAGCAATGAGAAAGGTGATGCCTAGATGAGCTTACAGCCAATTAAGGATGGTCCTCGGCCCATGGAGACATCAACAAAGGAGATGTTGACAAGATGAAGCCCCTACTACTTGAGATGGTTGCATGATGAGAGAAGACAACAAGTGAGACAACCAATGTCATGGCATGCTCCAAGGAGGGGTGGCGTGTTGGAGAAGAGGAAATGAAAATGAAATCAATCAAACTGGGAATGCCCATAAAATAAATAAATATACTACAAAAGTCATCAATACATTTTTATTGACTTAAAAATAATTGAGCATGTAATCTCTTGATCGATAAATAAGGAAAAAGATAACTTGACTCATCATGCTCATTTAAAACTATGATCTTATTATATTTGAAAGCTCACCACATAAAAAAATATTTGTTAATCCACATATAGTGTCATTAACATAAATCTAAAATATTTAAGTG